TTAATTTATTACTAACTTATATTATTAAGTTACTTAATTAGCTTAAGAAAGGTAATAAGCTAATAGCGTATTAGCTAGTACTTATAGAGTCTAAAGTTATCTAGCTTTAAGTAGCTAATGTATAGAAAAAGAAGTGTAATTTATGTAAAAGAAAGTAGATTTAGAAAGAGAATACTCTTATAATTAAAGCTAGCTTATAGCTAGTTACTTAAAGAGAGGCTATAAATTAGAATAAGAGTAAAAAGTAGCGCGAAAAGAAGGTAGTATATAATAGCTAGCTAGCTTAGTAATACTATAGATACTAGAGTAAGCTAGAGTATAATACGTAAACGTACTAGATAGTTAAAAATAATATAAATAAGTTAAATAGCTTATCTAGATTTATCTTAAGTAGCTTAAAGCTAAAGAAATTAGAATAAGATAGTAGCTTTTTAGTAGAGACTTAATAAAAGTAGCTAACTTACTTATATAGCTAGCTTACTTATAAAGTACGTTATAGTATTATTTTAGCACGTTATATTTATAGTAATAATAAGAGAATATAGTAGATTACTATAGCGTATTACTTACTTTAAATTTAGCTAGCCTAGATAGCTTAAATTATAAGCTATATTCTAGCTTTTTAAGAAAACGACTTAGTATTAGTAGATAGACTTATAGTAGTTAAGATAATTATTAGTAGAGACTTAGTAAAAGTAACTAGCTTACTTATAAAGTACGTTATAGTATTATATAGCTAGATTATTTATATATATCTATAGTTAGAGAAGAAAACTCTAGAAAGAATTTTTTTTAAACTTCTATTTTTTATTACGCTATATTTAGAAGAGCTAGCTTTATAAAAGTTTTCTAAAAATCTTTATTAAGTTATAAATACTATATACTATAAGTTTTATAGATTATTATAAAGATATAATAGTACTTACTAGAAGAAAACTAGATTTTTTTTCTAAAAGTTAGTTAAATACGTATAGCTTTTTTATTACGTTATATATCTTAGTGTAACTTTAGTATAAGGTATAATATACTATAAGAAATATATATATACATTTTTATAGAAAAATATTAAGGTTTTGCTTAGTTATTTAAGAAAAACGAGTTAGTTTTTATTAATTTTCGTTGCTAAGAAATCGTGGGTCGTTTGTTTGTGTAACACGTTCGTTTGTGAAGTACGTTAGTTATTTAAGGAATACTAGTTAATTTTCGTTAATTTTTCTTGCCAAGAGAAAGTGGCCAGCTCGCTTGTGTGGCCAGTTCGCTTGTGAAGTACGTTATTCGTCGAGATTAATGCTACGGCTTCACGGGGCGGCCGTCGTCGGGTCGACCTCGATCGCGTAGGTCTAAGCTACACCTCTTCGTATGAAGAGGCTACTAGAACCCCATCATTGCATTGAGATGTGTGCCCATCGTGGCTCCGCTGTCCTGGCCGCTGCCGTCGTGGGTCGCTGATTGATGTGAGCGCCGACCAATGACTGCAAGCTACTGTGTAAGTGATGTTCTCCGTCGGTTCCTAGTCGTCTTTCACCGCTCTTGCTTGTGAAACTCGGACACCGCGTACGCGACAATCCGTCATTTTGTAGATTAGTCAGCTAGATTAGTCAGTTAGTTCCCGCCAGTGGCACTGACTGCCGAAGGAAAATCAGCCTGCAAAACGGAGCTCCCCATTTCTTCCTCCCGTCACCTCACACTGTGGTGCCACGGTACGATCTCCTTTCTTCCTCCTTGCACCCGAGACTTGTCGCACAAATACTCTCTCTTTCGCTTCTCCACCTTCTCCGAAGATATGGCGCTGCGCATTGGACAAGTCCTTCGAGGAGGAAAAGGAAAGTATGAGCTACTGGAGCAGTTGAAAGGTTCCAGTGTCTTCAAAGCCCGGGTGTTGTCCAACCCTTCAATCCAAGCAGAATGGTGAGGCTCTGTCACCACATACTACAAAATTAGTCGCTCACCGTCACCGCAGGGCTATGGTCAAATCTGCAGCTACCAAGGACGAGAAGATGTGCTTGAAGCGCGAATACCGCAATTACGGGATCCACGAAATTGCGTCGAGCCCATACATCCGAGCTATGTACGATACTGTACGGTCAAATGGAGATCAAGACGACCCATCATGCCTGGTATTTGAATGGATGGATCATGATATGCGATCGGTACGCGCCGACCAATTCCGAGGCGATCCAAGGCTACCCAGAGTCGTGTCCCAGGCGGTCCTGTCAGCCCTCAAACTTTTTAAAACACTTAATGCTGTCCATACAGGTAGCTGCCCTTCTTCCATTTATACTCCCAGTACTAAAATGGCTAGATGTTAATGTGAACAACATTTACGTCTCCGATATCGATAGACGTTCTCCGATTGCTAAGCTAGGAGACTTAGGGAATTGTGAGTTCTCCTGTTGACCCTATATTTGTTGACAGTTCTCATTTTTACAGTGATTACCGATGGCTCTACAAAACAACGTCTTCAAAGCCTACCGTGTAGAGCGCCCGAGGTCTGGCAAGGTTTAGGGTGTCGACACTCCTCAGATGTATGGTCCTTTGGTGTTACGGTTAGTGCTCACATCTACCTATTCTGGAGAAAGCTAATTTGGAAGTTGGCACGTCGGTTATCAACGCGACCCTTGTTTGGCCCTAGCGACAAGATAATTGAAGGGCATACTGAAGCGTGGTGCATTGCGAAAATCATCCGTCTCGTTGGCCCGCTAGGTGATCCTATTGATTGCCAGACCTACAAGGAGGAGTTTGAGCTTGCAGAACAATTAGCGGTCATGGAAAATCCGCATAATGGCATGAAGCTCATTAACGGAGGCAACTGGCGTGAGGAACTACAGCGACTCCCAGGTCCCCCAGTGTCGCCGGAATTACTAGACTTTATCGAGTCTTTACTCATTGTCGACCACAGCAAGAGACCCACAGCTTCGGAGGCATTGCTACATCCCTATTTGCAATCCTCTGCGTGAAGAGACATTGGCTCTTGCGAAGCATAGAAACCGACGGGGATATTGCAAAAGAAACAAACAAGAGCAGTTCATCTACTTCGTCAAAGCGTGAGCTAAGGAGGGCGACAAATCCTCCTTTTACTAAATAATACAAGGTTTTCGTGTTGCATTGATGCTGTGGCTACAGCTTAGTATCAGACGATGTCCATATTGACTTGTCACCAGCTGGAATAGGACAAACGACCTCCTACAAAATGAAGTGGCCTTGAATCAACATATAGCCACAAGACAAAAATGTCCAGGAGACCTCTCCTGTAGCTTCCACACCTAACGGGCCGCCTATAGGTAGTTAGTCAACTCATGCTCTATCAATAGCGCTCCAGAACTGGCAAGCCTACCTGTTGCTTGCTTGCATCGGTAGTGACATGTCCTTTCGCGACCTGAGTTCCCTGAGTATCTTGCGCAACAACCGTGCTGTGTTCGTTTGGGTCTTCGTTACTTGGGTGGGGCATAGACCTGTCTTCGTTAGTGAGATAGTCTTCACTTTTTCGATGGGCTGCGGACGTGATCGTGATGGAGCTAGTCCTAGACGCCTGAGATGCTGTAAACAGCCTGTTGTTCTCCACAGCCGATTCTACCTTGGCCACGGTTTGATTGAGGGTGTTTGGGTCAATTGAATCGAGTAGGCGCTTATAGCCAGCATGTTGGACCTCACTAGCCACATAAATCGGAACCTGCTTGCCAGCAAGGTTGGTATATTTAATGAAGCGGGCCCCGGACATTGTGGCTCGATTGAGGTAAAGACAATTGACGTGAGTAGCCAGAACGAAATCCGATTGCAAATATAGTTGAAGGTACGCTGGTAAATGAGTTGGGGGTACCCGAGGTTGGGTATAGGTTGGGTTGGGGTCGCACGGGCTCTGGGTTGTGGTTTATCTCTAACTTAGAATAATATTAGACGAATTAGAGAGCTTACCGTTAATAATAAGAGGATCTACGCGCTTATAGCGCCGCAGAGGCGCCGCTTATCCGCGTCGATAGAGTTGATGGGCAAGACTTCATGGTAGTTGTCTTAGGCTTCGGAATCTTCAGAGGATGTGATAACGGAAGTCCGCGCCGAACCAGACTCTCAAATTGGGTTGGTCATAATGGATACATGTAGTTCGGCCCCCACAAGGTTACACCATCCGTCGTCCCTAGAAGCAAGGGGCTTCCTTGAAACAGTCAGCTGTTTCATCCCCTAAACCCCTGTCTTTCTCGTACGAGAAGTAGAAAATGCATCTCGAAACCTTGAGCTTCAGCTGAACACTCCCACAACAGCTTTTTTTTTCATTTCAGGTTATTCAATTGTTCTAGTCTATAAGACTGCACAATTTTTTCACAGGATCAGTACCAGCCAAAAAGGCTCTGGTTTCCAAACCCGCAGAAAGAAGGGTATCATAAAAAAGCTCGCAACTACAGAGGGAATCAGTTAAAGTCAATCCTGCGAATCTATCGATGGGTGGGAATGCCGATGATCAGCGCTATGGACGGTGGCCGCGCCGGTTACTTCACGTTCCCACCATGACGTCGCTCGAATGGCAACCCGGCAACCGCTACGGCGCGTCGATATGTCCCCCGTACAATACGCTATCGTATACCTGGGGCAGATTCGTTTTGAGAGAAGAGCAGATGCCGCATGTCCAGGCATTGCCGGTCAGGTTCCAAGGCCACAGGACTTGGAGTATTCCACGCATCAATCCTCAGCACTTCACCGTGGACGAATTCCAGGCCGCCGTACAACTCGCCGTACAAGTAAATGAGACAACGGAGAAAAACGTCGAACACCTGTGGCTCGATATTGCTTGCATTGACCAGGAGCACGCAAGAACAAAGCACGCCGAGATAAACCGGCAAGCTATAATTTTCCAGCATGCGCACACATCAAGTGTGTGGTTAACTCACATCGATGAATGCACGCTCACTGAGGCCATCCATCGACTTCGTGGAGTCCACAATCCATGGTCATCTATCACACTCCCCGATGGCCGAGTATACGCGATTCCACATCAGAGCAAGGATATGGAGATTGAGACGGCGAAGCACTGGCTACGGATTTGGCTGCAGCCAGTCCAAGATGCCATTCAGAAAGCTCTGCTTGACACGGCCGCGAGTACGGAAAATCAAATTTCATTCAGTCCCTGGTTTTCATCCCTGTGGACGCTTCAAGAAGCATATCTCAGGCCGAACGCTTGCCTCTTACCGCGGAACTGCAAGTCCACTCTGAATACCACCTCACACCTCAGGTCGAGACCCCATCGCTTGATGGAACTCACAACTGGGCTTGCTATAGCTAGCAGGGGACTTCTTACTTGCTCTGCGGTTCGAATTGGCCCTGAAGCTACCATTTCCAATGCATTAAAGACAATATCACAATCCGGCGTCGTAGAAATGCGTCGCGCCAGTCCCTTTGCTATATACGCTGCTTCCCACCAACGCCAGGCATCAAACCCCATGGATCGAGTGTACGGCATCATGCAGGTGTTTGGATTTCGATTAGCACTACGAAATGCACAAAATAAAATATACAAACTTCCCGAGCTGCAGGAAATTCTCTCAGAAAAGATCCTCCTTCAATATCCGGTCGAAAGCCAACTGTATGCTCATACGCAGGCTCAACAGCCGGGGAGCAAATGGAAGCTCAGCGCTTCGGCAATTCTACCTTCCTGGGCACAGTCATTTTCTTCCTGGCCCCGGGCGGTACGGCGAGCGACGAATCGACATCATCCAGCCAGTCCCCTCGTCTTATGCAAACTATCTGTGGTGCATGGCTCCGCCTACTTCCACGGCAGGCTGTGCTCCCTATATGAGCTCATCAAAGCTTGGAAGTTAAATGCCACCACACAACCAGGAGGAAAAGGCTCGGACGGGTTATGGGATGTAGCCTTTGCGTTTGACATGATCCCATCCTCTCCTGGAAAGATGTATGCATTTCAGATACCAGGCGTTCAACGTTGCAGCTTCCGAGGCGTGGTCTGCGAAACGAGACGATTACATGGCGTTTTACTCCATATGATCAGCCTCTATCCCAAAGAATCCTTGCAGGTTCTCCGCTTCGGCTCCTGCCCAGATCCCACTACCGTGAGTAGTAATAACTTAGACGGATTCGGGAAATTCACAACAGCCTGGAGAAGGGAGCATGATGACTGGATTATTGGATTAGTCCTACGGCGCATCAATAGTCCGCACGCAGAAGCTGGGTCGGATCCGGACAACAACCCTTTTGTTGGCCACTACGAAAGGATTGGAGTGTGTAGGTGGCTGCGGTGGGTTGAAGATGAGGATAAATTACTATCGCCAGAGAGTTTCAGAGCTTTGCAAAAGGTCCTGAACGGAAAAGGTCGGCGCTGGAAGGTTAAAGAAGGATACTGGGGTTAGTGCGTCACGTCCCTGCTGCTCTCCAGGGCTGGGAACAACGCCAACTCATCTAAGAAACCTTCTGAATATATTTAGCTACGTCGATACATTCAAATGTCTGTCTTGATTTTATTTCTGTAACTACTCTAGAGTGTCTGTGCCTAGAATAATGCACGTAGATTGTAACTTAGCAATTTGAGAAATATCTATAGAACGCATGCCTATGCTAATAAGACTACTAGTTAGCTCTCTTACAACTCTCGTAGCGTTCAGCGTTAAACCAGACTAATACTTCAGATCAAAGATAAGCAGGACTCTCCAACAGCATACCAGAAAGGGTCTAATAACCACACTCTGCCAACACGCTCATAAAAATATTCGCCGCTGCTCCTATCCAGTCTTCTTAGCAGCAGGCCAGTATGCCAATCCAGTCTGGCATAAGTGCTACGCTGAAGTCCGAGAACGTAAAATTCTAACCCGACACCCCTAACCCCGTCGAATTTGGAAGTATTCTCGAACCTTGCACCAGGAGGTCGAGGGCCGACAGCCGCTTTGAGTTTAAAGCTGTAACTTGGAACCTCGGTTCGTGGATCCTTCAATTTCCGATCGCTTCGGCATGGCGGCGATGGAGGCCGCTCTTCGATATCCACGGCGCATTGATGGACCCGGCCCCGTAGATGTAGAATCTGGCGTCCCCTTTTATCGAAAGTTGTGCTGAGTAATTGCACTTGTGATGCTACCGGGTCATGTCCACCGGCCAAAACAGGGCCAAACACGGACGCCCAAGACCAAGAAGAGACGCACACCTCCGGCGAGGGTTTCGCTGGATGTTCTGCAGCCTCCCAAAGGAGCCCTTGGGAGAGATTTGCTTCCCATATCCCAGAAAGGTACCGGCCAGGGACAACCTGTTTCGAGATATTGGCTATCCCGTCAAGAGCAGGAAGTCTATCGCTCTCATGGGTAAGCTCCAAAGTAGAGTAGGTTTGGACCAAGTCAGCCCATGCCCTAAAGAACACCCAATCCATCCTGGGCGAGATGGCCAAAGCTGTGAGCGTTCTGAGGAGAGCGGCTGCTTCCATCGCATCGTCTGAGTCATTTCGGCCATCTTCAGAGTGCCTGATCGTCCGGCAGGTCCAGTAGATCTGCTTGGAGGAGAAATCTACCGTACGGCGAGAAAGAATCCGTTCTTGTTTCACCCATGCCCTCCGAAGCAGTGGACTATCCTCAACGTCCTCTCTGAACGAGCTAAAAAGACTGGTACATTCTCTGAAAAAGATCTTCCCTTCCACTGTACTATTTTTGTGCAACTTGAAGTTAATGGGGATTCCAGAGCGGTTACTGTGGACAAGAAATCCTTGGGCAGCTTCGCTAGCTGAGGTTGCGGCAATCGTCAAGAATGCATTGGCATATATTTGGCCCATCTTCTTCGATTCATGAATCCAGTCCGCTTTGTCCTCTTGGATGATGCAGAGTGCATCTATCCAAAGATACTGAATTCTTAGCTCGCGGACCACTTTGACAGCGTCTTGAATTGTCTGCGAAAGCTCGGCTATGGCAATGCCTTCCATCATTCGACCAACGGTCCGATTTGTAGTACGCTCGCCAGTGTGGTGCTTTCCCCAGCAATAGCTGAGAGCCACATATTTCGTCCTCGCTGAAAGTCCGTTTGTCGGTATCAGTCTTATTTCAGGGTGTCCCGGCAAACCTGTATCAATAAGACGCCCGGGTGCCACTTTATCGCCGATATTCAAGCCCGGGAGACGCGTATTGCAGCTCAGGTGAGCTCCTTCACATTCCGTAGTCCAGCTGCGAATTCTCGATATGTTAGCATTGCAGAGATGGTCGTCTTGAATTCCTCGAGCTGAAGCTGAGAGTCCAACAACACCCTTGGATTCTGCAAATGAGTCTATTATTAGTCAGTGAGTGCTATGACTGTTGCTGCTGGGTGTCACCCTACCTGGATCGGTGAACATAAGCAGAGTAGGAAATTCTGGCCCATAGTGAAGGTCTGTGTCGTCTGTACCTAACGTCACAGCCACTCTCTGCGACAACAGGTTGTCCCCAACAGAGCTTCGTTCACGCCGCTGGAATCCGCCCTTCTCGAAGTCAAGCTCGCGGCTAGCCGCAAATAACCTAACGGGACCGAGATACCTGGCATCGTCGATATTTCTGATAGGACTACTCGCAAGGCGCCGGTCGTAGATGCACCGCTTGAAAAGAATGCGGATTAAATCGCAAAGTTCGCATGTATCTGCACTTGTAATCAAGGCTTCACACGTCGGTTGGTGCATGTATCCGTCGATGCTCTTTAGATCCTCGAGGTTGATGCCACAACAGAAGGCACATAACCGGCGTCGTGAAATGTTGGATTCCATCGCTATGGGATTCGAGCCCTAAGATTTTATATTCCAGGAAGATATACCTTATTTGCGCCTTTCTCTAGGGTGAGTGAGGTGCAAATAAAAGTTGGCAGTGGTGGGGAGCGTCCGAACAGATGTTTCTTCGTAACATCAGCTGCGCTTACGCATACTCACACGTGGCATGCAACTGCGAGCTTACTAAAGCACTTCCGCTTTGCACAGGTCCCATGTAACGCGAAATACTCTAAGCTCGCCACCGCTAGCAGGGAGGACGGCGGACCCGCACCAGACAGAGGGTTGCGGAGACGTAGTTTAGAGGTATAGATACTATAAAGTATTAGAAAATATTTAGTATTATATATAGTAAGCGTATATATCCAGAGAATTTCGCAATACAAGACGCTGTATACTTACCTAAGCTTTAGCTTAACGCCGTTCCGCCAGATAAAGCTTAAGCGCTAAGATTTAGAGATTGTGGGTAGTGCAGATTAGCTAACGGGCGCTAAACTCACCGCCCAGCAGAAAAGTTCCGTCCCGCGTCCCGCCCACGGGCTCATTTCCACACGCTTTGTCCATTCTGAAGTACTTCTACCCGCGATGACAGACGAAACGACTCAACCGCTCATTCATTTCGAAGGCCACCGCCATCTAACAACGCGCCTTCTCCTCTCCACACTCACCGGCCGGCCGATCCGCATCTCAAAAATACGTTCCTCGTCGACCAATCCGGGCCTCACGCGTTACGAAACAAACTTCATCCGACTCCTCGATGCCGTAACAAATGGCGCGCAAATACAATTCTCGATGACGGGGACAACGCTGGTGTATCGGCCCGGCTTGATAACAGGGAGTGCGGAGGGCCTAGGTGCTGTGGGCGGCGTCGTGAGACACGAGATCCCGCGCGAGTGTAGTAGAAGGGGAGTCAGCTGGTGGCTTGTACCGCTGTGTTTGTTGGCTCCGTTCTCGAAAGGGAATGTCAATGTGGTGCTACATGGAGAAGGCTGCGTTACAAGCTCCACGCCGACCGGCGATGTGAGTGTGGATACAGTGCGCACGGCGATACTGCCACTCTATAAGAACTTTGGGATTGATAGGAATATTGAGTTAAGAGTACTAAAGAGGAGTTGTTGTCCTGCACCGGGGAAAGGAGCGGGTGGTGAGGTACAGCTAGTGTTTGGGCATCAGGTGCGGTTGCCGAAGACGCTGCATCTGCTGAATCCGGGGCGCGTGAAGAGGATACGTGGCGTCGCCTACGCTGTCGGGGTTTCCGGTTCGAACAACGCCCGCATGATCGAGACTGCAAGAGGGATTCTAAACAAGTTTGTCCCGGATACATACATCTTCTCTGACGTCTCGCCCACACCGCTCATCCCGTCGTCGTCGAAATCGGATCCTAGTGGCAAATCTAAAGGGGCAGTAGGCTTTGGTCTATCCCTTGTTGCCGAATCTTCAACCAACTGCCTTTACTCTGCGGACGTCGCATCACCACCTCAAGGCGGAACGACACCTGAAGATGCTGGCAAGCAGTGCGCATACCAGCTGCTGGAGAAGATAAGTCAGGGCGGATGCGTGGAGGTCACCGCCGTGTCGACGATGTTGCTACTCATGGCGATGGGAACTGAGGATGTTGGGAGAGTAGTATTAGGAAGGGAGGTGCTCGGCACTGAGGAGGCTATTCAGCTTGGGAGAGACTTCAAAGAGTTTGGGTTTGCGGGGTGGGGGTTACGGGATAAGGGCGAGGATGCGGAGGGTGAGGTAGTGGTTAGTGTTGTCGGACGCGGAGTTGGGAATGTGGGAAGGAAGGTTGCTTAGAGGTGACCAGAGCCGGCTATAGACAGGGCCGAGAAGACCAGAGCATGATACCCATATAGAAGAAATCCATGCAGGGTGTTCCCACAGTCAGAGCTTGAGGCTTCGGCCTCCCCAACAAAAATCCTAGTCAAGTGCTTAATGTCCGAAAAGTAGACGGCCAACCATGGTAGAGTCGTACCATACTCTTCGTGCTTTCTTCTCTTAGATTACGTAATACTCCCTTTTACTCTCATTATTTGTGCCCCATGAAGGTTTGTGATCGTGAGAGTGACTGTGGGTCACTTGCTGTCTTATATATATAGGAAGACGAAATAATTATATCTTATAGACTTACCTTGCGATAAGAACCTGGGTAGGTACCCGGGTGTGAGGCAGGTACCCGTACGCACGGACGCAGTTTAGCGTCGCGTTCGGGAAGGCGCGCATCATCAGTGTCGAGTCGCGCATCCATCGCCTCGAATCCACGAACAATTGGGCTCTCCCTCCGGCAAAGATCAGCTTATGCGTGTATTTTCTTTCCTCAGACCTGTTTTCTGAATGGTACTTGCGATAACCGGGGAAAAGCATGCCGCTGTTGAGCAGGAAGACGCGTCCCCTCTTGACGAGGGTGAATGGGAAAGCCCATGCGAGTTCAGACGACCACGAGGAAGAGAGTAGAACAATTGTGAGGGAGGAATGGACTGAGGAGGAGTTGAACGCGGATCCCATTTCCTCGGACGACGAAGCGCAACCCCCACCTGCACCGAGTCCGACGTCACAGCAAGCAGCGAGCTCGAAGCTTGACCGGCCCACGCAGACCTCAAAGCCAGGGAATACAGCCTCTAGAAAGGGTGGCAAATCGAAAAGGATACAGTTGCCGCGGACGGGGTCTTTCGAGAAGGGTAGGGCGCATAAAGCGAGAGTACATGCCGAGGAAGAGAAGGAGAATAGGAAGGCGAGTCCGAGCTCGTCTGCAGAGAAGAGAAAGGCGCAAGATCCGTATGATTTTGGCATGGCTTATCAGAGTGCTTCGAAGAGGCATAAGCCTGCGCCAAGAACCGCGTATACCAAGAATCTCCATGCGCCCGCTCCCGTGGGGAAGAAAAGAGCGTATGGAGGACGTAGCGCGAAAGGTAGGCATACTAGCTCCCGGAATGGTAGCGCCGAACAGCTAATACCATCTAGATGCTGTCACATATAGCAATGTGTGGCAAAAGCCGGGTGTCAAGGACGAAGATGACGATTCGGATTCTCTGCTGGACAGACAGCTAGCAGAAATAACGAGAACCCTCGATCCCCAGGACACCAAAAGCGAAACCCGGAAACTACCTTCCTCGCCAGCGAAAGCTCCGCGGCCAAATCTCCTTGCCTCGCTCGGCTCGTACATACAACGTTCAGAACCGAACCTCGACCCCAACGCCTCCGGCACAAGCACACCGCTCTCCTCAATGCCCGGCTCAGATCCCGCCACTCCACGCGACTCACTGCGAGCACTAGAAGAGTACGTCGCCGACCTCCCAGAGGACGACCTAGACTCCAAATGCGCACTCTGTCAGGAGCCTGTGGACCCAGATTTCTCGTCGCAATTCTGGATAGGCAAGGACAGGACGGTCAGGAACCAAACCAAATTCTGCAAGGAGCACAAGATAAAAAGCGCGCAGGCAGAGTATAGAGCGAAGGGCTTCCCCCCTATAGACTGGCAATATCTGCCGAGAAGGATAGCGAAATTCCATCCAGCACTAGTCGAGATATTACGCAACGAAAAAGAAAGCCAGTATAGACGCATACACGCCGATAAACTCGTCTCCGGGAAAGCAGCAGCCCTCCCCTCTCGCCGAAAAGACAAATCCGCCTCCGAGCTCGAGCGTGAGCTCTTCCAGGACTCGCCGACTTCCACCGGCTACTACGGACCCCGCGGGAAACGCCTTATGATGGAAACCATCACTTCTGATCTCTCAGATACAATACGCGAAGTCTCTGCTGCAGACCCAGTCGTAGGGCGGTCGGGGTTCGCCGTGTTCTTACAGGCTGTGCTTGTGCCGGAACTGACAGTCTTGCTAGTGATGGAGGATCTGGGCGGTGTGAGCGTGGGAGTGGCCGAGGAGGCGATTAGAGAGAGTGGGGAATTGGGCGCTCTGTTGAATGAAGAGGTGGATGATGAGGTGAGAGTAGAGAGTGATGAGGAGCCGGAGGGGGACGAAGATGTGGAAGGTGATGACGAGGATCAGTGACGAATAGAAAGAGACGGAAAGAGTCCGCTGTAGCGATAGGCGTGTTGTGGGAAAGAGCGAGATATCGGGCGGCATTTTGATCGGTATGTATGCATGCATGCGGGAAACGGGAGTATTTGATCACATCTAGCATTAAACGGCGTTAGTTAATATTGATACCAGCCCTGTTCCGGGCATCTTACTTCATAATGTTTTGTCCCACATCGTTGGTGTTCAATATCTCCCATTTTCCATCTTTCGTCACCCGTCCGAGTCACCACCGTCATCTCATCCCTCTCCGCCAGTCTTCATCTATATAAGCACCCTCTGTCCTCCGTCATACTCTTTCTTCTTTCTCTACTCACGCATAGTGGCTTCCACTAAAATCGAAGAGTTGGCGGCTAATGGGCCGCCAAAACGAGGCAATCAAAAACATGGTGTTGCGTCTAAAACTGCACAGGCGGGCACTGGATGTCTGTCCGCCGCAGTGTGTACCAGAAAGACTAAGGCCAGAGATTGATGGGTGCTGCAGGGAGGGAGGGAGCGGTGCAGGTACGGTAATAAATAGGAAGAGCAGAGGCAAAGGGATGAAGATGGGTTAGTATGAGTGGTGATGAGCATGATGTCTTTTCTGTGATAATTCTTGTGCTTTGTTGACTAGGCTATCACTGTTGTTGTGGGTATAAATACCTCTATCTCTCCTGCAAATGTTTCTCTTTCTCTTCTCACACAACAGGTGCCTTTTACTAAAAGCGGGTAGGAGGCGGAGCTATGCGGCTGTCTAAAATCAAAGAGAACATTGCTCCACGGCGTGCGTTGTTAAAAGTCCGAGGCGGCATTAAGATGTCTGTGTCCGCTTGCTTGCTTCGAGTAATCAAGTGATCAGCATGCGTGGTTTGGCTGGGAGGAGGAGTGTTCTGGGCGCATGTGCGGAGTCGGGGGAACATTCCAGGGAATACACGTGCACTGATGGTGATGGTGAGCACCACACCACACCGTCTCGCGACTCTTCTCAATCTATGCTAACGCATCACCAGATCCAGCGAGGCCAGGCTCCTTGTAATAGGCATAAATACCTACCTTTCCTCTGCTCCTATCCTTTCCCTTCACGCACAGCGACTCTTCTCACACCAACAAAAAGTAAGCCGTATATGGGCCTGGCGCAGAGCACCACCCCTATTCTCATAGCGCAGTCCACCAAAATGAATCAAGCCGACGAATGATGGCCAACGCACCTCTACTTCTTCAAAATGTGTCTTGCGCAAAACCGTCTTGGGCTGGCTAGAGAAACATTTAGAAACGGTGGAGAGCGTTCGTCCGATGATGGTGAGCACGACAGTTCGACACTGCTTTTCGGAACACGGACTGCGTCAGAGGATATCGCTAGAGCATGAGGGGGCGTATAAATACCTTCCTCCCTTCCCTCCTCGTTCTCTGCTTCACACTTTCGGAAGGAAATCGGCCGAACTAAAATGCCATAGGCCGAACGCCAGGGTTCTGATGTCGGAAAACCTCCGCTCCGACACAATGATGGTGTGGTTCTTGAAAACAGCAACCGAGAACGAGAATGGCTGGTGCGCTCCTGTGATGACGCCTGTTAAGACAGCATGACCAAGCCGCATGTATTTGTCGGAGCATGTCCTGAGGGATTGCGTATGTCGGGTGTCTGGGGAGGGAGAACCAAGCACCAATTTCCGATCAGATGCAGACGTGCTTCTTTCCTGAGCGCTGACTACGTCAAAGGATCGCGCAAGCGCTAGCTTCTTCCAGTATATATAACCTCTTCGCGCGCTACTTTTAGTTTCCACTCCTCACGCTCAGTGGCTCCCAGGAGCTCACTAAAATCGCACACGAGACACAGCCATGGACGCCACAAATGGATGTCCGGTAGCTACATGTTGTCTGTCTCTAAATTCTACAGTGCAAGAGTAGTACGTCTGTTGCGCTGTACTCATCGTCTAAAAGAAGCTAACCCACAACTCAATGCGAGGGTTCGAAGCCGTAGCTACCCTAGGGGGCAGATGGAGAGCAGATGGGTGTTGATGGTGAGCAACATCCGTGTTCCACTGACAGCGTTCCCCCAGAAGGACGATTATATGGCACTACAGTGCCTGCTCGCCCTCCCGCAAAATACCTTCTATTCCCCTTCTCCTACCTCACGCTCTTCGCGCGCGCCTACTCACAAGGTCTAAAACAATTGGTTTTAAGTGCATGATGAGCGGTGGAGAATTCGCCGCCGTCATGCCCTTTCTCCAAAAGAGGAGCTTCAATGACAATATGGCTGCGTCTGCCTCTGCTGCACTCTGAAAGCGCATCGATAGACCCATAGGCATATTCACGATGGGTTCCGGGGATCAGTGCTTGAGCGAGGGCACGGGGAACCGGCGAAGGAGTCAGTGATGGCGAGCAATACACTTGAGTATTCATGCTCTTTTCACGGCTGACGGTTTTGAGATGATTTCCTAACGAGTTGGCAATCTTGTGGCAGTATAAATACTTCCCGCCGCACTGCTCTCGATATCTACATCGCAAGTCAACAGCTCCCTCTCGCTAAAAAAGGTGATTGGGACAAGTCGATGGTGTTGCCTGGAAAAAGCACACTTGAATTGCTAAGGTGTCGTTCTCCAAAAATGCTCAATAGGACCACCGATGGTCAGTGTCCTCCTATCGCCTTCTAAATGTCATAGTACTTGCGACCCTAATTCTAGCGAGGAAGCCAAGTTCGCCCCCGGGCTCTGCGTGCAGAAGGAAAGAAGGAGAACGGATTGCGATGGCGAGCCTTACTTTTTTCCCACCATGACCTTTGGTAATAGCTGACAGCGTGGCAGCCCCGCCGAGGCGGTCTTGAGCAAGTATAAAGACCCGTCTTCCCTTCGGTTCAAGCTCCTTTCCCTCACAAGCACACCATCGGCGGCTTGACTGCACTAAATTCATTGTTGTCAGCTTACCACGATTTGCAATAAAACGATACGCCGAAGAGTTCATGGTGTCGCTCCATGAAAAAATTCAATTCCGTATGTCCAGTTCCACCAACTCTCGCGTCTAACCTGTTTATGACCCAAAAGCATCATAAAGAGGCCGCTAGTTCGTGACGATGAGCATCATCGCTTTCCAATCAGCTTGGTTCACGAATGACTGCCACGGTTGGTGGCGCTCTTCCAGCAGCCCGCAATGGAAGTATAAATCCCCCTGGTTTTACTCTTCTAACTCCTCTCTTTACACTCTATCGCTACGTTCGAGGACGCTAAAATCGAAGGTCGTCACGATGCATGGTGTAGTGTCCGAAAAGAGATGGGGCGAGCAACCCATGTTCCTCGGTTGCGCGGCGCGAAGGAAATCGACGAAAGAGAGCCGGCGAGGGCGACAAGCAGAGAGAGGGATTTCCTATGGGGAAGGTCACAGTTGCACATCGAACCTCTCAAAGGCAAGCTCGGCAAGGATAGCGCCTGGAACCGTGTTACCGACAGTGACTTGGATACCGAGGAATGGCGCAGCAGAAAGATTGGGGAGGAAACTTGATGATGCTGATGATGGCACGAACGCGTTTTCCACTTCCCTTACCGGTCCTTGGCGCTAACCTTGCTAAAATCAACTCGCTATCAATACCGCTGATTCCGCATTTCGAGATCGCTTGATCGCCTGATCCCGTACTTCAAGTCCCCTAGACTCTCCTGCTGCGTTGCCTCTTTCACATCAATGTCGGGTCTCTCTTACTAAAGATGTCACCTCTCTCACCTCATGAGTTCCACCGAAGACCAAGGGAGATAAATTGATGGCGCTGTTCCCTATGATATCTTTGGTCATGGAACTGCGTATTTTATGCTGACTTTGCGATGCGAGACTCTGATCAGAATCCACATCCAAGTCATTCATGCCCAGAGCGGAGTAGATGCGGATTACCAACGCACAAATAGGGGAAGACGTAAAGTCATCATCACATTCTTTCATGTGGATTGTTTCTCTTCCCGCTCTCAGACTGGGGAAACAACCCGCTTTTTCCAAAAGTCCGAGTCCAGCTCCTCTATGGCCGGAATCAGGCCTCCTCGCTCTTGGTTTCTCGTATCCCACGTCCATACAAGCCACTTCCCGTTGCCTTGGCCGACCTTTATTCTCTCAGAATTGGCAGTCTTAGCATATGGACTAAACACCATCCCGCAGCAGGATTATGCCCTATACCAAAAAGCACTTGAAGAAGCTCATGGAAGCAGACTTGCAATTTTTTTTGCCTATTAAAGATGTCCGAAATGAAATGCGAGGGCTGGTCTACATGTTGGTTGTCGGAGTGTCCATGGGACTACCCGAAGAGATGAAGCGTCCAGCGTTATTCCATGCTCAACCATCGAAGTACGCAGATGCATCCCCGTTCCGTAGCTTCCGGGATCCTCTCGCGGTAGTGTCTAATGGCATTGTTAGCTTCGCCGTCTCCAAGAATTCTATAAGTATCTCGTCCACTCGCTTCAGACAGTTCTTCTCCACGCACTCACGGTGGCATTTCGACTAAAACCGTTAATGAGCCAATCGATGTGCTTTGCCAAAAAGAGCCTGGCGACAACCCATGCGGCGGTGCCTTGAAAGGGACCAGAAGATGAACAAATGTTCGTGCCTGGCGCACTGCCATTTCTCGTCCATGAGAGGATGGGAGGTCCAGTCTAAAATGAGAATACGATAAAGTCATGCTTGGAAGCTCGGCCTCCTTCTCAAAGCTACCAGTCTTCATTGACTAGCACCGAAAGCCCGAAGAGCGCTACTAAAGCGCACAATCTCGAAATGGATGGGGTTCTGCGTACGCTAGATGATTCTCATGAGCTGTCAAAGTCATGGGAAGCTCAGAGCCTTGCCTCAGCTTGTGTTCTGGACCCCAACTCGATACGAAACCATCGGCGCGGTTTCTCATATCTTTGAGAAGCGACGAGATTATAGCGTATCAACGACCCGACGTAGATCAACATCAATCCCTCCACTGAAAGTAGGCTCCAGTTCAATCACTGGTAGCTATTCCCCAATCCACAACAACTCAGCCTCTGGCTCTCCACTCGTCTATATAAGCCTTCGTTCTTCACTTTCCATCCTCTTCCTCACGCTCAATCACCTACTTCTCCGAACCAGAAAGGCTGGGCACATGCCACACGGCCGCTGGGGAAGTCCCTTGGACTTACAACATTGGTCTGGCCTCCAAAAAGCACTGAGGATGAAATATGTTTGCCTTCCGGCATAACCATAGCACGAGAAGTGAAACGCCATTCCAGACAACAATGAAGTTGATGATGTTAATGATGATGGATGTTGAAGATAACGTCGATGACGTAAGCGAATAGGAGAGTGAGGCCAGGACGGTTATGAACCGCATTTCAGGCGAGGTTTAATGCCCGAAAGAGGACCATAGTGTGTATAAGATACCCAAGGTGCTTGTTTTCGGCTGCGTACATGCTTACCATCGTGACTTGTGGACACCGCACACATTTCCATGATGTTTTCTTTCACCACTCAGGCTTTCCATCAGAGAGTGGCATTGTCAATTTCGCAGGGTATCGTCGCAAGTGGAGCATCATCCTTATCTTGGAGCCTTTCCGGAGCCAGCCATGGCCAGCACTCGAAAAATATTTAAAGTTCACGGTTCGGTAAAAGAGGCATGCCTTTCCAGAATATCGCCCCAGAGTACCGCATGGATTTCTTCGCCGGCGGTTTAAGATCATCACAGTCAGTCTACCGACATGAGGGTACTGTTCGGCTCCCGCTCGGGAAGTCAGTCCTTATCTTCGCGCGGTTGTTTGAACCCGAAGACGCAGAGACCCAGGACGCCACCATATCCCTTCTCTAAGGTTGTTTGTGAGTCTACACATCCTTGCAGTCGATACATTCTTCCAGTCGATACATCCTTCCAGTTCACACATATTGCCATCTTCCAAACCGCAGTCCCAGCGCTCTAGCATCAGGATTTCATACACGACTTTTCGAAGTCCAGCTCAGCAGCTCCACAAATAAAGCTGCGTTGACGTTGTTTATTGAACCGCATGACTCTCCCAGGAGAGGACATTCATGTTTGGATTGGAGTCTTTAGCAGACGATCCATTCGACCTAATGAATTCCCTTTCAAGTCAACGGCTCTGTGAGTTTTGCGCCACGAATGTTGTATAGATTGATCCGCTTTGTATTCTTTGCAGCTATTCGGAATAGCCACACAGATTGCGGAAGTGCTCGACACCGGCGCAGACAGTCCACATGAGAGGGATTTGAGTTCATATCGCACTCTCTTGCACCACTCCAGCATGCCTTCGACCAGTTGCGCTTTTGAAGTCAACAGTTCACAGATGCCACGACGGAAGCATTCTGCAGAACTTGGGGAGCTCTAACCAGGCCCACTTTAGGAAGAATTCAGAGTCTCTACGCACTTTTGCCGGGCGAGCCATAGCTCCACCGCTGTGAAACTTTGAAGTCCAGAGTCTCCAGACATCATACGTTTCCGTCAGATTTTAGACGTCCAGATTTCCGTGAGACGGAGAAGTGGAGAAAAAAGAATGGTGTCGAATGGATCCATTTATACGTCCACCGGAGCCATTTTGTTTCTTGTACTGCCGTTTTGGTAAGGGGCAGACTTCCGCAAGAAACGGCCAGGTTTGTGCAGAAAGTGAACTTGGATCCGTCGAAGGATGAGAACACGACTCTTCTCATATATGCAGCGCAGAAAGGATTCTGGGCGGGCCAGCCACATAGATCGATTGCAGCTTCTTTTTCAACACTCGCTCTTCCAAATCCCCATAGAGCTTTTGCGGATGAGGTATTGAGACGCAGCGCAGAGCCCGGATATGGTGGTTCAAAGGTGGTGTCTTGGAAGTGCCGCGCAGAACTACAGACTCCATTCGATGTACTGTGCGCACCTTTGGAGAGAAGAGGGACCGATGCTAGCCCTGCGCCGCTATGCTTGGAGAAACGGAACAAGCTCTCCACATTGAATCGGACAGCAACGTTTCTTTGCAAGTTTTAAGAACCCATTATTCATGGCGACTTGACTTCCTGAGCAAGCAGGCTCTTCGTTCGTGATCTTTGTGAAGCGGACAATCCGGCCCCAAGCCCGCCATATTTGTCGTCCAGCTTGACTTTCGCTTCCCTAGCACAACCCTTCATTTCGTGGGTGAACCATATCGCTGAGTTAGGGGCTTTTATGGCCGCCGAAGAGGTCAGCGACGAAGGCCCAGCCATCTCATCCACGGTCCCCGTGTGTATTTTGGACGAAAAAGATCTTGCCATGGCGATCTTCTTCTGGGAATTTGGAGAAAATAGAGGAGAGAACCCATGAGCTGCTTTTGCGCATTATTTTCGAGCAACCGCCCAGTCATAGCGGCTGCGATGCATATTTGAGTCAGACCGAGCCCTGAGGAGGAGTGTGAAGAGAAGAATCACCGAGAGAAATGAAGGTATTTATATACCCGAACGAAGGGGGTTCAAGTGCCGCTCATCGTCCGCAGGCGTGTCGAGCCCGAAGTCAACCCCCTGCAGCATAAACCTCGCTGCGAGCCTTTTTCGCCGCTTAGCGAACTACACATAAGCTCGCTCCCATTCAGTCTTCCAGTCCAATATCTCCGCATACACCATTGCTCTCGTATTCTTTAGCTCGGGCTCCCAGATCCACATAGCATTTTCTACGCCTTGACCTTCGAAGTTCCGAGCACGCACGCCTCCACGAAGTCCAGCCTTGCCCCTTTCAGAGGAAGCAAAATACTCATACGATTCTCGGGGCTGCCTTTCTCGTACTCCGCGAAGCATGCGTCTCCCTCGGTGCTTTCTCCATCCGAACCCCGCCCAAGGAAACAACCGGCGTGAACCCCCCCGCATCCCTCTTTAGGAGACTTCGGGCGGGTACTCCTACGTGGAACCATTTGCATACTCTTTCGGAAGCCGCCGCGCAAGGCTGATCCAGAGATATTGTGTTCTTCGACGGTTTTCGAGGATTGCTAGAAATAGTCCATGGAAGAATACGACGGCTGAATCGTGATCCCGAGAACATCGTACCTGTTTCTCCATGTTTTTAGAGGCCGCAAACTGTGAAACTGACAGTGGAAAGTAAGAGAGAAGAGAGGACGGAGGAAGGTATTTATACGTCGAGCCCTCGGCAGTCTTCGACGACACGAGACATCGACGCGACTAGTGAACTCGTTTGTTCGTCTGAAGACCTTCATAGTGACGAGAGGGTGGAATCCCGCCTGACGTTGAACTAGACGAGTTTCGGAAGGAAGACAAGCCGCATACCAGTGGGACGACATGGCTTTGGACGACCAGCGGAAGCAGCATGTGGCGTTTTTTTGTGGTTTTGTAGTCCCAAGGACATTGCTTGTTTTTAGCAGATTTTCTAGACCCGCGACTACGGGGAGAGGGAGAGCGACTGAGGAAAGCAGGGTGTTCGTAGCCGGAGGAGAGTTTAAATACCATCCCTTCACTCCTCCCCTCTCCTCTGATCCATTCCGCAACGATCCCCTCCCCCTATGCGTCACTCCGCTCGAAGTCCTCCCCTTCACCACACCTCGCACCACCAATACCATGCACTACTTCTTCATATTTTTTATCCGCAACACAAAGATCCACATCTTGACTATCTCCATCGTTTTTCGGGCGGAAGCCAGACTCCAGCATAGTTGGCACATCCGCGGATTTTAGTCCCCGGGACATTTTGGGAAGATAGCTTGTTTTTGGTCTCCACGACATGCTTGCACCCATTTCTCATTTTAGAAGTCGCAGCTGGACGGGAGAAGCGTGAAGGAAAGAAAAACCGAGCCAGGAGCAGGAAGCGAGGGCCTTTATACGGACTTGAGGAACAGCCTTAGGGTCTTTCTCCCCCTAGCGTCCCTCAACGCACCCAGCGCCCAGGAAGCCGACCAGTCCATGTATTCTTCTAAGACCCAATTCAAGTTCCCACAGAGGCTCGCATGAGAGGGATGTTATTGATTTCCGAGCCGAAGCCGGACTTCCCCATCAGAGCTCCGAAGAACGCATTTTAGTCTCGGAGACATCTGGCGAAGCATGCGCGCTTTTTAGTCCCTAGGACATGTGCGCGTATGATTCTGCTTTTTAGAGCCGCAGATATGCAGACAAGAAGTGTGTGGGGAAAAGAAAAGAAAAGCAAGCTAGGTGTAGGAAGTGGGTTTTTTTATAGGCCAAAGCAGGCGGTTTAGCATAAGATGAAAAACGTGGGCTTAGCAGGGAAAGCGGAGGAGAGCAATAAAAAAAGTAAGTGCTAAAAGCAGAAGTGTGCCCGCGGAGTCTGAAGGCTATCAACTCTAGAGCAAAAAAAGAGAATAATGAACTTTAAAGCACATGCACGAACTTGATAATCATGGACTCATAGGATATAGCTATAGACATAGCGCTGCCTCACCCGGAAGGAGACTCACAGCTCATCCCTCTTCCTACGCACCTTTCCCTCCGCTTCTGCCTGTGACTGCAGCAGCTCCTGCTCCGCTTCCCTCTGCTTCTCCTCAAACTTCGCACTCTCTACATTCTCTTCCCAGATCCGTTTCTTCGGATTCCGCGGGCGATCTGATTCCTGCAGCACGGTGCCGTCACCTCTGACCACTGGCCCGTTGTTCTCACCCTGCTGATTCTGCTCCCTCAACTGAGGATGCTCCTCTACATTCTGCTGCTGTTGATTTTGTTCCGCCATTTGTCCGACTTGTTGTGATAGTGATTGCGGTGGGCTAGGATCTTGCATGTAGCCCCTGCCGCCGCCTCCGACACGTACGTAGTGCGGTTTGTTATTGCCGATCGGGCGTTTGGGTATCTCGCCTGTCGCGCTAGGTTTGACGATGAGGCTTGTTGAGGGTTGTGATGGTGCGGCGACGCTTGATTTCGCGGTTGCGCTAGAGGAGATGCCGACGATAGCGAATAGGACGCGGAAAAGGACCTTGAGGGGCCAAATGATAAACCACGAAAGTGGTCCGTAGAACCAGCGGCGGAAGATCAGCCAGATGACTGTTGTGATGAGTATGTAGAAGGTAGTCTCAAGATACCACGTGTCACTCTTGGTGCTCTTGAAAAGTGTTGTGACCAAAGTCTTGCTGCTCGCAAGCAGAGTATTCAGATCCGAGTACTTCTCTCCAAGGTCTGCGAGGGCAGCGGTAGACTGCTCGAGCGTTTCTTGTGCGAATCTTGAACGCGAAAGCTCGCTTTGCATCAACTGGTGTGTTCTCCGAAGGGCCGCTGTCACATCCGACGATACCTGTGTGACGATCTCGCCTTCAGGGAGTTGGGGATTATTTCTACGACGGTGGGTAGACGATGGGGTAGAAGAACCGGATTGTAGGCTCGAGAAGAGAAGTTCGCGTTCTTTGAGTTTGGCGCGATCGGCGTTGTGTTTGGCGGTAAGTTGGGCTTTGCGGTATTGACTCCGGGAGCTGCAGATTCGCATAGTTAGCTCCTTATAATGTTATGACTCTAGCTTGAGGAACCTTACGATCTTAAATCCTCTGTCAACCTTGCTAGTAGCACCGCAAGTCGTGATCTCTCACTCTCCCTCGTACTATCTCTCCGTCTCGCAGTTGTTCCGATACCCTGAACAACGTCCTCAACTTCCTGCCTTAGCAACTCAAGCTCCTCCTCGATTTGCTTCAAGCTCTCGTGTATCTCCGCAGAAAGTTCTATTCGGACATCGCCCTCCTCGTCGTTCAGCGGCTGCGATCCGGGCTGGAAGTCTAATTTCGCTAAGCGTTGGATGAGCTGGAGGATTGCTTTGTTCGATTCGGAGAGGGCGTTCAGGCGGTTTGTTAGGGCATGGGTGGCGGAGGGGAGAGGGGGCATGGTGGAGGTTCGGAATGCGGCCAGGTTGTTCGGAGCAGCAGCGATGACGGAGGACGGAGGTAAGTGCGGCGGGCGGCCTTAGTGTTCTTCCGCGGCGGGCGCACGGGCCATGTAGGTCCTGAATCTGAGGATTGAGATGGACGCAGCACGGAGCGTCCAATTGCTCCAATTCCGGACGAGGAGCTATCTTGTATGTTTCCATTCTGCATTGATGTACTTACGGCTGTGCTAACAAACAACAGATAACCTCTGTGCCTCCTTTGTCTCTGCTTTGCACACCTTCCTTTCTCCCGCTTCAAAATGATAACTCGATTCCTGACGGACGTCCGCGTCAAATTCAACCCCTTCTCACCCCGCTCAAAACCCGCGCGACTCTTCCTCTCCCTGATACCACCAAATGCGCGAGCGGATGGGATGAAGGTGGAGACACAGATGCTGCCAAGAACGAGCAAAGAACCCTCAACATTAGGCGTGAAGTTCAGTAGGCGAACACCATTCGCTACGCGGACTGAGCTAGGCTAATTGGAATCTAGAGGACGGAAAGGAGATGAACCTTGACCTAGATAAGATGCGCATAACCGAAGTCATGGAAGAGGTGGACCGACACTCGCGGTTGCTGGCCAGGAAGGAGGAACTGACGGGCAACTGAGGAACATGCGATACAAAGAGTGTAAAGATATGTGTATATCGGCAGCTGGTTGCATCACCTGGAGTCACGGCATTGTACTGAGCGTCCAGAAAGCTTTCAAAGGCTATGGAATGTTTGTGGTCTACGAATCCTCCATGCTTTTCACCCCAAAACTCGATCCATCACCAGATCTCAGTTTCTTCAAGGTGTATTTTACCCTTCTCGCACTCTATAACCAAGCCCAGTATCGCCGTGTAGTCGTCCGATTCCTAATTGGAGGGGGCTCCCGAAATGAAGAACCACTTGTCGATGCTAGGGTCGATCGGCGCAGGAGCCTGGTTCTCGCCCGGCGGGATGTTGAACTGATTCGCGTCGGTGCGGTCTTGCGAGTACGGGACTGTGACGTTGACGCTGAAGTACGTTAGCAGAAGCCATCGGACCAAAGGAGAGCCAAGCTTACGTAGAGACCTCGCCCCTGGGAGTCTTGCCGGTGATGAGGCGCTCCCAGGCCTCGGCGCACTCGCGGACAATGTCCATGGCGTACTTCTTGTTCTTGCACTCGCCGGAGAAGGCAAACTGGTTCTCGGGCTTGCCATCCGGGATCTTGTAGATACGGAACCACTCGTTGGTAGCCCTCAGCAGACCTGGCAGGTGACGCTCGACATCCTCGATGTCATTGAGCTTGGGCGCCAAGGGATCGTTCACGTTGATGACCATGATCTTCCAGTCAGTCTCCTCCTCATCAAGCAGGGCCATGACGCCGAGGACCTTGACCTGGATGACCTCACCGGGCTTGGCCACCAGCTCGCCAATCTCGCAGACGTCCAATGGGTCGTTGTCGCCCTTGGCCTTGGTCTCCGGGTGGACGACATTGGGGTCTTCCCAAGTCTGCAAAACAAATCAGTGCGTTGTCCGATATCGGGTGGTCGCACGCACCTGAGGGAAGGCGCCGTAGTTCCAAAGGTAGCCCTTGTGCGGGAAGCAGTTCCTCACGTAGCGGAGCTTGCCCTTCTTGGTGTCCTGCTTGATGGGATTAAGTGTCTCCTCCTTGGAGATCTGGGGCGAAGCGTCAGCGACAAAGTCTTTAGGCGGGGGAAGACTAAGGAGGGGCACGAACCTCCATCTTCGCATTGGTCCAGCGCGGCACTTCGACAACCATGTTGAGGATGGTCTGCTGCTCATTGGCATATAGAGGGATGTCGTGGAAGGGCGACAGAGGCACGCCATCCTTCTCGATGTAGATGCGGTGCTCGAGAGTGTTGGGCGCCCCAATCTTCCTCGCAGTGTACTGGCTCGGGGCCTTGGAGTGGAAGCCTTTCTCGGAAACGGGTAGAGAAGCCATTGCGGTCGACGGTGGTGTGGAGTGTAAGTGTCCTGCCAGCAGCTGTGTTCGAGAATGGATTTTGTTGACGCAAGCGGGCTTGGTGGGGCTGGCAGGCGCGGAGGGTCGGTGGTGATTAGCCAGTGTGACGAACGTCACCGTCGGGACAGGCGGCGAAAAGGAGCAATGCGGTCGGCGGGCCAAAACACGTTTTCTGGCCGAATTGAGCCGCAACAGAGGTTGTCGGGAGTTCATACAGAGAATAATACAACGCTAAAGCGGCTAGACAACGGCCGGCAGCGGGTTCCTCTGCGGAGCGAGCATCGAGAGCCGAGGATGGATTCACTAGGTACCGCGCACGACCGGGCTATCACGTGGATTTGCGTTGGCGGGCGTGGCAGGTTGCCCAGGTGCGCACGGACTCTCCTATTTAAAACTCTCAGTACAGCTTATGAGGACGCCAGAATCCGCTATTCGCGACGACGCTGTTCCGCTGCTCAATGCTCTCCTGGCCATCGTTAATGCCGTACTGCTCCATCAACTCTCCGACTGATGGTTCCAGTTCTCCGTATGATGCTGCCTCCGGTAAAGCCTCCCATTCATCACCGTCAAAGTCCTCTTCCTCTCCTTCAAGGGCTTCACCGTCCGTTGGATATGGCTCTTGTAGAATGTTATAATCATCATTACTAGGCTGCTGAGTGACGTATTGCCTCTGTTCCTGCTGTTCATAGATGCTCCGGCCAGAGAAGTTCGACAAACGCGGGTTGCATATCTCAACCCCGGAGAAGCGCACCTTCGGACAGCATTAGCGAATATCTAGAAGCGAAGGATTGGAAGATTTGATACACCAGCAGTTTCCAGGCTTTCTTTCCGTTGAAGGCCCTCAGTAAGGGCTTACAGGAGGAAGAACCTGAGCCATGCTGGTGTATGGACCGCGTCTTACCTACCGTTGGCATTCTCCGAATTGTAGGATAGGGTCTGCGGTCAGTCCTCGTTCTCTCTTGGATAGGAATCTCAGACACCTCTGCTCGCACGGCATTCGTTCCATACGACACTGCCGCCCGCCGCCTTTCGTCGAAGGCCGTGTTGCAGTCCTTCAAAATCCTGCCCAGACTGGACGAAGTCTGGGGATCATCGTCCGCCAAAGCACACCTAGCCTCACTATGTGGACAGTCCCCCTTATGAGCAAGAGTCGGGTCTCCACTAGAAAGAGAACTATGCCTTAACCCTGAAGCACTTGCCGTCTGAGCAGGCCCACGCTGTTCACGCCTTACATCCGCACGAATTGGTATGAATGGTGGCATCGACGAAGGGGAGGCGGCGCTCTCGAGTGTCGGACGACGCTTTGCGGCTCGATCGACGAGGTTCACGCGCCGTGGTGAGGAGGTGTGCTGAGGAAGCGAGTGTGACCGGGAGACCCTATCATTTGCTGGAGCCAACGAGGAAACTTGAAATCGACCACCACTGCCCTCGGTTATGGGACCGGTCACAGTGGGACGGGCCGGCCGTGGGTGCAACGCCTGTCCACCTTCAGTGTTCCCCCGCTCTCTTCCGCCATGTGCTAAGTCCAGCTGACCGACGTTGACAGTAGATCCCGCTCGCTGTCCTGCGGGCGTCCCACTGGGCGCCCGGATGGACTCAGACCACGAAATGTAACTTTGGCTCTCATGGCGCGGCCCTCTCGATCCGAAGCCCAAGTACGATGCTTTATCCGGCAACTCGACAGTTGGGATGGCGTTATCGACCACTGAAGACCGTTCCGGCTCCCGGCGATCCGCTCCTCGCAAGCCCTTCCGGCGTGAGCCCTCCTTCGCTTGGATATTCACATCTTTCTCTGCTAGCGCTGGTCGTACAGAGGTAAAGTATGCAGAAATCTCCCCTTCTTTTGCGTGCGCCTGATCCTTCTTGCGTTTCTTCTTCGACAACCCGGACTTGGGCTCGGTTTCCGGTTGGTTTTTATTCTTCTGCAGAAACTTCATCTCTGAAAAGACCAGGTCGGGCACTACAGCGAATCAGTTATGGGCCGAGGAATGCGGGGCGCTGCACAGGGAGGCTTACGGCCACGGCCCTTTACTGGCGACGACGCCCTACCCTTGCTGAATATACCCAGCTTCTCTCGCGGCCTCAACTGCACCAATCATCAGCACACCGGCAGCAAGCTAGTCGTATCGTAGAAGTCCTCACAGTCAGTCGATCCCTGGGGACATTCTTGGCGTAAAAGCTCTGGACGATACCGCTGCCAGGTTTGTCCACTTTTCTGCGCCTTGGTTTGCGCTGCGTCTTCTTTGATTCGCCCTTCCGATGCCGGTGGATATGCCTCCCCCGCCCCTTAACATCCTTCAGCGTGGGCTCGTAGCGCTCGGGACGTGTCTTGCGTCGAGGCTTGCGTGCGTATAGGCTGGACGTGCTGCTTCCCGATCGACTGGTGGGGTGGGATGCATCACTGTATGCGCTGTCGTCGGCGCTTTGGTCGATATCGGCCTCGCGTGTGATTGGGGGCGTCTTCTTGCGCGGCGGAGGGACTTCGAGAAGCGAGCTATCCGACGTGCTATGCCTCCGTCTGCGCTTTTTCTTGTGTGCCTGCTCCGGTTTCTTGGGGAGGGCGATTGGGGCCTCAATCCGCACCACGGGAGGGCTGGCCGGCCGCTCTGGGAGCACAGTTTGGTCTAGCCACCGCTGAATGTCCATGCCAGGCTTAAGAGGAGGCCGTTATGGGCGGCAAACGCAGGCTGACAGAGCGAGCCGTCCCGTCGAAGGATCCGGAGTCCAGAACTGCTTCACCGTACCTTGGATGCCCGTCGACTCAAGGGGACGTCGTACAGCATTGACCTGGCCAGAGCCGGTCAGAGCCTTGACAGTGGAGGCGTCGGTTTGCGCAGGAGATTGGCGCTGTGGAACGGTTGGAGCGGGCCCGTTGCACCCGTGGACATGCGGATGAAGGAGGGGAAATATCACAGTGTGATAAGCGCGTAGTGGAGGGCGAGGGTTCGACGCTGGCTTGGGGGGGAAGCGGCGCCGGGCGTGGGCCTGCCATCACAGAGTGCTCTGGGCAGGCGCGTCTGGCAGCAGCTGAGGCGGCCGTCCCTCACGTTGAGCCATAGTTTGGACAGTGGCTAGTCTGTGGAACTGGCCGTCCGTATCCATGAGCGTCACGCATCTCACTAACTCTGGCGGGCAGCTCTCGCGGCGGTGACTTCTGATGGAGGAGGCGTCGACGCGGGCGCGTGATTGGCCGAGCCATAATTGTCAGTAGAACGGGGCATGATGCAGCTCTGCTACACACGGCACGCGGAGCAGATTCAAGGAGCCGCACGCAATGCCTGTGTGCGTGGATTTGAGTGTCCGGCGCGGTGCATCGCAGAGCAGCATCATCCGCGCCGGCCGTCTTGTATGTAGCATTGCGGCCAGAGGTATACTCCAGGCCGGATGTTGTGCGCCTGCCCCGGCAGCAGTGCACGAGCCACCGCCGCCGATGGTCAAACGGCTCCACACTTGCAAGGTTTGCGCGCTGCGATAGGAACGTCGATAAGCACTTTAAACCGTCGTCGACGTCCAATGCCCGCCCGCCGCCCGCCCAATATTCGCGGCAATATCTTTTCTTTTGCAGGCGCCCGCTCGGACGCGCCTCATGCGCGCCCACGGAGCGTGCTGCTCGTCGAATCGGGCATGATTCAGTGACGGGCCCCGGCGCACGGCGGGAACGTGGTCTGTGAGCGCTCGTCGCGCGCACCTATCATGAATTCGAGCAGTCTGCTTTTGCATAAGGCACGGAGAGCCGAGCCTGTTGGAGCGCCCAGCGGCCTGCCATTGGGCCTGTGCGGCCGTGGGCTAGCGATGGGCTGCAGACGGCCAGCATGAGAGGGCTGGCACGGGACGACACTAAACAAAACCAGGTGCTAATGTGTGTGTGGACGCACTCAGCATATGCCCATTGTCCATCACCAGGCGCCGGCCCTCTACTGCGGTCGCCGCAAACTGTACAAAAAGGCCGCTGTTCTCGCCCCCCGGCCGCCCTCTGAGACCCGTGTGCTGCTTGCCTTTTATATTCACTCCTCTCGGGACGCGCAATCGATAAAGGCCCTCAGCGCCCTCGACCCGGCTGCCGTCTTTTATTACCCCGGATCCCCTGCTATCCCAGCGATTGCGTGAGTGTCCGATACAGCTAGCGCTCTTTATCTGGTCGGAGGGGTATTTTCTGCTCACATCCTTCGTTTGCCCCGCCATCTCCAACCATCGACGCTTCACTATCCAGCCCGGCTGCACGACCACGCCTCCCTTGTTACGCACATCCTTCTCCTCCGCCCTACACACAACACACAACACTCACCTGCGCCGCCTGTGCAATCGTCTCCCGGCCCTGAGATCAAATGTTCGTTCCGTCACCTTGCTCCTTGTCGCACACCTCATGGGGCCCGAACGGCTTCATTGCACAATCCTGTCTGCTCTCCCAGGGCGCTTCCCGCTCCCGCTGTTCTGAAGTCATGTTACGAGGCTCTTTGTGTCGCGCGTTTTCTTTCTGTGCGAGTGCGTGAATTGAGACCGTTCAGTGCTCCGTTCGATCAACACCATGTCGAAACTCTTCATTGGGTAAGTCACCAGACCATTCGCCTCAGCTGCAGCACTGACCGAGAGTAGTGGCCTTGCCTGGCATACCGATGACGCCACTCTGCGCCAGAAGTTCGAGGAGTTTGGCCAGGTCGAGGAAGCCGTGAGTGAACCCCCATCGCAACTCTGCACACTGTTCGCTCCGAGGGCCATCCCCCGTCAAGCGACTGCGAAGAGACAGCACAGTCGGTGATCGAAGCTGGTCGCTGTAACATCCACCCTGATTGAGGAGGAAGGACGGTCGGACAAGGCTGACAACGATCCGTTGCGGAAATTTTCACCACGCTAACACTGCAGCAGGTCGTCGTGAAGGATCGCGATACCGGCCGCAGCCGCGGGTTCGGCTTTGTTCGATTTGCGCAAGAATCCGAAGCCGACGCCGCCATGCAGAACATGAACAACGTCGAGTGGGTAGCTTCCTATCCGCCTATAGCGCTCCTCCCCCAACACTTCTACACGCCTATAACAGACTCTCCGTCCTTTCATCCCTCAACCGCACTCGTCTAAGCGATGGAATTCATCTAATTTGCCGCAGGTTCGATGGACGCACGATCCGCGTGGACAAAGCTTCTGATCGTTCCGGAGGCGGTGCCCCCCGAGGCGGCGGCGGTGGCGGAGGCTACGGTCAGTACCGTGGAGGTTACGGCGGCCAGTCAGGTAAGAATCAAGCACATGTCAACCTTGCCCCACGCTAATTCGCTTTGACAGGTTATGGAGGACGTGGCGGTGGCGGTAAGCTCCCAAGTCCACTGGCTTTCTAACAACGTCTAACGACACCAAAGGCTACGGCGGCGGCGGTGGTGCCTCTTGGGGCGCACCACAACAAGGCGGCGGATATCCACCGCGAGGCGGCTATGGCCAGGGATACGGAGGGCAGGAAGGAGGACAACAAGGCGGCGGCGGCCAGTGGTAGACGTCTTCTGCCAGCACTCACCAAGGGTCCATCTCAACCGTCGACCATTGACGGATATGCACGGGACATGATTCACTCTCGGCTCTGCATACACGCTTGGTGATTGCTCGGACTCTTCTAGACTTTGTCTTCATACTCTATCGGACTTTAATTGGCGCTGGCGACTCAATGAGCTTCTACGATTCTTCTGGCAGGTCGGATTGAAGATTGCAACTTGGGTTGGTAACTGATGAGAGGATTGATACCCCTATCTTTGATTCAGGGCGTACTGCTACCACGGTACCTGCGTTTGTGCTTGGTCAAGTTCCTTCATCACTCATTACAAAAATTCATCTCCCGTTTCCCTGTCACGTAAACACATGGAAGGACGTAAGGCATAGCAATGTCCATGCAAATGTCACCATCATTGGCCCCGCCTCTTCCAAATTCTTGAACCACAATCGCAAATTTACACCTCACCCATTATGTTAAGTTCAGGCATCCACCTCAATCCTCCACACAACCAAGGCGAAGTGCGTGTGATTCCCAAGCGGGTAAGATCTGCACACGCTTTTTGTCGACTCGGCTAATCCTCCCCCACACTCGCATAGACCAAAGCAATATCCGCCGACATAGGCGCAATATGGCACTTGTCGTCCAACCCCCGGCGCGTCGAGCTGCAGAGCACGGATAACAAGAAACAGAGCTTGCGAACACGACATGCAATGCACTGTGACGGGTTTCGCATGCCTTCGATCAAAGGCTGCAGAATGGCGCGGTCTGGACAGGACAGGACAGGCACAGTGTACGCTCGGCACACAAAGCGAAATCGCAGAGGGGATCATCGTGCGTGTGAGTGATTTGAGGCGTGCCGCGTCGAGGATACGGACCAATCGCACCGCCACATTCGCATCGTAGCTGCCTGATGCGAAGGATCACCGTGGCTGAGCAAGGCCTCCGATAACCTCAAACTTTAGCTGTGAACACGACGACCCCTCACATCACCTACGTTTCCTACAGCATGAAGACCTTCAGCGACGCGATTGAGCCCCAATTCCCGGAGCGGGACTCGGGATGGGCCGAGAAGAGGGGCGCTCGGTCTCGGGTTCGTTTTCTGGCCACTGCGCTTGCCACTATCTTTATAGTTTGGGGCCTGCAGTTGAGCTTCCCAACGCTGAAGTATCGGATTCGGGAGTGCATGGGGCTGGACGGGGATGAAGCGGTCAGCAGCTCGTTGAAGTCGTTCGATTGGGATGATGTGAGTGGGTTTCAATTGCCCGGCCAATATTGGCGCAAAATTGCCCGCTTTTCTCTAGCTTGTGCCTCAGGTTCCGCAGTTGCAGTTCCTATGGCCCGGGGTGTCTTGAGAGGATACTTGATCTCCTTTCCTTTTCTGTCTGGCTTGGCAATCGATGCATCAAGAGATGGGCTGGATGGGATGAATTGTGCTGCATAGGCACGTGCTTCACCGCCACTTCCTATTTGAGGTGCGCGATTCCACGCCATCCCATTGACCAATCTACAGATAAAAGCAACCGAGTCCCTCGAATTCCATCCGTGCTACGGCCCTTTCGAATGCGCAAAACTTAAGCTGCCTCTCGACTACTTCAACAGCGCCCATCCGGATAGCAGCGTCAGCATCGCCATCGCCAAACTACCGGCCAAAGTCCCTGTCGACGATCCTCGATATGGGGGTCCGGTCCTCATTAACCCTGGTGGCCCTGGAGGCTCTGGGGTAATGACGGCACTTGGAATGGGACACTATCTCCAAACCGTGATCGACGCACACGTACACCCAGACAATGTCGATGACTCTAAAGGAAAGTACTTCGATATACTTGGGTTTGATCCACGCGGTATTGGTTACACGGAACCTGCCGCAATGTGCATTTCAGATGGGGCCGCGGCTTGGTCATGGAGACTCAGGGAGGCCGCTGAAGGTCATCTTGACAGTTCAGATGCGGCACTGGGTCGATTATGGGCTATGACGCATGCCTTCGGTGCCTCTTGCAAAGAAGCTGTCGATGCTGAGGACGAACCCGATATCAAGCAGTTTATGTCGACCGCCTCTGTCGCCCGCGACATGCTTGAGATTGCTGAGAAGCATGCCGAACTCGTCGCAGAGCAGAAGACTCAGCTGCGTTTAGTGGACCGCCCTCACCTCCCGAAGTGCCCCAAATCGGAGATCACCAAATACGAACCTGGTACGGTCAAGCTCCAATACATGGGATTTTCCTACGGAACCTATCTGGGTGCGACTTTTGCGTCGATGTTTCCGGAGCGCGTTGGCCGTTTGTCTCTAGACGGTGTCGTTAATTCGGATGATTACAACAACGCGCTCGGAGAAGGGAGTCTCCGCGATACCGAAAAGGTCATGAAAGCCTTCTATACCTTCTGTCTTCTGTCCGGTCCCGAGAACTGCGCACTGGCCACACCCACGTCCAGCGCCCACGATATCGAGAGACGTGTTCAAAGCATCATCAATTCCCTCTATCACCGCCCCATTGCTGTCAGTTTACCCGACGAGGGTCCGGATCTTCTCACCTACTCCGATGTGAGGTCGCTCATATTCCACTCCTTCTATAGTCCAGCCCTCACCTTCCCGATGATAGCAGAGATCCTTACAGCCATCGAAGCAGGCCAGAGCGCCGTCATCGAACGCCTAGTAGCCGCCTTCCGTAGTGTCCATATCTACACATGCCCAACCACTCTGCCCTTCTACTCCGATACTACTACCTATGCAGTCCTCTGCAGCGACAGCGTGGATCAGACGTCGGTGGATATCGGCGAGATGGAAAAGTACTGGCATGCTCTCGAAAAGTTCTCACCTTCCGCTGGTGCCTATTGGTCGATGCTGAAAATGAAATGCACAGGCTGGAAGATCAAAGCCTCGTACAAGTACACAGGCGAGTTCGGCGGCAACACCAGCCACCCCATCCTCTGGCTCTCGACCACCGCCGATCCGGTAACGCCCCTGCACAGCGCGAGGATCATGTCCAACAGGTTCCCCGGTAGTGTCGTCCTCATACAAGACAGCGCAGGCCACTGCTCGCTCTCCACGCCTACTCCTTGCACCGAAAAGGCCATCCGGGAGTATTTCCAATCCGGATCCCTACCAGACCCCGAACAGGTGTGCATTCCGCCTAAATCGCCGTTGAGCCTCAATTCGACGGACCCGAATTCACCTTTCTATGACCCGAGTCTGGGAGAACGTACATTTCTAGGAGAAGAAGTGTGGTCAGCAGAGGAGGAGGAAGCCGCACGCGGATTGCAGATGTGGGCAGCCGAGAATGAGTGGTTTGGAATGGGGTATGGAAGCGAGAGAATCGGCGGAATGATGAAGAGCTGGCTTGCGCAACAGCACGCATGATGAGGTCTAAACTCGAGCAGGTCATCATCTCCACCCACTGCTGCAGCGTAGATGAGAGGCTGTTTGCATGCGATTATGGACCGGGCTGAAGACGCGTTTGGGTACAACAGCGAGCGATTGAATATACACGAGTTGGGTGGAGAGGAGCTCCTTCTCCTATTGTCTTGTCTCTTTGCTTCGCTTCGTTCCCTTCGAAACGTACGCTATATGCCGCGCTCGCTACTACTGTATATGTACCCATCATCGTCTGTCGTTCACCGTATTTCGCATCGCACATACTATTTACTATATACACATTCGTACGTACATCCTCATGCACATGCCAGAACTAAAAGTTAGTAAGCCTCAACAAACTCAACAGCAAACTCCCCCCAGTCTAGTCCCCACTCGACACACTCAAACGCCATGTACTACATACAATACCTACCTACGTAACAATACACCAAGGCCCCCACGCTCGGATGTCCGATAGGGTTCCACAACAGTTGCCTTAGTTCGTTCGGCCCAATGTACATCCGACTTCGGCCGCTTCCCGACATCGGGCAACGGAACTTTCCTTGGAATGCGGTGGCTGGAAGACGGGGTGGCGAAGATGAATTGCCATGTGTGATGTCGATTTGCGGTTATTGGCGGGTGCTGTTCCGGCCAACCACGAGGGAGCGGTTTTCTGCGGCGCTTTGTACTGGACTGGACTGGTAACTCCGGGGCTGGTGGATGAGGCGCGGTGGTACGGTACGACGTGAGTCAGCGGTTATGGCGGGATGTTTGCAAGTGAGACGGGACAGGGCTTTCTTTCGAAGTCCGATCGATGGATATTAGCGCTAGGGATGGGGATTTTAACTTCCAAATTCCCATAACAGAAGATGGCGTCAAGTTTCTTCGAAGTTCTTTGATTGTTGTTTATGCTTCTTGAGTTGCTGAAGATCATCTTATCTTAAACTCTCGCCGCGCTATAATTGCTCTCCATATCTTTTTTTAGTAGTTGGAGCGCTGTTGGAGAAGAGAAGAAGCAGAACAGCTGGACATCCGCGTTGGCGTTAGCTCTTTTGACTGACAGACCTCATCAAGGCTACCGTCCATGGTTTTCATTTTCTACGCATGGAGGTTTTGGATTATGCATTTCGATCGTACGCCTGGGAAGCATGAAGAAATTGATTTCCACCTTGAAGGCATAAGATTCTGGTGCCGGACATTTTAGTGTCGAAGAGTGATATAACGGCGAAGGAAGGCAGACATGCATTCCCCATCCTCGCGTTGTTTTGTAGAACAAGGCATTACGTGAACAGGGGAAGAGGAGGGAGCAGAGGCATACAACTTCGAAGCGATCACTGCTAGTCATCATAGTCTCTGATTTCACTTTTAGTATCCATCAAGCAGCCGTGTCACTCTTTTCCCCCTTTTCTATCATCTCGATCTGCTTTTCGAGCGCAGTCTCCGACCCACCGTCATCATGGCTTCGGCGAGTACTTTCTGCCTTTCGCAACGGTCCTCGTGGGAGGGAGACGTGTGGCTGTGGCTGTCAAGTATTTGATATCCAATGGGGGACGAGTCATAGTTATTGCCGCGGCGGGCTTTCGGGCGGGAGAGCTCCATTCGTCTCTACCGTAGTTAGTTAGTTGCTGGAGGGGAAGAGCATATAGCTGTACTGTCATTGTTTAGACCCCATTCATGGCTTGTCGACTACTCTCATTTAGTCGTGAAGCAACGCGCGAAGAAGCGGCAGGGAGATCCATGTCAGGGATACGTCGAGGATTTTAGAGTCTCAAAGGGAGAGATTGTTCTAGTGGAGGCAGAAGGACCCAAAGACTTCGAAACAGACATGGCTGGTATGGTGAGCTTCTATCAAGAGGATGCCACGCCGAGACCTCAATAAAGGAGCAGAAAAGTGGGAAAGCCGCAAGCACATATGCGCGCAAGCCAGCAGTTCTAGTCTAATCACTAAGGCTGCGACACCGCCGCTCACATGTGAAACTGGAGAGAAGCTTTTCAGATCTCGTCTCGTTCAAGACAGATAGTGTTCTCGAACGAGAGACGGAAAGGTTCATACAGTCATAGTTGCCCAGTTTTCGTGCGCTATTTGAAAGCCGGCGGACTTCCGGACGCTCACTCATAGTGAACCCTAGTCTGGTTTCTGGTCCGGGACGGGCTCTTCTCATACCGTGCGAGCGTCTTCATTTCTGACGGGAATGGGAGGAGAAGACGCCGCGTTCCATGCGCTCTAGTGCTATTTCCATCCCTCCGGAGGAAGCATCGAAAGGTGGATCGATGTATTTGTCGAGAAACTTCCAGCAACATATCACCGGAGCAAATGGTTTTTGTACAGTGATGCAGGAGAGAAAGTCCTCGTGCAGCATGGCATAAGCGCATCCTTTTTTCTAGCCATGAGGAAATGTGATTGGGTATTTGGTCCGGAGTTGAACATCAGACTGAGGTCGAGCGTGTTTAGGCCAAAGGAGAAGACACGACCATACTTGAGGTGCGTGGGGTCTTGCATGGAAGGGGAAACTTCCAAAAGTTCATGGCGACTCTTGATGCGGTTTCAGCACTCCGTCCGACCCAATGCTGAAGCATTTTGTTTCGAGCGGAATACGTATTGGAAAGGGGAAGGGAGAAGCCATCTCACTCGCAGAGCCCCTTTTATCGCAGCGCAAGTCCAGCATGATGTATCCACAGTATGCATCTCACGCTCTCTGAGAGCGAACATGTCAAGGGCGTCCAGCTTATTGTCGAGCAGGTGTCCCAGCATTCGAAAGATGATCTTTCATTTTGCAATCTGTTGGAGAACGGCGGGAGTGAGGCTGACGTGATTGAGTTTAGTTCCCGCAAAGGACATTCCGGCCCATGTTTGGGATTTCGGTGAGCACGCAGACATGATGGGCATATTCGATATGCTTGTGTTTTAGTCTCCGCGCGGGACGTGCCAGCCCAGGAGTGCGATTTCGAGAGCGCACAGACGTGAGGAGTTCATCCAGATGTTTCGTTGGCGAAAAACGAGCGAAGGACTCCTGAACAGCATAAAGTACCGCCCCGAAGCTTGCTTCTTCCGCATGATTGCGCTTTCTCTTCTTTTTAGTAGATAATGGAAGGGGTAGTGGGAGAAGGAAGGGGGCCCTCCCACTCGCAGAACGCCTTTCTTTCCCAACGCCAGTCCAGCATGACGTGGGTTCTGAGTCGTTTGTGATATTCATGCCTGGCCTCACTTTCCTTGCTTTAGTCTCCCACGCACCATGGTGCACTGCTTCTTCCCAAACTCCATCACTCAGCTGCACGGCCGTTTGGATACTCTGCTCAACATCCCAGAAGCTTCGATTGTCCGCAATTGGAAACCCACCAACACAAGACATGTGTGCGTTCCGTAGGTGTGTTTCGTTACCTCCACTGCTCTCCTAAATCGGCATATGTACGAGTTTTCCCCGGATCTGCAACGTAGTGTCGTTCACTGTCCCTTTCCTAGATCTGCGCCGGCGACTACTTCGCAGGCCGTCTTCCATGGGAGTTGTCGGGGTCAAGTTTTGGAAAAGAAACAATCCAACTAGAAGCGCAGGAATATCTAGCCAGATCAACGCCTTTCAAGACATTGAAGGACTCCTGGACTTCGCTCGCGCATGTGCCTGTTATCTAGCATTTTGGGTACTGGTTTCCGGGACATGAGCGCACTGCTCGGCTGTTTTGTTGGTAGGAATCTGGCACCTGGTCGACCTGGAGTCCGCTCCATATTGCTGCTCGTAGGGGAATTTAGGAGATCCAGTTCTCCATTGCCACCATCTCATTGCGTTTTATCGAGGGAAGGAATGAAGTAAACGTGTAGGGAAAAAGTAGAAGCTCGAGAAAAGGAGCAGCTTAAATACCCCCCAGTCTCCCGCACTTTTTAGTCAGCAAGTGATATCACAGTCACATGCGCAACGCGCACACTAATGCCCATCTCATCTTCGTTTAGATCATTCCATTTCCATACTTAGTATACACGTCCGAAGCCCTCCAGACCGATCCACACCAAAGCATGCCTTCCTCCTCCTTATGGTGCCTCAATTCGTCCTCCCCCTCGACCACGCCGTCCCAAAAGCAAACAGCCCATACGCCGCCAGCAGACTCAAGCCCATCGGCAACGGCTTCTGCGTCTTGAGCGCGCGGGGAATGGAGGACCCGGCGAGGATGATGGAGGCGAGGAGGCCGAGTTCGACGCCGTAAGGGGAGCGGTTGCGGATGCGGAGGCCGCCGAGGATGTACTTTCAGTCTGTTAGTATAATGTTATGGATATGGTGTTGGAGGAGGTGAAGGAAAGGGAGGGGTAGACGTACCAATGTTCCAACCGTAACACCCGCTGCGACTGACGGAATGGAGCCGGTGCGGACGTAGCCTGTGATACCGCCGCCTGCGGTGAGGGCGCCGAGAATGAGACCGATGGTGTCGAGAGGTGCCTGTGGAAGCTGGTTAGCAGTGGGCTATGGGGAGCTTCAGCGGGTATAAATTGTGCGTAAAACTGCTCTGAAACTGCTAGCAAGCCAGACAGCCCGTCCAAAGGCAACGTGTCCGTCTGCATTGAGCGCTGAAGGCCTCCCGGTGTTTGAATGCGCTGTAGCTTGAAGCTCACATACCATTATCGCTGAAAGAGTGCAAGCTGTCGGAGTCCTTTCTCGTTGAATTGATTTCGACCGTAGAGAATTGTCTTTTCGTCGCGATGATCTGTTAACACCGTGATGCAAATCGTCCGAAGTAGCAACAGCAGCGAGAAGTAATCAAAGCAGGCCTGGAGCTGCGGGGAGCTCTCCCACAATACGGAATGCCATCATCGCTCTCCGCAACCCCCGAGCCCCGACCTCCGAACTACATCCCTGTAATCCTTGCGCACAGACCACCATCTCCAATTGCAGCATTCTGGCCTCAAGCTCCAACGACTCTGCAATCCCAATCCCACCGCCTCCACTCCCCGAATACCGCTTTCCACGACCCCAATTGCAGTCTCAACATGGCGCCCAAATCCCGGCACCCCGAAAAATCCGCGACCGCATCGTCCAGCACGCCGGCGAAATCAAGCTCCAAAGGCGGACACGTCGATGCCCACGAGATCGTGCACGGCGTGTGGAGCAAATACGTCGACAAGACGCCGCAGCGGGTGAAGCTGCTCGACAGTTTCATGGCGTTTCTTGTCGTGGTCGGCGCGCTGCAATTTATCTACTGCTGCTTGGTTGGGAACTTTGTACGTCGTCACCCTCGTGCTCATGGTCAAGCATCCACCCTTCCCAACTTGCCCACCCACGAAGAGGCTTCAATGGCCCAGCGGTAGTGCTTTTAGATGGACAATCAGTGCTGACGGGTGAATTATTTCTTTCCAGCCCTTCAACGCCTTCCTCTCCGGCTTCAGCGCAACGGTCGGCCAATTCGTCCTCACCGCCTCGCTCCGCATGCAGACGAACCCCGAGAACAAGGCCGAGTTCGAGAGCATCTCGCACGAGCGCGCGTTCGCGGATTTTGTGTTTGGCTCGTTGATACTGCATTTCTTCTGCATTAACTTTATCAACTGAGCGGGCGGGGAAAGCGGATTACGTGGCTACAGGCAGCTTCAGATATTGAGACCGGAAGAATCAAGACATCGGCTTGGGAGCTTGGGCGTCAAGGAAGGGATCAAAAAATCTTCGTGTGTAATACCTATGATGTTAGGGTTAGGGACATTGAATCTACGGTGGTGATGTTTGAAGAATTCATTTTGCTAGAGAGCTATCTGATGCAGATGCTAAGGATGCCTGTTCGAACAGATGCCCGCCCAATTTGTCGTCATAAGTCGCATGCTGCAGTGAAAAAAAAAATAGGAGAAACGCCAGTAACCCGTACGCCCAGAAGCCACCATCTGCCCTGCCATTCTCTCCTTGCGCGGCCATCATCTTCCCACCACTGACCGAGAGGATCGGACGAGATCCACACCATCCAATTGCCATATCTGACAACAAAATCCCTTCAAAGTCGGCTGTCGCTCGCCTCAATGCCCATTCGAATACCCATTAACCCCGTTCTCCTTCCCCAGTCTAAACTCCTCCTTCACCGCCTCGCCAAACCGCCTAATCCCCTCATCGATCTTCTCCGCCGGCGCCGCCGCATACGTCGCCCTGAAGAACAGCGTATCATGCCTCTCCTCGCTATTAGCATAGAACCAGCTCCCGCGCATAACCAACGCGCCATGCTCAATAACGCGCATAAAAACACTCTCCTCGATCTCCTCAATGCTCTTCTGCGGATAATCCGGATGCCTGGTGAAGTCGACCTGCATCCAATGGAACATGCCGGCCATCGGCGGGCGCCACGAGACGATGGCTTTAGGGAGATATTTTTCGCAGGCAGCGAGGATCACATCGCGCCGCTGTGTGTACTGCAGGCGGATGTAGATCAGCCAGTCGAGGTACCCCGCGTGGCCCCAGTGCTCGTCCAGCAGCTTCCACAGGATCAGCTGCGACATGCCGGCGGGGTTCTGCGTCGACACGTCGGCGTGCTTCTTGTACAGCGCGACCAGCTGCTCGCTCGCCGTGATCCAGCCGACCCTGCTGCCCGGCGAAATCACCTTCGAGAACGAATCCAGCCGCATGACGCGCCCGTCCGTGTCCATGGACAGGAAGCTCGGGACCAGCGATTTCAGGAAGGCGGCGTGCGAGGCGGGCGGCGGGGCGTCGGGCGCGTTGGGCCCCGTGTAGGGCTGCATTTGCAGGAAGTAGTACGGCTCGTCTTCGATGATGTAGATGTCGTGTTTTTGGCAGACGGCGTAGATGGCGCGGCGGCGGGCGGCGCTTTGCGTTGCGCCCGTGGGATTCTGCCCCGTCGGGACGGTGTAGAGGAGGTGTGGTTTGCGGCCGCCGCGGGCGGAGGCGTCCCAGGTGGAGAGGATGGCGTCCATGGCGTCGGGGAGGAGGCCTTCGGCGTCGATGGGGACGCCAGCTAGGCGGACGCCTAGGGGAGCGGCGGTTTCGACGGCGGCGGAGAAAGTGTATTCTTCGGAGAGCATCATGTCGCCGGGTCGGGAGAGCATGCGGAGAGCCATGTCGAGGCCCGACGTGCTTCCGATGCTCATAGTGCAGCGCCAGTCCTCGTAGGGCGGGTCGTGGACGAGCTCCGTGTGCTCCGTGATCCAGCGGAGGAGCTGCGCGGCGCCGGCGCCCTGGCCATAGTTGAAGGCGGTGGAGATATCGAAGATGGACTTGTCGTTTGCGAGGTCGTGTTTCCCGGCTGTGAGGACGACGCCTGAGTCTTTGGTTTCGGCTTCGGAGAAGTGGCCTACGGTGGGCACTTTGAGGGAGAGCTCTTCGAAGGGGAAGTATTCGGAAGACGGGAGGCCGCCGCCGAGAGAGATGATGCCGGGTGTGGAGAGGAATTTTGCTGCTTGCTTCAGGGAGTTGCCTTTGCGGGTTTTGGCTTCGTGCGTGATGTAGTCTAGCAAACTTCTGTTAGCAATTGGTTCGTACAGAATGGCAAGGTCACCTACGATCCCACCGCCGTGCCTTTGGTCTTCCCTCATAGCTCCTCAACCTAAAGTCCTTACTATCCGACGGCGCAGCAACTCCCCACTGTCTTTTATCTGCCTTCTTCCTCCGCCCATAAATTTCATTACTCTTAACGGGCACCGTCAACGGATCCGGAACGGTAACCCCCGACGTATCGGTCACAGCCTCAACCTCAATTGCAGCGGGCGGGGCCATTGTTATCCACGAATAGCCACTCCTGAGTACCTTCAAGACAACAAAGAAGTAATAGTGTGTAGCCTCAGGCGCGGGAAAACCAATGCTTTAAAGTCCCAGAATTCAGGGCACAGTTTTATCACACGCACGCCCTACGTATGTTTATCAATTGGCACAAGAAAATCGGTGTGTCACGGAGTCATGCAGGGACGACGCTTTGTTCTTTGCCCGAAGAGGGTCGGCTAGCCACGGATCAGGCAATCGAGGATCCCGCAGCCGAGCCGCTGCGTGCGCCAAGACGATCGCTGGCAGGGGCGGCGCGCCCTCCGATAGTATTCCGAGTAGCAGAAGACATGCGGAGTGCATGCAAGAGGATCTTCTACTCCGCAATTGCTGTTATCTGTTAAGAAGGTTTACTCCGAAGAGGGGGGGTCCTTACTTGTGGAAACGCCCTGCAGCAATCGACTGCTGCGGGGAAGTTGCGGGTTTGCCCGCCGGGAAGATGCAGAAGAGTGATGTAAACTGTAGACGTTAAGCCGATATTTCTGCTCAGCGGACCTGAAAACACGGTAGCAAACTCTTCAGGCCACTCAACATAACGTAAGAGGTTGAGCCCATGTGACGCTGGTTGGAAACAATTGAGGGACCACAAAGCCGCGAACAACCGTTTCGAACAGACATTATCCTCTTCGATGCTAACCCGCCGACCTACTATTACTTCAACAACCGGTATCCGAAAACTCATCTGGACCTACTCCTGGTCCTTTTGGAGGTATGCAAAATTTGCGACGCAATGAAAATTTTTGAAGGCCTCAAAACATGCAGTAAGAATATGCAACCCCGAGCCCCAATGCAAAACCAGACCCCTTGGAAATGCCGTCAAGCTGAAGAAGAGAAATCCTCACCGCACATTAATCAAAACATAAGGCTCAAGGTTGGGAAAAGAGCGAAAACAAGAGATGCAAGCGACGAAATCCAGAATACAATCGAGTGCTCACATGACCAGGCAATTCTCATCTTTGCCTCCCTTCTTGAGCTTCGATTTGTCGTTGTTCGGAAGTTGGGTCTGACCCGATGCAGCCGCCTGGATGATGGCAAGGCGCTGCTTTGCTCTTTCGTCTCCGTGGTCGGCGGCTTTGACATACCAGACGTTTGCTTCGAGGGGGTCGCGCCGGCAGCCAATGCCCATTTCTGTGAAATAGCCACACGCATATTCTGCCTTTGGAAGGCCTTCAAAGGTCAGCACATATATGTTGGCCTACAGTGGACATGCCACTTACCATGCTCCGCAGCTCGCTTGGCCCACTCATACGCCTCATTCTCGTCCTTCTCGAGAACGGGCTCGGCGCCCACCATATACCACGCGCAGAGGTTCATCATGGCTTCCGGGATGTCAGCTTGGGCAGCACAATTGTAGTAGTGTACCGATAGCGCGGCATCCTTGGGGCAGCGAAGGTAGCCGTGCTCGTAAGCTTCTCCCAGCTTCAATGCCGCTTGTGGGTGGCCCAGTTCGGCGGCTTGAGTGAAGAGCTGCACTGCATAGATTTCATCCTTGAAGATGTCGTCGCCGTATCCGGTCTCGTGCAACAGACCTAGCTCGTATGGGGCGCTGTTATACTGATAATCCGCCGACTCGGTTGCTCGTTTAAGCCACTTCACGCCTTCTCTGTATCGGTTTTGGAGGCCCATGTCGCCGGTCAGACAGGCCTTGCCCAGGCGTGTCGCTGCGCCTGGATGGTTCTTCGATGCTGCGGCGCGGTAGAACTGCACGGCTTTGGCATAGTCCTTTCGGCACCCCCACCCGAACTCGTAGCAAAGCGCCGCACGGTACCCCGATTCCGCGTGGCCGTGTTTGCTGGCAGCGATAAAGAGCGGGAATGCTCGGTCGTAGTCGGGCTTGTCCTTGTTAAAGAGGCCTGAGGCGTAACCGTCTGCAAGGTAATACTGTGCGAATGGGTAACTCCGGTCGGCTAGCCGCTGGAGAATCTGTCGTGCTTCCCGGAGCATCTCCGCCGGCGTCAAGCCATAGCTGTCGATCGAAGGATCCGACGCCATAATTTCCCGTGCAACTTGTACCATGAAAAGAGCAAACTCGTACTGCACAGCATTGTCCTGGGTCTTCTTCACATTCGCCCTGTACATTTCAAGCGTCTTCTTCGTATCAAGAAGCGATGCATTTTCGCCGACCGCATGTCGAAGCGCGGAGTTGCCTAGATTCGCTGAGGGTGCGATTTGCTGGTTGTAGGGCAGGTTCAGGAGGTCGACGTAGGAAGACGGCCTGCTTTCGGGAGATCGACGGTTTCCGGACAGTTGCCGTGCATAACTAACTTGTGAACCATTGGACGACGGAGAGCCTCCCACGGACAGGTGGGGCGAATGCGTGCTACCTCGAGCATTCAGCTCGGAACCCAATGTATATGCGGAACTGGGTCTCGGAAGCGTGGTGCGGGGTACTTGTAGCGGGCCGTCGAAGCCAAAGTTGAAATTGTTGCGGTGCCCACTGCTGTCACTTCTGGCAGAATGTTGCGACTCAGCGCTGGGCGAATGTACGACTTCACGCGGCGAGACTGCATGGGGCGGAGGCGTGGGCTGCAGGTGGTACAAGGCAGGCTGATACTGCTCGCCGGGGCTGTATACTGCGAGGTCAGGTTCGTCTTGCAGGTCTGCATTGTCCATTTCCGCTGCGTGCGAATACCGTGCGTTGTACGTGCTGTTGCTGATGTTCAGCTGTCGAATAGGAATGTCTCTCGTCACCGGTATCGCGTTCCCTGAGTCTCTGTTCGCCATCATATCCGGCGTTTCCCGCGACGGCGTTCTCGAATGCCCAATTGAACTAGGTGCAAGCGACGAACCCGACTGCCTCGATTCACGCCCTCCCGCCGCCGTGTCCTCATGCTCGTTGATGCTGAATGATGGAATGGCAGGCTGTGCAGCTCCCGGAACTGGCTTGCGTCGGAGGGAGTGTGTGCGGCTCTCTGTGCTCGACCGGCTCGACCGGTCTGAGTCGAACTGCGGCTGCGGCCTCGATATTGCGGCGTCGTGGGGAATTGGCGGTAGAGCCCTGCTTGGTGCTGCTGGAGCAGATTCGGTCATGGCAGCGTGTATGCCGGAGACGTCTCGTCGGGCTTTGCGCTCCCTCTTCTGCGCTTTTTATATGCCCAGGTTCACTGACTCGTCGGAGCACGGCGGGGTCGCAGGGTCGGCCGGGGGTGATGTTCGACGACCGGAAGAGAAGCAGGGGAGCTATACGTTCATCGAGAGGCGCAGAATGAAGGCCTGGGTTCACTACTTGTCAGCCATCGGTGCCTGCGCTCTGCGACGAGGAAATACGGTGATAGAAATTCTTTGGCAGGGGGATGCGCGCCGCGCCTGCATATGAAGATCACCCTGTTGATGCAGGGACTGGGGAGGGAACTCACGACGAACGCAACGATGGAAGCAGCTTACAGCTGGCGACCACTAAAGGTAGACGGAAGACTCTCGGTGCAGTGCTGGCGCAGATGTTTAAGCAGCGTATATGGTCCGCTCTGGCATGCGGCGGAAGGGGTCGGCAGCTGATGCACTGTACGACACTTTAGCACCCCACACCGCCGATGCAGCGCGCTCCTTTTCAGAGTACGTAAGTCGAAACGTGCGTATCGGGCGGAGTCCGGCAGCTTTGCTTATTAGGCAGCGAGTACCTATTGTGTGACCCTCAAAGACAGCCCCAGATCGAAGACTAAATCGGATGTGTCCAGCGTGGCGTCCAAGCTAAGTACGACATTCAACCGCCATCGATGGAAGCAAGTAGAGTGCGAATCGTGGGCAGCAGGCAGCGGCTGAAGTATTTCACTATTTGCGAGCGCATTGATATTTTTATGCGAATCGCAGCTGTGGACTGAGCGCTCGCGGCGTTTGAGACAAGCAACGGAACAGGAACGTGGCGCATCTCGCCATCTCGAGCGCCGAAAAGTCGTCTTGGGGGCCTTCGTCACCGCCAGGCTGGCTGGTAGGAATGTCTGCTTTCGCCCTGGCTTCCGCGGCCAGTTTGTGAGTCGAGAGGTAGGGGGGAATGCGAGCGCAAGCCACCCATGCTTCGATCTCGGAAGTGGGAGGTGACATGTTGCATATGCGGGGATCCATGGATGCGTCGAGACACGCTCGTCTACTTCAGACTGCGTGGAGAAGTTTAGCCGCAATTTATGCCAACTTTCTTTCAACCTCAGCGGTTTCAATCCGGGCTGCAGACTGATGAAGTTGCGTGTAGCTTGCGGATGGCACCATGCCGAGAGCAAATGTACCCTACCGGTACTTCCTGGCTGGCATGTGTCAGAGACGACTAGGAGATCAGGGTCCACCATGCCTAGTGTCGCACAAATGAAGAAGCCGGTAGTGTATTAGGTATTCATTAGGGCTAGACGCAGCGTGATCGTTCCTTTCGAGACGCAGGGGCAGCTGAAGTGTCCCGATGCGGAACTTCGCGTGGTCACGTGGAACCATCTTGCCGGGAACAGTTCTTTCCTGAAGCTGTAATATACCTGCACAAGCTACCTAGGTAACAATCTGCTAACAAGTCCGGCATCTGAGCCTCGAGCACTGTATATGCGCGGTACTATTAGTTTACGGAGTTAAACAAGTCGGAGTGACACCTTGCTGGATGGAGGCCTAGAGCCTTCAGGACGAACTGCACAGTATTGTACGAGCAAGGATACCACTTCGAATTATTCCACCGTGTAAGCTTATTAGCAGTATGGGGCCCCCAAAGGATTCCCGCAGAACGCAATATAGCTGCATGCAAACGCACGAAATACGGGAAGGTGTCGCAGTCTATCGGTCAGCGCGCCAATGGAGGCAAACGTCCACGGGCGTGGCAGTGCTGCACCGTCCAGCTTGGTCGAAATTAAAGAGCCGTGATGGCAACAAGCTTTCTGAAATGACAATGTCCATGAGTTGAGAGCATACGGTTTCATCGTCCACGGGGTAAATAGAGGTGTTGAATTTGAGGACGCGGCGATCCGGGTACTTCCTCGAGGCTGCGGCGCTGCAGGGAAGCGGCGGCTTCGTCCCCGCGTGAAGGCCCTGGTAGCGAGCGCGGGCTGTTGTGACAGCCTCACCCAGAACTCACGCCCGGCGCATTTCGTCGCAGGCCGGACGAACCTCACGACTCACTCTCGCATGCCCAGGTGTGCTTCAACGGGTCATAGAGCGCTCTTCGCCAGACAAAATCGAATTCGAGGCGTCCGCCACGCCGTGTTGGCTAACCGTTTCTGTGGAGACAGAAATAGTTCGAGGGGCGCGCATCCTTTCGCTGGGGCGGCGCTGCTATTCGCTCTCAGCCGGACTCAGTCGTCCAGGGGCTCTCCTGCTGCTCCCACACCCCATCATCCACGGTTGGTTTCCGTCGCAACCTGCGACTGCGCCTGTTTTCTCAGTCCCTCGTTTGACCCGGCGATCCACTCGTTACTGCCGCCGATAGCTTATGCATTCTGCCGTCACATTCGCTGAAACCACCCTTCGAGAGCCGCAACTGCCTGTACAAACATTGCCAGCAGTGCTGTCCCAAGGCCGGACATCTGCGGCCCCCTCAAGCACGACAAGGCTTGCGCTCTGGAGACCCGCCCTATATTCTTCGCGCGACCGTCGCTCTTCCAGCGTAGGGCGGCTGTTCCCGTTATAAATGTGCGGGCTCGTCTCTCGGCTGTGGAACGCAAACTAACAGCATTCCAGCGGCACCATGTCTCTGCCCCAGCGACCAGACGCCTCGTCGCCCAAACGAGACCAGCGCCATGTTTTTCGAGAATCACCCTCGCGCCGACGACGACCCTCCGATCTCGAGAACAGACGATCGCACGACCGCACCCCAAGCAAACCCGGAGCCTCCCACTCGTACTCGAAGCCGCTGCCCTCGCCAGGCACACCGGTGCCCATGGATAGAGATCCCATGATGGCTCCACAGCGCGCTCCGGGGGCGCAGGATCTGGGGAGGAAACGAAGCCTGGTTCGCCCCGAGCGACAGCGCATAGATCCAAATCACCCCAACTATCACTACCGAAAGCATGCGCAAAAGATGGCCGTGCATCCCTCGACGACCGGAAATGACCCTATAAGGGAGGACTACCTGGAGGCGGAGACTGTCAGTTCGGATAGCACCGACCTCAAACCCCCTCATTTACGCAACGCATCCGGCGGGGGATACAATGACAAGCAAGCTCCGCTGGACGACGACACTCCCAAACCGCAGCGGCGGCTGACACGCAGCAAGACGATGAAGAAGCTAGAGGAGCAGCGACAGAAGGAGAAGGATGCCATGCGGCCGCCTAGCCTATGGAACGTATATTGCGCCATAATCACATTCTGGGTCCCGGACGCCGTACTGCGATGCTTCGGAAAGCCACAGAAGGCCCAGCAGCGGGCATGGCGGGAAAAAGTCGGGCTTCTCAGCATCATCGTCATCATCTGCGCCGCTGTCGGATTCCTCACATTTGGATTCACCCAGACTGTTTGCCCCAACGGGGGAGGCGTGCGGTTGAGGGTAAACAAAGTCGATCGTGGCTTCCTGATTGTGCACGGCAAAGCCTACGATCTCGCTCGTTCCACACATCCACTTGCCCGCGGGATTCCTGAAGGCGCCAACGTCCTCTTTGATCTACCCGAGAAGCACGGCGGTCAAGATGCTAGTTTCCTGTTCCAGAATGTCAACGGAGCCTGCAAAGGGCTCATCACCGCTGCAGAAGACTCCGACGTGCCCACAGATTCAAATGGTGGTTTGGGTTGGTATTTCCCCTGCCAACTCTTCAACCAGGACGGCTCCACAAAGCCCAATCTCACGATCCCCTACTACCTTGGCTACCAATGTCATACCTCGGATAACGCTCGCAGGGCGTTCTATGGACTCAAGAGCGCGGGCGATGTGTACTTCACCTGGGATGACATCAGAAACAGCTCTCGCAATCTGATGGTGTGGGGCGGCGATGTGCTGGATTTGGATCTTCTGAACTGGTTCAACAAGTCCCAGGTCGCAGTCCCCGACCTATTCGACCGGATTCAAAAGAACCCGGCCGTAAGGGGTGTGGATGTAACCCGCACTTTCTCTTCGAGCTACGAGAAGCAGGTCGCCAGGTGCTTCACCCAAACCATCAAGGTCGGTTCCATCGATACCGAGAGCATTGGCTGCATTGCATCCAAGGTCGTTCTCTATGTCTCTCTGGTATTCATTCTGGCCATCGTCGTAGCCAAGTTCATGCTTGCCTTGGCCTTCCAATGGTTTATTAGCCGGAAATTCGGAGCAGCAAAGACTTCATTAGGAAAGACCGACTCGAAGCAGCGAAAGCAACAGATCGAGGAGTGGAGCGACGATATTTATCGTCCACCGCCAAAACTTATGGACCCTGCCGGAGCTGACAGGTCTAACAAGCGTGGCAGTATATTGCCTTCGACCTCAAGGTTTACCAGCCCGTATGCTATGGAAAAGTCAGCAAAGAGTCGGGCCCCGCCCACTACCATGACCAGCCAAAGCGCTTCGTCTCGCCTTCTTTCCTCATCCCATGGCGGTGGCGGCATGTACAGACAGCTCAATACCAGCCACGGAACTCTTCCAACCTACGACGGGAAGCCATCAGTTCAGGAGAGCCGATCAAGCTTGTTGCTATCAGGGACTACCGAGCAGAACCGCTACTCTAGCGTCATGGGTGAAGTGGAGGGCCCCGGTCCGGCTGGTTTTATCCACGAAGCCGTCGTTCCCCAGCCTCCTCCGGAATGGCAGCCTTTCGGTTATCCATTGGCTCACGCTATCTGCTTGGTCACCGCCTACTCTGAAGGTGCGGAGGGCATTCGAACAACAATTGACTCTATCGCCACCACCGATTATCCTAACAGCCATAAGCTCATCTTGGTTATCTGCGACGGCATGATCAAAGGCAAAGGTGAAGACTTGACTACTCCCGAAATATGCCTCGGCATGATGAAGGACCACGCAGTGCTACCACACGAGGTCGAGGCCTTCTCGTATGTCGCGGTCGCAAGCGGCTCCAAGCGACACAACATGGCCAAAGTCTACTCTGGCTTCTACGATTATGGCGAGGACACCCGCATTCCCACCGAGAAGCAGCAACGTGTTCCAATGATGGTCGTTGTCAAGTGCGGAACCCCCGATGAGGCTAAAAAGTCGAAGCCCGGCAACCGTGGCAAGCGAGACAGCCAGATCATCCTCATGTCGTTCTTGCAGAAGGTCATGTTTGACGAGCGTATGACGGAGCTCGAGTTTGAGATGTTTAACGGTATCTGGAAAATTACTGGCATCTCTCCCGACTTTTACGAGGTGGTGCTCATGGTGGATGCGGACACGAAAGTCTTCCCAGACAGTTTGACGCACATGATCTCCGCCATGGTCAAAGATCCGGAGATCATGGGCCTCTGCGGCGAAACGAAGATTGCCAATAAGCGTGAGTCGTGGGTGTCTATGATCCAGGTGTTTGAGTAAGTGTTCCTTTAAGGTTTTACGATCGCGCCACTGACAGCGGCAGGTATTTCATTTCTCACCACTTGTCCAAGTCGTTTGAGTCCGTCTTCGGCGGTGTCACATGTCTCCCAGGGTGCTTCTGCATGTACCGCATCAAGGCTCCTAAAGGCGGTCAGAACTACTGGGTTCCTATCCTGGCCAACCCGGACGTTGTGGAGCACTACTCCGAGAACGTGGTCGACACGTTGCACAAAAAGAACCTGCTCTTGCTAGGCGAGGATCGATACCTGTCGACGCTGATGCTGAAGACGTTCCCCAAGCGAAAGCAGGTCTTTGTGCCTCAAGCCGTCTGCAAAACCACGGTACCCGAAAAGTTCAGCGTCCTCCTGTCACAGCGCAGGCGATGGATCAATAGTACGGTCCACAATCTGATGGAGCTGGTGCTGGTACGAGATCTGTGTGGCACCTTCTGCTTCAGCATGCAGTTCGTCGTGTTCATTGAGCTTGTCGGAACCCTGGTCCTGCCCGCCGCCATCGCTTTCACATTCTACCTGAGTAAGCCCGCCGTTCTCTTCCGAAAAGCCAGGGTGCGCTGACTTTATTTAGTTGCGATCTCCATCAAAGCCGCCGTCCTGCATACCGAGGCGCCTGTTATTCCACTTGTGCTGCTGGCGCTCATTTTAGGTTTGCCAGCCGTGCTCATCGTCGTGACGGCCCATCGATGGTCCTATGTTGCCTGGATGTTTGTCTACCTGCTGTCGCTGCCCGTCTGGAACTTCGTGCTTCCGGCGTATGCGTACTGGAAGTTTGACGACTTCAGCTGGGGCGACACGCGCAAGACGGCGGGCGAGAAAACGAAGAAGGCCGGCCTCGAGTATGAGGGCGAGTTCGACAGCAGCAAGATCACGATGAAGCGGTGGCATGATTTCGAAGCAGGTAAGCGCTCACCCTCCCCTCAGTCCTCGTCGGTTCTGTGAAGAAACCTCAGCCGCTGACTTACGCGCCTGCAGAACGGAGACTTAAGGCACCAAGCACTGCCGGTGGCGGCGGATGGTCGCAGCAGACCACGACATCGGCTGGAGGGTGGCCTCCTCCGCTGCCTACTCAGCAGCAGTAGGGATTCGACTCGTACTATGATAATTGATTTCCGCAGTTGTGGCGTCGTGTAGGATGAAAAGCCGTAAAAGATTGCATTGTTTGTGTTACGCTGGGGTGACGGTTCTTACTGCATCGTCGCTAGGGTTCTTGCATTCTCGTGGAGCGTCTGGAGCAGCGTTCGGGAGCTTATCCCTTTTTCTATCTCACAGGTTCGCGTCTGTAGATGTTGGGCATGTACAGCGGCCATTTAGTAGCTAGTCATAGTGGTAATATTCATATTTTGATGCTGGTGCATGCGGTCTTTGTCACGGATGCATGTATGAGGCGATCAGCGATGCCAGCTCCAACTCAACTCCGGAATATAACCCCTAAAGGACTTCACGGGGTAAAAACATGCCCGTCTTATCCCCTTGCCCTGTCGCCTGAATTTCCGCAGCGAGCGAACATGGCAGCATTTGTACGCCTGAGCCATAGTTCAAGGCGCACAGAATCAGAAACGGGGCCTCCTCGCCGGCCCCGTGTGACTGTCCTTGCCCCCGACAGCTGCGGCACTACTGCGCTTCGCTCTCGAAACGGACGTGACAATTCGCTTCCTGACGCTTGCTGGAACTCTCCGCCGTTACACAGGCTAATTCGTGGACCAACGAAAAGCAAGACGGCGGGCCCCCTCGCTCAGTGCTCGTTGCGCAGCCCGAGGCGGGCGACCGAAAAGAGCCAGAAACGGCTTACGACTGTCTACGGGGCGACTTGACTCCAGGGCTTGGGGGACCGAGTGGTGTCTCTCCTCCGCACAAGGGTCGTGAGTGGAGGGGACGTTGCATGTGTTGGCTTTTGCCATGTGTTCGTTGTGCGCGTTGTGCTGCGCCAGCGAGGGTGGGCTTTTGCGGCTTTGGCCTTGCTTCCCCCTCCCCCGCCTTTTCTTGGACTGCGTGCATGGACTTGTAGGGAGGGGACTGGTTTACAGTGTGTCTATTGTTGCACCAACGCTGCTGAGCACGCTGGGTCCCGTCCGCATGGCCGTGGGCCGGGAAGGGATTCAAGCAGCGCTGACATTCAGGGCAATGTTATGAAAGCGATGGCCGTTGTGGTTGCTGTGCTCCCCGCCCGTTCGTGCGGTCTCGAGTCGGGTCTAGAGCGGAAAAGGCGTCTGGGGGCGAGGCATTAACCTCGTACATCTCCCGTCTTTTCTGACTTCGCTCTCAAGCGCTGCACAAAACAGACTCCTTCTGGCAGCGTCGGCAGGGCGAAGACGGGCCCACCTTTTGACGTGTCGCTTGCGCGCCGTGAGACGCTGGGCAGCGGGTGTCCCGGAGGTAAACTCGTCGTGCGCTATTTGAGCCCGTCTTTTATCCGTCCCGTGCGTGTCGAGGTGAGCGGCGGTGCATAGGGAGAGGCTTTTGGGCGAGGACTGACCACCTTATGCAGAAGAGCAGGCCAATACACAATAAGCCGGCTGCAGCTGATCGCCGGTACTTGTCGCTGGCCTCCGAGCGTGCATGCTGGCGCTGGCGCATTCGAGACGAGACAGCGCACCCCACGCCAATCCAGCGTCGACCCTGTGCATGCGGTAACCCGTGCCGGAGGAAGCAGCGGGCCTGCAGCGTGCTTGCCATACAAAGCGTCGCCATTTGCCATTTGCGCCTGCCTTCCAAGGTTCGAGAAGCCGGCGCCGTGCATCGCAGCTTCCCCACGCCCGAGTCTGCTGCAGCAGCAGCAGCCCAGCAGCCGCGCGAATCCTCTCAACTGCAGGTCCGAAAACTTCTGCAAGCGCACGCGCGTGTATTCGGCCGCCTGGTGTCTTATTAAGGGCCTCCAGGACTGGCTGTCGGGGTCTGGGGACTCCAGGCATCGATGGCCAGCTCATCCCCCTCGGCACAGAGCGAGCACACTTTCGCCTCGACACCCGGCGCCACGTCCACGTCCTTTACCTTCCAGTCGCATACGTCGTCACTTGGAGCTAGCGAACCGCCTTCACCGGAGGGCTTCTCGGCCGCCGCGATACTCGCCACCCTCCACGACAGCAGACCGCCGACCAGCCACGGCGACGATGCGGACGTGTTCGACGACGACGACGACGATAGCGGAGGCATATCTTTGGTAGATGACGGACAGGGTCTCAGCGCGCCTCACCTACAGGCCATGTCTGTGCCGGTCCTGCCCGCTAGCATTGGCGATATTCTACAACCCTCGAACGGCCAGTCGTACTCGGACATGGAGTATTCCTCCTCTTACGCCGCGCTAGACCAGCATGCCTCAATGCTGGCGTCTCTCACCATGGAGCAGCTGCCAACTCCTCCGGCGGAGTCCCCAACCATGCTGACACTACAGATGGCCCCCGCAGGCGGTCCGCCGACCTCCATGCATGTCGTTCAGGAGCCTACCCAGAGTACCTACGAAGAGCATCTGAGCATTCAGGACGTCTCAGCCTTCATCGATATTACGAGCTTCTTCCACTACTACGCGGCCCCGCCCAAGGTCTTGGTACGAGGTCTGGATGCCGTAAAACAGCCAGAGGCTATTACGCGGGACGACATAAAAGGCGACGGCTACGATTTCCAGGGCATCAACTGGGACGAGCGGTCTTCGACGCGGGCTTCCATTCGCGCTACACGGACCGCTTTTGAGGGCTCGCGGTTGCAGTCGAAGGTGAAACGGTTTCGACAGGTATGACAGGTCTACGTGGATGTACTAGTTCATGAGCGGTGCCGTCGTAGGGTTTGAATACTTCCCCAGCGGACTGAGTTGGGCCCAGCAGCACTGACCCTGGTGTATCTACCAGGCGAAGCAATGGGGAGTACGGAAGGCGTATCACAGACGCCCATGAACTAGTGCACCACGCGGTCTTTGCTATTGGCATTTCACTGACGTCTCCAGTGGCACGAGCAAACTCCCAACACTGAGAACTATTTCTCTTTCCGGAGGATGAATACGAGACACCGCGCCTACTTCCCGCACTTCCAGCTACGCAATCTCCTGGCCTCGACCTCGAGGAACGACATATATTATGCGACTAAGGACGGACTACTACGTACGGACGCCTCCGGCACGACCCCTACTTTCGTCATCGACAATCGCAAGCGAACTATACACGGCAACGCCTGTCTGATCACCACTCTTGCGGCTACTGATAACGTCTTGATCGCAGGCGGCTTTGAAGGCGAATACGCCATTGCCAATCTCTCGGCCTCTCACGGCACGCCCTATACAACTGGTGTCATCAAGGATTGCTCTCCAGACACCAAATCATGGATCACGAATCACGTACACCTCTTCAACTCTCGCACTACCTATGTGCCGCAAGCAGTCCTCTGTTCGAACGATTGGCGTTTACGCATCCTGGACTGCGAGACGAATAGATTCACCCACTCCTTTCTCTACCCGTCAGCCGTAAACTGCTCGGCGACGAGTCCGAACGGCCGCATGCGTGTCGTAGTAGGCGACTTTCACGAGGCGCTCATCACAAACGCCGAAACTGGCCAGCCCTTCGAGACGCTAAACGCGCATGTTGATGACGTCTTTGCCTGCGACTGGGCAGACGATGGCATCCACGTCGCGACTGCCGCCCAAGACTCCACCATCGTGGTATGGGACGCCCGGAATTGGAAGAAACCAATCACCACTCTCTTCTCTGAGCTTTCGATCCCCCGTGTACTCCGGTTCTCACCAATCGGCAGTGGACCTCGTGTTCTCGTCGCAGCCGAAGCAGATGATTACGTCAACGTCATCAACGCCCAGACGTTCGAGTCGAAGCAAGTCTTTGATTTCTTCGGGCCGACAGCGGGGATCAGTATGACGCCTGACGGTCAATCCTTATTTATCGCCAACGCCGAGAGAAGATTCGGCGGCATCATCGAGCTCGAGAGGACTGGGTGGGCCGAGTTCACGAGATCCAGAAGGCCCCCAGAGCCCTATATGGAGGCGGAGATGGTCGATTGGGAGTCGGATGATCATCTCGACGACCGTAGCCGGGTGCCATGTGGCTTCCGGGAGCGCGAGAGGAGGGGGATTGATCTAGGTAGTCTCCTCGTATGACACGCTTTTGTAGATGTGTGGCTTATTTGGTGAGTTATGCCGGAATTATCCACCTGATATTGGTATCATTTCTCTCTTTATTTCAATTTTCACTTCATTCACACAGAAAAACTTCAAGATACTCCTTGGCTCACGGCATTTCTTTCTTTCCTCTCAGTTGGAAAATTATTCCTCGAGTGGCTTTTTGCTTTTGTCTTTTTGCACGATAGATACCAGAGCATCGGCATTGCGTCGGTGTTTTCGCAAGGAACCTTGGAGGACCCATCATGGGAAGAGTATGGTTGTGCGGGATATTTTGATATATGGGTGGATGGAATGGTATTAGTGGATTTGGATTTGCATAGGAATGGGAATGGGAATGGGAATGGGAACGGGAATATAAGATTAGGACTTGGGATACCCTCGCGGGTTGGATGACTGAAAATTCGGGTATATCTAGCGCATTGGTAGGAACATATTTCTGAGTGTGTCCTTAATCTTGTCTTTTTGTCGGTCTTGTTCGGAGTTGCGGTTCCACATCAATATGCGGGAGGTTCGGCCGTAACACGCTCCATTAGTCGCGCGAGAACTCAGAGCTACCGTACAAAGGTAAGACTACAACTACGCCCTATGGGGCGCCTGAACTAGTAGGTAAGCATTAAATCAACGCGGCTTGGCTGTATGGATTAGGCGATTGGAGGTTACTTTCAGGACTGTTTCTTGCCCGTCCTTCTCACAATGGCACCTAATCGGATCGTAGAGTTGTCAGAGACTATCCAAAACCACACCAAGATCGTAGACGACTATCTCGAAGCAAACAATCTTCCCACTCCCTCCTTTGATATCTCCACTCCGCTACGTCTTCCCCTCCCCCCGGACATCCAAGTTAGCCAAGCTGCGGTCCTCGATGCCGCTGACGAGTTGACGGCGCTGATGCTAGGGCCCGCGGGCTCGCTGGTGGGTAGAGTGCAGGTCTGTCTGTCCTCCAAGTATACCATCCCCGAATGACGTGAAAGCAACACTGACCAACCACCCCCCGCGTAGTTCAACTCCCTAACCAGCCTCCAAGCCATCGAAAGATTCGCCCTCGCCAAATCCTTCCGGCCCGGCTCAACCGCCTCCTTCGCCCAAATCGCGCACCACTCCTCCCTCCCCGAACCCGACACCCGCCGCATCCTGCGCCACGCAATCGCGCAGTACATCTTCACGGAACCCTCCCCAGGCATCGTCGCGCACACCGCCGCCTCCAAAGCGCTCGCCGAGCTCCCCCCGCTCGCGCACTGCGTCGCCTTCCTCGCGGGCGAGATGTGGCCCGCGTCCACGCGGCTGGTCGATGCGATGCAGCGCTGGCCCGGGTCCGAGGAGCCGGGGCAGACGGGCTGGGCGCTGGCGGAAGGGACGGAGACGCCGATGTTTGAGGTTGTGGGACGGGAGGGGGAGAGGGCGCGCCGCATGGCGGGCGCGATGCGGTGGATGCATCAGGGGAGCGGGTATGGCGCGGGGCATGTTGTGGAGGGGTTTGCCTGGGGCGAGGCCGCCGAAGGGGGCATGCTGGTGGATGTCGGGGGTGGGACGGGGGGTGTGGCGGTGGAGATTGCGCGGATGCTGCCGCGGGTGAGGTGTGTGGTGCAGGATCTGCCGGATGTTGTTGCGGGCGCGGAGGTACCTGAGGATTTAGGGGAGGGCAGGGTGAGGTTTATGCAGCATGATTTCTTCGAGGAGCAGCCGGTTAGGGGCGCGGATGTGTATTTGCTTAGGTGGGTGCTGCATGATTGGAGTGATAAGTATGCTGTGCGTATCTTGCGGAATTTGGTGCCCGCGCTGAAGAGGGGAGCGAGGGTACTGGCTGTGGATTTGTGTCTTCCGCCGCCGGGGGCGCTGTCGCCGTATAGGGAGCGGAGTGTGAGGTAAGTCTCTGCATCCCCTTTTCCTGTCTCTTTTTTTTTCTCCTGAGGGTGGAATGTTGATTAGAGCGGCGTTTTAGGACGTTCGACCTCGCTATGAAAGCTATCCAGAACGCTAAGGAGCGCGATGCTGAGGACTGGAAGATGTTGTTCCAGACCGCGGATGAGAGGTTTAAGATGGGCGAGATTAGCAAGCCGGAGGGGAGTAACTTAAGCTTGATTTGTGCGGTTTGGGAGGGGGACTGACGTGAGGTGGATGGATGGTTAGGATGAGGTACAGTTGCGCGTCAAAAGTTCGGTTACACGTTAGCGCGACGCGTTCATCACCACCCACCCAAAACTTCCACCCACCTACACAATGCCGCCACGCCGTCAATTTGGCCAGGAAATATCGGGAAATATAATCCGGAGTCGTAGATTATCCCCAAACGATCGTACACGAATTATCGCGAAGTCTGAAGCCGGCTGTAGTGCTCTAGAGTTGGCGGCGGAGTTTGGCGTTACCTGGAAGTGCATATACGACACACTTCGAAGATGGAAAAATCACCACACAACTCAGGATTTGCCTTGCAGCGGACGTTCTCCACACTTTACGCCTCGCCAGATTCGCCAGCTATATCGTCTTGCTCGAAAATCGCCGAAAATTGAGTACTAGAAGCTTATCACCGACGCTGGGTTCACTATACCTAATAGCCGCCTATCGAAGTCTACCGTATATCGAGCGCTCAAGAAACAAGGGTTAAAGAACTACAGGTGTAAGAAGAGGCTAAAAATTAATCGCGTAAGTGCGTTGAAGCGCCTTAAGTTTTGTAGGGAGCACCAGAATTTTAAGTGGAGAAGGCGGCTGGTTAGGTTCTCTAATGAGTGCTCTGTACAGAAGACCTCTGGCCACAACACTGAGTGGTGTTTTCGATACCTAGAAGAAAAATAGAAGCCAGAGATAATTACAGAGGTCCCTAAATCGCGTCCGCCGGCTTAAATGGTATAGGGTTCAATATGGCTCGATAATCGGGGTCGCCCGCGACGGAGTCCCCTAATCATCATGGAACGCGATAACACCTCCGCGCGCAATGGGTACACCACCTGGAGCTATCTAGAAGCCCTTAAGGAAGGCCTTATACCGTATTACAAACCTGGGGAAATATTTGTACAGGATAACGCTCGTATACACACCTCCTACGAAGCTCGCGAGTTCTTGGAGTCGCATGGCATCTGGGTGGCACAATGGCCACCTTACTCACCAGACCTCAACCCGATCGAACACCTCTGGTGGGCTCTCAAAAAGCTACTCCATCGCGATTATCCACAGTACGCCAATTTTAGTACAGCAGAAAGTAAGTGGGATGGCTTTTGTGAGGCTCTGAAGGCGTCGTGGCGGAAAATACCTAATGCGCTTATCAAGACCCTCATACTTAGTATGCCGCGACGACTAGAGGCTTGCCGTAAAGCCCGAGGGCGGCAAACGAAGTATTGAACACTAAATTATCGAAACCGCCAAAAAAATTCAGTATATAGAGTATTGTACGATAAATATTTACAAAAAGGTGGGTTGAAAATGGTGGGTGATGAAGCCCGTGCGTTGAGCTGTAACCGAACTTTTGACCTAGTACTGTAGAATATTGGGAGGTATGGTGGTGGAGATGTGCATCATCACCTGGGAATCTATCCACAATCTGCCTGCAAAGGCTCGTACGAATGTGATGACGGCTTTGTTTTGGCGCAAGGTCATGTATACCCGGGAAGCTTGCCTTTAGTACGTAGGCCTAATGTGAGGTCTTCAATTAGGTGGGTGTATAGAGACTTCGATGCTGTCCTGGTGCTCTGGCATGGTAGTGCCCCTTCGGAGCTGGTGAATAGAGCATGCTTCGTTCTTCCCAGCCCCATATGGCGTACGCGGAGTGCCGGATTCGAAGCCAAAGGCCATCATCACACGTTGATCTGTCGACCGACGTGTTTTACAGTCTCCCGAAGAGGTGAAGATATTATACCCTGACTTGCTCCAAGTAGAACATGCTGGACGTCTTTTATATAGAATCAAAAGCCCGGGAGGGAGACATATCTTCTCCGTGTAAGGGATTTTGTACAGCCATGCCTGTTGTTGCGAATTTCTTTGGGCTTGTTTGGAGTTTCTCCACAGGAGCGCGCGGAAGAAAATACCGGGGGCAGTGAGCATTAAGGACTGGACGTCCCAGGCGCGCGCATGCAACAGTCAAGTGCCTCTTTTTGGGTCGGACGAGGGCCAACGGAAGGCAGTGAAGGTCTCCAGGAGGAGTCCCAAGCCATGTCGCAATGTTTCATCCGATTTTGGCGATTGTTACTGGTAGGCGGAGAGAACAAAAATTGGCGCTGTGAAAACTGCGAGATAGCGCTCTGGAGCCTTCTTGCGCAGTACCATGCTGAGGCCGGGAAAGGCTCACAAACACCATGCTTGGAGGCCGACAAGCTTTGAGAGAAGCAGGAAGAGAGACAGCAACCATCAGCTACTTCCACTATGCATTTTGGAAGTCGACGTCGGAATAGTGCGACTCAAGCTAGTCTATCTGCTGACTGCCTTTCGTTTTTAGAGAGACGGCAGAGCTAGAACATGCATCTTTTCCGCCTGAATTTTGGACTAAAGAAACGCTTCCAAGGCCTCGGACCATAGGTGCTGCTGTAATAGCATTTTAGTATGCTTGAGAAGGTTCGTAGGTCTTTTAGGCCGAGATGGCGGACTCATGACAAGGAGCGTAAACGTATTCGGGACTTAGGCGAGGTTTTTATAGGTGACGCGCTATACAGAATCTTCGGTGGGGACTTTCCGCGGACGAGAGGAAGACGCATGTCGCGCTCTGGATCATTCTTGTGACCCGGAAGCGGCGGAGCGCTTTCCCTCCATAACAAGATTCTAACGAGTTTCTAAGCTAGCTCGGGGGGAAGGAGCCGAAGCTGCGACCATACCAGGGCCGGGGACACGTTTTGGAGAAGAGTCCCTTAATTGGAAAAGGGATCAAGCAAGACAACCATTGCCTCTCTCACATCTTGAAGCCTCACATGTTCCCGGAGGCGAACTCGAGCAAACACCATAACACCAGACCAATGAAGCTTTGGTCAAGAATAAGGCCCAGTGTTGAAGTCGGGGAAAGGGATTCCTACATGTCGAAACTTGATAACTACTTGTGGTACGGATTTTGGCATGATGAGAGGTGGAGGGAGTTCGCGAGAAGGACCATGCTCCAAGAGGTGCGTGTTTCTGTACTACCCATGGAATACTTGATGTTCGATCGTTTTGAGATAAGCGGTGGGATGGCGTCCAAATGTGCGTAGGCCAGCAACGCGGCAACCTATGAGCAAGATTTTGGGAATCGAGATTCCAAGGTCTAGCGAAGAAGCATTCTTTGTACTTCAGGCGACTTTTTCGGAAGAAGAAAGTGCAGCTTCATTTTTTATGGTGTGAGATCTTTGTAGAGACATATGGAAGTGCTGAGCTTGAAGTATCATCGCCCAGACAAACACATGGTGTTGAGAGCCGTAATTTTTAGTCGGAAATCCTGGCCTTGGGATTCTCTCGAGAATGGAACGACAGTGCAAGGTTATGTAGTAGCTAAGACTAAAGCTTAGCCGCGGACATGTGTAAGTAGTCCCGCCGATTTTCGTAATTTGGTATCGGAAAGACAAATGTGAAGAGATTTCCTGGCTGTTCAAGCGACATCCCCTCGCCGCATTCCCGCAGCTCTTTTCCTACACGCATGCAGAGAATTGCCAGGGCCCCCGGAGTACTTCATTTTCAGGTCAAACATCATTGGGCGCGCCTATTTCTGCTATTTTCGACGACTTAGTCCCAGTTACCAGCATCTGTGTCAACTCATCAGCAACTTCGAAGCCCTAAAAGACGTATAGAAATCAACGTACACAGGGCACAGCACCAGAAGCGCACAGCACCCCAAGTGCAATCGTAGCCGCCTTCCACCCAAAGGCATCCTGCAACCCGCCCGCAGCTAGTGGCCCTAGCAATCCGGCAGCTGCCAGTGAGCAGTTCATGAGGGAGAAGCTGCTAGCGTACATATCGCAGTCCGATATCTTCGATTGTTCTTCTGCTATGAAAGAGCACTCCGCGCCGAGCGGTGAAAGGAAGAAGATGATGGTGGATCCTGGTTTGATCAGCTTCGCCTGTTAGCGCGGATGTAGATATTTAACCTACCAGCCAAGGTGAGAAGCCCACAAAGAAGGATCTTCTGGTTCAAACTTTCGTGGTCTACAAGTCGCAGCAACAGTAGAGATGGCGCGGTGAGAAGAAATCCAGAAACGGCGACCCATCGTGCGCCAAACCGGTCTGAAATGGCACCTGCGAGCGGGCCGGCGAGTGCAGGAATAGCGATAGTCAAGAATAGGAGGCCGACGGGAAGAGCGGTCCACTGGAACGTAGAATGGACGAAGAGGGGTAAGATCGCGCAGAGAGCGGCGACGATGCATTCGTTGATGAAGACACCGTACAGAGCTGCGAGCAGGCGCGGAGATCGAAGCAGGGCGATGATGCCGGGTAGTCTCCTAGAGGTGGACTGAGTCGTCGGACGTTGGGATCTATCCTTGTGAGTGACTTCTGTTGTTTCTACCACCACGGACTTCGAAGCAGAAAGGGCGCCAACACCGGAGTCTGGGCGAGCCTCTTCGACCGAATAAGGAGGAAGCACATCGTCCTTTTCGCTGTGGGCGTCATGAGCGGGCGATGACAGCCCCCGCGGCGGCTCCTTCATGAGCAGTCTGAGGGCTATATCAAAAGCGCCCAGTCCGATCATGATACCGAATACCGCAGACTTTCCAGCCCTATCGTACACTATCCCTCCCAGTAACGGAGAGATAATGATGCCGATGTTATTGCAGCTCATTGCTGTACCCATCCATTGGCCGACCTCATCCTTCCCGATGATATCGACGAGCACCGCAAGGCCGACAGTGTAAAGGATAGACGATGAGAGGCCTTGCAGGATGCGGCTGCAGATTAACATTGCAAGGTTGGTGGAAAATCCGAACAGTATACTGCCGGCCGTAATCAGGATGATGCCGATCCACCAAGGTACACGCCGGCTACTATTACGATCCACATACCAAGCGCATAGTGCTTCATTCGTCAGTGTTGAGCGTTTGAGGGCTTGATGAAGCACTCACGTGCGCCGAAGAAGTCCGCTATCGAGAAAGCCGCAATCAACAGGGACGTAGATAATTGTACTGCACTGGTCAGCCAAGAGAGGTCCGGCGATTGCTGGTTAAACGTACGTTTACCCTCCGTTACGAGCTTCTGGTCTTGAAGTATAAACGGTATGCAGGGTGCTACGATGCCATAAATGAAACCATCCTGCGAATGTTAGCATGATGAATAGAAAAGAGATCCTTCGAAGGCTTACTGTAAACATGGCAGTACATATCGTGAAAAGAACTAGTGCTCTGGAGCTCCTGAAATCTTGTATTTGTGAGGCAGACATCGCGATGGAAAGGAGTGTGGTGAATGCTAAGCAACTTCAACGAATGTGCGTCGCTCGAAGGAATGTCAACGTCAAAGAAAGTACGAAATATTATGGTCGATTTGAGCAACTGCGAGCACGAGGAGGAAAGCTGCCAAGAGCTAGAAAAGCCATACCCAACGAGCTGAGAGACATGGCGCAAGAAGAGAAGCTGAGTGTGACAACTATCGACGGTATGCATAAGTAATAGTACAGCGCGAATCGCTTCGAAATGAAGCATCGTAGTCTAGACACCAACCGGCTAAGCTGTACCGTGTCTGAAAAATGGATAGCGTACTTGACTACAGTCGACTACGGCGAATTTGCAGCCACAGGGGACGCCGAGTCCGAGACGCCAAGGATGAATGTCAGACCAATGCGTAGGTCTCGCGTGGCCTCGTGGCACTTGCGGCTGTCGACTCCTGGTCCAAAACCTATTTTGGATAACCGCGTGGCCCTATGGACTCGATTCGTAGATATATCGGCTGTCTAGAAACTGAAACGGACTAGTTTCGCGAATTATAGGCCAGAGGGTGGCATATGTGGCGTTGCGGCTGAACAAGCTTAGCCGCCAAGGCGAGGCTGTCAGCTCCCTCCATACTCGGTGGCAGCTTCGTAGCGCGAAGCCACTAGCATTATTCGACGGCAGCGTCATGGACAGCGAGAGGAAGTGGAAATGTGCAATATTGAGAATATAGCATAGGCGAAGCCTTGTCCCGAAAAGACGGGATTGCTCGAATCGACTGGCCCCTGTGGCTGCGTGTTTCTTAGCACTTGGAAGTATGTTGATATAATCCGCTCTATCCTCCTGATGGTCGAATAGCTCTGTTGCATCTAAAGCCTCCCTACGTCGTGCCATTTCTCCGCAAAGCTCAGGCGGACAGACTCCAGCGCTGCGTGTAAAGGCGGATTGCTATTCGAATTGGAGCCCTGGTCCATATTTCTTCCCTCATTGTCTTCCATAATGGCTCCCGCTCTTCTCTTCGACGAGGACTTCTTGTCTCGGGCGCAGGACCTCGCCACATTTCCAGCAGCGACGAAATCGCCTCTTCCGAAGATCGCCGAGATACACTCCGCGGCGTACGAACGGGAACAGGACCTAATAAACGACATTGTTGATAGTTTGAAGGCGTCAGGTGGTTGTTTGCTGCGTGGCATGTATCAGCAATGCACGCTCGACGTAATGGAAAAAGAGATTCGACCATACATTGAATCGACGGGGATGGCTGATTCCGAACGGGACGATTTCGTACCTTCGTCAACCAGGATGGTCACTGGGCTTCTGAGCAAGTCGCGGACCTATGCTCTATCAGTAGCTGGAAATAAGATCTGGCATCGCGTTTGCGACTACTTCTTGAGTAGCAAACTCACAAATTCATGGGTAAGTTCCTCGAACCAGATTCTTTGACGCGGATGGCTTGTTAACGTGGATGGCTTATAGCACGGAAATGAATCTCGCACGAGTATAAGTAAGCCTCAACTCAGCACGACGGTCACATTCTCGGTCGGACCCGGTACGCAAGCACAAGGACTCCATCGCGATGACGACATTTACCACACTCAACATCCAGCCGCGGCCCAGCATCACCTCGGCCGTGATACCATGTTGTGCCTCTTCGTCGCGGGTAAGACCTGTACGAGGCACAATGGCGCAACTCGTGCCGTACCCGGCAGTCATCTCTGGGACTATACCTCACCTCCGCCCTCTTACGAAACCTCGCCAGAGAAGTTCGCTCACGCGGAGATGGCACCGGGCGATGCCTTTTTGATGCTGGGCGGCGTCTATCATGGTGCAGGATCGAATACCACAACAGACGAAGAGAGGCTGGTATATGCGGCGTTCGCAACGCGAGGATACTTGCGCCAGGAGGAGAACCAGTACCTCGCGAATGATCTTCAGAAGATCAAGGAGCTTCCACTCGAGTTGCAGAGGTTCGCTGGATTTGGTGCGAGTAAGCCGTACATGGGTTGGGTGAATATGGAGGAGCCAGTCAAGATCCTCAATCCTGAGGTAGAAGTTGGCGACATTGGCTTTTGGTAAATGGTGTTATTCGCGGTTGCAAAGCTAATCGAGGGGTTCCACGGGGGATGAGGCGGCACCGAAAAAGTAATCTGAGCATGTTGGAGTTTTTCGATTCGTTCTTTAGCATTTGATAGGCGCGTAGCCTGTTTCAATGGAGAGTTCTCGGTTCGAAAGATCCAGTCCGCCAGTTGTGCTTTTCTCGTCGCATTTCTGACCAAATGTCCCTGCGCGATGCCCGTATGCTGCCGACTCGGTCGGAACGCTCATTCGGGAGAGAGGTTTGTATCCTGATGGATGCTGTCCTTTGGGTTTGAAACCGTAATGTACTTCTTGGGCGTGTATTTCCCTTGCATGTCTTCGTTCGAACCGATCCCATCTCTAATGCGCAAAGGCCCAGACCTGGCATAGACGTTAAACTTGCTGCACACGGGGTTGAAGCTGGAGGGGCATCGCCCACGGCGGAGGGGATAGAGAGCGGAGCAAAGATCTAGATGTCAAGCGAAATCGGCAGGCTGGTGATTATGTCATCGCCGTTTCATCCCAACTTCAATCCATCAGCGGCAGCGTCTTTCCGCCCCGTCTTTGTCCGTACCCATCAGATACGAGCTACAAAGAAGTGGCTGAATAGTGTCAGTTCCCAATATCTAATCTTCATTATCTCCTCGCCCCAAAAAGCCGCCGGACCCGTCGACCGACCTACGTAGGCCATTACCGTTGCATCGCTTGTTTCCCTTACGCGTAGGAAGGTTCCAAAGTTTTCAGGAAGGCTCACAGGTCTCTTGAATCTAATTTCCTAGCGCTTGTCTTCGTGTCGTCGTCTTGTGGGTTCTGCACAACTAAACGATTCGGTCCCTATGTTCGTATCAGCGAGCTTCATCAGAGCGCCTCCTTCAGAATGGCCGCGAGACGCTTGAGACTTAGGGAGGCTGTAGACCTTTCAAAGACCTTTCAAAATGCTAACTTTATCTGATTTCTCATTACTTGTACTGAATACCTTTTGTGATGAGAAGCATGGAAGCGCCGCGGAAGAGACGGATGCGGCACCGGCCGCTCCCCCAGGAATCCTCATCTAAAAAGATGCTGAGCTTCTTCAGCGGTGGATGTTTGGAAAGATCGCTATCATGCAGCGTAGAGGAAGCTAGCGCCAGGCATAGAAGAGACGGAGATATTCAGCTCCACGTCGGAAAGTCGCGCTTCTGCAGACCATGCGTGCATCTGAACTCCCACAAAACCATCAGGACCCCGCTCAGAGGCCGTCGCGCGCCTTCCGTTTTTGCCTCTCGACACGGTCACGCGCACACGCACGCGCCCCTCCACTCAGAGCGACCAAAATCCGGCGCACCTCACCTACCTACCCAGTACGCGCACGCGGATCGTTATTGCGTATATATATTTCTTAATTGCAGTAGTCTGTCACAAATCGACCGATTGATGAGAGAGTGGATAGCGCCTAAGATTCCACAGACGATCAACCTACTCTCTTAGAGGACGTCGGTTCGATTCAGGTCCTCGAGATGTGGTCTGAGGCTGACCCCCCAATAAAACCGCAAGGTTTTCCCAAGAGACATTAAGTTAGTAGCGCATGTATTAAGGCGCCCTGGGCTCAAATTGGTTTTTTGCACTTTTTTTTGTCATTTTATAGTCCTTCTTTTGTCATTAAAAGGTTGGAAGGTGGGTGGAGCTGAGTGGTCTGTGCTTTAGAGTGGTTGGAGAGCGCTTTGGGAAAGAGCTGGCGGCCATAAGAGACAGGCCCTTAGTGCGAAGCTTTCGTTTTTGCGATGGCATGCTGCGTGCGAGGTAGCAGCGACTCTTAGCAGACAGATGAGGAACTTGTGGACGTCTTCTAGGAAACCTCTACGCTTTCTCCGGACGACGCCAGAGCACCTCCCAGACAATGATCCAAAACAACACGCAAACGCGACAACTCCACACCAAAGCTCCCTGCTTCAGCGCCGCAGACTGCCGAGAACCACCTTCATCCTCGCAAACGCACGAGCACCGAAAATCACATCGAAGCCATCGCGCTCATCACCATGCTACACAACAGGACTACCGCCTCAACCATCCTCAGCATCATCTTCAACGTTACCAAATACAATGTCACAGCCGCCGTCGGCTTCACGGTCCTCAACCGCATCTTCCCCGAGCCGACGAACCACTGGCTCTGCACGCCCCTCAAGCTCAACACGATCGCCGTCATGACTCTCATCGCATACCCCACTTTATGGTTCGTCGGCAAGCTGTGGCCATTGTGGTTGATGGGGACGTCGCTGTGGGATGCTATTCATGGGACAGCGACGCCGCAGCATCAGCACTGGATACAGAACAGGATCCTCGAGAGTTTCGGAATCACGTAAAGGGAGTGAGGAGACGGGCGGGGAATGGTACGCGGAGTGTTGGGGTTGAAGGTATCTGGGTTGTGGCATTCATTTTTGTGTATGCGAAGGGCATACGCGCTCCGATCCGATACGACTTGCATCATCAAGCTCATTGAGGAAGCAAGCATTCAAAGACACGCGATATGAACACGATCTCGCGTTGATCCACATTAATTTGCTCAGTGAGGCAAGGACATTTCCGCAGATTGCGTAGACGTGAATCCTGTTCATGCTTCTTCCCGTACCGGGTTAGCGCGACCGTCACGCGAGGCCAGCGGCTCGTCGAAGACAAAGCCATGCTAGGCGTGCTTTTCAGCGTCTTTATCTCAGTTCAATGCACTGGAATACGCGATTCCGTATCTTTGTTCCCCATCCACGCCCTTTGCCAGACCCTCCCTTTGTCTTCCTCGCCAACTCCGAGCCCAACCTAAAGTACATGCGCGACCCCAACCTTTGCACATTCACGCCTTTACTCCCATCCTCCATCCTCCATCCCATACGACACCATTTCCGCTATAAGCATGGCCGCCCGGCGCCTCGACAGCCCCACCGCTGTCTCACCATCATCTTCCTCCTGTGGACGTCAACGATCCTCCATGACACCTAATCCGCCTTCCACAGCGCGAATTGTTCCACCAACGGAGCAGAACCAGTTCCTCGCCACTCTGTTCTCTTACTTCCCCCTCCCGCCACCAGCGCCAACACCGCTTGACCGCGTGCTTTTCATCCCGTATTGCGTCCTGGCCATCTACTTCCTCGACATCCAGCTCATCGTGGGAGGACTTACGCTCGTCATGCTTCTCATGGCGGGGTTGTATTTTGCGTGGATGTCGTATTGTCATGTGAAGGGATTTGTGGTGATGGGTTATGAGGGTGCGATGGAGTGCTATAGGTGGGAAAGCTTTTGGGAAAGAGAAGAGGGCTGAGTGGGAAAAAACCTGAGCGCAGGAGCCAGTAAGATAGCGCAATGGTGGTAGGAAGGGCATGAAAATGATATGAACGTGGAACTCGTTTTTCTCAAATCCTGGATCTCAAAATGTAAATCGCCGTCCCATGTTCGCAGTTGGACGTCATTAGCTAGTGGCCCTCGCGCTACCTACTCTTGCCCCACTTGCTTTTCTTCTTCTTCCCACTCTCCTTGAGCTTCTCCGCCTCTTTGTATGCCTCCTCCACCGCATCGCCCGCCTTCCTCTTCTTATCCTTGCCCGTCTTCACGCTGACGGTCATGCTATTTCGTCCGCCCTCCGTGGTAGCTTTATAAATCTGGCGTTCGGCGTCTGCCCAGTCGGTGGCACCGGCTCCAATTTCGTATCTAGCGAGTGATATAAGTGGGGTGTGTTTGTGGTGTTGTCAAGACAGACTTACTTGTCCAGAGGCAAGGCATCAATCAACGCCTTGGCCCTCTCCCTTTCTTCCCTCAGAGCCTCGTCGCCACCTTCCCGCAGCTCCTCATCTAGGTCCTTCTCCAGCGGCTTAAATTTATGCTGCGAACCAGCCTCAGTATTGCCATCGACGCCATTCTCCTCAGTTTCCATCGCTTCGGGCATTGTCTCTTCGACTGCACCTTCTACGATGCTACGGAACGACATTGCAGCCTTTCGAATAACTTTCACGAATATCGCCATCAGCTGGCTCGAGGTCAATCCGAGCTCTTTCTCCACGTCAGAGAACTCTTTCCGCTGGAGACCGATGGCGACCAGCAACGCGGTCTGAACCCCGCTCATCTTGACCTGTCCCTTCAGTCGCCCTATGAAATAGAGATGAGCGATAGTCGGAAGCATGTCCAGAATGACGTGGTAATCAAGCATGCTGTTTGCGTACGAATCCAACCGCTTGAGGTCGTAAGCGCTGAACAGTTCATCTAGCTCGGCTTTCCTGAGCGGCTTCGGTGTGAAATCAACATCCAGCTTTGAGCCTGCCGAAGCAGATTCGTCTATTGATAGCGCTGTCACTGCGGGAAATGTTCGAAATTGGTAAGATAGAAGGGAGAGGAACCGGCGCTGGAAATCCCTCGCAAAAGCAGCGACCCAGCTGCCGTCAGAAGAAGTCGTCTCGAGCGATCGCAGCATTACGCACGTATGTTCGCCAGTGAGCTCGTTGGCTGTCTGGCGGAGATAGACTGGCACGAAGGAAGCCCGTTTCCAGAACTTGTGAAGCAGAGGGGTAAGACCGTACGACACACCTACATAGTCGAGATGCGGCGATTTCAGTTCCGGCAGCCGGGCGAAGAGCGGGGGCATGTCTTTGGCCTCCCTGACCTTGACATTGTCTTGAAGAAGTGTCGCATTTTCCAGCTCTTCCTCTGTGACTCTCCGCATCTCCTGCACCTCATGGGGTTCGTTCTCTGACAGGCTAGCCAATTTACCATCGTAGAAGTCGACAAGCAGTTCGAGTGCTCTTGAACCATAGCCCATGTTGATATAGTCAGGGTTAGTCGCTATTCGGACAACCCGGGCACCAGAGAGGCCTGCGAAGTTCTCGTCCTGGAATTGCTGAGAGACAATCCACGGTATGAGATCACCACCAGCGCGCTGGCCTCGACTGAGGCTGCTGAGCACGCTCTCCCTGCTGATCTGCCCTTCAAGCGCGACTTGAACAACGCAAAGAGGTTCAGGGAGCTTGTTATCCTCTGTGACCGGAGGGACAAGGACGAAAAGCTGATGTGCTGGTGCATCGGACATTAGCTGTAGGTCGTTCGGGGAGTTCTTGTAGTGACTAGCAACATATAGCGCCATCATCTTCTGCAAGAATTTCTCGGCTGCTGGGTTGAATGAAAAGAGGGTATCGCGATTGACGTGAAGGAGCTGACAGTCGGAAGGATGCGGGCATCCTTGAGTGTTCATTTTCGATCGTGGAAGGGTCGCATCAAGGCAGAGGACGTCATTGAGCCATCGTTCCACAGCGTCGCCTTGAGCGTATCGGATGGGTTCTGAGAGGGTGATTTCTCGGAGAGAGCGACCGGCCATCGAAGGCTCTGTGCCATCTTTTGATTCTTTGCCGGTCGAACGGTCTATGACGTGGTCAGCACCGTTGATTTTCCGACCTCGAGACTGCTCTCGAAGCTGCTGGATGAGTTTTAGCGATAGTGATCGTCCTGTTCCTTCGTAGCCGTTGATAGTTGAAGCCATAAAGACCAGATAAGGACCCATCAGCTTTCTCACCAACGGGAGAGGTATTGCTGCAGCCTCATCGATCACAACCAGCTCCGCTTGGCCCAGAGTGTAAGCATCCTGTGGCTGGATGTACTGAATTGTCTGTCGGTGCTGCCGATGTATGTTCACGCGCACGATGGCCTTGTTGAAATCCGGGTTTGTGGACTGCATGATGGTGTAGTCCTGGTGATCCATGTATCCTAGCGCGTCGAAGCCCTTAAACACGAACTCGAACAGCGTCTTCAAGTTCTCTGGGCTTGGTGACGTGATGAAGATATTGCTGTAGCCATACGCAACTGCGGCTGCGACTGCCACGCCCAGAGCTGCTGACTTTCCTCGGCCACGGGCAGCCGTTAATGTCACCGTACTCTGCAGAGTCTTTTCCACGATAGCATCCACAAATGTTAAGAGCGCTTTTGCCTGGTCCACCGTCTTCGCGAGCTTAATAAGATGTCCTACTGGTGGCGAATCCGCTAGCGACTCCTTAATCTCTTCCAGCTCCTTCGCTTTCGGAGTCTTATTCCCCGCATCTAGATCCGGTGGCGGTAGTTGCCTGACATGCTTTCCTCCTGAGATGGGTAACACATTTAGCTCGTCATCGACCACCAGGCATGCGTCGCACTTCCCAAGAGAAAGGATAAATCGCTCGTTGAATCGCGCCACGACATCGCTATGGGCCTCGGTTCTGTATCTTGAGTGGATGTCCATCGACATAGTGTATAGCTGCTTCAGGCTGTTCATACCTCTCAGCAGCAGAAGTACCAGTCCCCCTCCTTCGACTGTCTCTATCGTTCGTGCAAGCAGATTCGGCGTGATAGCTTCAAAGTCCTGTAGGATGCACATCCCGTATGTATTTCCGAGAATCTTCTCCGTCTCTTTGTAGTACACATATCGGATGTTCTGCGACGAGACGAATAGTTCGAAGGGGTCTTCGGTATCGACATCGCGTATGCCTCGCTTGATTTCGTTCTTGATCTTCTTTTCGCGCTTTCTCCGGTGACTTCACGGTCTCGTCAGCGACTCTCCTTTAACTTGCGATATGCCTTGCGCACCTTGAGAAGCCCAGCAGCTTGTTCTTGTACGCCCACAGCACCGACTTGTTCAGCTTCACATCCACGTTAAGTAGAATGTGGTATAGATTGACTATAACGTCCTTCTGCCGGTCGCCGACGATTACAAAAAAGCTTCGTTTCTTCTCCTGCAGGGCGTAAGTGCTTGACCGAGCATAGAAGATCGGTGCATGCGTACCTGAGCGCCATTTCGAATCAATGCCGGTATACGAGAGTCACTGGTATACGTTAGCCCTCGGAAAAGTGCGAAACACCACAGCTCTTCCGTACATGGCTTTCTTCGGCATCTTAATAGCTCCGCAGGCACCCCCGCCTCCCCCAGATACTGGATGAAATGCCGGCTGTAGGGTTTCAGACTCAAGAGGGAGTCGCGCAAAGGATCGCAGTACAGTTTTCGGTTTCGGAGAGTGCTTCGGCCCAGGAAATGTGAGGATATGCGCAATCGTAGAGGGGAACGAGTGAACGAAGCTCGAAATCTTGGCGACCTCGCTCGAAATTTTGGCGGCGGCAGAATCAAAAGTCATCGGCGCTTTCAGCGCCAAACTCCGACACCGCCTTCACTGGCTTATGTAACCGACAGTTCTTTTCTCGCGCGTCGAGCTTTCATCGCATATCACCTGAAAGACGGCTCTTCTCATTGAATTGCATATGTTACCAGCAGCGCAAGGTTGTTGTTTTGTTAGATTAAGCTAAGTTCAATGAATGTCCCAATCTGCCCCTCTTCCTTTCTCCATACTGCTTAGATCCCATTCTTTAAAAACTCAACCATTAAACTCCCAATCTCGACCGTATTACTCTCCACCGCAAAATGCCCCGCATCCAACAATTTCACCTCTGCATTCGGCAGATCCTTCTTAAAAGCCTCCGCCCCAGGCGCAATAAAGATTGGATCATTCTTTCCCCAGACCGCCAACAGCGGAACCTGCGTCTTTCTAAGGTACTCCTGCCACTGCGGATACAACTCCACATTATTCCGGTAATCGTAGAAGATATCTAGCTGGATCTCCTTATTTCCGGGCCGATCCAAAAGCGCCTGGTCCAAGGTGTACGATTCTGGAGCCACTGTGGAAGGATCCGGAGTTCCTTGGAAGTACTGCATTTTGGTGCCGTCGATTTCGAGAAAGGGGCGGAGAGCGTCGCGCGCGGGTGCTGAGTTGTTGCTCGCCCAGAGCTGCTTTACGGGGTCCCAGAACGCGCCTAGACCTTCGACATAGGCGTTCCCGTTTTGACTAACGATAGCCTGGATCTTCTCTGGATGCTTCAGCGCGAGTCTGAAGCCCGTCGGTGCGCCGTAGTCGAAGATGTAGATGCTGTGTTTCTCGGGCGGGTTTGGGATTTCGGCTAGGAAGGTGTCGATGCTGTTGGCGATGCTGTCGAAAGAGTAGGTGTAGTTGGAGGGCACGGAGGTGAAGCCGAAGGCTGGGAGATCTGGGGCGATGACATGGTAGTGGCGGGCGAGGATGGGGATGAGGTTGCGGAACTGGTGGGAGGATGAAGGAAAGCCATGAAGAAGAACAATGGTGGGTGAGGTTGGGGAGCCGGCTTCGCGGTAGAAGATGTTTTCGCCGGACGAGAGGGCGAGGTATTTCGTCATGGTGGTGAGGAAGGTCATGATGAGGGATGAGTGCTATAACCGGATTTGGAGGAGAGGTTTGTAGAAGTTGATCTGTCCTTGTAATTGTTGGGTTGCTGATGACCACCCTACGGTGAAGCCCAGCATCTTTATACCTTTCAAGCTCCTCTCCAATTCCAAATGCACATGCCTTTAGGCGTGCTATCCGCATATTGCGACTCTGTGTTTCGGAATCAGACCGTCCTTCAAGCACGTACATTATCCAATCAAGCTGACCAATCTCTAAGCCATGACGATGCACACAGCTTCAAGCTGCGCCATGGTTCCTTCTCCTTACCCTAAAGCAGTGTTCCGGAACTTGCAAGTGGTGTTGCTCTAGCCGCAGCCTTTCCTTGGCGAGCCTGACGGCGCATCTACTGATGATTACTCATCTCGATGCGGTTCAACGTCGCTCAATTCCACACGATTTCCGCGGCCGGAACACTTGAATATGTACGGAATATCGGCACGGAAAGCGGCATGGTAGTTGATTCGGCGGCCGATTGCTACGGCGTCGGTAGATTCTCCGCGGCGAGTGCTGTGTGCTTCGAGCGTTAAACGCGGGCATGCTCCGTCGACGACGATGCCGGCGTCTCCCTCAACACCTGCTTGATGCACTCGCCAAATTTGTGTCAAGCGCCGAAGAGCTCCAAGAAATGCTACAGCAACGAGGGAGGTGCTTCAACGGTTGATAGCTCGCGAACAGAGGATTCGTTAGTCGTTTGAATACTACTATGTACAGGACGAATTGTTTGTGGAAGGGTGTGAGCACATGCCTGTAGACAAACCTATGGAGCTGTGCAGCCATAGAAGTGATTGAGAGTCGCGAGATAACTCAACTCGCAAAGCCCGTTCGATGTTGATAATAGATGGGCATTGAAAATCCTTGGGCGCAACTCCGGCACCTATCTCTTCTTATACATGCCTCATCCCAATGAAGCCTTGAGCGGCAGCCCACACTCTTTACGAACATACAGAGAAATTACCCCATATACCCCACCGTTCGGCCAATGACGGATTGCATGCGGCACAAGCCCTTGACAGCATCTCCTTCGTCCATTCCTCAACATTGCAACATGCATAGAGGGTACAATGTGGGAGGGCACCGACCTCTGGCGGAGTGGTCCTAGCCTTCGCTTCCTCAGTCAATCAGGCGGAATGTCCCATTGCTCACGCCAGTCAAGCTGACGCAATATCCCACCTACAATAGCATTGTTCCAATGTCACCATTCTTCTCTTAGAGCAGGGCCACGTCATTGAGCAATTCTCCTAGCTTTTTCTCGCAGCAGCGTAACAAGAGATTGATCAAGCCAAATTCTGTCGGCTAAAAATGCGCAAGAATTGCGCCTCAACGCTCATTCTAACCCGAGGACACCTCCTTTCCTACGACCGGACTTCCTGGAGCCTAAGTCGATGTTGTTAACAACATTCCCTATCTTCGCTTTCACCATGTCGAAGGGGGCTTCGGGCGCGCTGACATGCTTTGACACATCAATGTTCCGAACCAACGTGATCCATTCAGGATCCGGCTCTAGGAGGTTCCAGGCAATGCTAATGTGGAAGTTCTCGGTACGGTCCTCAGATTCGGTACAGTCATCCTTCTTCTCCTGCACGATCTGATCGCGTTTTCTCGACTTCGCCTGATGGATAGAAGTGTTACCGTCCATAGGCCCATCGCCCCTGCCGCCAACGTAGAGACCTGGGAATCCACACTTCTTAGAAGCCTCATTGCAGGCCCCCAAGAGTCTGTTCAACTCATCCTGCGCGGGTCTTTCGATTCCAAGGACCAGGAACCACCGATTTCGCTCGAAGTTTGGCACCCATTTCATAGTCGTGAAACGAATATGGAAAGGCCGTACCGCAGCTTTCCGAAGAGAGGCTATTAGTGTCTCGAAGAATGATCCTTTATCTTGCGTCCTAATCTGCAGTGTGCGCGAGAGCGAGACGTGGAGCGGCAGAGGTGTGCCGAGCGGTGAACGCAAAGAGGGAGTGATGTCCGGAACAGGTAGCAGCTTACGTCTGCACTTGTTCGCACGCTCTATTGATTCGCGGACGTGCTCTATCAAACCGCGCAGATTCTGGGCCTCTGTCTGCGAAGGGACCCCTCGGACGCGTTAGCATGGGCTCCGCCCCTTCCGTGAACGAGCTTTAACGGGATGGCCTTACACTCTAGGTAGACATGGCTTGGCCAATTGCCCTCAACGTGCGGGACTGCGCGCTTGCGCCCACCATGGAGACTCGGGTCATCGCTGGTGCTGGTGCGCGCATTCGTGGAGTACAGATCATGGAATGCAGCCGGAAGCGGAGGGAGCTCGGGGTTCACCTGGTGGTCGGGCTCGCTGCGTTTGCGCTTGCTTGAGAGCCGAGAATGTTCGCTCCGCAATGCCAGCGCGGCCAAAGGCTCGTTCTTATCATCGTCGTCCGGCTCGGAGTCTGAGTAGAGTACCAAGGACATGGTAGGCTTGGTGCCGTTGGGCGGCCGCGACCCTGATGATCGCTGGAGGTGACGACAAGGCGCGCCGCTGCTAAATCGGGGTGCGCGTGCTGGCCCAAGCTCCCGTCCGATCCACCATGACGTAGGCTTGTATTGGCTGATCGCAAAGAGCGATGCAGGGAAACGGACGCGGAAGCGATGACATGTGTTACGCGTTCCGGGTTCCTGCCAAGTCACTCGATGCTCCTCTGGGCTGTTATCTATCAGCCGCTTCCGCCGTCCTTCGTCTTCCACTCACCTCATCTTTCTCAGGTGACCATCGTCCAATTCACTGAGTCGCCGCCCCTCCCAGTACCTTTTTTTTTCGATCCAGATCGCCAGTCGCACAAAGCAGCATGGGCAGCAGCAAGGAGTTCGCCCAAGTAAGTAGCGTCGCTACCTCCCTTGCTTCGCGTCTCGGCACAGTGCCTGACGTTCCAGGCACGACATGCACTTATCGACCCTTTGGTCGAGCCGGATCCGAGCGAGGAGACGGGCTTGAACAGTCACTTTGGGTCGACGTTTGCTCCCCGCCAGCATCCTCCTTCTCCACCGGGATCCGCCGGCCTCAAAAACCACTCATCCGTCAACATCCGGCCGCAGCACACCGGTAGCACTGTCGAGACCAACCCATATCGGCGTTCGAGAGCGTCTACTGTCACCAAGTCTCCGTCTGCAGCTCCGTCTGCAATCCGCGACGGGGCGACGCCCCCCCGGAGGAGGTACGACTACCCTTCTCCTCCCAACTCTGCCAGTCCCCGCCGGGAGCACTTCTCCAATCACCGCGAGGAGGCTTTTGGTTCCATGAAGGAGGGCCGGCCGCGAAGGTCCAGCCAGCCGAGTTCAAGCTCCCCGTTGAAGAAAGATGGTGGCCTTACCCGCGGTGGCTCTCTCCGTGAGCGCTACGCAGGCGATACGTCGCATAGGCCCCTAGACGTAATCCGCAAGGATACCAAAACTGCTCATCGCGCTCACCATCTCAGAAAGAAGAACTTCCAGGGCGCCGACATCATTGATCGCCTCGACAAGTCGACCCTCAGCTACCACCATGAGGGCCCCTACGATGCTGCCAACATCGCTCGCAACACCAGCTGGATGCATAGCCCGGTAGCTGCGGTCGCGGATTCGAATGAGGAAGCTCTAAAGGCTACACCAAGGGAGAACATCGTTGATGCTGTGACGAGGCACCGGCCATTGGAGGGCACAGCTACCTTTCCTCCAGGAGTACCGGACAGTTTTGGCAGGGTCTACGACTATGAGGAAGGTGCAGACCTGCAGCGGGAGCCCGGCGGCGACTACAGGCGATGGCCCGGAGTGGTACGCTGTTTCCATGCACTGGTCGCCGAAGCATACTGACTGCTTTCAGACTTATCATCCAGACGATATCAAGGGCAAGGGCGAGCCCTATTTTACCATCGATAAGGCCCTCAAGGAGCACAAAAAGTACGGCGATTCCGGTACGGAACTGCGCTCCCGTCGCCGCAACGTGAGCTTAGGTACTGCCGATGTTCCTAACAGCTTCCCCGCGGAGTCTTTTGAAGGAGGAAACGCAGGTGTCGGCAGGAGCAATACTACCGGCAAAAGTATGGGTTCCGCGTTGAAGAAGCGGTTTGGCAGTCTGCGCAGGCGCAACGTCGAAGCTTAAGTCTTCACTTCCCTGAATGAGGCTGTTTCAGATGCTTCGCACACTAAGACGACGGTCCGATTTCGTACAAGATGGGATGGTATTAATATAGCCACACCAATGGCTCTCTTCTGTGCAAATATACTTATGGGACCAATCATGGATTTCCTTGGTCAATGCGTCGGGTGAGTTATATACGATTCATGACTGTTCATAGACTGTTGTACACAAGGGCGGCTCCACGAGGTCGTAATAGTGTAGTACCTACATATGAATGAATGACTCTATCATCACAGTTCCGCACTGCTTCGCTTCAGACTTATGGTTCGGCAGGATAGAGACAGTTGGATCAATGCACCGCGCGTACGAGCTGCCTAGCACGCCTAGGTACCAGGTTAGCTCTACGAACAGGCTTTACATCGGGATATGGTATTATGGGAGTGCTATAGGAGCTTTTCGTCATGATCGACAGCTGTTGAGCACCTGGCGGCTGAGAGTGGAAATAGGCTGCTGTGGGTCCGATAGCTTGACGCGGCTTGGGACAAGCGTTGACGGAAATTAACGAGCACTGAATGGCTGGCTTCTCGTCGCGGTGCGGAGTTCTAGACATTCACCTCTTGGCATACTTCTCCAGCTTCAGCGCTCGTTTTTCGTCCTTTGCGAACCCGTTCAGTGGATATGCAAATTTTACAGTTCAATGTAGACTCCGAAGTGGAACCCTCTTTGAGAGGCCGTCTACAAATCTCGGGAAGAAGGTTGCTCTTCCGAACATGCTGCTATGGCTTTCGCAGGTGCCGTTCAAGTATGCTTCTAGATCCCTGACAAATCTGTCTCGCTTTTCTGGCCCAGAGAGAGCACGTGATTTGTTCGCCCTAACAAGTTAGCGCGCCGAAGTGCCAACCACCAAAGGTCTCTCGTGCACAGTACTCGCTTCGAGGACCAAACCCTCGACAACACGCCCCCAGAACAGTCTGCACAACATGTACCTTTTCCAGAAGCTCCTCTTAACCGCTTCCGCAAAGCGACGTTACGATCCGTCCTCAGCGCCGATTCTGTGAGCTCCCCGCCGCACGACAACCCCTCGAATCGAAAACACCGTCGTGTTGTCCTCTACGACCGTTTCCGAGTCACTGCGACATGGCACAGCATATTCAAACATCGTCTGCGATCAAGACATTTTTTGGATAGGTATACTGGGACCGGGTTCTTCGCCGGATAGCCTACGCCACGCGGAGGTGTCGCAGCGCAAAGTCGTCCTCATCTACAAGGAACAGCGACTGCGGACAGCAATGTAAGGCCGAGCGCTTGGAAATTCCGCAGCTTGATTCACTGAGGATGCATAATGGCCCTACGAGTACAGACCTCAGTCAGAGCACGTTACTTTTGAATACGCGGGACGGACCCACTCCTGAGGGCATGAGTTGTTCTGGTGCAGACACGTCTACCGATTTCGCCTACGAAGCAGACATACCATGTGGAGGCAGGCCAGCACCTGGATGATGAAAGAGATGGAGACCCGGCGTTATCGATAACGAGGATCGCTCCCGTATCTCCAGGGAGTCTCGGACCACCATGACCGTACCCGCAGGACTGCGTCCGGAACCATGCAGGACGGACTCGACCGACAGAATTCCCTCTACAAGGGCGTAGCACACTCTCTTATTACATGTATCCACGCTCGTCCATTTCCTACTCAACAGCGCTCTTCAGCACATTTACACGCACAGCAAGAGATGGGAGGCCGGGCTACCCTACGGAATGCACCAACGAGGTCGTACACTGCGCTATATCTCTCATTCTGCTCGGGATTTTTCTTCACGTGTCATAAAACTTTGGCTCGTGGTAAGGCTCTCAACCACAACTCTGCGTCTCGTACATCATGCGCATATGCCTCACACATCCGTTGCAATCCTAAGGATGGTCACAATGACTAGTATGCTCATCTACCATCGGAACAAACCCATCAAGCAAAAGATACTCCTGGCTATACTCAGCAAAAAGGAATGGGAATATGTCGAGAAAGAAGGGCGCTTTTGTGGGACGCTCCGTCATCTGTGCCGGCTTCAAGCACGACCGCCTCTCCCGCTGTTCAAGGAAAGGGATTGATGTTTCCAGAACTGTCCTGGCGCGTCCGCCATACTCTCGCGGGGCCGTCCGGCCTGGGCTTAGGTGTGGGCAACACGCCAGGAATGGCTCAAAGCGCTCTATAGTGAGTACACGAAAATGCTCACCGGATTAGTTACTCGTACTCTGTTCAGGGGCTGCGCCGAAATGAACGCGGTATACGGCAAGCTTGGTACCTATCAAGCTCGTAGATCTATAAGATCGGGGCACGTACAAAGGAGGATGTTCTCGCCTTAATCGGTGCTTCATTGGGGAGCTACGGGACGACTGTCCGATCATTCCAGATCCATGCGTCCCACGTGCTGCTGATGCAGGTTAGGGAGCACGGATTTTACATAGTCTAGAGTAAGTGGCAAATATTCCTCTTCAGTCCTTGTGGCTGAGGGCCTGATTTGCTCAGCCCTTGACGACGGTCGAAGCTAACAAGTGCATAGTAGTCAAGTCGTTTTGACGAGCTTTCAAATGCTCGAGCATAAACTCTAGCGCGATCCCGCAAGCAATCCAACCCGTTTACCTTGTTAGACTCTCGCATAATGCGCCCAGCTCTCACTGAAACCCTCTACACCTGCCTCACCCGGCTGATCAGTTTCTGCCAGATACCGCCAGGATTTCTCTAAGCTATCGCTATTACGACCACTTTCGGAAAGGCTGGGCGCACACGCCCGCAAAGAGCTGCGTTCTCACTGCAAGGCAAAAGCGAGCCTGCGACTTCATTGGTGGCTTGACCCGTCAAAACCGACCAACCGACTGCTCGCGGAACTACCGTCCCTTTGGTTGCAGCTCTGAAAGACGACATCCGCGTCGCTGCGAGGATAGAGGACAAGCAACTGCCTCAGACAGTCCGAAGAGTCCTCACTTTCACCGTTGGGGCTGAGTCGCGGAGGGGCGGATCCTGTGTCTCGTCGCACGGGCCAAAGCTCAACGCATCGCACTAAGGCAGCGTAAGGAGCAGCTGCCCTCCCACAACACCACCAACTCGACCGCCTGCGGCTGCATCGCGATAAAAGCAGACCAGGTGCCTTTGGGAAACGCTGCGATTCACCTCCAATTTTTTCGAGGCACTTCGGAGCTGTATTTCCGGTGTTCTAGCGTGCGAGGCGTTGGCTCACGTGACGCCTGCCACGCTTTTTTAGAGAACTTACTTGGGGCAGCTCGTCGACTCTCCGATTCTTCTTCCCCACACACACCACGCACACGACGCAACCACAACACCATCGCGAGCCATCAATCCCGCCTATCCGCCATCACCTACGGGCCATTCCTATCGCGCTCCACGTCCCGACGAGGAATTTCGCGCCCTCCCGCGTCCCTCTACGCGTCGCTGAAACCGTGCAACCGTAAGCACAACCAGGACAATGGCAGACGAGGCAAATGCACCCGTTGGGACCGATGCTCCGATGCCTGTCGAGGAACCGACGCGTCCCGCAGAGGCCCCAGAGGGCGCTGCCGTCGCCGAGGCAAAGCCGGGAGATGGCGGTGACGTAGTCCCGGCAGTCGACGACGCCGAAGGTTGGTTCTATCACCCGTAATTTTGCAAGGCCATTGCTCAATGAGTTACTATCTAGTTCCTAAGACCGTCGCTGCCGCAGAAGACCAAGCCGCCAAAGACGAGACGACGACCGACGCGAAGCCGGACACAACAGAGACAGGGGCTGATGGAGGTGAGTCAACGCACGCTTGCACGCCATGCAGCTCGTGCATCGGCCGCTTGGACATGTTATGATCAGAGGCTGACCAAGGCGTACAGACGCAGCGCCTGTCGCTGATGCGTCCGCGACGAACGGTACCCCCGCCTCCAAGAAGGCAAACAACAACCGTCGCAAGTCGACCGGAGGTTCCATACCCGAACACAAAAAGAAGACACCCAACAAGAAGAAGAAGACACCTGAGCTACATCTTGACACCCAGCCCGGAGATATGTGGATGGTGGCGATGCGCGGATACCAGCCGTGGCCCGTCGTCATTTGCGACGAGGAGATGCTTCCGGAGTCGCTGCTCAGCAAGCGCCCCGTCAGTGCGAAGCGCCTTGATGGCACTTATCGTGACGATTTCCTGGAGGGTGGCAAGAACGCAAAGGATCGTCGCTACCCCATCATGTTTCTTGGCACGAACGAATTGTGAGTGTGCCTCAATTACCCCACCTTAGCTCGCATTTGCTGACGCTGAGGCAACAGCGCATGGCAAGTAAATACAGAGCTGCTGCCGTTTGACTTAGAAGACGTCAAGAAGCAGGTCGAGGACGGCAACTCTCAGAAGAAAAACAAGGCTCTCTGGGATGCCTACGTCGTCGCGTCTGAAAACCATGACCTGCCATGGTTCAAGGATATGCTCGCAAACCACGAGCAGGCCATGCAAGAGGATCACGAAGCTAAGCAGCGCAAGGCCGAGGAGAAGGCTAAGAAGGGGAAGCGCAAGAGCTCTGTTGCCGAGGAGTCTGAAGACGTCGAGATGGAAGATGCCGACGATGATGCGGCTCCTTCCGCTAAGAAGGCAAAGGCGTCGAAAAAGCGCAAGAAGGACGACGAGAGCGACGGCGAACCCGAGAAGGTAAGATTGATATGCTGCACTATTTCCCGTGTGACTAATTTCACTAACAGCCCGCAAAGACCCCGAAGACCAAGCTCAAGCTCACCAACAAGCCAAAGGAGGCCTCGACTACGAAACCTAAGAAGGAGTCGAAGCCCAAGAAGGCCAAAGCCAGCGAGAGTGACGAAGCCGAGGCTGCCCCAGCTGAAGAGCCGCCCATGACCGAAGAAGAACGACTCCAGAAGCGTGAGAAGTTAGGTATGCATTCTTGCTTCTTTTCCCTCCCGCGTCATGGCTAATCTGCTCAGTCCTATACCTACGACACCGGCTGCAGAAGGGTTTCCTCTCGCGCGACCAAGCACCCAAGGACGAGGACATGCCCAACATGTCCAGCCACCTCAAGCAGCTTGAGGAGCTCGAAAATCTCGAGGCCGAAGTTATCAAGAACACGAAGGTTCACAAAGTCTTGAAAGCCATCATCAAGCTCAACTCGATTCCAAAGGAAGAGGATTTCAACTTCAAGCACCGTTCCAACAACCTCCTCACCAAGTGGAGTGGTGCATTGGCGGCTGACACTGAGGCTACGACCGGCGATGCTTCTGCAGTCGCACCTACCACCAACGGCGTCAAGCATGATGAGGAGAAGAAGTCGGAGCCACCCGCAGCCGAGAAGTCAGAGGAGAAGGAGGCGCCCGCTGCTCCAGAGGCCGCTAAGCAGGCTGACGGTGACGGTGATGTTTCCATGGCGGAGGCTAAGGAAGACGCTCCTGCAGTCAAGGCTGACGCTCCGGCTAGTCCAGGTGCTGTCGCCAAGCCCACGGAGACCGTTGCTACCTAAGGTAGCATCCTGGATTGACGCGATCGATGAGAACGCTTTGCCGCCTTCTTTTTTCGACGCTGCAAAACCCTTAACACCTTAGACTTCTCCAGCGATTCCCCTGCACTCGTTTCTCGGTTTTGCCGGCGTACAAGTGACCGAGCGTGTCCAGTTTGTGGCAGCTCATGATTCTTTTCCCGATCCCCGTTCGATTCCACGATGGTTTTTCTGGCTCCCCCAGCGTGTAGGGAGGTTTTGGAGATTTCCATGTGTACATATTTGGGCGCGAATGGGTCTTTTTGGTCATGGACAAGGAGGGGATGGACTGATATGGAAGCAGGATATTCTTTGCGGCCAGCGTGCGCGCGTGTGATGGGATCGCGGACACAGGAGTAAAATGAGTGCTTTTAGCAACTAAGACAGTAATGAAATTGCCATCACTAAATGCTCATTGCAAACTGTTTCATGTGGTACATTTGGGTCACTGCTATCTAGCCGGTCAAGGGCCCTCATACCCCCTTCCTCTCCAGCTGCCCGATGCTGTCAATGCTAAGCTTCACCGGCTTCCAGTCCATTACTCATAGTGTCTCATCATATACGGGCGCTTTCTCGTGTCCAGCAGTCCTGAGGAAGATCTGTATTCAGGTTAGTCTACTATCCATCATATCCATCATCTCGATTGGGAAAGTCGAACTCACCTTCATACTCTCCAGCACCTGTGCCTTCAAATCCGGCCTCGTCACGTTCTGGCCCGGAAACCCGCCATACGTCGTGTCGAATTCAAAGGGCTTGAGTGCTTTCCAGATGCCGTGGATCTTCTCGGGCGGTAGAGGAATCATATTGGGATACGACCACATAAAGGAAAAGCTGGTGGTGCCCGGGAGGCGGTCTTTGTGGTAGAAGCCGGACTGTGGCGGGCGTTAGGCGGCGGACTGGAAGGGCAAGCAAGGGAGGGCAAGGGAGTGGCAGGAGGACGTACGGGGACAGACATCATAGTATCAGCGATAAACAGCTTTTTCTCCCAATGCAGGAACATGGACCCGTCGAAATGACCGCCTGCTTGGATGGCAGTCACCCCAGGCACTATCTCCTCCGTCCCCTTGACGAACTTCCGCACGCCATTCTTATCCGCCCTGTTCAGCCACTCTTCATCCGCTTTGCACACATACACCGGACATCCGAACACCCGCGCCCACTCAAGATGCGTGGTGTAAAAGTGCGGATGGCTGATCACAATGGCCTTCAGCCCGCCCTTGCCCTTGATAAACTCAAGAGTAGGTTCATCAATGAAAGCAATTAGATCCCAGAGCACGTTGCCGGAAGGCGTTTGCAGCAGAATTGCGCGCTCGCCGATGCCGAGTTGCTTTCGCGTGGTCGTTGCGTCGGAGAGGCCTGCGGGCAGGTCGGCGGGGACTATGGGTTTGGTGGTGATGTAGTGGATGTGGGAGTCGTGCTGGTCGGTGGAGAATTCGTTTTCTTGCTTGGGAGACGAGTCGGCTAGGGAGGTCCAGGATTGGCCTGTTGCAGGGACGTATTGGCGGGGATCCTTGGTGTGGTTGTTAGTTGTTGAAGTCATGGGGTTTGCATCATTGCTTTGGGTTGGGGGTTTACATCGCATATGCGGCAACTTCTTGGAGGGGAGGTTAGGGGAGCGTCGAATTGAGTGCCGCAGGTGAAGCAGATTGCTAAGTCGGCGGATTCGAAGTGCATAACTGTGAGTACCTGGATGGCGATGTTGCTGGTAGTGGAGTGTTGTTTTGGGTAGTTGATGGGCTAATGTAATGATGGTGCAGCAAAAGTGGGGGTAGAGTAGAGCTTCAGAAGCTGTGGCTTTGGCCGGCCCCTCGCGGCTTAGCAATGAATACGACGAATGCGAAGTTTGACACATGTGAGGCTCGGATTATGAATTCGGGGTCTAGAGATATTTGATTATGTAGGCAAAGGAACTGGTATCTAAACGTTGCAGTGTTGTAGCTCTACGTCGTACGGCTGGACATGTCCAAACAGGCTGTAGTATTCCGGCTACTACCCAATCCCATGAACGTAGGCAATACAAGTAATCATCATCGCATTTCAAAGGCATCACTATGCCAATGAGCCTTCAATGATCCAGACCTCGCCATTTAAAACTTTGTCAGCGATGCTGGTCACTTCAACATCCCCAGGCTGGATCTGTGAAATTTGTTAGCTAACTTTCCAGCCTCTTTGGGTACCGGACCTACCGTCTTCTTTCCCTCCTTGCTTTCCCACCAAACTTCGTTCCCGGCCAAAGTCTGGACCTTCTTCCCTTCTTCCCACGGGGACTCAGGCACGATATGGCTCTCCACGAACCGCCGCAGATTCCTATGCGCCCTATCCTCTCCATCCTTCCCACTGTACGCATCCGCGCCAAATGAATTATAATCCTCCGGATCTTCCCACGGCTTCCGCGTCAAACTCCGCATTACGCTGTTGTCCGGGGCTAATACTGTAGCATTCTTGGACGCATCGTCTAGACGACCCGATACGGTGTCGATATCGCGCGTCAGACCGCTAAAAATGGCGATGGATTGCGTCTTGCCGATGACATCGGATATTATGACGCCGGTGGATACGGTGTCATCTGTAGGAGGCATGCCGCTGGCAAAGGGGTTGTGCAGTCTCAGCGGGGATTGCGAGTCGAAGATGTGGAACGATTTGAGGATGGCGGAGAATGGGCGGGACTCAGCGGATGCGGCGAGGATGAGGCAGATGGTGGCAGCTGGGTAGGCGAACAGCGATGCGGGTTTCATGGCTGGTAGATAGTGGGCGGTTCAGGTTGGCAATAGATAGCGTTGGTGATAGTTGATGCCGCGTTTGGAGGGGTGAACGTCATCCCGTTGCCAAGCGTTGTCCCGTGATTGCGTGGATGTCCGAGCGCCTCGAACTTTTAGTTTCCTTCACCTTTGCCTTGACCATAAAGATCGCTCTCTACCATCCTGATGCTGATGGCCTACAGCAATGTCGCTACACATCCCAACGGCCACGATCGTAAGTTATCTCTACCAAATTCCACATTGGCTGCTAACCAAGCTGCGTAGGATGACCTCCGCAAATTCCACGCGAAGCACTTTCCCGACGCGCCGCTGCCGGAACACTACCTCCACGGAGTAGAAGCAGAGGCTGCCGAAGAGGTCTACGACTACGAAGACGATGGCCTCGGGTACTATGAAGACGGCGTGAAGCGCACCCTCACCGACGAGCAAATCGCCATGTTCCGACACACAGAGATCCAGACCATCCTACGCGAACGCCGACGGCGGCGAGATGAAGGCGAGCTGACAGACTATGAGCCAGCACCAGCGCCCGAACCCACAGCGCAAGAGGCTTCAATAAAGCTTGAACCTGCCGCTCCCGCAAGCCCTTCTTCAGACGAAGGCACGCCCATGTCGATAAGCTCCGACACGGATACGGTGCAGAGCGGACGGGTGGAGAAGCCGCAGCAGCAATGGACTAAGGTCAGCGCGAAGACTAAGATGCAGAAGGCGAGGCACAGAAAGAACCATCGCAAGAATCAACTGGCGAGGAAGAAAGAAGAGAAGCGGATGAAAAGGGAGCGTAAGACGGAGGACTCAGAAAGCGATGAGTGGGATCCGTGGCATCAAGCTAATGGACCCGATGTGCAGAAGGATGACACTGTGGATCTGGACTACTGAGGCGTGCGGCCCACCGTTGTCGCGGTTCTACTTGACAAGGAGGTATAGCCCTAGAAGTAGGGCCTGTACCTTTGGATGCCTTTACCTTGCCGCCGTTCTGGTACAATGAAAGGTCATAGACAGGAGTTATGCTTGACATAAAATCTTTACGCGTATGTACTCCCCTCCCTTTCTTCCCTCTTTATGCAATGATGAAAACCTTGTTATCGTCATCCTTAGTCGGAGACGGAAGTGGGCTTGCGTTCAGGGCGAAAGCCCGGTCGGTGGTCCGATCACTCAAGTCTTGCTCAGGACTGTCATTGACGACTTAAAAATCTTCTCTCTGAACACTTTCTTCCTTTCTTAAATCGCGTACGCCGCTGTGCATGCACATGAGCTGATTGGTGACACAGGTTCCGCGCTCATTCGTGAGGAAGTGGACGGCGTCCGCTACTCAAGAAGGGTGCATTTGGGAGCACCGGACACAGGATAGCGTGGGTGTCGTTCCTGCTAGGGTATATCCGCCGTGAGCTCGAGTCGGTGATTCTGATGATGTAGCGGGTAAAACCAAACGACAGACGAGGCTTTGAACCTCCCAAACCTAGTTCAAAGACATATCATACATTGGTTCTGTTTCTCGTTGATATCGTATCTCATGCCTCTAGTTTCGAGAAATGCTCCCAAGCGCCCATTTTCCTCGCCTACAACTTGCTCCCCTTCTCTCCGATAATGTTTAGATATGCCTGGTGGACATGCTCGGTCAGATCGCCCGCCTGCAGGCTTCTGCCCTTCTCCTTGAAAGCCAGTCTTGAGCACTCCCTGGTGATTGCCGATCCACCAAACGCCGCAAGTGCTAGCGTCTCTGGCGGCTCCATATCTCCCTCATGGTCCCAGATCTTGTCATGGTATGCCTTCCTGTACGCCAGCAAGGTCGCGAGACTGCCGGTCAAGGTGTCACCCTGGCCACCAGATCGCTTCAAGCCGCCCTCACCGTCCGACACCAGCGTGAACTTGCCGTTCGAAATGTAATCCTTCGAGCCTTTTTGAATTATTGTCACACCGCCAAACGCCTCCGCCAACCTAGAGCACATCTCCGACGGTTCGCCCTCATCAATGTTCACACCCTTTGCCTTCGCCAGCCTGCCGAACTCCACCACATTAGGCGTGAGAATGCACTCGGTGCACCCATCCACAAGCTCGGGCCGCGTCTGCGCGAGGTATAGACCATCTGCATCTAGCACGAACGGAATGCCCTGTTTCCGCGCCTCTTCAATCACACGCGCGCAAGTATCTTGCATAAGCTTGTCGCGGCCCAGACCGGGCCCGATGACGATAACGTGTAGGCGTGAGAGCATGGCGGTGACTTCGGAAGAGACGGTGTCGAGATTCTCGGATTGGAGGAGGTTCTTCGATTGGCGCATGTAGGGGTGCACCATGAGGTTTGGGGAGTAGGTTTTGATTACTTGGCCGGCGCCGGGTTCGCATATTACGTGCGACTACAGTGTATGTGAGTAGGAGCGAGGAGAGAGCTGTGCGAAGAGGAAGACGTACCATGTCGCAGCCTAGCTTTGCGGAGGCCATTGCGGAGAAGTAGGGTGCGCCTGTGTAGTCTTCGCTGCCGCCAATAACTGCTACACGGCCCAATTGACCTGTGGGAATACGTTAGAAACTCGTCTCTAAATGATATTCTCTAGGAGGACCTTTGTGGAAGCTCTCGAGCATCGGTGGGATCATCTTGTATACCTTGCTCAAGAGCTCTTTTCTGGATGCGCTCGCCATTGTGAAGATTGCTTTAGATTCTGGAGCTGAAAGGTTTAAGGTATTGAGGGTATCGGAGGAACGAACAGGGGTGGATATGGAGAAACGTTATTCGATGTTCTTGCGGTTTCGATAAACAGCTTTCGAGTGAGGTCATGAGCCTGTCATCGTAATTGCGGGGACGCCACAGCTAGCGCCACACCTTTACGAGTCATCCTGCGACGCACACCAGAAGCAACTCACTGATATCTCCCTTCTGGAGGTTGTATTTCGTAACCCCACACATGCATTGAGCACTTGTTTGATTACTGTTAGCTTCCCACTACAATAGCTCATTTGCTCGCTCTGAACACCCAAACAATGAGCGCTTGCTTCTCCTCAGTAAAAATTTCGCCAGCTGGACATGGAGCTTAGGGACCCAGAGGCATTGGCTACATTCGTGTACATCGTGACTACTCGCACCAGTAGCAGGACTCTATCTTGGGATCTGCGAGATTATGAAGTTCTGGAGAAAGAGCGTGTGCGTTACGTCGTCGAATCATGGAGGATGTTTAACGACTAGAGCAGCCCCATCTCATCGAAAGTGCGCATAGTCTTGAGCAGCGGCGTCATGCCGATATATTGAGCAGGCTGCAGAGGACCTGGAGCTGGCACTCTGTTTTGCGAAATGGTACGTGGGCCACTCCGTTTCACATCATTCTTCCTCAGTACGAATCAGGATAGGCTTTAGTTGATTTCGTGTATTTCGCTGGTACTCACCTCACTTGGGTCAGTCTACCCCGAGGCTTGAGAGATTTCAAAGTCATTGAGGAAGAGCGAGGTGTATATGGCTTTCGGACGAGCGATATATTTTTAAACTAGAACATATCCCGCGAACCCCGGATCCGCACGATATTTATTCGCGTATCGCGTATCACTCCGTTCAAGTAGCAACAACGCAGGGTCTCATGTGAGCTACCGACGAAGGGAGGTTTTTTCGTGGGTCAACTTCTCTACAACCACTTACTAAAGAACCTGCTAACAAAGGCAGAGGTTATGCTATGCGTCCAACGAATTAAAGCTAACGCACGTCATGGCAGACACCTCACGAAAGTCTAGAGCCTGAGTGTTACAGTTACGATTCTGTGCCCGCAGCAGCCGCATTCACCCCGCTCTACCCTATCATCAGCTCACATTACGTTCCCACCCTTTAGTTACAGTTCCTCCGCATTATTTTTGACCGACCGTCTGTCGCCCTCCCAATTCACCTTCCCTCAATTGCTCTGGGTATCCTCCCTGTCAGGTCCCTCGTACTGAAATGTAAAGCCCAGCTTGCGATCCTCCATTCTCGCCTCCTTAGTCGCCAATTGGATCTCCTGCACGCAATCGTGGCCCGATGTCGGATCGACCTTCAGATCGGAAATCATGCCCTCCAGGAACCGAATGATGTTGTCATCCGTGAAATCCACTCCCCTACTCCCCTCGTCCAGAGAGCGCATCCAGAGCGTCGCGGTCACGGCCGGACTATCGAATTCCTCGTAATCAATATCATCCCAGACTCGCGTCGCGGTGCGCGTCTTGATTCGGGTTGGTAGGTCCTCAATGATATATCGGGCTGCCGTTTGGAACAAGATAGTTGGGTGGTTCGGACCGGGAGCCACGGTAAGCGGACTTCTGCGCTGTAATCGCTTGCAGGTCAGTAACTGCTGCGAAATGAACGAACAATTCCTGCCTTCTTGTCCATCTCTCGGTCCAAGGGGTTGCTCTTGTGCGTGTAGGATATGACAACCACGAGAAAAGCACCGTCTGTCCGCTTCTCGTCCACGCTCGGCTGGCCTCTGCGGGAGTTTAGTTGGATCCTAAGATTTCTCCCAGGTTTTCTAATCCATCTACGCAACCTTTCGTCACGACTACGTGGAAGGGTCCGAGCGCATCTGTTCCAAAACTTGAAGGGGAAGGGGCACGAAGGAGATAAAGAGCGGCACCTTCCGCAGGTCTGCCTAGTGATTCGACATCGAGCATGCGCGAAATAGCAAGAGGCAACCGATACGAAAAGGGCAATGGGATTCGAGTGACATAACTTTCACCCGCACGCCTGCAGTGTTAAGCGATAGATGTGAGGTGTATAGGGCTAACAAAGTGGTCCTGTGGAGCTACACCAATCGTGGTACATTCAGCTTCTGATCAGGGGATGCAGTCAGGGCGGCGACAATCCTTCAGTCTCCCACATATGGTCTTTCAGAACAATGAGCCTATTCTGCATTCTAGATGGGAATATCTAACCACAGGCAGACGCCAACCAGCCTACAACCCGAGTCCAAATCAGCATCCAAGGACTCCAGCATATTAAAGAAATACCAAATGAAGGAAGGATATCTGTCAGAATTGAAAAGAAAGTTTCCACCGAAAATAGCCAACATCCTCCGACTACCAACCCATCATATCGTGAGGAACCAGGTGTATCTACCATCCAATGAACGCCACTCGCTCGAACCGGAAACGAGAGCTTGAGCTCACTCCTCGTGTTGACGGATCACTCCAGACTTTCGAGGAAGCTGGTGGCGGCGGTGTGTGAGCACGCGCTCAATTACTGCACTATGGTCAGCTTTGGATCTCTGAAATGGTTTGCATTCACATGACGGACCCGTTGGATGCAGCTCCATTTGATGCGCCGTTGGCTTGGGTGACATTGCTCCCCGTCGCACTATTCTCAGTATAAGGGCCGAAGTACGAGAATGCGAACTCCACTTTAAGGGGCTCCATGGGTTCAAATGTGAATACAGCATCGCGGGTTCTTTCCGGCGGCGGCACATCGGGAGGGCAGGTCGGGGGATTCAGCCCGTTGATCATCATCCTCAAGAAGTTCTTGACATCCGGGCTGGAAAAGTCCACCTCAATCTGTACACCCTCCTCAGCCATGGACCACGCGAAGAGCTCTATTTTGGTCTTGATCGGATGATGTTCGAATATGTACTTATCCATGAATCCATCTGCAACCGTTCCGGACTCGTCGCGGCGCCGCTTTACGAGCGTAACTTTTTTATTGAATCTCTCCACGATGATCTTGGCTCCTTTTTCGAACAGTCTCTTTGGATGATTTTCACCCGCGGTCATGATTGGTATCGGGTCTGGACCTCGGATTTAGACTGTTAAGGTTCTGCATGCATGTTAGCGGATTTTCTTGGTGAGAGGTCCCACATTCGGGGCATTACCCGTAGGCACGCCTGTGTGGCTTCGAGTGTTGATCGGTATATTTGCAGTGCTATCGCTGCAGAATGAACTTTGTTTCGTGGGTTTGTCGTATCGAGTCTGTAAGTATGAAGAAGAAGGAAAGAGTCGGAGAACCCGAAGCACTCACCCTTTTATACACCCAAGGTGATGAGTCGTCGATCCAAGTCTGACTGGTCTCTCGAACAAGTCGCCTACGCCGAGCTGACTGAACGCCTTGCAAAAGTCACATTCACAAAAGCGCAACACGCATCGTCATGCTCGCATGTTTCAATATCAAGCTGCGGACGGGGGTGAGTTTATTTTGGAACGATGCATGGGTAGGGTAGACCAGTAAAACCATGGCGCGTTCGCGCTTTCTCGAATGTTTCGTCCAACGGAGCCATGGTTTCTCAAAGTGGAACTACGCCTCCAGGGCAGCATCCATGCTTTGAGGCTGCTGATAGTTACCCCTCGTAGGTTTCAAGGTACGTTCCCCAACTTTTTTCTCCCCACATCTCCCGATTGCCCCAACTCCTATATATTCGTCGATTGACTTCGTGGAAATGTCTTAAGCAGAGGGCTAGAACACTTCTAGCCAATAAAGAAAGTTGTGCAAGCACATATAGTCCTGGTAGATTGAAACTCATGGAACGGATTATTATAGATGTGCTGTGGACTGACACAAAGAAACCATACATCGGGATATCTACCAAAAAGATGTCCTATCTAACAACCATAACATCACCAACAATTCCTGAGGTCTCTCACACGCCAATATCCCTCAAAGACCCTTGAATAACCGTCGCTAAACCTAGAGATCTGAGATCATGTTCGTCAGCTCGTGTTTGCTCCTGTTCGCGTCAATGTAGGAGACGTACTGATCTCGACGCTTCCGGTCGGAATTGGTGCTGACACCGGCGGACTATCCCTCTGTGTGCCCATTGGTAGTCGCTTTTTCCCTCAACATCATCTCAACTCCATCCTTATTTATCTCCTCCTGCCGTTCCTGGCCCTCCCAGTCTTTTTGACTTTGCCCGAAGTACTGGAAGAGAAACTGTATATTTTTATCACGAATGGCATGCTCAACTTCGCCGGGGTTGCTGCCGTCGTCGCTCCCGTTACCGCTCCCCTCCGGCACTGTCATGTTCTTGCACTTCTCTTTCAGGGCCGGTATCATCGCTTTGTCCGTGGCGGTACTGAAGTCCAGATCCCTTCCGATGCCCCCGAGTGCCTTAGCCTTGAGAAACACTTCGGCCTTGGAGTCACCACGACGGGTTACCTCCGAATATGCCCCAGCGATATGGTGTGTTTTTTCAGGAGGCTCTCCCTCAATATCGCTTAGAAGGCTGTTGGCCAGGTATTGGAATAGGCAATTTGGTGAATCCTGGGTCATGCTGGAGGACGAAAAATAGGGTGCTTCGATCGTGGGCTTATATATGGGAGTTGGTCCTGGAGAAATCGAAAAACTGAGGTTGCAAAAAGCTGGTGTTGTGTGATGGCTTCGATGGCTTGTTTGGGAGTTTGTGGGCGATGCTCTCAAATCGATCGTCGAAGGGAATTCTGAGTTGGGCTTTGTGAAGGGCGAAATGTAAAGTACGGGTGATGAAGAGGAAGGATGAAGAAAGGAGAGACGTTGCAGCAGAGCATTTAGAACTTCCATGATGATGAGTCGTATAGTATTGCTCACAGGCCGTTGACACATATAGGAGTCAGATACACCTCGATGACTAAAAGTGGAAGACATACCGTTACGTGGTGACACCATTTACGTGCACGGGGCATCTCAAGGTTTAATTCGAAGGTCTCTAGAACGATGAGTAGACTCGAATGCTTTCGTCCCGCGACAACTGGGAGAGACCTACTGAAAAAACCTGAACCAGGAAAGGATTGAAGCATACCGTCAGATACTACATGAGATTTCACAGCACTCTTCAGCTCCCGTCCGAAGAACTAGCAGACGAGCCAGAGTCTGCGGTAGACTTGGCGATCTCTCAATCTCTAGCGTGCGTCTCCCATGCCGTGTCTAGAATTCGGTGATTGAGAAATTAAGAGCTACGTTTTGGGCCTTGCTAGAACTCGACCGGAACTCGATAAAAATGTTTTTTAACCGGTCAAGGCCCTACTTAAAAGGAATGGCGAGTGAGTCTTCAGTGAGGACAGCAAATGGCGCTCAGTTTCCACACTATTATTAGCGTCATATTTGCTTCCCCATTTCCTCAAACGCAGGAAAAGTATAACGCAGGCAACCTTCGCCTGACCACTACTCTCCTGTGTGCGAGTCTGCTGTTCTGCCTCTTCCTCTTATTCCTACTCATACTCGCACTCCTTGTCGATGCCTAACTCCGCACATGTTCTTCAGATCGACGAAGTCTGAGCACGTTTGCTTCGATACCTTTTTCTCGGCCTCTATGCATTCATACCGAATGGTAAAAAAAATGTGTTAGTGCGTCTGGGACAGTAGAGGAAAAGACAAGTCATGATTATGTATGCCCCGAACAAGTAATTCGGTATTTGTAACCATAAACCTATCTAACGTCTCTCCCTATGTCGCGAGCCACCCTCCGTAGCGAGCCAAATTCTAGGTACTTTAGTTTTAGAGCAATCTTAGCCTCCTATACATACCTGCAACTACTTAGTTCTATGCGCGTGCTGTAGACTAGCTTCTCTAGCACTCCTAGAACGTCTCTTACCTAAAAATTACGTTGGCGTCGCTACTATATCGCCGGTCTGCGGAGACGCCTTATATAGTAGCATCATAGAGTAGCTTCATTCTAACGCCATCATCGACGCGTCGCCGCTATTAATAGTTGTAGTATAGCAGTATCTGAGGCGTAAAACCTTCCTATTGCGTTGATAAGTCATCCTTGGGATCGTGGCCGCCGTGCGAGTGTGATTCATGCCACAACATGTCAGCTGGATTCCATCTCTTCCCTTGCCGACAGCATTTAATCCTAGCATAGGTGCGGTAACGTTACTCCGATCAAAACTACGACCGATAGCCAAGGCCGCTCAACGCACACATTCGAGCACCGATTCGTGGACTGTTTGAGTTCAGAATGTCCCCAATCGCGGAATTATCAGCCACCAAGGACTAGGTCTTCATAGCTGTCCATGTAATTACTTCATTTAATTACTTTGTTTTGGAGCCAGATCTGGAGTTGTTTCAGAGAAAATTCGTCATTTTGCTGCGCCGAAGTTGTGAAATTTTCATCGCACCATCCTGGTGTGCCTGCTGTGAGGAGGGGCTTCCCGAACGGCTGACAAGAGCCGTAATCAACGAGGATCGGTCTGCCGCCTTTGTCCATCATAATGTTGTTCGGGTTAAGGTCGTTATGAGCTAATCCGAGCGAATGAAGGTGGTTCACTGCTGCCTTGATCGCGTCGAAGCACATATCGTAGTTAATCTTCCGCTTTTGCAGTCGGGCTTCGAGCTCAAGCGTACGAGGGTGTCGATCTAAGGCAAGGCCAACAATACGACCCCTCCTCACAATGACACCATGATATTGGATGATATTTTGGTGTTGATTACGTCGCAAGATCTCCAGTATCTCAGCTTCCTGGAGAAGCAGTTTTGGCAATGTGTCTGTACCTACGAGCTCGTTGTAGCTTCCAATTTTAGGGCCTTTGACGAAGATGTTGCTGTCAATCGAAACCGAAGCAGTCGTGATATGCGATGGAGCCTCGGGGTATACATCTTCATCCGGAATAACAGACTTTAGATTGTCCGTGATGTCCTCTAGGCTCAAGGTATTAAGGCTGACCGGAGCTTCACCAATCCAGACTTGGTAATCCCGAGTTGTGACGGCGAACCGCGAAATTTTGCCATCGGCTGTTTCGCTGAGATGACACAAGTCCCCGAAGGACTTCACCTGAGGCGGTTGATTGTCCATATCTCGAGAGTGAAGGTGTCGGCAGTCCGGTCGAGAATCTCGTGGGCGCAGGTAGAGGATGAGGCATATAGGTGCTACTACCGAAGAATATAAGTTAGCCACTGCAAACATTATAAGTGTAATCATATAGCATTAGTACTGTACAGGAGTCTACGAGGTTTTGTGGAAGCGAAAGAGTCGAGCGTGCTTACTTCGACAGTTCCCGTTGCTCCAGCGCCTGTCGAACCCGGCATGCGTTATAGACGACTTCGCCCGGCTTTTTTTTTGGCAATATTGATGTCGGCTGGCAGGGTAGAGTAAGATTCGACCACAATTTCAGTGCAATGGTAGAGGTAATCGCGATGTTGATACGTGTCACGACGCATTCCGCCACTAAGCTACAGGTGCCAAGCTGGCGCCGACGTCTCATGCATTATCATCAGCCACACAATTTACCAGCCACAAGATTTACCAGCCACAAGATTGGCTTGGCCTGCTGACAGATGCTTTTATTACGCCTAAGACTAAAGCAGCCTGTGGCGCTAGCCAGGCTTCAATCGCAAAGTACTAGTCGGCGTTGCCACGCTTCATGAATCAGCCTCAAACGGTAGCCATAGGGCTGATATCATCTCATCCGCGTGCTAGTAAGATCTATACAATTAATACTGCTAGCCTATAGCTACCACAGTTGATAGAAAGTTGAACTGCTTAAGAGACTGCAAGTGGCAAAAATATAAAACCCACCTTAACGTAAGTAAATTTAGTTATGCGTAAGAAGTGCAGATTGTTGTAAAGACGAAGTATCTTTAATTTGGCTCGTTACGTAGGGTGGCTCGCGACATAGGGATGGACGTTATGTGTGTTCTCGCAAGATTAATGAAAGTGCCCAAGAACCAAATATACCAATATAGGGGGACAGTGAAGGAAATAATGAAGGAAATAGTGAAGGACATAATGAAGGAAACAATGAAGGAAATAATGAAGAAAAGCACCCATCCACAAAAGTTCCGCTCGCCGCATCAAGCCTTCCTTGACCTCGCCCATGTCATTATATCCTACAAAACGCTTTGGAGAACCTCCTCGAACTGCAGCGCGGCTGCGGTCAGCCTTTGAAGGCACAGCTCAAGATTGGCCTTCCAAAGAGTCAGAGGACGCCTTCCACAGTGAAAACTAAGTAGTGTTCGCCGGTTCGTTGCCTCCATTACCGGTTTCGTTAACGCTTTCGTCATTGCTGGTGCCACAATTGACCAGCCCATTGGGTTGAGCTACGGCAGGTTACGCGTCGCTCTGCAGAGAAGGATCGTAATACGACCATGAAAACTGGACGTTTTCGATTTCATCCGTAAGAATCTGGGGAATTTCCTCGCGCGGGTCTTCCAACGCACGAGCCTGCGCCTTAAGCCGGCCTATGAGGTTCTTGTCGGTGAACAAGAGGAACTTCTTCTGGCCGGTGAGAGTTTTCGCCTCAAGCTTTACATAGACGTCTCTGGACAAGAATTGATTTTTCACGTAGCGGAAGAGATCGTGAAGGGGAAACGAGTGGGGGTAGATCGTTGGAAGACTGTCCGCGAGGGACTCCGCGAGTTGCTGGACCCGCTCTTTAGATCGGTGCTGCTAGAAGCCATGATCGTGGGCTCCTCGAGTAGTAGCTTTAGCTCTGCATGCAAGTAAGTAAACTAAGGGTGGTAGGGATATCTGTAGATGCCTGCTTACTTGTAAACTGGGTTCGTAGTAGTGGAGTCGCGATTTCGAGATTGACGGCGATGAAGGAGTGCGTTTCTCGTGGAAATGGAATTTTCGATCTTGAGCTTCGAATCGTAGAGATGGAGTGTGAACAGTTGCTGATATGGTAAGGAAGAAGGGTAATTCATGAAAAGACGCGCTTTTATACCCTCCTCATGATGAGTCTATTGCACCCTCCGGGGCTCGGAAGAGGCCACAGAGAGTCAAGGACAGCAAGTGACTGTTATTGAAGGACTCACGAGCCGCTGATGACTCCGGGAGACACTGCTCCTACTTACCTCAGGCATCCATAAACACCGGTCATCGTGAAATGACGGAGTGGTGGTAGACGTGAGGTCGGCACGCGAGGAGGATGATGCACCCTCTCAAGGTCCTCTCTTCGATTAGAGCATTGACAGGCCTCAGTACTCAGATATTTCCCCAGTGCCAGACTTTAAAGGCATTCGAAAAATGCTTTCCGAGTAGACGGGCGCAAAATTCCGTCATCCAGGCTTGAGGGCACGGCTTGGTCACTGACATATTCCAGCTTCTGGCGAGACGTATTATTCTATGACTGCAGTCTTGCTAAGCCAATACTATGAACAGACTCCTAGGGTGATGAACGAGTCAATGGAGGGCGTCTTTCGTGGCGTATGCGCGCTATGGTCAGTCACCTGCCAGCCACGGCATACGAGCCGCTTCTTCGGCATCGACGCGCGGGGTAAAATGATGTGGTATCAGCGTCCTACGTCAGTGATAAATTCACTGTACAGTTAGCAAGGCGCTCTGAATAGAGGGATGCAAATACCAAATATTTCAGATAGGGTGCAAATGTTAGAACGCGTCACGCATTTGCACTAGATTAGTGCGTTAGTGCGTATCAAGACAAAGGCCTTAATTACTACATACCAGTTAGCATGTTCAATCGAAATTTGTACCGGGGGCCTTAGTACCTACGAAAACATTCATAACGCACGGTCCGGTGGCTGAGACAGCCCTAGATCACGCCGTGGCAGCAGACCCCCATACCCGCAGAGTTGGTACGACTTCGGGCTAGCGAAAGAGGAAAATGGCGGGGGCGGGTGTGGCGATGCCAAACAGAATAAGGCTAGACTTTATGATATACAGAATATACACGATAATGATGATACAGGATCGTAGCCCAAATGCCCTCGCTCCTTGTTGCGCCTGTTACCAGATTCCCCGTGAGACGATGTGTGCGAAAGCGAACGTTACCTCGACCCAGATCTCCCGTCAACCTGCGCCTTAGGCACCGCATTCTCAACCCTCAGCCACTCGCCGTTAAACGCGTTGATGAGCCACGAGCTCAACTCTGCCCTCACCATTAGCAAACACATCCCCATAAACCTCTCAGCAAGTGTATCCACTTACTATCGTAAACGATCTTATTAGCATTATGGAAATATATGCTATGATCGCTATCCGGAAACATATGCATGTCGTAATTCTCCTTGCCCGAAAGATCCAGCTTATCTAGTAGCGTAAGGGTATTCTGCATGTGCACGTTGTCGTCTGCGACGCCGTGCATGACGAGGAAGCGCACGTTGCGGGAGAGCGATTCGACGTCGTGGATGCTGGAGTTATCGTAGCCGGTGGGGTTGTTTTGGGGCGTGTGCATGTAGCGCTCGGTGTAGATGGAGTCTGGGAGGCGTTAGCGGATTCGGGGTTAGGAGAGGCGGGGGTTAATGGTGACTTACCGTAGAATCTCCAATCGGTGACGGGGGCAACGGCCATGCCGTATTTAAATGTCTGGCCAGCGTCGGTCTCGAGCGTCTTGAGCGTCATGAAGCCTCCATAGCTCCATCCCCAGATTGCCATTCTCTCTTCGTCGACGTGCTTCTTCTTGGCCCACATCTTGGCCACGGCAATCTGGTCATGAGCTTCGTAGGACCCAATATTGGCCCGGGTTATGCAGCGCAGCTTCCGACCGAGGTAGCCCGTACCGCGCCCGTCGACTGTAACCACGATATACCCAAGGCTGGAAGCAACGTAAGATTGAAAGTCGACCTTAAACTTCTTGTCCACGGTCTGCGAGCCCGGCCCACTGTACTGATAGAAAAGAACAGGGTATTTGTGCTTCTCGTTGAAATGTGGGGGACGACGCTCTAAGACGTTCAGCTTAAAGCCGTCAACCTCGACAGTCTGGTATTTAAGGATAGGGAGCTCGTGCTGGCGGGCGGTCTTTTCAAGCGCCTTGTTCTCTTCCAGGATCTTCTCGTACTTTACCTTACTAGAAGGAGTGCTGATGATCTTCTGCCAAGGGATACCGGGGCCGTCATAGGTTATCAGGGCATAGCTGCCGCCGGTGGAGAAAGAAGCGTCATAGTAACCCGGTGCGGCGCTTTCCATGACTTCCCGCTTGCCTGTGCCGTCAAGATTTACGACATACGAGTGTCGCTCAATAGAGCTACGCTCGGTTGAGATATAGTAGACCAGGTTGTTAGTCAGGTCAACCCTCGATGGCGCTTCAACCACCTCCCACTCACCCTTCGTAAGTAGAATTGGTTCAGCGCTGTCCAACGGACTGAAGTATCCAATATGATCATATCCTTCATGGATGACAGTGTCGATGTATCCATCGTGGTTTCGGCCATTACCAGGGTCCGATGGCACGAAGGTAGTCCGTTGAGAGACCTCAAACCATCCCCCGTCCAGAGCTTGCACATCTTCGGTCCTCGCAGTCTTGCCTGCCCGGCGCTCGACGTCCATGAGAACAATCTTAAGAACATCGCTCTCGCGGTTGGTCTCGCGGACGAGGACTTTCTGGCTTCGCCCGGCCCAGACAATCTCAGTAATGAGGCGATTGTCATCCGCAAAGTCATCTTCGATCTTGACGCTGAACACCTCCTGCTTCGTGATGTCGTAGAATTGGAGTGAAACAATGGGATTAGGTGCGCCAGCCTTGGGGTATTTGATGTTGCGCACGACAGGATACGCCTCTTGTCCAGGCTTTGGCGTCGATCCGTCTGGTCGGGACATGAAGTATTGGACTGGGAACGTCGGCACGGTCGACTCATCTGTTCGAAGGAACGCAATGTACTTGCCGTCTTCCGACCACCAGGTGGCACTGTTCCCCTGGAAGACTTCTTCTTCATAGACCCAGTCCGGGACGCCATAGAACAGTTCAGTGCCTCCATCCTCGGTGATCTGAATGACGCGATCGGAGTCTAATTTGCGAAGAAACATGTTGTTGTCCCGCGTGAAGACGACAGCATCAGACTGCGGGGACCAAGAAGCTAGCTGCACAATGCCTTCTGGATTCTCCGGGTCCAGAGCCTGGGCGGTTTGGGTATCGACGTCAAAGATCCAGTATTTGCCTGTGAACGAATGCCTCCAATTCTTCTGCTCTTCCGAAATGACAAGCACTTTCTTAAAGTCTTTGCTGGGCCAGACGTTGCTCGGATAGATGAAGTTGTCACCGACGGAGAAGCTCCGTTTCTTCATCAGAACAGTCTTGCTCCCAGTCGTCTGCGCATTGCCCTTGTTCCTGATGTCTTCCACCACTAGGTATTCGTTGTCCGCCACTCCCTTCTCGAGTAGGAGCCCATCCTGGCCGGTCGGGCCCGCAATCCACGATACACTCTGTTTTGAGGCATACCATTGGCCATTGAGAACACTTTCAAGGGTGACCTTCTTTCCCGATCCTTTGGTTGACGTTGCGAACGGGTCGTGCGGACGAGTCGACGCATGCTTGTAGCTCCCGTTTGAGAGGAAAGACACCAGCGCAAGCCCCCATCCCACGACGCATATCGTGCCAATGATCCACAATAGTCGGCGCGTCCTCTTGTCTACTGGCTGGAGAGTATGAATGCGCCCATCTTCTATATCGAATCGTTCCCGCGCGCGTTCAGCTGCCCCGCTATCGTCATCTCTGTACTTCTCGCTGAGCTTCGCACGCGATGCGCCGTTGGTTTCTCTGTCATGGATGTGTTCGAGGACTAACGACGTGGTCGATACCGAGGAAACGGAGCTGCCTGAACTGTCTTCAGAAGTGCGCGCTGAGGTCTCGTCGCGAGTGAGAGGCTCCGTCTCCTCGTCGTTCACGGCGCGCTCGCGCGGCATGGTAATTGTTACTGTGCTGGAGCGACGGTGTAAAATGGTACCATTTTAAGCGAAAGGAAAGAAGGATAACTACTAGAAGCAATAGTAGTAGCTCTGCTTAACGGGCGATCAAATATGTGGGAGGTCCGGCCGCTCCTAGATCTATCTTGCCTAGAGGACAGCGGAGCGCAGGGCGGAGGTTTGAAGTTCGGAAGCTGTCCGAAACGAACCAAGCCAGGTGCACCCCTCGTAAGATGCTAAGAACCTCACAGCACAGCACAAACAAAGAAGACAAGCAATAATTCTTCTATTCACGCCCCGTTCGGGACTGATTTTGAAACAGGAACCAAGAGCCAAGTCGCTAGCTGTACCCTTCCGAGTCGGAATGCGTACCTTGGCCTGCTTCGTTCCATCATCCGTCTCCACTGGTCTACGCGATCAAAGAACAAGACTTCTATTCTTGCTTCAAAGCCATCATCGCATCTCGACGAGCACTACCAGCTTGATGCCAGTCTGGTGGTAGGTGCTAGGTGCTGAAAGGGCGCCTTATTTGCGCAGTTTATCCAGTCTTGACCGACGGGTAGGCTTCTTCGAGCTCTCCGAAAGATGACTTGCTCTAAGGATCCAATTCTGTGATCGAGAAGCACACTTGCCAAGTGCATGGATGAGACGCCAACCCTCACGACTGCAAAGGGCCAAGATAGTCCTAGAAACCCTTAGCTGAAACGTTTGGAGACGCACGAATGTAGACATACCTCTTTCATCGTTCCAATGGCATACATTTTGTCGACCTCGGACCGGAGACCCTTGATCTTGATACGGATATTGGTGCCCTTCTCAATGATCTGGTCTCCGTTATCAGTCCACTGCGGAGGTGTCGCATTCGCATCGAATTTGATGTCGGATGGAATCATCTGCCGCACGTTAGTGGACGGATAGCGCAATTTCTCGACTGGCAGAGCGTACGTTGCGTCCCACAAATGCCTGCAGAGAGCCACAATCGACGAAGAAGCCGGCTCGGATGACTGAGGTAACCACGCCGTCCATCTGACAGCCGTTAGCCTGGTCCACACGGCTCCCACTTGATATCACATACCACCTCCCCTTTGTATGGCCTCCACACAATTGCCTTATAATGTACGGTATACTCGGCAGCGCCGGAGCCTGGAATAACTTGTCCATCGGAAATGTCGAATGAATCCAATATGCAGACGATTGTGAACTTTCCCGTGCTCGAGCCCTCTTCTTTCAGCAGGAGCTCTCGATGTATGTGCGAGCGGATGAGCGGGCCAAAGTAGGACGGATGAAGCTGGATGGTCTTCTCCAGTTCTTTGATAAAGAACATGGTTATTGCGTCTTCAGAGGTCGTGCGGCCTGGTGAGATTGCGGCACTCTGTGCTGATGTGGAGTCGGGCAAGTAACGAGCAGAGGTAAAATGCGGAGCCCTGGTTTGAATGGAATTAAGCGACTCTATTGTCTTCTTATTGTCTCTGTGAAGGCCCGCTCGTGAGTGACGGTGACCGCGCGCAAAGCCTCAATAGAGAGGCGCCTCCAACCCGAATATCAAGTACAAGCCCAGCAGTCCATGCGCGCGTTTCCCGGCATATACGCGCTTGTTTCTGGTGTCCCTTGGGAGGCAGGCGACGTTTATCGTGGGACAAAGGCGGATCGTGTAGCTGGATAGGCGACAATGCCGTTGCGCCTCGAAGAAGCTCGAAAGAAGGACGGTCCGTGCGCTCGGCATCGGTGATAGGTTTCGCCGCGACACGTGAAAGTCCCCAGAACATCCAGTGGATCCACTCGTGGATGTCGTGCCACGCTCACCTATCGCACCATCCGCTGGCAGCCGTCCGTCACTGCGAGAGGGCTCATAAAGACTGATACCGTTTGCGTGGGCATCGACCGCTTCGTTCCTTCGTCGAAGAATGCCTCCCGAGCATCAATCTTGGTAAACGACTACCCATTGTCATTCCAGAAATTCCCGCACCTGGCACCATGTCTCTAAACCTAGAAAAACAGCTACGCTTCGTACGTAATAGATACTACCACTTGGTGCGGTTCAACTAACTAAGCTTTTAGTATGGAGCCTACCATCACAACCTCGTGAGTTGCGTTCGAATTGTATGTCGTTCATTCCGCTTACGCCGCATCTTGCCCAGGTCAATGTCGGCATACACATTGCCTGCGTTCCCGCCATACTCATGACCTTTCTCCTACTCGTAAGGCCGCCCTTCACACATGTCGAGCCGTATTTAACATTAGTAGTTCACCAACACTCCATCAATACCGCTGCCTCCATGGCTGTCGGTCCCGAATCTCCCTCCTAATGTCGGAACTATCGGAGCAGTGCTATACTCGACGCTTTATATCCTCATGGAGCCAGTGGCAGGAGGCCTGCTAGCTCCACTCATCATCGGCGGCACTGCTTACGCGAACCACCTTACTTCTACGTACGGAGCGACGGCGAACTACTGGGCCGGTGGAATAAATGTTGTATGCTGGATCGCACAATTCATAGGCCACGGGAAGTTCGAAGGAAGGGCGCCGGCGCTGCTCGACAACTTGGTGCAAGCACTCTTCCTTGCCCCCTTCTTCGTCTGGTTCGAGATCCTCTTCGCACTTGGTTACCGTCCGGACCTGAAGCGCCGGATAGACAAGATGGTTGAGGAGGATATTAAGAAATTCAAGGAAAAGAAGGGAGCGAATGGTGCCGCAAACGGAACGAATAAGACGTCGTAGGAAGCTCCGGTAGTTTGGATGGGACAACGAAACTAGAGTGGCATAGGCGGTAGCGGTTGAGGAGTGGGGGAAATTACGAAGATGAGGAGCCCGTAATGCAACCAGATGTGATGCAGTAAGAATCATAGTTGACGTAGTTGTAAATCGCTAGGAATTGCCTCGGGCGTGAGGAGGAGTAAGATCCTCGCTGCTGATACTCATGACCAAGTGTCTGAATATTGACTTATTGGTTTTGAAGCAGGATGCCTTTGTAGATTTTCTAATCTTCTCAGTATAGGGGCTCGTTCACTCTGACAATAAATTCATAAATTGGATGACTTACAAGGTTTTTCTATCGTAGTTTGGTAAAGGTACATTGCTCACCAGGTCCTGGGACAGCTCTTGTCCTAGGTGAAGCTGGGGCGGGTGTTGGCTTTTCGAACAAGATATCGAGACGGAGAATATCTCAAGTGGTGAACAGGAGCAAGATCATAAAAAGACCATTATATGAAATTGGATCTAAGGACTGCCGTACAAGTAAGATTCGCACCGCGAATTATATGTCCCATTATACGCACCCGCGAAGGCCTCCAGGGTAGCTGTTACCACGTCGTTCTATCCAGAGAATTCCACACCGTGAGAGGCCGGGTCCGTGTTGCCCTGAGGCTTTTAGCTGTTGGGCTTAGTAAGGTGCCAAGCCCATCAGAGAACGAGCCGCCGCTCCAGCGGGATCTCTTTCTCCACGCTTTCTTTTCATCCTCCCTTCATCGCATCTCCCCTCAATTCCTTCTGCATCAATCTCAATTGATTGCAGAGCTATTCCAGTAGCCTCTTGAGCTCACGAAAATGTTCTCAAGAGCCCTCCGCCAGTCGAGCCGCCGGGTCGCGGCAATCTCTGCTTCGGGCAGAATTGCTTCGGTAAGTCCATCGCACCCGTCTCCAATTGCGCCTACCCTTCATCGCGCTATCGTCTGCAGCTCCATGGACGCTTTTCCGATGCCATTGGCGCTGCATTGAAGCTTTGTTGAGGGACCGCGAGTTGCTGTGCTGGACGAGAGGGAGCTTCTTTGCCGAGCCGAGTACTGACGGTTTTTTCTGCGACAGACCCGGACTACGCCCGCCATCTATAAGGTGCGCAGCTATGCTTCCGATGCGAAAGCCTCCCCGACCGAGGTGTCCTCCATTCTCGAGCAGAGGATTCGCGGTGTGCAGGAAGAGGCCGGTCTTGCCGAGACAGGACGTGTGCTTTCTGTCGGGTACGCCAACAACAAGTTATCGCGAACATTGAAGGACACAATTGGAGCTGACAACGGGGCTCTAGTGACGGTATTGCCCGTGTCCACGGCATGAACAATGTCCAGGCCGAGGAGCTCGTCGAGTATGTCAATGCCCAAGCTCCCCCAACACCAGCTGCATCATGGCGCTGACGGGAACACAGGTTCGCCTCTGGCGTCAAGGGTATGTGCATGAACTTGGAGGCTGGCCAGGTCGGTGTTGTGCTTTTCGGCTCCGATCGATTGGTCAAGGAGGGTGAGACTGTCAAGCGAACGGGACAGATCGTACGTCACGAAGACACTCTAACACTCTAGAAGTTGCTTGCAGCTAACAACCTCAGGTCGATGTCCCGGTCGGCGAGGGTCTTCTCGGCCGCGTTGTCGATGCTCTCGGTAACCCTATCGACGGCAAGGGCCCCATCAAGGCTGCTGAGAGGCGCCGTGCCCAGGTCAAGGCCCCCGGTATCCTGCCCCGTCGTTCTGTCAACCAGCCCGTGCAGACCGGTCTCAAGTCCGTCGACGCTATGGTTCCCATCGGCCGTGGTCAGCGTGAGTTGATCATTGGTGACCGACAGACTGGAAAGACCGCCGTCGCTCTCGACACTATGCTCAACCAGAAGCGATGGAACAGCACCAACGATGAGACCAAGAAGCTTTACTGTGTCTACGTTGCCATCGGTCAGAAGCGGTCCACCGTTGCTCAGCTCGTCAAGACCCTTGAGGAGAACGATGCAATGAAGTACTGCGTTATCGTTGCTGCCACCGCCTCTGAGGCCGCTCCTCTGCAGTACATTGCTCCCTTCACTGGTTGCTCAATGGGAGAATATTTCCGCGATACTGGCAAGCATGCTCTCATTGTCTACGATGATCTGTCTAAGCAGGCCGTTGCTTACCGTCAAATGTCTCTTCTGCTTCGTCGTCCCCCTGGGCGTGAGGCCTACCCCGGAGAGTAAGTTGTAAACTGCCACGGAGTGCGAACATTGGCTAATCTAGCATAGCGTTTTCTACCTTCACTCCCGCCTCCTCGAGCGTGCTGCCAAGATGAGCGACAAGCACGGCGGCGGCTCCCTCACTGCCCTGCCCATCATTGAGACCCAGGGTGGTGACGTGTCCGCCTACATTCCCACCAACGTCATTTCCATCACCGACGGCCAGATTTTCTTGGAAGCAGAACTGTTCTACAAGGGTGTCCGGCCTGCCATTAACGTCGGTCTTTCCGTCTCCCGTGTCGGTTCCGCTGCCCAGCTCAAGGCCATGAAGCAAGTCGCCGGTTCCCTCAAGCTCTTCTTGGCCCAGTACCGTGAAGTCGCTGCCTTCGCTCAGTTCGGTTCCGACTTGGATGCCGCTACCAAGCAGACCCTGAACCGTGGTGAACGTCTCACCGAGCTGCTCAAGCAGAAGCAGTACTCGCCCATGGCTGTCAACGAGATGGTTCCTTTGATCTTCGCCGGTGTCAACGGTCTCCTCGACAATGTCCCTGTCGACAAGATCCTTACCTGGGAGGCTGACTTCCTCGCTCACCTCCGGTCGAACGAGACCGAGCTCCTTGCCCAGATTGACAAGGAGGGCGCGCTCAGCAAGGATCTGGAAAGCAAGCTGAGGGATGTAGCCACAAACTTCACTAAGGCCTTCGTGTAAAGGAAGGTTTCAGGAGTGGGTACTCTCTATTTCCAGGTTCACGCGGGGAAAATGTGCTGATTGGTATATGAGATTAGATGTATAATAGAAGATGCGTCCTCGCCATCAGCTGTCTCAATAGGAAAGTCTCTTTTGGTCAGATGCGATGCGGAACACGGAAGCCTCCAAAACACCCCTTGCTCCTCCCTTGTTTCCCTTTCTCGGCTGTCGATACGCATCTCTGATCTAGTGGAGGCGAGCGGGAGTGTATTTATGCGAATTTCAATTTCCTTGTGTAATTTTTCTGCCTCCATGCTGTGAAGTGTGACGTGGGGAATAGTCATAACTCTTTCAGATGATCAGTAGGGCAAGCTGAGGCCCCAGTACGAAGTCTGTCTCTGCCGAAGTGCGTGCTATTGTTTGAAGCATCCCACGAGGGGCGTTCCGCGCCCTTATGGTGTTGAAATATCTGGTTATAAAGACGCACGTAACAGCTACCCTGGTGGCCTTCGGGGGTGCATGCAATAGCACGTATAGTTAGCTGTACGAGCGGTTGACCCGAAAGATCTGCACTCCGGCGAGCACTTGGCTGAGACATTGACGCACCACCCTGCACACTTTGAGAGCTGCACTGACTTCGTACCCGTACGTTAGGAACCTGCAGTATCCAGTCCGAGAGAACCATTCGAACGGTCTCGGTCCAGGAACTGCCTTGGTATCTCATCTGATCGATTTTCTACCTGTATCCAAGACATGCGGTACCCGGAACGCCGTAAGCCTAATGCTCCACCCTATGACCCTTCTATTGGAGTCTATCATACACTCCTGCAAGCGTTATATATACAACTCACTTCTTACTGCTGATTTCCTCCTCGTCTCCCCCATCTCCCGAGCTAAACGGATCATCCTCCACATCTGGGATCTCGAGCGCATCATCCTCCGCATCCGTAGGATCATCGTGATACTCATCCCCCCACCCTGTCCGTAGCGAGATATCATCGTCGTCTTCCCTTAGGGTCTCGGCAGCCTCCAGCGCTTCCGGGTCATCCGAATACTCATTTTCCAAATCCTCAATAGACATCCGGCGTATCCCCGCCCTTTCCTCGGCCTCCAGCTGACGCGCCCTTTGCTTTGTCTTTTTGTACATAAACCAACCTGTCGCCACGCCGGCAACAGCTCCGATCGCTATGCTTATATAACTCAGCGCTTTAGTCTTCGCATCCATCTTCCCGCCACTCTCGGCGATCTTCTCGAGCTGCGAGCCGATGAAGATGTGCAGCATGAGCTTGGGAGATACGAGTGCGGTAGCGAGGGCGAAGGAGGCGGTGTGCACGGTGGGAAAGGTGGCTATGGCGCCATTGGAGAGGGAGTATGGCAAGGGACACATGCGGATCATGACAAGCAGCTTTAGGCCGTCGTGCTTCAGAGTGAGGGCGAGAGCGGCGAAGCGCTTGTCGTTTGCGACGAGGCGATGGACCATGGTTTTTAGAAGGGAGCGCGAGAGGAGGAAGGAGGCTGTGCTGCCGGCAACAGTTGCGGAGGCGGCTATGAACCAGCTGTGTTGATATGTCAGTAAGATGTGCGTCTTAAAGTAGAGTTGCGGTGGAAGAAGGCATACCCGTTCGGGAACCCATATACAAAACCCGCTATTGTCAAAAGACTCGAGTATCCAATCAATGGAGGAAATGATACTGTAAATATCAAAGCCCACAGTATCAACCATCCAGCTCTAACGTCCCTCCACTTCTTCGCAACCGGCAGCAGTGACTGGAAGATGCGCTCGTTGTACACTAGGAACAATATCGAGAGTACGAAGCAGGCAAGTCCTCCTATTACGACGAGGACTTTCTGGACGGGTGATAGCCGATTGTAGGAGCTTATTACGCGCCGATTGAGCTTGTCGTACCGGTCCATCAGCTTGCGGTGCCACGACGGCGCCTGTCGCGAAAACGGGGAGCTATTGCGCCGGAATGAAGCTGAGCGTCGGCTCCAGATGGGGCTGTTGCTTCGTTCGGGGGACTCGCCGTTCAGCGGGAGCGCCAGGGCGCGGGCGTCGTAGTCCTCCGTAGGCATGGCGGAGGCGGAGGGCGGCGGAACGGCGCGGAGGAGATGGAAGGGAAGGATGCAAGGTCAAAAGATGAAGAGATGCGGTCTAGGAGTTACTCGCGGGATAGCTGAGAACGGTCATTCCGGTGTTGCAGTGTTAGAAAGGGCGAGACAACTGCGGTGTTGGGGGTTGCTGACTACGAGAGGTCGAGAGGGCTGGTTTCAGCGTCATCCCGAGAGCACCGCCGCCTCGCCTGCATGGTGGATCTTAAGTCCGATCGGGGCTATCTATCTGATCGACTATCAAAGGGACCGTTTACCAGGTCGACAGAAATGCTGCTCAATGGCCTGCATATCCATCACTATTGCAAAGAAATCACAGACCAGTGGCCCATAAATAGCTGCACTCCAGGCTGTTACACGGTATGCAGCATACTGCATGCATCATAGATGCCGAAGCACGTGATTCAGCCTCATGGCGGCGCCCGGTGGCCTCTTCGGTCGGTGGACGCGAACGTTGCATGGGAGGACGATTCCCGAGTGAACGAGGCAACACAAAGCGGGCTGGCACCGCCGTCGACTCGCTCAGCTCGCTGGATACCTGCCACACCACATCACCGCCCTTGTTTCTGCGCCGCTGCCATGTAGCGCTGCTTCATGCACTCCCATACGCGCCCCCAGGTTCAAGGTTCTTAGTTGCACGGGCGAGCTCCAAACATCCCGCATCCCCCACACCCTGCCCGCGGTAGGGCTGCCTTGAGCTTCATTTGCGCCCTGGAGCAGCCAAGACCCTCCTCATCCCCCGTTCCTCAGCGGCCTCGCTGCCTCTCGCAGCTGCCTTCACTTCACCTTTTTTGCTTCTTCTTGCCCTGTCGCGCCCGACCGCCCTCCCTGCGACCACCCCCAGCCCTTAATTAGCCCCAAACCCGCCTGAGCTCCGACCCTCACCCCATATTGCGCGCCGTCCAACAACCGCCGCGACACGACACCCCTTAGCTTTTTTATGTTTGAGCAGTAGTAATGGTCTCCGACGACGTCTACGAGGCGGCACTGCCGGTGCTGCACGACGACACGCTGGACGAGGAGGATAAGACGGACAAGCTGGAGGAGCTGCTGCGCAAGGAAACAGGGCTCACTGGGAAGTCTCTCGAGAACATTGTGTTGGATTGTCTCTGGCGCTTTCGCGACGCAGGCAGCTCCTCGAGCTCACCCCCTCCGAGCCGCCATACCGTCATCCGCCGCCCCTCTCCCGCTCCATGGCAAGCCAACCGCGTACCTACCCCCGTCAGCCAGTCGCCCAGGGCCGTACATCCTCCCCCGGGCTTCGGCGTAGCTCCTCCTGGCTTCGTACGAGCAAAGTCTTCGAACGCTTCTCCCTTCACCTCCCCGCGACCGTCCCCGCGGCTCGCCTTTTCAAGCCCCCACATCCCTCATAGCCCGAGCCTCAGCGCGTACCAATTCAGCGAAGGCCCGAGTCCGAACACTGAGCTCTATGGTGACCTTGGTAGCGAATCCGTAGACTGGCTTGTGAACGATGACTCTGGAAGCACCGAATCCTCGTCGTTCCAGGGCGACGGCACACTCAACGGTGCTGCAGCGGAATGGGTCCAGCCCCAGACTGTGGATATGGGCCCCTATGACATGCTTCGATCGATCCTCCGCGATGACCGACCCGATGACGAGATTGAGAAGGCCCTCGAGGCCAATGGCTATGATCTAAGTGCCGCGCTCCTTGCGCTTATGGGTACCCAGGCTCTTGAAGGGCAGCAAATGTCAACAACCGTGCCTGAGCAAGCTACCTTTCATATCGGGAAGTCGATGAGCCCGGCGTTCAGGCCTGCCACTCCCGCGGGCCAGGCAAAGAGCAACATCGTATGCAAGTACTACCTCTCCCAAGGCCAGTGCGCAAGAGCCGACTGCAGGTTTAGCCACGATACTTCGACGACGCTGTGCAAGTGAGTGCATTTTACACGGGGTGATGTTATGAACTAACTTGAGCCTTCAGATACTTCATGGGTGGAAATTGTCTCGCGGGCACTATGTGCATGTTCTCCCACGACCCCTCAGCATTGATGGCTCGCATGGCAATTTCCGACGCTTCTACACCGCCGCTACAAGCAGCTATTCCGAACTTCCAGATGCAAGACTATGAAACATTCCCTACTTTGCAATCAACGGGTTCGCCTGGGTGGACCCCTCAACTGTCGACCACTGAGACCGCTTCCCTCGAACAGCTGTACGGATTGAGAGGCGTCCCGAAACATCCTCCTCCAGGCCTGAGTCCGTTTCCTAACTTTACCCCTGGCAACCTCAGCCGCCCGCAATCTCGGCCCAGTAGCAGGCAACACTCTCGAGCAACTACGCCTTCAGTCCCTGCGGTAGATGACAACGAGGCTTTCCCCACTCTAGGTTCAGCTGCTGCGGCGAAGGCCGGGAAGCGGCACCACGGGAAGCGCGGTGGCCACGGCCATAACAATAAAGAACATACGACCCCAAGCAATCTTGCCGATGTTGTGCGCATGTCACCCTCGCCGGCACCTGCACAGCTCCGCAAAGGTCTCCGTCCAGCAAAGAGCTTTAACGGATCTCGTGAGAACAGCGCTGTCGCTCAAGCGATTCCCGCGCCTCAGCATATTCCATGGCTTGAGACAGGCGAGAAAACAAATACCGCGTATCTTCAAGCCCGCACTGAAGCTTTCAAGCACGGTAGCTTGAGGAACAAGTTCCTGCAGAGGTAGGTTGGCGCAGTTCCCCACTGATGATTATTATGTATATGCTAACTATTGTCAGTGCTGCTCAAGCCTGGAACCGCAGCGATTCCCGCGCCGCGAAAGCTCTGAGTCTTCGAGGCCAGAGCGAGAACAATCTCATGCGAGAAGCTCATCGTAAAGCTGCCCAAATCCTTTACGAGGAGCGTAATAAGGACACCGGGCCAGATGCACGTGAGCTCTATGTTGACCTACATGGTACGACGGCACCGAAGCATTTTGAATCGAACTGTATGCTCACGAAATGCCCAGGTCTACATCCAGACGAAGCAGTGTCCTATCTTGAAGGCATCCTCCTCAAGCACAGCTCTTCCTCCCGCCCCGTCTACGCCATCACCGGAACCGGTCACCATTCCAAGAACGGCAAAGACAAGGTCGGCAAAGCCATTCGAACATTCCTCAACGAATGGCGATATGCCTTCCGCGAGTTCTCTGTGCCCGGCGATCGCAACAACGTCGGAGGCATCCTTGGTATTGACCCCAGCAGCTACGACAAGAGCATTGCGGAGCGGGCCAAGGAGAGCGAGGGCGGCTCGGCGAGTGAGCCGGATGGCTTGAAGAAAGATACCAAGGTCAGGATAATGAAGAGGGATGAGGTGCTTAATGCGCCAAAGGGACCGAAACGTGCCGGTGCATGACTGGCCGGTAGTAGATAGAAAGAAATAAGAAACCGCTCAGATTCACTTCGTGCCTATTGCTTTGCCGTTCTTCTATGACCAATCTATCCTACTTCTTGTCCTTATTCCCACCCGACTTTACCCTACTGGCCAACGGTTAGATTTTCAACATGACGTCCCTCGTCGGCGAAGGCAGTCACAGTCTTTTACCTACCTCTCTACGTTTTCGGTTTTATATATTTCCTATACGAGCCTATTACCTAGGGTTCTGACCCGGCGCCTGCTATCGAAAGCCGACGGTGAGGTGAACAGCGGGTGGAAGGCGCGCGCGACCGTACCTTCTCCACGCCACCACTCCGCTCACCCGTCGTCATCAATTCTTCAAACTACCTAGGTATGCCCTCCACGCTTCACTCTCACTCATCCAGTAACTCTTTTTCTTAGCTACTTGCTTCCCCAGCGGGAGCTCTCCCAGATACCGTCTTCTGTCTATTACACTGCACCGCCCAACATGCCGTCAAGCTCGATGCGGCGAGAGAGCACGTCCCGCCCGAGCAGCGCGGCACGTCCAGACATGTCTACACCTGTCTCGGATCCTGCGGGCCCACTCTGGCAATACCAGGTCCAAAAGAGAGAGAACGGATATCTGCTGGAGCGGATGAAGAACCTAGAAGCGCAGGTTCTTATCTACGACGAGCGAATGCGTAAGGCCGAGGACGTAGCCGAAGCCTGCAGTACAATCATGCACGACTTCGACCACCTGAGAAAGGAGGTGGAGAAGGACCCGGAAAACGAAGAGTTCAGAAAGGTTGCTGGTGCGAGGTTCGCTTCAATCGCGCGGGATATTGAGAGCTTCAAGAATACGCAAGCTCGTGTGTCCAGGTTGGCCATGGACAGTCATGACCAGAACGACGCTGTCAACATTATTCAAAAGAGGACTACGGCTCTCGAGTCAGCTGTTCAAAACCTGGAGCGCCGGCCTCAAGTCAACAATTATCTGAGCGAGGTGAAGGCGCTTTCTAAACGGATCGAAGCCATTGAGGCCCAACGGAAGAGAGAAACCCGGAGCGTACAAGCCAGTATTAGTATGCTCGAGAGCACCTGCCGGAATCAAGCTACGGAGAATAAACGTCTGCAAGCAGAAGTGGCACGGTTGAGCGGCGAGCTTGCAGCACAGAAAGTGCAAGCCTCCAATACGTCCGTGGTACAGGTGCCGCGCAGCCCACTCGCACAGAACGAGAACAGGTGAGGGAGGTCCAACCTGCTACAGTGAATAGTGGCTTACTTTCTTTAGGAGTTCATCTACTGCTCGAGGTTCTTCACCCCTTCGAGCGCCACAGAGGAAGGATGTCAGACAAGCTCCGCCGGTCCGCCGGTCGCAACACGAGGCGCAGATACCTCAGACTCACGTGCAGATACAGAGCACGACCCAATCGACTACGCAGACAGAGAAAGAGGCGGAGTGCAGCCCGGATTTGGACCTCGTCACCGATATTCCAGTCCGCCCTCAAGGGCCTCGCTATGTAGCACACCAAAGCAAAAGGCAGAAAATCTCCAACCACGTCCCGGCCACGCGAAGTCAAGCAAAAGTGGAATTCGCCGAAGCCGCAATGAAGGCTACACCTAGACCAAGCAAAATCGTCACGCTCAAGTTGCCGCGGAAGGACTCCACTGGCGAATCCATGCGCCCCATCTATCCAAAGCCGGGCAGGTCCGCCCCAATACAAGCAGCAAGGCGCCCAGATGGGGGTGCTAAGCGCGACATTATTAGAAGGCAGGGAGGAGCTCCAGCACGATCAAGCCTCAGGAAACCAGTGTCGAAGCCATCCCGTTTGACCGAAGAGATTCACAACGCTCCCGCCTCTGACGTCTCTGTTCCCAGTCAGCCTAGCCGTTTTCTACGTCCGAGTCCACGCAAGCTAGGCTTGCCCTCTGACTTCTCAAATGGATTTCATATAGAGCTGGGCCCCGATGGGGCGACGGCACGCCCTCAGTCATCCTACGGCAAGCCCGCTTCGAAAAAGCTTGCTTCAAAACAGCCGTCTGCAACTGCTATGAATGGACCAGCCTCAAGGCGACCAGGGGTTGGCCCCTCGCGCCCCGCAGCGGCGCCAGTGAAACGCCGGCCACCACCCGCATTCGAGACCTACGGCGACTACTTGCGGTCGGCACAGAGATAAAATGACACTTCAAATCGAGACTCAGTGCGGTGAACGGGTCAGTGTTTGCAGTCTGTTCAGGAGAGACGAACTCTATTAACCCTGATGTCGAATCTACGTCTCTTTGAATTCGTACGGCCCCTCACGATCAACAACTGAGACCTCAATGTTCGCCTCCTCAATATCCTTACCATCAACCCTCAGTCCCGCCTTCATCACATCGCCCGTCTTTACGGGACCCACTCCTTTCGGCGTTCCAGTTAACACGATATCTCCTTTCTCGAGCGTCATTACGCGGCTGATATCGCTTAGCTGTCTTGGAATGCGGAATAGCATTAGCTCGGTGTTGTCGGACTGCTTCATGTCGTTGTTCACAGAGAGCCAGAGATGTGCCTTGTGGGGATCCGGGACGCGCGATTTGGCGATCAGATTGCTGATGGGGAGGAAAGTATCGAAGCCTTTGGCGATGGACCAAGGGAGGCCTTTCTTCTTGGCCTCCTCCTGGACGTTGCGGGCTGTCATGTCGATGGCGAGCAGATAACCTATGTTTCAAAAGTTAGTGCAGCGATTCTAGACAATGTTATACGATGATGAGATACATTACCTTCAATAGCGTCCATGGCTCCTTTCGTGTCTTCAGAGTCTAGGTCTCGCACTGTCTTGCCCATAATTAGGCCGAGCTCAACTTCATAGTGCATCGACACTCCTTTAGGCCGGAGAACGGGTCCGGCGCCGGGTAGAAGGATCGAAGATGGCGGCTTGAGGAAGAAGAAGGGCTGTTTTGGGCGGACGTTGTTGAGTTCTTTGACGTGGTCACTGTGAAGATGTCAGGCTGGGAGCATTCAGAAGTTATAAGTAGGGGGTTGCGAACGCATAGTTCCTGCCTATACACATGACCTATAGAGGTGTTAGTCAGACGGTTCGACGCAATGGGGCTGGCAAAAATAAATGAGATGCTGGCCAGACTAGACAGAATGTATGACTATCGTCCTTGGACAATGCGGCAAGAAAGAAAGACATGATGCGTATAGAACCCTCAATTGCACCCTTAACTTTTTTCGGACTCCCGAGCTCGTGCAGCATGCTTTGACGGGCGGAAATGGTAGAGGATGACAGCACTCACCTTCCGGCAATTGGCCCTGATAGATTGTATACTCGCCATTTCTCCTATCTCTTTTTAAAACGAATATACAAAGAAAGATGTAGATGTACAAAAGATTGATGGAAAGATTGGGTTGAGAGTCACGCTCAATCGCCGTCGCTAGCCACTCCACGCCAGTCCGGTCCGCAGAAAAACCTCCGAGCTTCGGCGAAGCTCCGCCGAGCGGTTGACGTGGGATGTCATAGCTCCAAGCTCCATCCATCCATCCCACTTCAACGCCATCGATTCCCTCTACGACCAGACGAACGAGGAACGCGATGGCGAAGCCCCCCACCCCCCTTGCAGAAACCACAATGCATCTCGCAGAAATCCTCTCCGACCTCGTCTCGCTGCGTGTTTGTGTACGCCCATACCCTTCTGTCTTGCGCCATCCCATCTCGCATGCTCCCGCTCTAACACAAGCTTTAGGACCCCGCCGCAGCGCTCGCCCTGGTATCCGCGCGCCCAGACCCCACGACGTCGGCGTCGTCTAAAGCCGAGAGGGACGAGAGCAGAGAGGAGCAGGAAGATGGAGATCTCAAGCGCGCGAAGGATCTCGTGGAATTGCACTATGCGGTTAAGGAGGCGCATAAGAGGGGCGAGTTGGGGAGGGGCTTGATGGATGCTCGGGCGAGTGTGGATAGGGCTGTTGGTGGGGTATGAGGGCGCGATGTTAGGGCGAGACTGGGAATAGGATACAGAGGGCTATTCTGCTGGCGCGCAGGGCTGCGAGATAGCTGAAGATGGGGGCAAGGGCATAGGCGCGAAGGTGCATGTGCGATGGAGCTTCAAGTCGGCTGGGGCTGGACGAAAGATATCAGCATGGACCGCGACTTAGATGAAGGCGTTCTCGTCTCTCGGATGAAGGACACCACATTGCAGAGCACCTGGGAGTATTTACAACTCGCAAGGATAATCCGTCAAGAGATGTCAGTCAGAGCGGACCGAAAGGATATCATTAGGAGACTACGGTAATAGGACGGAGCTATGAATCCAACGCCGTGCATACCAACGGCATGTGCCAATGCAAAGCTCGGGGTACAAACGCAACAAGGAACTTCCAACTCAGAAATAGCAATAGAAGCCGTGGGCTCATCGAACAACCTCCGTGATCAAGCGCCCTTCGTCAGCGCATCCAGCTTCGGGCCAATATCGACGCCTTTCGCCTTCTCTTTTATCAGGAACACGGTAGCCGCAGCGATATCCCTTCCGGCGAGCATCTTGAGAGGCATCTTGGGCGCCCTGGCCCTCATCTTGTCCCTTTTGCTGGGCTTGATGGCTTTGACTTCTGGGACTGGCGGCGGTTCCACTTCCTTCGGGCCTTCCTCTTCAAGAGGTGCCGCTTCTTCCTCCTTTGGCGGATCTTCCTGAGTGGGCTCGCTTTCCTCCTCCTTTGGAGGCTCTTCTTGAACGGGCGCCTCCTCTTCCTCTTTTGGAGCCTCTTCCGCAACTGGCTCCGGTTCGGCTTCCTCTGGCTGTTCCTCTGGCGGAGGCAGCGGCTCCTCGACTTCTTCTGGCTGCTCTTCCGGAACGACATCTTCCTCGACGGCCTCGGGCACCTCTTCTTGAGGCGGTACCACCTCATTTTCCGTTGGCTCCTCCACTAGGTCCTCCAGAACAGGCTCAGAGGTCTCCGGTTCCGCATCCAGAATGGCCTCGATGAGCTCCTCCATCGACTGCTCTGGTTCAGGCTCCGGTTCGGGTTGCGGGTCTTCTGGGGGAGGTGAAGGCTCAGGCTGGGATTCCGACAGGACTTCTTCTTCCGTAATTGGTTCTAGCGCTGGTTCTTCTTGCTCAGGTTGTTCTTGGATGCGAGACACCGGCATGGGCTCAGGTTCTGGCTGGGACTCCTCTTGAGGCGGAGAGGGTTCGGGTTGAGATTCAGGCTCCAACTCCGGCTGTGGTTCCGGCTCTGGCTCTGGTTGAGGCTCGGGTTCAGGCTCAGGCTCTTTTTCAGGCTCAGGTTCATTTGGAGGTTCAACTGGCTCAGTTACAGGAGCAGGCTCCTCTGGTTGCGATGGTTCCGGCTCAGGCTCTTGCTCAGGCTCCGGCTCAGGTTCTGGCTCCTGAGCGGGTTCCAGCTCCGGCTCCAGAATAGGGTCTTCCTGTGCCTGCTCTTCTTCTTGTTGAACACGTGATACCGGCACTGCTTCTTCCTCAGGTTGCGGCTCTGGCTGAGGCTCTGGGTGCTGCTCGGGCTCGGTCTCTTCGACAGGTTCTGGCTCTAGTTGAGGCTCAGGGTCTTTCTCCGGCTCCTCCTCCTGTATTGGCTCGGGTTCGGGCTGGGGTTCAGGTTCAGGTTCGTTCGGCGGTTCCGGCTCAGGTTGAGGTTCTGGTTCAGGTTCGTTCACTGGCTCTGGCTCGGGATCCTTTGGAGGCTCTATCGCTTGCTCCGGTTCAGGCGTCAGGATAGCCTCAACGACGACCACACCCTCGTCAGCCGGCTCAGTCACAACAGCTTCGACAACCTTGCCATCTTCCGTAGTGACGACCATCGTCTCTTCTGGAAACACTGGACACTTCGTGTTAGTCCATGTCAGTGAAGGAATACGAACAACGTACTTGGCTGGGGGATCTCTTCCGCGGCAGGAGTGGGCGGTGGAGGAACGGGAGGCTCATCGGCGGATTCAGGAGGAGGTGATGAAGCGCTCTCCGGCTCCTCGACCTCGATGGTCGGGGGCGGTTGCGGCGTCTCGGTGGTGTCAGACATGACGCGGCGCCTTCGTACTGGAATGGACGGTGGTCCTACTGCGATCGCAGCCCAGCCGAGCTCGGTGTGCCGGTGGGAGGGGAATAAGGGTATCAGTGTGAGGAACTAAGGTATAGAGTAAGATGGCACAACGAGCGATAATGGCGGGCTGAGTAGCAGCGGAGTAAGGATGGCGAAACTGAAGGACGGCGGATGCGGAAAGGATGTTGACGATCAGCTTGGGTACTTCCAGACTGGAAGCGATGCCCGCGCGCTGTGAGATAAGATGGCGGAGAAGTCATGCCCGAGCGTAGGGGAAGTGGCTGTCAACTGTTTGGCAGTTGCCCATCCTCCATCAAGGTGCACTCACTTGAGGCGGAGGGAGTCAATAGGGTATACCCCATTGCTTCAATCGTGGCTATTATCAGATAGTGATCCCTAACGTGGGCTGCATCTATGTCAAAGTGTCGTCGGCGAAGTAGACTGAGAGGCACCCTTGTGATTGTGCTTTCCTGTTGAGTATTCTACACCGAGGCTACCTCCTCCACGTACGATGCTTCGTCATTCTATCAGGATTAGCGGTCGAAGTATACCCAGGTAGGGACAAAATGGTTTGCTTGCGGTGTTGATGCTGATTGGTTGGCAATTTCGGGCTCGGAATATGATATCACCGAGCCAAGCCGCTAGTGAGAGCTCCCCAGTTAAACAAACCTCCGCCTTCCCTCTTCCACTCACTCTCTCACCTACCCCGCTCGACTTCACGCGCACAATCGCAATCGCTCGCCTGCAGCGCAACCATGGCGCTCAGCGTCGATCAAAAGCGCCTGAAGGCGACGAAGTTTCCGCCGGAGTTTAACCAGAAAGTCGACATCCAGAAAGTCAACATCGACTTGATCAAGAAATGGATTGCAGGCAAGATCACCGCGATCCTCGGCGACGACGACGAGATTGTTGTCGAGACTTGCTACAATCTGCTCGAGCAAGACCAATTCGTAAGTGTGCCCTCACGCGACAACCTGCCTTCCTTGACTGACCTCTGCCGCAGCCCAAGATCAAGGAAATCCAGATTCAGCTCACTGGCTTTCTCAACAAGGATTGCCCCGCCTTCTGCAAAGAGTTGTGGGGCCTGATGCTCAGTGCGCAAGACAGTCCTGTGGGCGTTCCTAAGGAGATGTTGGAGGCGAAAAAGTTGGAGCTGCAGCAAGAGCAGGTACGCCGTTCAAGCGACCCTGGTACCGAATGTTCCTGACAGCATATTAGGCTTCCAAAGCTGCCGCCGAGAGTCGCCGTCGCGAAGAAAACGATATGATAGACTCCTTCCGTCGCGCAGAGCAATCCGGCCGGCCTGAGCGCGGCCGTGGCCGTGGCCGATCGTTCCGAGGTGATCGAGGTGATCGAGGTGATCGGGCCACCCCTCGCCGAGACTCGCGATCCCCGCCGCCGTATGTTGATAACCGATTTGTCGTCTCGAGGAGTACTGATAGTCTCAGGAGGCGTAGGGGCTCCCCGCTTCCCCGACGTGACCGTGACGTCTATATTCCAGGAGGTCGTGGCCGCGGTCGGGGGCGTGACAGATCTCGCGACCGCCGTCGCTCTCCATCGAGCGCTTCGAGGTCGCCTATCCGCCGCTCGCGTCGCCCACCATCGTCGAGCCGCTCAAGGAGCCCGCCGCGTCGCCGATTCCGCCGTTCTCCTTCTAATCGTTCTAGGTCTCCGATTCGACGCGCGCGTCGTTCTCCGCTTCCGAGGGTTAGGTCAAGGTCTCCACCATCCCGTCGTGCAGACAGGTTCGATAGGTCCATGTCACCAAGCCAAGATCCACGAAGGTTGCATAGACACCGATCCAGATCAGTTACACCTCGAAAGAAGTCGAGCTCACCATCAGCCAGGCTCTCGCGCTCTCGTTCGCCTTCTCGAACTCCACCGCGTTACCGACGCCGCAATGCTAGGTCTCGATCAAGCGAACGGTCTGTAACCCCATCATCTGAGCGACTGAGGGAGAGGAGACGTAGACGTTCCTATTCTTCTGAAGACGAAACAAGTGACTCAAGGGCTGATGTTCAATTGAAGCGAAAGCGGTCACCGAGTTCAAGCCGGTCAAGGTCGCGGAGTAGATCCGCGCGCGGACGCCGCAGGCTCTCGCGCTCACCTACAGGGTCAACACCAGGGAGGCGATCCTCAGAAGAATAGGTTCGTATATGGAAACCCTTCACCCCCCTCATTTTCAAATATTACTGCGGTTACTACTTTCTTAGTTCTGAGCTGCCGAAAGCCATGTCGTGGAGGTACTAGTCGGCGAATTATCGCAGACCCAATCCACCGCCCGCGATCAGACCTGGACCCCGACTCAACCACCCTCTGGAAAACAGACTCAGTCAAAGCCATCGACTCATGCTTGGCTACCGGACGTTCGATCTGCCTTAATTGGTTTCTCTTACGGGAATTCGAATCGGTGCCGGACTTTAAGTGGATGATGAATATATGGCAGAGCATAGGACTGCATGCGTCAAGGCCAATGTATAGTAGACTCTTCTGCCAAGATAATCATATGGCAATACGCCAACCACTTCTATCTTCCCTGCTTGCTTCTTTCATATTCTGCTCCGCGAACACCGCATACTCGATAAGATTGGGGGCATGGAGCTAACCAATCGGCTCTGCGCTAATGTAGCGTTATGGGGACCGCGAACGTCTCGTCTCGAGTTCTTCTCCCGAAGAGCTTTGGCTGTAGTACGCGAGCTCCAGAGGTGGGCCTTGTCCTACCACAGACATTCGTTGTGATTCGCGGGCTTTTCACGATGGATGTAGTCGGTAGCTATAGCGCTTTCAGCCTTTTCGCCTTTTACACTGAGCAGCCACTACGCTAATGTCGTCGAGCTTGCCTAATTCTTCGTTAGTCACGTTCCCACGTGCTGAAAGGAAAATATGACAGCTTACCCCCTTCAATCGACAAGCCCTCATCAATCGCCTTCTCCATGTAGGGACTCTCGGCAAACGGATCCTCTGCAATGGCCCTCGCCGCATTAACCAGCTCCTGTGCCACGAAGCGCATGCCATCTGCATATGTCTGCTCCGCTGGCTGTTTATCCGGATCGCTCATGCTCGTCTGGTCCCGCCACTTGTGCATGCTATCCACTACGTTTTCAACCACTTCATGCTCCCACAGATTATCCACCACGCCATCTGTCATGGCGATGACCACATCGTCCTCTTCAATCTCTACGCGGTCCATGACTGCGTTCTGCTTTGGCGTGTCTGGGCTGTTTGTCCCGAGTTGCCGCGGGCAGTCGAACCAGTGCCACTGCTCGGTGGTTTTGAATATCACTTCCTTGTCGCGGGGCCGTATGACGAGGATCTGCGAGTCGCCGAGCTGTGTTACGTAGAGGAGGGGGTGGGGAGGATTGTGTGTGTCGGCGGACAGGAGCGCGGCGCACGCGGTGGTAGTGCCGTGCCATTCTTGCGGCTCGGACGTGGCTTTCTTGGTGTGCTCGAAGGCGGTTTGGAGGTAGGCGACGGGATCGGGTTCGTGGGCAGGGTCGTATTCCGCGTGTTCGACTTCGAGTGCCCAGAAGTGCAGGATTAGGCGGGACCATAAGCTATGTAGAAATGTTAGCTACTGCTTGGTCGACTCTGAGTGGATGGGACGGGAGAGATCCTTACGCTGCATGTCCTCTTTCCCTCGTTCCCCAGGCTCCTACGCCGTCGTTCGCTCCGATGAAATAGTCACTGACTAGTACAGCATCGTCCCCGTTTGTGACGCCCCTTATCATCTCCCCGTTTACCTGCGGTCTGCGATCCCTACTCCTATGATGCGTACTAAGCGGCTCGGAAAAGCTCGTCGACGGAAGCGAGAGAAAGGGCGGAGGGAACGGGCGCGAAGGCCTCTTCGCATACAGCGCGTATCCAGCCTCGAAGTAAAACGGACATTTATGCCCGTTCGGCGGCGGAGCATCATCCGGGACCGGCGTCGTGGTGCCTACGCTGGTCTCTTGCTGCGCGTGCTGGGCAAACGCGCGCGGAAGCGGCAGCGGCAGCGTTTCGAGGCATGGTCGTGGTCGTCGCTGGTTCCGGCGGACTGCTGCGGAGAGGTGCTGCAGGACGCCGATAGAGGGATTGCGCAGGCGCGGGAGATACGCGACCATTCCAGCGACGGGGGCGCGAGTATAAGAGGTGTGGACGCGTTCGTCGTCGTCGTCCGGTAAATTTGGATGGGCTAAAGGCGCACGGGAGGCGCTGCCTCGAAGACGGGGTTTGTTGGGAATGAAAAGACGTGCATCTTTCGGAAGAGGCGTGGAGATGATTCCGTAGGGCTGAATAAGCTAGCTAGCTAATGGTATGACGTTGACGTGCCGGCAGTGGTTCAGCTCGGTAAGGCTCTGCGGAACCGCAACGGGGTATAGATAAGAAGAGTTGTTGTGTACTGATATTTCGGTCATCATGGACTGAGGGTGCATCTTTTTAATTTTCGTTGCTTTTATTCTGGAATCGAGCGTTGAGCATGGATCTGCGCTGTTCCGATCAACGCCTAGCTATTCCCGGTCGCTGTCACAGGAGTCGCCCCACACCTTGCTTTTCCGGAGTGTACTAGAGTCTCTGCGTGAAGAACAGACTTCCAAGTCCTGCAGGGAGCCGAACTATAATGCAGGAGGGTATGTTGAATCAAGCCTCCGCGAAACCGCCCATATAGCCATATGCACCACGCGAACGCCTAGCAATGCAAATTCCAGTGCCCTCTACCGTCGCTATCCCCACTCTACTCTCCTGTAGATCAAGCCCTCCTCTTAACAAAGCTCTCCAAATCCCCCCTCGTCGCAACCCCCAGCACGAACTTCCGGCTCGCATCCGTCACCACAGCAAACTCCTGCTTCCCGCTCCCGTCCACCCCACCATCAAAGAACTCCTGCAGCTCCTCCAGCGGTGTATCCAGCGTGATGACCTTATACCGTCGGCCTCGTCGCCTAAACTTGAGCATCGCGGCTTCCACTGGGTCGCTGTCCTTCACTTTCCCTTCCTTAAGGAGCGCTTGGAGATGGGGGATACTAATGTAGCCGAGGAGCGCGCGCTGCTCGGAGGTCACGGTGAGGTGCGTGTAGTCGCGCTCGAGACCGGACATGAGGGCGTAGGAGATGGGGTCGGTGGGGTGGACGGAGAGAGCGGGTGGTGGGTCGAGGTCTTCTACTGTCGCCTGTGGGAAGGTCAGTCGGAGTACGACTAAAGTTGAGAAGAAGTGGTACTCACACCGCGGTATTTGTTCGCCCATAAGGCCTGGAAGTCGCCATTGACAGTGCCATTCGGCCCTGCATTTGCCGTTTCGGTCGCCATGGTTGGCCGGGGTTTTGGTGGGGATCTCTCCAGCTGCTTGGGCGCGATAGCTAAGGAAATTCCGAAGCTGCTGATCGTTCCGCGCTAGTGGTGCACGAGCCAATAGTGAATGGACCGACCAATCGAAAACAAAGGGATGGGCGGATTGGTGGATAGCGCCTAGAATACATGGAGGTCTTCATACCAGCATACTTTGTATCGATTGAGGAAGTAAGACTGTCATCACATAACATATGCATCGTCTACACAGCACTGAACACCCGCACCGTGCACGACTATTAGGCTCTACGTTGCATGGTAAGTACCGTGACCTCTGGCATGTGGAATTGCCATCTAGCAAGTATACGAGGCATGGAAATAAGAAGTGTGTATTGGATCAGCAGTTCTCCTAGTCCCTCGTTTAGCTCATAAATCCAGAACGTTTACACGCATTCTGTCCAGAACATCCTACTCATACACCTTCGGCGCAAACTCAATGCCCAACCTCCTCACCGTATCCCAACAATGCCCCAGCACCACTTTCCCCCCCGTCCTCCTCATCAGCCCCTTAATCTTCTGATGGCTCCTCACCCAACTATCGTGATCCCTCGCCAACCACCCCTGCGGCACATCATCCTCAAAGTTCTCCTTCACATGGTACTGATCGCCCGTGAAAATCCACGTCCCGCTGTCCTTCATATTAACCTGCAAGACGCACAGCCCCGGCGTATGCCCCGGGGAATGATGGATGTTCAGGCCCGGCGCAATCTCGTAGTAGCTGCCGTGGAACGGCACCCAGCGGATGTCGAAGGTCATGTAGTGCGGCAGGTAGACGCCCGGGTCGGTACCGGTGGCGACGGTGTAGAAGGCGTGTTTGATCTCCAGCTCGTGCACGTAGACGGGGATGTTGGTGTTGCGGAAGAAATCGAGGCCGCCGGCGTGGTCGAGGTGCAAATGGCCGATGATTACCATTTTTATGTCTTTGATCGAGTGCCCTGTGAGCGCGATCTGCGCGTCTAGATCCATGGAGTGGTCGTAGTCGACGCGTGCGAAGATGTCGCTGATTTGGGGCCCTACGACTTCGGGGTAGTCCTGGGGAGTGGGGTGTTAGTGGGCTTGAGCTGCTTCAGACGGTGGGCGAAGTGAGGCGCTGCAAAGGCGATTATACGCAGCTGCTGGATAGATATGATTGAAAGCCATCTTAGTGGATCCACTATAGACCCGGGATTTTGCTGAGAATCCTACTTACAGAACCAGCCCCAGTTTCAAAGAGGATCAGCCCCTCGGTCGGATGTTCGATGAGTACGGCCATCATCACAAGTCTGCGGCGGCCCCTAGGAGGCCCCTCTGGGTTTGACAGTGTGGATGAATTGCCCTGATACGGATGTCAATTCGTACTCTAGGGCCCAATGGTGGGCAACGAGATGTGGCCGTAGACGTACTGCGCGTCTGACGAATCCTTCGTCGCACTCGAGATTCCCAAGGTGAAGGATCTACTGAGTGGTTAACTGACGAACGCAGTCGTAGCTAGCGACGTCAAACCCATAGTTTTGTTCCCTATGCAGAGTGAGCTTCATTCCTGACGTTGAGGTGGGGAAGAACATACCGCTGGAGCTTGATTGACTAGATCCAGTGAAGTCGCCATCTTCCTGTACACTCTTACGTCCTATATCCGCTTCCGGGGAGCTCCTGTTTTATATGCCATCCCAGCTACTGCCGCATGATCCTCTAAACCCATGGCCGTGGGCAGCAACTATACTCCTACAGCCCCACTTTCTGTTGTTTCCAGCGGCTTCGGTTGGCTGAAAAGCCTGGAATGCGACGTCGTCGGAAGCGAGCATTACGCCTTTCAGACGGTGCGCGGTACGAAGAGGGGTAGAATCGCGGGGCAGAGGAATGACGAAGTGCATTGTGGTGGGGCGGCCCTGAACGTCAGATGCTGCGGCGGAACCCAAAGCGGACTAGAGGTTGGAGAAACATTGGGGAATCCAGCTCGGAAAGGGAATTTAGGCGGTAGTGCTCGGTCGGGGAATAAAGGAGTATAGTCCGTCGGCGATGGAAAATAAAAAATACATAGTAGCCTTACCGACCGCCTACAGTCCCTCTGAGAGATTACATAGTCTGCGGCTCCAGTCAGTGGCAGAGGTGACTAGAAGCCAGGCTGTACTGACGGACGTGTGGTCCGGAGTTGATCAGATCGCCTCCAGCAATGTAGAGTCTTGATACTGCAATTGCAATAGTAGCGTAGACAAGATGTGCATAACGCTGCTGAAGCCACAGCATCTGCACGTTTCCGGGGCTTTGAGGAAAGACTAGCACGTGAAAAGTGACTAGTAGCGGGTTTCTTTGTTCCCTTTAACAGGAAGCCTCTGTCGAGAGGCTACGCTCCTCCCCGAAGTTTTGACGAGGCGTGAACAAAGAAAGATGCTGCCAAATTCAAGGCTCCTGGCGCCCCGGCTCCATCATCTTCGCAACTTCTTGACACCAGCACCGAGGCGCAATGTCCAGTCGAGCAGAAGGCAAGGAGCACGTCCAGTACACGATTTCCCCGGAGCCGGTGCAACCACCTGCACTGGTGGGCAAAAGGATCAGCGAAATCGACGTTACAGAAGGACTCCGAATGTTCGTGATAGACGATGACGACGAACTCAATCCGACGCCTCGGCCCGGTAGCCCAGCAATCGTCATCACACACCCAGCTGAACCGATGACAATCCGTCAGCGACCACGGCAACTAAGCAGCGAACCAACTGCAACACCGAGACCGAAACTAATGAGAAATGCCGCTACAGCACCCGCGGGAGCGCTGGCTTTATACCCGAGCATCAAGCCACAGCCCCCAAGACGAGCCATCAGCGCAAGAACAGCTCGTCCGGGAGGTGGGAATGGAAGCCGGCATAGAAGAAGCCCCTTGATCGTCCCACCGCTGCCACGGCTATCGCAGTTTGGTACTGCCGCGTCGAGATCGCTTATCAGTCGGAGGAAAACGACTAGGAAGTCGGTTGGAAAACTAGGACTGAAGCCGAAGAACCATGTCTGGAGAATGTCACCACAGTCAAATACAAAGAGATTCCAGCTGTTGTCAGAGGTCCTACATGAGCGGAGAAAATCGCTATCAGAGAAGGCAAGGGTAAAGGAGACACTCAAGCATAAGAAGATGGAGATGTTGAAGACGACGATCGTGGACTTCAAGTCGAGAGACCTACCAGGAACACCTTCCTCGATGATGGCAACACCCCGAGAGATGTACGGTGAGCCGGAGACGCCCACGCCCACAGGACCAACTCCAATGGAAGAAATTTATTCGGGCAGCAGGAGGTCTTTGCTGCCTGAGTCTCCAACAAGACCGAAGCACTTCTCGATGCCCTTAACGCCGAACATCGAGCGTCGAGGCACATTCAAGCACAGCAACTCCATCCCGCACATGCGCGGAAGGAGGAAGACAGTGTACGTGCCCGGTCCGATTCGGCTTGAAGAGAAGATGGTTGTTACTCCGCGGAGAGGATCCATCGCGACCATGGAGCCGTTCGATGCCGGCAAGGAGCCCAAAGCGAAGAGATTCTCGGACATGGTGGCGTTGGACGGAATCGTAATGTTCTTCCAGAGCCTGGGCGTGGTGGAAGAGACAAGCGAAGCATGCCTGGACAGATTCTGGGTGCCTGACATGAGAGCCAATCGTCCGGCTGCGAGTCCGCGAAAGGGAGTCCCTCCCGTTCCCGCGCGGCCGCTCATCCCTTCCTTTCCGTCGTCCAGTAGCGCCCTGTTCTCGTCTTCGAAGAAAGCGCGCCAGGACGAGAAACAGATACCTCCTTCGCCTGGAACGCCCGGGCGTCAGAAAGTCAGGCTCCGACAGTTGTTGAAGTCCAGTCGCTCCATCTTGTGAGGTGGAGAGGTGCGATCCCGCAGGGCACTCCCCGGTTTACACGATTGTTCGCATCCTGGAAAATCGTTTTCTGTAACTCGAATTATAAGGAAGAGTTTTAAAATTTTAAAGAAAAAAATATAGGTGTAAGAGGTTCTCTTTTACAGCGGCGCGAAATCGTGAGGAAGCCGCCAAGACTTCGACGGTTATGGTGCGGCGGCTAACTAGATTCGGTAATTTTCAAAATTCGAAATCGCGAACGCAAAATTCTCGAGTGCAAAACGCGAAAACAAAGATTGGAAAATCAAACCACAGACTTTACGTTGCCAGCCATGGAATAGTCTTGGCTTGTGAAACCACGCGGTATATAAAGCATTCGCAGCTCTGGTCTTCAGTCATCTAGTCATCGCAATAGCCTCAACAACCCCCTCCCCCTCTAGCAACGCTTAATGAACTTGCTAAACAGTCAGACATCCGGAACTCGTTCCAGGAGTCTCATTTCTCGTCCGCAATGGCAGCTTGTGGCGTACTCCCCCCTGGCGAAACTCCACCTCTCCGTTGCTCTGTAGGAGGTCTGCAGGCGGCAATCCAGCCAACGACTAGAAACCTCTCGATAGCAGATCCCCCAAGTCCACCAAAGATTCTGTCGATCAAGGACCTCGATGACGTCTCTGAGGACCTAGACCTGGACACTGGCAAAATCCGATTCACGACCTTCTACATCGTCGACGAGGATGCATTTGCCTTTTTCGGCACCGTCTCCAAGCCCAGCAAGGACATCACTGTACAAGACATCAACTCCGCACTGGCGCGTATCCCAGACGAGCAGATCTATCCTTCGATACCTACAGACTCTACCCTGACAGTTGCTCCGGGTCTGATCGTGGACGAGGTGGACAAATTCTACACCAAAAGGCCCAATTTTGGGATTTACGATCGGGTTCAAGACTCAGACTACCTCTCCGAGCTTCTCTATCGCGAGGCTTGCATCATGGAGGCCGTCGCTAAGCACCCTCACCCCAATATTGTTGGATATCACGGCGTGCGTGTGCGGCGTGGGCGGATCACCGGCATTATTCTGGACAGGCACAAGGATACCCTTCTGAACCGTATCCGCGAAGGACGAGCAATCAACAAGGGTGCTTTCACACAAGCCCTCGCGTCAGCAGTTGCCTACCTGCACTCGATCGGTCTCGCCCACAACGACATCAATCCGGAGAATGTTATGGTGAATGAGCAAGATATGCCGATTCTTATTGACTTCGGGTCTTGCCAGCCCCCTCGGAAGCGCCTACTTACCTCTGGCACCGTGGGATGGACATGGGACACTTTCCTCCACTCTGACCAGAGAAACGATCTGTTCGCACTGGGCAAAATTGCGTGCTGGTTGAAGAATCCCACGTTTTAGGAGACCGAGGCGTACCTGGGTAGGACCGCTGTTCGTCGAGCAGTGAATGTTTTTCTAAACTCAAATTGTTACTGTCTTAATCTATGAATCAGAGTGTGCTTCAGCCATCATGGGACTGGCATGTCAGCGACGGTTAAGGCCAGGCGCATGATCCAGCCACTTTCTTGACCGGTCGATGCAGACACACATGGTTAGCAGCATGGTGTCGTGAATACATCCACCATTGGTTCCCTTGAGCCTCAACGGTTTTCTTTCCGTCATATTTGAGCATTCCAACGCTCCGAGATACACATTCATTGTCTGGCGTAGATAACAAACCCCCTCGAGCGATTCATACGCTCCCCCTACCTGTAGGTAACACTCTTGGCAAAGTCCTCCATCTCTGGCTTGGGGGTTTGGCTGGTCATCGCTACTCTTCACAGGCCTATTGCTGCAAGGACTCAGGTCATGCCATTACCCCTCTTTTGAGCCGCAATAGAACATAGTAGATATATAAATGTTGATCTTAAACAGCATCGGAGCCGGAACCTATTTTGAAGCTGTGCCTTCACATTCACAGCAAACCCCATAATATTTCTTCCTTGAAGTAAATCCACAAGCATACAGTTAAAGCTTGCAATATTTGTATTCTGTTTCTAGCACTCGAAAGTTGAATTGCTAACCTAAACGTTTAGGTGTAACCCCCCCCCCGAAACGGTGTTGAAAGTAAAACCCCAGAAGGACGGCTCAACAAAAACTTGGTACACAACGATCTCACATGACTGTGAGAAGCACGATTGCCCAACATCATCGAAATACGTTTCGCCTCCCCCTGCGAATGAGCAGGACCAGGTGCGTCTCAGTTGTGGGTTAAGAGCCAATATGCCAAACATCATAATTAGGGCCAAGGAACAGAATGAGACACATTTTTCGGTACTGTTTGATGGACAGTAGGGGAATTGTTGAATATTGGGAGGATTTCCTAGAGGAGTCGTATCCCTCATCGGCTGCGCGCCGATATGTTAACTGTGGTTGCAGGGGGAAGTTTTGTCAACTTAGCAATCACACGTTTAGGCCAAAACGCTGAGGTATAAGGCCTGATTGGCTAGATCAGCCCTCACTCTCCCTTTGGAGTGTGACTTCTACGCCGAAACGCCAAGCTGACAAAACTTCCCCCTGCAACCACAGTAGTTTCCCACACTCGTTGGCATAGATGGCTCCATTTTCACACGCAGTGGCGGCAAGATTAGGGTGCATTCAGGCCGATTTTAGGACTTATGAGCAAGGTCGTATCCAGGTTTTCGAGCTGTGGGGTGAGTTTGGTGCTGGCAACATGCCGCAAGTCTGATTGGTGATGGGGTTCCGGAGCCGCATGATTCTCATCACGTAACCTCAAGAGGCAGTCCGGAATGCGAGGGTGGTGGCGAGACGAGCAGCGAGGAGTCTGCCTCACTGCAGCAGGGCGCAGTGCAGGTCTCTTATCGGTGTATGCAGTGTATGCAGGCGCCCTGATGCGGTGGTTTACGACGTGTTTGCCTTCTGCTGCCTTGGTCGAGTGAGGTCACCGCGTGGTCGAGAGAGCAGCAGGCGAGAAAAAGCAGAAAAAGCACCGCATTGGACGAGGATGGTCGGCCACGATGATGGCAGACGCTGCCAAAAGCTGCATCCTGCAGCAGCGACGAGTCCTTCACCGGCCGTCCTGTCGCGATAGCGTCGATCCCTCCCCGATGGGGCGCCAAGCGTGCGCAACCCGGCCGCGCCCATCCGCATTCGAAAGCAGGGCGGCGAATGGCATTCACCCTCCACGCCTTCCATCCAATCGCACTCCAGCTGGTCGAGTGACGATCTCCAGCAATGTTGCCCTGTTGGGCTTGGCCCTCGTCCTTCGTCCACCGCCTGCGCGACCCGCTTCCGGGCGCTCCTTCAGACGTCCTCCGACACGAGCCAACGCATCGCTGGCGGCTTGTCGGTGCGTCTAAAAGCCCATCATCGCCCATCCTGCTCCAGCTTCCTCACTTTCTGCCCGCCTTGCCATTCTGCACGCCCCCCATTCGTGTCCCCTCTTCGCAAGCGACGAACATCCTACTGTAAGATCTCTGCACAGACAACGGTCCTGCTGTGAGGTTGCTGATCGCTCCTGTCGCTGCAGCTTGCTTCCCATCCATCGTTAACACCACCGTCTCCATCATGGCTGCGGCCTTCGCCAGTACCAACATCCAGATCCCAGAGCTCGAGCAGCTCAAGCGGAATTTTTGGAATACCTACGCACACCTCCCCGAGCAGCAGCGCCTGGAGCTTTGGTCACAATGCGCGTCCATGCCCACCGGCAATGCCGCCAACGCGGTCGCTCAGCCGTCGCTGGCACACCAAACACCACGATCAATGTCCTACTCGACGTTCGACATGACGCAACTACCAGTATGGAATACACATTTGGTTCTCACCTCCTCCTCTAACGGCCCCTAGACCTCCGACTCCGGTTCCATGGATCGCGTCCGGTCTGCTCCCGCCGCGGTCGCCATGGGACGCTCGATATCCTCCACAGGCACAACCAGCCAGCTGCAGCGATGCAGCTCGTCGTTGTCAAATCCATGCGACGAGCTGTCCACCGACTACACCTTCTCCTCAGGATCCGCCTCGGTCCGAAGACAGTCTTCGCTGCAACCCATCGTCGAGACCTCGCCCTTCAGCAATGAGGGCATGGTTGAGTACACCCCCGAACAATACATCACGACCTGCATCGAGCCCTCCGGCTCTCCTTCTCTCTCCCTCTCCCAACCCCAGAACCCCCGACAATTGCACGTGCAGCTGACACCAACCGCACAGTGGAGTCCGTCGCTCGACGACTCTACCTCACCCAGCACACCCTCCACTGCTCTGATGACGCCTGTTACTCAAGCGGGTAACACGATGAGTCGTCAGTGCAGCCTCAACCCTTTCTTTGATGACGTTTCAATGTTGCGTGTTCAGTCTGATGCTTCTAGTTTTTTTACTGTCCTCTCTGAGGATGGTGCCTTTTCTTTTCTTTCTGATGTTGATGAGAAGAGTATCAGCAATTGCGTTGATAATCCTCCTTTCCTTAATTTCACTGGGCCTCCCAGTGAAAGTTTCCTTTGCCCTGCCCCTGTCTCTGCAAGTGTGTCTGCACTTGCTTCTTCCGAGCACAAGAACATGCGGGACCTGGCGGAGGATATGCGGAGGTCCGCTTCAGCTTCTAGCGAGAGTGATGCGAGCAACGCCTCAGCGTCCTCGACAAGCACTCGCCAGTCACGACGCGAACGCGAGATTGCTGCGCAAGCATCTCGCAAGATTGCCCCGAAGGCAGTCGCAAGCAACGACGAGACCAAGTCTGCATCATCTAATGTTTCGATGGTGCGGATACGGTCTGAGGACGGTTCGTCCAAGAATGTTGGTGTCATCAGTAAAGCTCCGTATGTGCGGCCTCAGCACCCGAAAATCATGTGCCCGCACTGCAACGAACGGCGCGAGGGCTTTCGTGGCACACATGAGCTCGAACGACACGTGCAGCGTGCCCATGTCGCCGTTAGAAAAGGCTACATCTGCATCGACGCCTCGCCTGACAAGAAGTTCCTCGCCAACTGCAAGCATTGTCGCAACAAGAAGACCTACGGCGCGTACTACAACGCTGCTGCTCATCTTCGACGCGCCCACTTCCATCCTCGCAAGCGAGGCCGAAAGGGCAAGCACGACGAGAAGCGTGGGGGTATCGGTGGTGGTGATGACCCGCCCATGGACTACCTCAAGCAGAATTGGATTCGCGAGGTTGAGGTGCAAAACAAGCAGATCATCGGGCAGTCACCTGACAGCGCTTCGGAAGGCGCTGAGCCCAGCTTTGATGCGACCCATGACGTCGACTCTGCCTACTCCAGCCAGTCTTCCCTGCCTCAACCCCCGACGACCGATGTGTCCATGTCGATCGACACCACCAACCAGTACATCGACTACAGCATGTGCATGACTGAGAGTGAACCCATGTACGACCCGAGAATAGTGTACACGAACGAGCCGAACAACACGTCGACAGGTGATATCAGCAACTTCCAGTTCGATGCGTATATGGCTTAGGCCATATACTTCTTTCCTCTCTACATGTATATAATGACCTTGTCATGGGCTGGCGCTCGGATCTTGCGGTTTCGATGATAGTGACCGCCAACTAGGGGCGGTTGAGGCAGGTCTGCATCTTTGGCGTTTGGTTTACCGTTGTCATCATGTCATGAGATGCTTACGAGTTTCCTTTATCGTACATCGAGGATCGTTCGAAAGTATGTGGTTGTATTACTGCCTTTCGATTTTCTGATAGCACCACCCGTTCATGGTGGTGTTGTTTCCTTGGCTGGATAAACATCTTTAGTCGTGGTATCGTTCGTCGTCGGTCGTGTTGTATGTTGCTGCTACTGCTAGTACTATTGCTATTTAGTCGACGGTCCTGGCGTTGCCATGGACAAAAATACAGTTTGTATTTCATGCACTTCTCCCGCCCGCAGCCCGTTCGGATCAGCTTCGCTGGTCCCTCGCGGCGCGATACTACCTCTATTTCATTCTCCCGGTAGAAGTCATGAGGAGTGGTGTTGACAGAGACGCCATCCAACATCACTGTTCCCACGTAGTATGGCTTTAGCAACCACAAGCCACCACTGTCTATCTATGCCTTGCTGAACAATGCTATTGTCCTCGAGATATATGCGGAACGAATTCTCTTTGTTCATACTCTTAGTGTCTAACAATACATTGTCCTTCTGCTCAACGCTACGTCTCTTTGTCCTATTATTCTCTTCCTTAATGCCATCTAATAAACCATTCGACCTTGCCGTCTTCACTATTATCATACCGCCCGCCGCTCAGTTCCTACAACTTCAAGCTAAATCTCCGTTCCTCAATATCCTATGCACTCGAGACACACAAGCGAGCAAGTTACATTCCCTCCTCTCCCCAATAAATGGCAGGCCTCTCCCCCACCGGGATCCGCGGCCCCGGAACCAACAACAACATTTTCTTCTTCCCGCCCTACGACGGCAAACAATACGACTCTCCTCCCCAGTCTTCCAGCCAAACTCATCGTTCGGTGCGCTATCCGTCTGCACTTCCTGATGGAAAGACGCTGCGCAGCCGTAACCCCGCGGGCAGTAAGTACGACGTCCGCGCTACATATCCAGCGCAGCATGTGCTCCGGCAACCGTCTGAGGATAAGGGAATGCAAAGTGAAGAGGGCGCGTTGGGGGCTTTGTTTCTGAGGGCGCGGATTCCGGAGGAGGATGGCGAGTTGAGGAAGATGCAGGATGAGGAGGGGAAGAGGGGGAAGAGGGACTTTGATGGAGATGCTGAGAGGAGCTGGATAAGGGCCGAGCAGAAGGGAGGTAGAAGGAGGATGGTTAGCAAGCCGCCTGTGAAAAACAGGAAGAGATCGGTGGTGCTGGAGAAGAGACAGAGCAGCGAAGAGGAAAGCGAGCAGCACCCGCACGAATGTCGCAAGTGCAGGAGGAAAGCGCGGGGGCATGGTATTTGGAAGGCGCTAGAGAAGTACTCGATGCTGGTGGTGTGCGTGCTGGGCTTCTATCTGTTGCCCGCTGCGGGCGCGCAGCAGCTTCCTAGTTCGGGGAGCAGTGCTAGCATGCACGACGCCGCGAATAGCACGTCCTCGTCCGCCGCAGCAGATCCATGGATGCTAACCGGCTACTTCGCCGAAACAGGCCTCGCCATGCTCTTCCGCCCGCTCACGCTGCTCTGCTCTCTCCTTCCCTCTTTCGTCAACCCCCTAGCGCTGCTCTCGCTCCCCCCGATCTCTCTCACACTCTTCATCCTCCTCTGCGCCGTGCGGCGCGACATCCTCGTGCCTGCTCTGAGCTGCCTGCTGCTGCAGTTAGAAACGCGCGCGGCGTGGACATGCTTCGGGCTCATTGGGCTAGCAGCCGGGGGCGACGTTGGGCGATGGGTGGACGAGGAGGTGTGGTGGTTGTGTAGGGAGGCGGTTATCCAAGCTGTGGAGGGGGTGGTGTGGTGTACTGCTGTGGTGCTGGATATTGCGCTTTGTGTTCTGAGTGTTTGTCTTTGCGGATTGCTGGATTCCGCGGATGTGGTGGGTCTGGTACTGGAGAGAATCGCGCCCTGGGCTGTGGATCGCGTTGTTGAGCTGCGGATTGGGGTTGGATTGTTGCTGGTTGAGCTTACTGATCTGCTTGGGATGTGTGGGCTGCTTGTTTTGAGGAGGTCGAGAGGCTTTTGGGTGGGTGTTATGGTTGCTGTTTTGGCGGCGAATTGGGGAGGTGTGGCGTTGAGGGAGTGGTGGGAGAGTGGGAGAGTTAGTGAGGTGAGGAGGCTGGGTGGAAGTACAGAGAGGATTGCGAAGGTTGCTATTTACTGAGAGCTAGGTCATGTGTTTGTTGGGTTTTGCAGGCTTGTTAGCATTTTGGTATTGAGCATCTTGTTTTGAGTTGGGCACACCGCACAGGTAGCATTCGCATAAGTGATGATAGAAGATATCGTTTGGTTATGGTTTGAAGATGTATATCATACACAGCCGTCATATTCGTAGAAGCCAACAGGGAATGTCCTCCTCAAAGTATCGTCAGCTCCATTTCCAGGCCATTCCAGAGAGCTTAGAGAACCTTCGACTAGTCTGCCGGGCCAGTCCCCCTCAAGAGATCGCCGTCCACAGCCTAATCCTGAACACCAGTATTCGGATAGTTACCGCCCTTCTTCGGATTATCAACCGGATTCGCGGGTCCACCTTGCTGTCCCAGTGCGCCTCCGATCTTTGCATCCGCGCCCTTCTGCTGCTGAATAGCATCACGGGCTTGCTGTTGCTCCGCCTTCTTTCTGTCCTATGAATCAGTGCCCATGCATTCCACACAGAAACAACCAGGAGTTATCTCACCTATCCAGATCCGAGGCCAGATCAGGCTGCTCTCCACCGCCACCCATACTCTTTCCCCTGCCAGCTACTGCATCAGCAACCCTCCCCTCGCCCGGCGCCGCCATCTGCTCGCCATCCAGCTCATTGTGCCTTCCCACGTCCTCCCCTGTCAAGCCTTTGCTCTCTTCTCCAGCTGGCGCGCCATGAATGCCCTGGCCTAGTGCTGAGGGTTGTCCTTGGGAGTTGGAAGATTGTTTTTGGGGGATGCGCCGCTCAACGGGCTGGGACTCATCGTGGGCATTGATAGCTGATTGCTTGCGCTCGGAGGGGTCTTTAGTGGACGGGTTGCCTAGGGTGGTGTAGGCTTGGGCTTGAGTTGGCTGGGAGGGGCCGGAAGGATCGAGGGCAGACATTCTGGTGGTTGATGCTGGTCAATTTGTTGAATGTGTGCAACTGAGGAGTATAGAATATAAAGCAGCGTGTATTTGTGACGTTGTGCGGAAGATGGTGTTTCTGTCGTGGATGGCTTCATGGCAATGTGAATTTCGATAGCTATGACGTAGGCGGGGCCCTGTCATTGACGCGCGCTGCCCCGCGACATCGCTTCTTTTTCTCGTCATGTGAGAGCGTTGTGTGTGATTTCGAGCGGTAATTACTCTGACCTTTAAGTAATAGAAGATTGGGCGTGGGTGATAGGGTACGAAGTGATCTTACTCTCATGTGTACCTTTACGTAAAGGCATAGGAGCTTCTGTGTACCTGGGTGAACTACAGTCCCGAAAATGGCGCAATGCCACCTCCGTCTCGATGCTCTGCTTCTCGTTAGGAAAAATGCTAGACAGTTACTCAAATAAGGTTGATTGGTCTGCTCCTCCTTAAATGTTTGCCAGACTGATTGGATCCCATCGAGGACTCTCAGGAACTTACCGCTGGGGTGCTAGTCCGAGCAGCATTTACATCTGCTCTCCAGACTGACGCAGCCTCCTTTTCCAAACCCAAAATCAGAACGCCAGAAAATGAGCATTCACCTGAACGCCGTCGCTATGCTGTGAAACAGGCGCCAAACCAAGGCTATTGGGTCTCCATAACAGAGTCTTCCGACTCTTCCCTCAAGTCCGCTACGTGGTTGGTCAGCTCATGATTCTCCCGCGTAGACTCTGCTGTCTTGGCGGCTCTCTCACGAGTCTTCAGACACCACTCTCGAATGGAATCTGCAGCTCCTCCCTCGATCTTGACTTCTTTGGCGTCGGCGGTCTTTCCTAAAACTGTCCCTTGGAATCGCTGTTCCTGGCCACTTTTGTTGTGCTTCTTCATGAGTGCTATGCTGTGTGAGTGCGGAGTCTTGGACATTCTAGCGAGAGGGAACATACAGCTGAGGTAATCTTCCAGCTCTTCCGCATCCAGCTGCTCCGTCGCCGTAGGTTGCTGCCCTGCGGGCGGCTGCGACTTGACGAGGCCTGCTATCCGTCTGATCTCCCTGTTCTTGGGACCCTTGACCCACTCAATGAACTCGGTCACGTCTGCGGTGTCCTCTGCGTCCCTCCTTTTCTCTTCCTTGCTGCGCGCCCCAGAATCCTCGTCGTACTCTTCTAGTGGCTTCCTCAAAATCTCCTTCCATAGCTCTTCTGCGGCGGTCAGGGTGGGCACAAGGAGGCCGCAGTCCTGCATTGCTACGCGCACATCGCTGATGTCTGGGGTGGGATCGTTGTGGCTGGAATACGCGTTGTAGGCCGTGTGAGACGCGAGCAGAGTGAGATAGCGCGCCGTAAGGTCTACCACGGTGTCGACGACGGAGGGTTTGGCCCCGTTGAAGCCAGCGGCACGTAGCATATGGAGAACGGCGGGCCGCAGGAGGCTGTGGAAGAGGTCGTCTGTAGACATGCTGGCGAGTCGCGAACCGGTTGCGCAGTCGTCTTATGAGCTGTCGCAGATTATCGCGGGAGGAAATAGCGCATTGTGTAGTCGCGGCAAGGTCCACCGTGGCAAAGGGCAGGTATAATAAGAGTGAGTGCAGCTCGACGAGCTTGGGTCTTTCACGAAACCGAGGCACGCCAAGACCAACTATTGTCTGGTTGCCGCAGCCCCAACCTCACTTTGACCCAGCTTTCGACAACCCTACGAGCCCGCCGATGCAGTACCTGCAGCCGCGCAGAGATTCACTACCGCCGCATCAGTATTGCCCGCCCTCTTAGCGAAGATGAAGATCAAGCTCAAGAACCCGACTGCTGCGGATGGCACGCCTTCACAGGCAAGCCCGAACGAAGCTCCCCAATCCGCGCCCGCGCCCGCTCCCGCTACAGCTCCAGCGCCAAAGCTTTCCCTGAAATTCAAGACTACTCCTGCTCCCCCAGCTGATACAACCGAAAGCCAGGCTGGAGATGCGCCGAAGCAGAAGCGCAAGTATACCAGGAAGCCCAAGGTAGACGGAAACGGAGAGCCGCTTCCAGCAGCGAAGCCTGGCCCGAAGCCTAAAAAGCGACCACTAGAAGACGGTGACGAGGGCTCCCCCATGGCCAAGCGCAAGCCGAAGCCTACCGCGAAGAGCCTAGCCATGGTTCACGAGAGCGACGACGACGACGCGCTCCCCGAGCCCGTTATGGCGCCCGTGGTGCGGCCGCGACCAGTGCCCACGCGCACGCAGTCAGTCAAGCTATCTTTCAAGCCAAAGGGCTCAGCACCCCAGCGGACGGCCACAGCGATAATCAAGGTCAAAGGCGCGGGGAAGCCACCGCCCAGGCCTCCCGGTGTCGGATACGATAGCGAAGCGGAAGAGGCGGAGATAGACCCGGCTATAGAGTCACAATTCGTACTGCGGATGCTGCCCGGCTCCGACTGTGATCTACTAGCCCAATCGATCAAGGACAAAACTATCGGCAAGAGCGTGTCACAAGGTGGACCAGGAGTCTACTTCCGGTTCTTCGACCGGGAGGGCCGACGGGCTATGGTCACGATTCAAGGGCGCTGCTACGCAGCCTCTATGGTCGAGCTGCCCTGCGTCATTGAATCGCTGAAGAGCTGGAACAAGAAAGACTGGGTCAAGACTGCGGACGTCTGTCAGATGCTGCTTGTGCTAGGCCGCGTTAACAACGAGGAGGAAGCTAAGAAGTACTCCCGTCCACGCGAAGTCGAGCCTGATTCCCATCGCTATCCGCATGGCCTGACCCCGCCCATGCGGTGGGTGCGCAAGCGCCGTTTCCGACCGCGCAAGTCATACCTCGATGTTGAGCGAATCGAGAATCAGACGGAGGCTCTACTAGCAGAGGATAACAATGCGGAGGAAACGAGGCATGAGCTAGTGGACAGCGACCACGAGACCTCAGAGGAAGGGTCCTCGGGAGAGGATGCTGAAGGCGAGGATGAGGAGATGGCTGATGCGCTAGAATTCGCCGAGACGCCTGCGGAAGAAGCTGTGGACCAGGGCGAACTCGAGCAATTGCTGCATGCTGGGTTCATGGCAGACGATGAAGTCCAGGTCGACGTCGACGACGACGGCATAGACGCCCTGTTCGGCGCCACCATCGGAGTAGAAAACCCCGCAACATCGCGTGAGGTCGCGATGCACGCGCTCGGTCAACGCGGCGACGTGGTCCTCGAGCCCGAAAGCACAGCTTCCACGCCCGCCGCAGCCACCTCTCCCGACGACGATAGTGACGACGACGATAAGCAGGATGAAGACAGGCAGGTGGATCAGGGAGCCGAAGATAGGCGGAATAAAATCAATCAGACTAGAGACAAAATTATGGAATTGGAGAATGCGATCAAGGGGAATATCGAGATGCGCGACAGTGCGCAGAATCCGCTCTACAGGCAGAGGCTGCAGGCTAGGATCGACAAACAGATTGCAGACAAACGGGTCCTGCTGGCGACGATTGGCGAGGGCGACGACGACGATTAGGCAGATGCGCTCCGGCTGACGCTGGCTGTTCCTTGGTTTATGGTAGATGGCAGCAGCTTCTTGGAGTTCGGGTTGGACTGCATGAAGTCCACCTTTAGTTCGCTATCTACATCTCACGACGCCTTGAGCATTAGGATCAGGCTATGAACTATAGTAATTGCGATAACATGGGCAGCACAAGGTCTTCCCAGTAGCCGTAATATGAACATCAATATCCTCGAAACATGCTCGTCCCGGCCCGGTTCCGTCTTCCAAACAATCAATCTCATCGTTCTAGATATGCCGTTCCCAGCAATAATATCAAATCGTTAATTTCTCACCCATCTCACTTTACCGTAATCGCTTCCAGCCCTCTACCCGCCTTTCTATCCCGTACCTAGCTATATGTCATCTCATCAAACCCCGTTTCTGCGCTGCCTGGCGGGAAAGCTTGTCTTGACATCATTGTTGTCACTGTCATCTCGCTTCGTCCACTCATCTCCCGTGTCTCCGCCTACTGCGCTTTTGAAAAGCGCATGCGTGCTGCCTTTGGCACTGTAAGCGAAGTTGGGCACGATCATCGCAGGGACCGGGGCTGTGTGTGTGTGTGTTTCGTATTCGGGCGATCGTGATAAGATCGCGAAGACGGATGGATGACAGGCGAATACGAGCGAAGGGAGGCTTGACGACCGCTGCAACGTCTGGTCTGAGATGTATTTACGCGTTTCTGAGTTTAGATGTAAGCAAGTAGAATGTTGAGATGTGTAGGAAGGGGGAAGATATTGAGGCCTCCATCATATATTGATTGATTGAGTAGTGGGTTGGTTGATCTTTGTTTCCCATCACGCACGAGAGAGGCTAGCGTGCTCCGTCCGTGGGCTTCAAGCCATTGCCGCCCCTGGTCGTCGTCACTTGCTGGACAAAGCGTCGTGTCAAACGTTGGAAACACCGCCGATATCCTCCTCACATCGCAATTACGCGCCGAAAACCCCAATGAAATCCAATTGTGAAAAATTTTCCTAGTCCCGTCTGCTTACGCGTTCGCGGCCTCGAAAATCTATACCCACCTACCCACCACTGTGGTCATTACTATTCTAGGAATCGCAGCACTACCTACTGTACTTCGTCAGGAAAAGGAGAAGTCTCACTCGCAGACTAAGAAGTTTCGTCCACCCCCAGCGAAAAAGGAACCGACGAGCCAGTGAGCATCTGCGCGGTCCTGCATTCCCTCTTCGGCCCGATTTTTCGAGCACCTGGACAAAAGATCCGGCCGGCGCTTGTCCCTGGACCGGACTGCTAGCTTAATTCTTAGCGTGCCATCGACGATCGCGTGAAGCTTATTGTGATGGTGGTCGTTGGTGGAGGCTTGTGGTGAGATTCGAGGTTGCAGGCGGTTTCTTTGTGAAACGGAATGGCTTGGACGTGTAACGTCGGACTTGAATTCCTGAGGGTGGCGTGGGTGTTTGTGTGAGATTGAGGCGACCCGTGTATGGCGTTGCGGTCTCCGGAGTAATTGGCCGGGTTCGACGCGCGTAAAGACGCCTTGCAGAATGTTGAGTAAGAAGATCCTCACGTTACTAATTAGCAGGATGGAAAAATATTTTGAGGCACCTTGCGGCGCCGATGATGCTTGATTGTGATGCTGGTGAGCTATCTATACAAGACTGACATGCAATCCGGGTCGTGAAGCACACATTAGAGGATGCATGTAGTCATATCGTGTGTGGACCAAAACCCATTACCGCTGGTGCCCAGGCCAACCTGTAAAGAAAGCTGCAAGCAGACAGCCATTACCCCATAACTATCGCCGTGCAAAACATTACTCCGACTTTTCGAGTGTAACCGACCATGCAGATGTTGCTGAGGATGAAAAGCAATGTATCAACCACTCCACCAAAAGCCGCCGGACGATATGTCGTCGAAGTCGGAACGCCGTAGCGAGAAGGGAAGATTCGCGTCGTGAAGCATCGCCCAGCGTTTATGCGAGGACGAAGCCGAAGACGGCGAGGGCGAGACCGCCGAGGGAGACCATGTTGGCGGTAGCAGCGCCAGTCTCAGCCGGAGGAGCAGTGCCGCTGGCGCTCGGCGAGCCACCTGCGCCGGAGGTGCCGGCCGGGGTCGAGGTAACCGGGACGGTCGAGTTGGCGAACGACGGGACCTGGGTAGTCACGACGACCGGGATAGTGGTGTTGGCAGCCGGCGCAGACGGGACAGGGACAACGGGGGTCTCGGACGGGGCGACAGACGGAACCGGAGTCTCAGTGGGGACGACCTCAGTGACCGAGGGGACCACAGTTGCCGTGGGGGTGGGCACCTCGGACGTCGCAGACGGAGCCTGGATCTGGCCGTCGGAGATCTGGGTGATGGGGTTGACCTGAGGGGCGGCCTGGGCGCCGATGGCGGCGAGGACAGCGAGGGAGATGGTGAAGCGCATATTGGCGGTGGGTGGTGTTGAGTGTGTGGTAGTATAGAAGATGTATGAACCTCTAAGGTATCGTTGAATTGATAGACGCAGGTAGCGAGTGGAGGACCGACGGGCTGAGCGAAGGGCGCGATCGGTTGTGTGCGTTGGAAGTTGTGTGTGGATAGAGAGAGAGAGAGAGAGCAGGAGGAGGAATGCAACGAGGGAGGACAGTTATTTATCTGCAGGCGAGGCTGGGCTATGAGTGGGCGCGCGGCCGGCAGGCGGGGACAGCGACGCACGGGCCGAGTCCGGGTCGCGGCTGCTTGAAACGTCAAACAAGGCCCCAGCCAAGGCACAAGCCAGAAGCTTCCAAGTTTGATGGCGAGCAACGGGCCCGTCACCACCCAACGGCGCCGCCGTGAGCATCTCTTTCACCTTCACCATTTCTCCCCGCGACGCCGCCACGGCCGAAGCGCGATTCCCGCCTGCTTTCCGCTGCCGACAACATTTCCTCCTGCGATGCCCTCCTGCGGCTGCTTTGCTGCTCTTCGTGCCACGCAATTCGCATTGATTGCCGGTCTCCTTATCGCGCCACTGCGCTACGTCAGGCCGGCTGGAGACTAGTCAGGGGCCACGGCCAATGCCAAACATGGACATCTGCACGACAAGTCGATCAAGTCCGAGGCGGCGTTTTGTTGGACCTGGCGTGTGCTGGAGGAGTCGGGCGCCATAGCCATCTCCTGCCATCCAGCCATCGCATTCCACTGCCTCGCCATGCGTCCAGCCGACCTGCCACAGATCAGCGTCTCTAATCATAGCGAACACCTGTCCAGAGCCTCGAAGCAATTATCCGCCGGACAGCACTTCGCCATCGCATTTCCGCGTCGCAGGGACAGAGGTGCAAACCATGACGGGATCTATCCAGGCCGTTCCCTGCTGAACGGACATCTGGCAGCCGAGGAAACGCAAACCTGCCAACGTCGTTCGCCCCATGCCTATTTTTGCCCTGCTCGCCATCGCAATTCTTCCTTGCGCCCAAAGCAAGCGAGCGGTGGCAACGTGCAGTATTATCCGATGTAGGTACATATTACATCTCGCACCGATATTGCCCATCGAGGCCTCTACGCGCCGGGGTCATGTTGTGTCACCACGAACCGCAGGATGGCAAGGCGCAACGGCACAGAGACACCCAAACGGCGGTTCCGCCTGTCCTTTGAGCCGCTGCGGCTCGGCCTGGCAGTTGTTGTCATGGTAATCGCTTCCTCGTGCTCACTTGAAACCCGTCGTGGGTTGAAGTGTGAGACTGGCGTGCAGATGGCGCTTGTTCGTGAACCGTTGTGAGACGAGCGGACTGCATGCCACATGCACGCAGGTCAAGGGTCAGGACTGGCTTCGGCCTTGTGCACCGACTTCACTGTACCACTTTACCTGAATTGTTGGGATACCACGGTTTGACGATGAAGAATTGAACGAACACGCGAGGGCCTTCAGTGCATGAAGGAGTCATTCTAATTCTTTAACTCACGACTACAATTTCAGTATCACTCACAATAGCGTCTCCGATCCAGGTAGACCGTCAACATCGAAACACACTCCCGCACTCAGCCCTCAAACAACGCCATCCCCTGAGCATACGCTCCAATCCCCAAGCTCCCCAACGTCACATGCTGCACCATCTTCTTACTCTTCGCATTAACCACCGTCACCGCGCTCGTCGCCGGACTCAGCGCATACACAAACTCTCCACTGGCTACCATATCAAACAATCCCGGGTCGCCATTCGCACTCAGATCCGTCACGCTCACAATATCCCCCTTGGGAACGCTGATCTCTACGAGCCGGTTCACGGCGCCGTCGGAAACGAATGCGGTGCCGGTCGCGGGCGAGATGACCGACCAGCAGGTTGCCAGTTGGCCGGTGATGTTGATCGGTTGAACGGTGGTGACGTCGCAGGATTGTGTGTCGAGCGAGAGGATGGCTGCCCCGATTGAGGGGTCGGTGACGATAAACTTATCTGTCCGCGGGATCTGGTTGAAGCCGAAGAGAATAGCAGTGTCTGCGGGAGAAGACCGGACGGCTTCGCGGGCAAGCTTCTTGCCGCGCACTTGGTAGACGGCGACGAACCCAGGCTTGTTGGTCGGTGGATCTAATCGCATGACAGTCAGTGAGAGGCCTTGTATCAAGGTTGAGGTCCTGAAGACTGGGGAGGCCAAGCACATTGGGAAAGACGTCCACGGGGTGCTTCAATGCACGAGGTTCGGATGGAGGTATGATGCGACCATTGTTACTCACCAGCCTTCACAGTCACAGCGAGGAACTCCTCATCCTCGGTAAAGGATACTTGAGACACCGTGTTTGGTGGACCGGTGGGTGGGGTGGACTGCGTCAGCCCGAGAGGACGAAGGGAGTCAAAGGTGCCGAGACCGTTCCGGTCGAAAGTCGCGCAGGACACGCCATTAGCCTTCCCCGTTGTAGCCACACAAACAAGCTTATGCTTCGCGCTCACGGCGATGGTGTTGGGGAAGTCGCCGCCCGTGATGGGGGACGAGTTGATGTAGTGCAGGTCGGTAGCATTGGAGGTGTTGATGCGGAACATAGACGCGGTATTGGACATAGCATTGATGACGAAGAGGTTCTGGACTGCGGTTAGTGGATGTATGTGGTAGAGGGAGACAGAGGCGACTTACATTACCAACGACGGCGATGGCCGATTGGGAGAGGAGGGCGTCAGGAGAGGCTGGCTGCATAGTCATCACGTCGAGGCGGCTCCTACAGAAACGTCAGCGATGCACTCCCAGGCTGCGTCATCCTCACACCTATCGACAAATCAACGCTGACACGTAGACAGGACTGATGTTGCGCAGAGGCTTGACTTACCCTCCCTTCCCCATAGTCGGATACACGGCCCCTGCTCCAAGCACCCCATCACTCCCAATCAGCAACGCGACAATGCTATTCCCCTCCACGGCATTCGTCTGCAGATAGATAGCTTTCTCGCATGACGCTGCTGGCCTAGCATAACCACCATGTAGGAGAGCAGAAAGTAAGAGCAGTGCTTTGGCAGGACGCATGATGTAAGACGACCAAGAGCCTCCTTGCACTAGGTGTGCTCAGTGCGGAAAAGAACCTGTGAAGCACTTCAGGAACAGCGGTGGAAAAGCCACCGAGTGAGCGTATAGAACCAAGCATCCTGCGCTGCGCTGCAAAACATGCAGCTTTTATACACTTTCTCCTCGGCCTTCTTCCCTGCGCTCAATTCATCCCGTCCGACTTCCCCCCTCCCAAATCAACCTTCATTTCCGCCTTCTTCTGTCGTGCCCTAGCAACCTCTTCTCGCAATAATTCATACAGAAGATGCAGAGCCTATCTCCTTTCCATTCCATCAATCAGCGCAAGTATTCCAAATTCCCCTCTCCCGCCTCCCTCTGCAGCGTTAGGATGCAAAAGTTGCCTATAGCAGCTAGTAAGACGCACTAATATGAAGAAACATAGCCTATTAGGCACTTTGACTACGGTGGGGATGGTGATGGGGCGCTGTACAAGTACCTGGCGCTTAGCTGGATTAGGAAATAATGCATGATAGGGAATCATGATCGGGCTGAGGCTGAGGGAACTCAAGGTTGCGCGGAGCGAGGTAGTCAAGTAAGTTACACACAGTAGTAGTTGCAATGAGCAGGTTTCCGCACATTAACATAAGGAGACGATTGGCCACACTTGAGAACGGGTTATGGTTCCTGACTAATTTAGCTTCAGCAGCTCATCCGAAGTTCGTGAGAAAGAATGACTTTTCGCTATGCATCAATCTAGCGCAGCCTCTATGCGCCGTCGTCATGGTATAAACGCCAGCCAGCGGCTCTCTAACAATCATTCATCAATCATAGCAATGAGGCTCCCTTCCAGCCCTGCTGTACATACCTGTACATGTCACATGTACACTTCCCTTCCCGCTACTGTAACCCCGAACCCCGCCTCATTTCTTCTCCGAAATGCGATCCGCATCATCATTCGAATTGCTATCACTATCCAGCGGCACCATCAACTTCTCCTCCGTCGCATCGGGGCTCTTCCGCGGCGACTTCGAAGCCGTCCGGCTGAAGTAATTATGCACGTCCTCGCCGTACGGGCCGTCCGCGTCGTCAAGATCGTCCTGGGCCTGGGCGCCCCCCTTAAGGTCGTCCTTGAACTTGTTCTGCTGGTGCTCGACCCACTCGGCGCGCATGTCGGCGATCTTGGCCGCGTAGTCGAGCGCCGCGTCGTAGTGCTTGCCGACGCCGCGCAGGCGCTCCCACACGGACAGGTGCTTGGGGTGGATGGCGATGCCGTGGTAGTCGTGGTCGCGGCCGGCGCGGATGTAGGACCAGCGGCGCTCCTGCTCTTTGAGGTCCAGGCCCGTGGTGTCTGGGAGGAACAGCCAGGTTAGCAGCGCGCCGGCGAGACCAAACCAGGGGACGACGTAGAACTTGGTCTGCGTGTCGATGTAGTTGTAGAGGACGGAGGCGAGGAGCGCGCCGGCTTTGCCGACGGCGGCGGAGAAGCCGTGCGCGGTGGCGCGGATGGGGGTGGGGAAGACTTCGGCGGCTACGAGGAAGGTGACGCTGTTTGGGCCGAATTGATTGAAGAAGGATGAGAGGAAGTACATGGCTTGGAAGGCGTGGATGTGTTCTGGGCTCGTGAAGAAGTTGTATGCGAAGGCGGGAACAACGAAGAGAATGAAGTCGGCCTGGGGGTAAACATTAGCACATATACTCAATAATTAGGTCGGTTTCGGGAAAGCCACTCCTGAAGGGTTTTGATAGGTTGGGGATATACGTACCATGAAGCCAACAATCATCATCCACTTCCTCCCATATAGCTTATTGTCGATGAGGAAGGAAGCAAGGTAGTAGCCAACCAAGCTCACTCCCACATTGATCAAGTTGTACAGCCATCCGACCATCACGGACTTATTGTCCGGCGTAAGAACAGCAATGAACTGGTTTTGGAAGAGCTTGTTGCCGTAGAAGAAGACATCGTTTGCAAACCATGTGCCTGCGGTGGCGAGCAAGCGCGGGCCGAAGTACGTCAGGGTGAGTTTTAGCGATTGCGTGTCATAGCCAGTGACATGTGCCTTCCGCTTTGAGATCATCAGCTGCTTACTAGCAGACCGCATCTTGTAGTAACGGTAGTAGACGAGCCAGAGTGTGCCGACAGCCGGAAGGGCGAACGAGATGCGGTATGTCCATTGCGCGGAGACCTTGGAGTACGGCGGGTTCCCACTTCCGTGATGGAAAATGAGCAGCAATACAATGAGGAGGACTTGGTTGAGCAGCTGTCCCCACCCCTGCATGAGGAACGCGCTGGTGACTTTTCGGCCACGGTGGAGACGGTCGTCTTTCGTCGATACTTTTCCGCTGCCGACAGCATTTTCCATCCCTGAGGTGGCCGTCATTGGATACTCGCCGCCGACACCGATACCGTAGAAGAAGAGCGACCATGCGTAGCAGATCACCCAGCCGTTCTGCGTCACACCCCATGCAGAGGTGAGCCTGAAGTACGTCAGTACTCGATACTTCGACTGAGCCACGACGGAGCACCTTACATGAGCAGTCCGATGAACATGATGATAGCATCCTGGATGAGACCCCACCGGCGTCCCATATAGTCACCGAGATAGCCGACTAATATCTGCCCCACTATGATGCCGAGGATCTCCAAGTAATCCACGGCTTGCGTCCATCTTTCGTCACAAATCTCGAAGGTGTTCCAGCAGCGTGGAAAAGCCTTCTGCAGCAGAGGTCGAATGTTGCCGATAGAAAAGAGCACGTATCTGTGGCGGGATCAGTCGTGACTCAAGCAGGGTGTACGGAAGTCACTTACCCTTCCAGCAGGAGACCAGCTCCAGGGAGGACCATGTTCTTTAAGTAGTAACCAACTGGCCTCAGAGGATCCTCCTTGGTCATGCGCAGGATCGAGATGGTTTCTTTTTTGGATTCCTGAGCGTCGACGTTGCTGATGAACTTGAGGCGCTTGCCCATAGGCATGTCAGCCCAGTAGGTTCCATTCTCGTCGTAAATGTCATCCGGGTGGAGGAGAGCATGGAAGACACTTTCTTCCTTCTCACTCATGTCTAGAAGGAGTACAGTTAGCACAAGGTCCGTAGTGTAATTGGATCATGCTTTGAATCCCCAACGTGAAGGCCGTGGAGGCCTTCACGCGATTATGTGTACTCCAGAGATGGGTAGAGATGCTCGACCATACGCACCATAGCGAACGTCCATGGTAGCCTGATGCTCCCCTCCCATGTTAGGGCCATGAGGAGCTGCAGCGCCCCAGTCGCGAAGTGACGGTGGTTCCATGACAACGGTTTTCGAATCCGACTCTTGCCAGGCTTCTGTCCTGGGGATCTGGTCAAGAGATCCGCCCGGTTGCAGCCCAAGCTTTTTAAGAGGAAAGCTTCTTTCCAACAAGCCGCCCGTCAGATGGGAAGCAAGTGGGGGTCAACGTGAGCGATGACGTCCGCCTAAGCTCTTTTGAGAAGAATAGTGACTGTGAGAGGTGCCTTGTTTGGACGGCTTTGCGTGACAGAATTCGACGCTGTATCACGTTCAGATATGGCCGATTCTGACTGGCTGGCAGCTTTCTAGCCACGGGGTTGACAAGTGATAATGGAGGCGCTGGATAATCCCGGTATATCCGGGAGCTTGTAGTTGGGGGTCTGCGGCTACTGGTAGGAACGAAGTCCCGAGATCGATAAATGCAGGAAATCGGACGGATGACGCAGCGAGCGGCTTTCCAGCAGGAGCAATCGGCTCCTAACGTGCGGCCACGAGCTCGGAGGCTTGAACAGGAACGGGCGGCTGTGCGGCGGGAAATGTGTGCACGGAGGGGTGTGCACCAATGCTGCCGAAGAGGAAAAAGATGGTGTAACTTATACGTCCGGAACAGGTCAGGCGAAGAAAAATTCTAGTGGATGCTACGTCGGCTTTAAGAGGGCGTGTGTATGTGGAGCACCTTCGAATGCCCAGGCGCTGGCCCGGCCGAACAGGGAAAGAGAGCACGCGACTAGACTGCAACCCTTGGTACCCCGGGGGAGAGATGCATCTCGGGAGGAGGAAATAGGCGCAGTCCGACGCATACGCTTAGATGCCCATGTGCATGCCGCCATTGTTGCTTTCTGCGCCTTTTGGAGGCCCTCGGGTTGCCTTTTTGCTGCGCCAGCGTCTTCGTCGGACGTCGCAAGAGGGAGGGACTGACGCAGGCCAAGGACGCGCTCGCTCGGGAGGCTGGCACAAGCTCTCCAGGCAAACTCGCTTGCCAAAGCTTCTGTTGCATGGCATCTCGTGGACTGATGGCCGCAAGACGGGCTACTGTCGTGTCGCGGAGGCCGCATTTCGGTGCTGGCGAGGGAGGCGACGAAGAGAATGCAAAAGATGAAGTCAAAAAAGGCCAATGAGAAGCCACATAGAGCCCACGCGCTCAAACGTCTGGCCAGCAACGGCCCCGAAGGCCCTGCAGGTAGTAGGGGTCCTCGCTACTGTGGAGCCCCGGTTCCGCTAAGGGAGATCGATCGCCTCATCCCGCTGGCGCCATGAAATCAGTCATCGCCGTGACACGCGCGTGAATTCCGAAGCTGTTGCCCACTGCAAGCACGTTGCCAGTTGCCGAAAAGACATTGCCCAGCCTGGGGAATGCGGCGGATCAAAACGAAATATCTGGCGTAAGCTTTATGACGCAGGTTTTGGGCACTGGGCCCCTGCGGGGTAGACTCCCTTGAAGCTTTCCCTACAGGTGGTACGATCCAACGAGCCCACTCTGCCATGAGCACACTCATTCTTTTGCGGTTGCACTGACACTGCTATGCCAATTGCCTCCGTTGATTCGACCTCCGCCATTTGTCAGCCAGGTTCCTCGGTCATTCCGGCGGTTGAGTGCGGTATAAGCCCACTGCTCGTGAGAGAATTCGCGGGGATATAGCCCCATATGAGTGAGTGTTAGGCAAGCAAATACAAAAGCACCCCAATACGAGCCGTGGTGTCATGTCGATGCTACCGCTTCAATGGCGCTGCATGGGTTGCGGCCAAGCGAAGAAAATTCCACAACCACGGGGTCCTTCATAGGAAGACCCGGTCAGTGGTTATTGATGTTGTTCGATTATTAGGTTCCGATTATCTAGTCTGTACAAGAAGCCAAACCAGTGGCTCAATAACGTTGCTTTCCAGAGCACTCCTGATATGCTCAAATCGTTTTGTAATAGTGAAGAGAAACGTAGCAATACATGGGGTATGAATGTCTGCCGAAGCAGGGTTGGGGATATCCCGACGCTATGCAGAACGCCGCCAAAATGCAAAATGCCACTCATGAATGACAAAGGAGATTGAGAATGGGTAGGGGCCCAAAGAAAGAAAACGACGTTAATCACGTTAGCCAGTTCTGCCACTGACAGCGGCACCCACCCGAGCCTCCATCAATTGGTCCTGTCACGTTCGATTTCCCTTGCGTACCGTTCACCAAGTTGCCTCCGAATCCGCGGTCTTCAAATTGGAAGAATCGCTTTGACGCCTCGTCCTTGATGGTGCCGTCTTTCTCCATCTGATAGCAGTACAGGTTCTTCTTCGCGAAGTCTCCTCCGTGGCGGTCGAGCGTAATGGTTACGGGGTAAGGGAGGGTACCTGGGCGGTCCAAAGCGGCATCCGAGGCGTTCTGGGCGGAGCGGCCGAGCAGAGGCTTGGACGTCTGGCTGCGAGTCCAGATCTGCACTAGATAACGTGTCTGAGAGAATGTGCACCTTAGGGTCGCTGCGTCGCGAGTGCTTCCTCCGTCTACATCTGCTGGATTACCGCCACGACCTGTGGTCGACTTGATATCTTTGAGGAAAATAGAGCGGTCGAAGTATGTGTAGAAGCCGTAATGCTCGTCGGCCTTGTCGCGATTGAACAGTCGTAATGGTTGGCTGGAGGGGAATGTCAACAAGTTCGCGGGTGCAGCCGTGCCGTCAGGATTGAGCATTGGGGGCGGAATCACCATGGTAATGTTGGTGGGATCATCATCACCGCCAGCGCGCTTTGCAAGGCGGGAAGCCGTTGTGGTGGCGTTCGCGTCTTGGAATGTGATGAAGAAGGGTGTTTCTTCGCCCTCGAAGGGAGCCGAGTTGCTATCAGTTGTCTGGCCCAAGAATTTTTCGTCGTCAAGACTAGGTGGCGCTGGCGAAGCTGAAGGAGCAGCACGGGCGTTGAGGAACCGTGAGCGAATGAAAGCGCCGGCTGAGACGGGGTTTGCAGCCCTTCGAGCAGGTTGAGTCTTCGAAGGATCGCTCACCGTACCGTTCTCGAAGATAATCTCCAGCTTAAAGTTGGGTTGGTCTGGCTTGTTCGGGCTGATATCATTTTGTTGCTCTTTGGGGAGGGCGCAACTCCAAAGCGTGGCAGGCGCGACGCACCCATTCTCCTCTTCGACAGCTTCAGGCTGGGCGATCGTCGAGACGCCCGTGGGAATCGGAGGATAGCCCGTCAAGTTGAGCCACTGCGAAGGCGCATCTTCACCCGGAGCAACGTCTATAGTGCCATTAGTGCCGTCATTGTGTTTCTTGGTGACCACGACCACCACTGGAACGATGATCGCGATGAGGACAAGAAGTATGATGCAACAACCACAGCACCAGAAGCACAATGACCGCTTCTTCTTTTTCTTGTCCTGCTTCTTTGTGTTTTTGTGACGACGGCCAAATGGGAGCCAAGACATCAAGTTGCCGACTTTGCGAGGCGACTTTTGGCTCTTTAGGTCGGGACTAGATGCAGACGAGATGGCGGTGCTGGGGCGACTGTCATTGTCATAGCTGAAATGCGATCCCTTTCGGGCGAAGGTAGGAGGCGGCGCAAAGACAGGGACGGTCTGCTTTGCAGTATTGGTCTTTGCTTTGGACGTGTCCACGCTGAATGGCTGAGGTGGCGGCGGCGGAATATGTACATGTTGCACCATTAGTGGTGTATTTGCGTTTGTAGCTTGAACGGTTGGATTCGGGCGTCTGTCTTGCAACTCAATGTTCACATTGATTGGTCGCCGCTGGTCTTCAACCTGACGGGCATTCAGAACCGTGCCAATCGTGGCAGTGCCAACAACCGGTGAGGCGGACATTGCCGAAAGAGGAGAGGTGACATTCGCTTCAGTAGCGGGAAGCGATTGCTGGTGTTGACGCTGGTTCTCCTTCTGCTCAACTGACGAGGTTTTGTCAGCTAACATGGGTCGGATGTCATTTGATGTATCGTGGCTTCGTGCGGTTGGGGGGAGCTTTGGTGCGACACTTGGGTCCACATGACCGTACTGACCCCTTCGGTTGACTTCTGGAGTAGTGACAGCAGTTGATAGCGAGGGCGGCAGTAATGGCGAATCTCCGCGAATAGAAGCACTCCTTTCCGTTGCCGACCATATATATGTTGACGGCGGGGATGGTGAGTCTTTCCGAGCACTGTATTCGGCTGGCATCATCGGTACGTCTGGCGTCCTCTCCGCGTTGCGCCCGTTCTGAGTCCAGACCGAGTTCGCTCGAGACATCATAAATGGGGTTGTGATCACGTTCCACCAGCCTTGAGACCTTCGTGGAGTGGGAACGGTGGACGTGTCAACAGATAACGTAGAGTGGAAGTTCCCGTCCCGCAGAGGGGTCTCATCCTCCTCGAAAACCGTTGCAGTCGAAGTGATTCGATCCCTGTGCTTGATGTCGTCGTCCTCTTCAAACGCTGTATCTGCAGAATCTAGCGTGTCATTTCTACTCCGGGACTGCTGTTCTGCATTCTTCAATATCTCTGCTGGAAGAGCGGGAACTGGTGGCACGTCTGGCCCAGCAGACTGCATGTAGAAACCCGCACGTGAGTAGATACTGGATGCTCGGGCTGAGTTGTAGTCAGACTCAGTGTCGGGCGACCAGACAGACTTCATGGCTGCAGCAGGCGTAATGATGATGCTCGGAGTAGTGAGAGTGGCATCGCTTTCTGATCTTTGCCGTGTCGCTGGATCAGGACTGAACTCGGTGACGCTATCTGAGGGAACGGAAATTCCGATGGGAATAGGGCGGTCCCACGGGGAGATCTCCTGCCATGTCTTGCTGCTTTGTGTATCAGAGTCCGCGGTCTTTGAGTCCTTGCTGAATGAACTGTCGGCTCGATATGACTCATACGACTCCGCGGTGCGATGACTAGAGCTGACCTTCGTATGATGCGAGGTAACGCCCTGTGCTGCAGGGCCCGCTGGCTGACGCTCTGGCTGGGGTGTACCTTTGGTTATTCCAAGACCCTTGTTTTTGGTCCCAGATCGTCCAAGGCCAAACCAGCTTTGCTTTCTCGATGATCCGCCGCTCCTGCCGTCATGCTCCTGGGGGTATACCTGATGCGGGACGTTTCCTCTATGCCTCGCAAAGCTCGTATCCACCGTAATTCCGGGCTTTGACGGCTTCCCAACTATTTCCATCTTTCGCGACCGCGTCTTGGAGACCCTAGCTGCAAAGGACCGCGAGCTTCGCTTGGTCATGGCCCTCCGTGCGGCTATCTGCGCATCGCTCTCTGCTGGCGCTGTCTGATACACGGTGGTAGGGATCATGAAGACGCCATTGAACTGACCGTTGAACTGGCCACTAAACGGCACCGGTATATAGTCATTGCCACCCGATTCCTGGGGCTCGAAATTCGCGGCGTTGGCTGGGCGGGCGACGTTCGCGGTCGTGCGTTGCAACGCAGCTGGGTGCGGCTGCTGTCCGAAAGGATCCGTTTGCTGAGAGCTCATCGTTGGAGCTTCTTTGAAGGTTCTGGTATGCGGGCGGAATGTGTGCGTCAAAGAGAGACGGGGACTTTGTGGGCGAGGCGATTAAGGTAGGTCAGCGGACAGACTGGAGACAATGCATTGTTCTCGTGAAACAAAGGCCGTTTTGCGATAATCGTATTGTTCTATTGTCGGGACGTCTGAATAGGCAGGGCCAGGAAACTGAACGAAACGGAACAATAACAGCGACAATAGCACGAAGTGAAAGACGAGAAAAAAAAAGGACGTAACAGAGAAAGAGAATGGAGAGCGGATGAAGGTAAACGTTGCCGTCGTGGTCGCGCGACTCCACGACTGCGGATAGCCTTTAGGTACCCATGCTGCCTACCCGCCATACTGCATATGTATAGCTTCTGCAACAATCCTCCCCCTCGTCCTGCTATTCGTCGGAAGCGCTGGTCACGTTGGCTGGAGCGATAGTAGGCCGGGCGAAGCAGAGCAGACGCAGGGCAGAGAGTGAAATGATTGGAGGCAAAGGCAGCCCGGCAGAGTGGATGTGGCCCATGGCGGGCGCCATCTTGCAGGTTTGAGGCTCATAGGCGCCCGAGATTCGCTGGGCTTGAATTGGTACAACGCAATCCAAGATCTGAGACGCTCCAGAGAGCGAGCGTGGGCGTGGTGGACGGCCAGACGATGGAGTGAGGTGGGGCGGACCAGTGAGGTGTAAGAACGGAGGATGCTAAGCGCCTGCTAAAACGCAGGCGCCAACGGTTGGTTTCCGCGGTGCGCCAAGCTTCCCACGTTACCGATTGTAGCCATCGTGCTCATGCTCCGATGAACTGGCAGTTGAACTCTGCAGAGCGCGAGATTAGCCCCCGGGAGGGGCGTATTGCGCGCGTCCAAAGATGCGGAGACATTACTCGCAGCCTCGCCCTCACGCTAGACGGTCAAGTCTTTGGAGGAACATATTGCCCGAGGAAAATGAACAGGAATCCTCTCGGTGAATACTGTTGTTCCAGTGATCCTCCTGTTCTTGATGTAGGGCTTTGAAACGTGGACTGAACGACAAGAAGAACGGTGTTGAGTGGGGAGGATGCGGCGCAACAGAGTCCAAGTACCGAAGGCATGTCAAGAGTGCTAAGACGGCTCATTCGGCGGCTCGTCCGTAAAGGGAGGGACATCTAGCCACTGTGCAGCAATTTCGTAGGAGGAGAGGTCGCGCAACGTCCTTTGGACCCCTTTCGTGCACGCATCCTCACCTCCTTGGACGCACGGTCCCACAGAAGTAGCATGGCACAGTGACAGAGAGTAGCGCAGACAATGGTCCGGTGCGGGCGCACAACGACTTCGCAGTCTTGCGGTAGCCGGCCAGCAGCATACTGCGTGAGGTGACTCGGGCCCTGCGTCGCGCGAGGGAGCGGTCGCGTTCTATTTATATGTCTGAGGCCACATGAACCACAAGTCTACACTCCCACGACCCGCGCCGTGCTCCGTCGCCAGCCTCATCAGCGTCTGCGGCCATCCGTCGATAGCGGCGCCGTCACCACGGTGCCGTAACGGGCAGCGAATACCTAGGTCCACAGGTAACCAACTGTCGCTAGCAGAAGGAGGGAAGGCGCATTGGCTAGCATCGCTTCCTAATCTCTCCCTGCCAATGCCAAGCGTAATCCGAGCTTCCAACGGAGAGAAGACACGGTGATAATTTTACTGTACCGAGAGGACCCTCCTTTTTATCGGGGTCGCCCCCTCTCCAACAGCTCAACAGTCTGCTTGTTGGCCGCGGGCACTCACCACAGCGAGGACGACGGACGCATCTTACAACGTTCCACGGCGCAGCCCTCGACGCTCCTGCCCGCGCAGTGCGACCGAAGTCGACCGTTCGAGAATCGCAGAGACCGCCCGCAGTCCTCCCTCCGAGCGCCTTGCCTTGCGGCACGACTCAGAGCAGTGGCCTTCCTTGCGCCATATTGTGTAGTGTAGTCCCTCCGCCGGTAGACCCAGCCATACGGGAAAGTCTTGGGCGTCACAAGCCACGCGCATCGGACCTCCTTCATTCCGCGCAGCCTCTCCACACCTCATTAAAACTCGTTCGCCCTGGCTTCTCCGACTTCCTTTTCCGCCTCCTCTGGCCAGCGACGGAGACGCTCATCTGCTGCGAAGCACCCGCCGAACCTCAACCTCCAGGACACCGCCGAGCAGCGAGCCAGGGTCGGGACGACAAGCGGTTCATCGGGCGGATACCTGGGCGACGCCCTGCCCACAATCCCCGGCACCCCCGCCAATTTCGACATGTCCTCGAGATCGCCTTCGCCCCGCGCTGGAGGATGGTCGAGTCCAGGCCTCAATACCCCGTATGACAGCGGTGGACGGAGCAGCCCGTACGCAAACGGAGGCACACATAATGTCACTTGGGCCTCCGCCCAGGCACGGAGCGCAGAGGTGAAGGGCTATACTGCCTTCAACCCGCGGAACCAGGGCTTCTTCGGCAGACATTTCCGGAGAATCTCAACAAGTCTGCCGTTCAGCTATGCGGAGAAAGAGAAGCTTGGCAGGGGACGATCTCAGGGCAACAAGGCAATGCAGATGCTGAATAGGATTGGGTGGAATCTCTGGCGCCTGCGGAGGTCTGTCGGCCTGGTGCTGCTCATTGTACTGAGCTGGATCCTTTTCTATGTTACCCGTAAGCTCGTTGAGCCTACCGTCCGCTTCATGTGCTAACAGCTGCAGCATTTCACCGAATGTATCGCCGGTCCCCCTGGTTCGGCGGAGGCAGCAAGTACGTCGTCATCCTCGCGGCAAACCAAGGCGGCGGCGTTATGGAGTGGAAGGGGCCCCGCGAGTGGGCGATTGAGAGGGACAGCGTCAAGAACAAGAAGAAGTACACGCAGAAGTGGGGATACGATCTGGAAATCGTCGACATGAGCACAAAGAAGCGCTATGCGCATGAGTGGAGAGAGAGCTGGGAGAAGGTGGATACAATCAGGAATGCCATGCGCAAGTATCCACACGCTGAGTGGTAGGTACATGGCTGCGGCACATGCTCTGTTGCTAACGCTGAGAAGGTTCTGGTGGCTGGACACGAATACTTTCATCATGGAGCCAACGTATTCCCTGCAAAAGCACATCTTCAAGCGCCTGAACGACGTCTCCTACCGCGACATTAACGTCTACAACCCGCTGAACATAACGCATCCGCTGACGGACGAATACTTGGATCCCGAATCCCGCTCCCCGGTTGGCGACGGCAGAGTCGAGTCGATCAACATGCTGGTGCCCCAGGACTGCGGCGGTTTCAACCTCGGCTCATTTCTCGTACGAAGGAGCGTCTGGACGGACAGGCTATTGGATATTTGGTGGGATCCGGTGGGGTACGAGCAGAAGCACATGGAATGGGAGCACAAAGAACAGGATGCTCTGGAGTACATGTACCAGAACCAACCCTGGATCCGGCCACACCTCGCCTTCCTCCACCAACGCAACATCAACAGTTTCCCGCCGGGTGCCTGCGGAGAAAAAGGAGACGACCCGCAGATACACTATAAGGAGAAGGACCGGGACTTCTTGGTCAACATGGCCGGCTGCGAATGGGGACGCGACTGCTGGGCTGAGATGTACAACTACCGCCAGCTGAGCAATCGCTTGAACAGGAATCCTTGGGAAAAGTTCAAAGACTGGATAAGCGACTCGGTGAAGTCCATGAAGGAGTCAAAGAAGAAAGAGAACAAGGACGAGAAGGCGAAGAAGGGTAATCATTAATGAGCATAGAGGAGCAATTTTCGCATGAGCATCGCTACGAGACGACACTTCATATTTTGGATTCATCTGCCTGCCGTCGAGCGGCCTTCTTTCTGGTATACCCATGCCCTAGGGTGTCATGAGGTTTCGGCGTCGCGTTACTATACACTGATGATTCGGTTGTATCATATTTGATTGTTGGTGGTCCGTCCATTTGCTGGGGGCTATGGGATTTTTCAGTCCCGTATGGGTGTCCTTTGAAGGCCACCCTCGCATCTGTGTTTCTCGACCTGTTTTCCACAGGTTCTTTCCTACTCTTCTACACTGCCTGCGGTTTGTCAAGCCGTTCTTCGGCTATTTCAAACGGAGTGTTCTGCTCATCTTCTACAAATTCCTTGCACGGGGGACTTCTTTACTACGGTCAATCATAGCACGGCCAAAGTGTGACCGACATTGGCGCAAGGATCAGTATGTCGGTCCGCTTTCAAAGCGTGGATGCACAAATGTACTGGTAGCCAGCCGTGAATCTGAATGAAGCGGTTGTACTCGGCTTGTACTTCGTCGAACGGTAACCTGCCTCGAGTTTGAAAATTCTGGTGCGATCTCGTTGCACTACGGACCTTTTCATGCTCGTTCATCGCACGATGGCGTGATGGACACGATATGTCCCTAATAGCGTACCCGCTGTTGTGGATGATACGCGCGGGGTCTAATAAACGCTCCTTGTATCGCATCTTAGCACGGGACGAGCCATGTCGCGAGGATCTCACATAGTGCATTCAGATTGCTATATAAGCCGTTGCGAAGGAGGGCTGACGACTTAGATATACATCCTGCTGATGTCTTGAGTGCTAGGCAGGTGAGCATCGGTGAATGTCTAAGCCCCAAAGCGGAAGGCGGGCTGCGTCCTATGATTCGTCCACCTGCATACATCCACCGCCATTTGTGCATTGTGACCTCCCTGCAGCGGCCACGCAGCCAGCCAGGAACGAGCCCCGTCATCGCATACACCCTGAATTCTCTCTCTTTACTTCTCTTTTCTTCTCACTTCCAGTTTCCAGTCCCTCTCGACGCTCGTTGAGGTTTCGTTTCCCGGCCCCGCCAAACGCGAACGCGACGATCGGAACAGCGCCCACCGAGACGTCATTGAGCCTGGCCTCTGCGTCGGCTTGCTGAGGCAGCCCGTGGCATCAGCGCCAGCGAAGCGGGCTTAATCTTATCTCCAACCGCACGCTGCGACCGCGACGAGGAGGCCGCTCGAGGAAAGAGACCTGAAGTCCCTCCAGCCTGCGGCGCGCAGCATTCTTTTATTGTGCCGCGCCGCGTTGTGGTCAACACCCTTGGATTCTTGGAACAAGAAAGTCGGGACAAAGAACCGAGATCGGAACGGGGTCCACTTGAGCGCATACTCCCCACCAGCGGTCAACATACGGCGCGGGCTTTCACAGGGCATAAGGACCCCCGAACTCGCAAGCAGACGCATATTTGAGGGACGAGGGCGCCTTTGAAGGGCGCCATGCAGCACCAAACCCAGCATCAAGGGCAGCAGCAAGCAAGGCAGACTGGAAGCAGCGCCGAAGGCACGGCCCAGAATCGCAGTATGACACCTACCGCATCCGCCTCGGGGCCTTCTAGGAACCAACACTCTGAAGGTATGTCACCCTGCCCATTTTGTAGAACCATATGCACCCCCTCAAACGTCGGTGCCCATCCGTCAACTATCATGAACGCAAGCTTACACGGCCCGGTGCGCCTTTCAGAATCATGGATCGAGATAGAATCGAGACCGTCCTCCTCCTCGCTATCCTCTGCCGCCGACGAGATCATCACAACCGGGCTTAGGGTCCAGCACGACTCCAACCTCCATCGACGACGGAGACGCTCGCGCAGCACCGGCCAGTTTCGGATAGGGACAGGATATCGCGTTACTAGCGCAGGTGGAGGAAACAGTAGCCAGGAAGAGTACGATGAAAGCGAGAGCGAGTCGGACAGGGTGATGACGTCTTCGAACGAAGGCATCGGCCCCTCTCCTCTGCAGAATGAACTGCCCCAGCCGCCGCGGAGTCCATACTCGGTCGCTTCTTCAGAGACCATGTCAGAGCGGGAAGGCGATGACGAGGACGAGGACGATGACGAGAATGCGACTGCAGTCAACTATCCCCGCTCTTCTAGGCGACAATTTGAGCCACGACCCAACGCTTTCTCGCACCCACCAACACAGCACGCGGTTCGAACGCAGTCGGGCACCGTTTACACCCCTCGGAGACCTGCAGCTAGATCCTCTTCGCAGCGACACTCCTATCCCCAGCATACTCCATTCAACGCTGTCTCCCCTCAGCATCAAGCAGACCATGATGAGGCCCTGCGCGCCAGCTTGTCCACACTCTTGTCTGCTGCTGCAGCCGTGCGAGGACTGCCGAAGCCCGGCCACTCACGTACGGTGACCTCGAATACCTCTGGCCGGATCGATCCTACGTCGCTTCGGATAGTCCCAGAATCTGTGGCCCTCGGCGAGATACCAGAGGACGCCAGCAGTCACCAAGTCTCCTCAGGTGGCCCTCCTACTTCTTCCTCTCCCCGCACCGCTAGCAGCAGTCCCTCCGAAAAGTCGAAGCGCAAAGCCAGCCCACCCGCCAACGCAGCCAACCGAAGCAGCAGCAAAGACCGCCGCGCAGTCAAGAAAGCCCGGAGAATGGGTCCGCTCGTCGATGATATCAGCCCTACACTGCTCACTTGGGTCGTCAGCGCCGGCGTTGTCGTCCTCATGAGTGCACTAAGCTTCTCGGCGGGCTATGTTGTAGGCAAGGAAGCAGGCCACGCCGAAGCCATGGGCCAGATCGGCGCTGTCGGTAGCGAAGCAGGCCGCTGTAGCAAAGAGGCTGCCACTGGGCTCAAAGGCGCAGGCCTGGGTCTCAGGAGGCTACGATGGTCTGGCGGAAGCGGAGTGAGGGTCTGAGCCGCTCTCCTTCCATAGACGGCGCCATCTACGAGTAACGAACAATAACGACCAATAAGACGGCTAGATGGGACGGAGGGAGCTAATAATGGGATGATCTTTCCGGAGTGCACAAGGCAACAAGCATATGTTTGGGGATATCCCTTTTTTCACATACCCTCATTTACGGCGTTTGCATTCTCTCCTTTGTCTTTTTCAAGGTTTAGCGTTGGGTAGGCAGGTAGGCGTTTCTCGGGTTTAAGCATGAGGTGGTAGGTGGAGTTGTGGTGGCAACTCCACTGAGTGATGTGAGGGGACTAATTGCGAGCGCGGGCACGGATAGATGGCTGGAGTTGGCCAAGTTCGCTGTCATGTACGGCGAGTCCATATACATATGCCCGGGATATCTTTAGCTCAATATAGGATGCGGTCTCCCTCTTCCTATGCATCACTTAATCATTGCACGGTCGCAAAGGGGCACAGGCTCGGCCGAAGGCGATTTTGAACTTTGGTATCATATTCTTTCTCTGTGCTTCTGCGTTATCCACCTAGTTTCCGCGCCCACAGCTACATAGAGCCCAGAGCGGGATGTAAATTCATCGCCAGAACGCCTAGGATCCGAATTCCCATTTTTCCCGCCAACGCCTCGGTGATGCAGTGTTGTCTCTCTCCGGCCACCATTTAAGCTCCCTCAGACCAGCAGCACCGCGTTCAGACACCCATCGTTCTCCGGGTTGTTGGTGATCTGGGCATATCTTCCCCACACGACCTTGCCTCCAGCCGTCACTAGACCCAGCTCCGAGACGTTGACTTCTATGATTGTGCCCTTGGTTCTAGAGATGGCGGTATGATTAGCGAATGTTCAGTATGTCGCACTGCGGGTGTTGGCTGGCTTACAGGACTCCGAGTTGTGTGTACATCGGATTCTGAGGGTTTTTCTGGTCAAGCGTTAGGGATGATCTGTATGAAGAGAAGGATGGGAGAAACGGACTTTGACCGAGATGATTGGTAGCTGGACGGTGACACCTAGTTCGGGATGTGTGACGTTGGCCTGTGGAAGTTAGTGTATGCTTCGCGCTTATGGAGAAGGGAAGGGGCAGGTTTAATACCTTCTTATAGCGCAATCCCATGGGACGGATAAAACGCTCATATTTGACTGGTCTGCGCGTGAATCCGGGCCCGACGAAGGTTGGTTTTGTGATCATGCGCTCTAGAGGTACGAGGTCAGCATATCTTCTCAAAATACGAGTCGGAACCTCTATGCCTTGGTCAAGTCTGCAGGTAGCGTGAAACGCTCCTCAAGGGCATTTTCCCCGCGAGACTTTGATGAGAGGCATAGATCCCGTGGCCGGTTATACGTACTCCAGCTCTTCTTCTTCGTCTTCTTTCCTGTCTTAACCACTGAAAACATCTCCTCCTCACTTATCCCCTTCACCTTCGGCAAAGGCACACTAAACCTTGCAGCTTTCTCATTTCTCTTTTGCTTAATCGCACTGCTCAGCGCCTTCGCATTCTTCTCATTACTCCGATCGAGCAAATACTGCGGCAGCGCCTCGGTCGCAGGTTCGGCAGGCTCGCTCGTCTTCACATTTCGCTCTTCGTGCGCGCGGATCTGCTTCTTCATCTGGATCTTCTCCTTCCTGCAAAACCCACCACAATCAGCAAATTGTCCCTAGTAACGGTGGTTTGAGCTCGAAGATACGTACCGCCGCTTCTCCGCATATTGTTTTGCGCGAAGACCCCGCAGGTTCTGTGCTTTGTAGGATGCTTCATGGCCTTCGCGGGCGAGGCGCTTCCGCTTGCGCTCGTCGTGGTCGAGCCGCTTGCCGTGCAGCTTGGTCCAGCGCTCGATGTACTCGTTCTGGGGCATTTTGACCGCTTATTCTGTCTTGTTGTTGCTGATTAGGAAAGTTGGAGGCGAGTCTACAAAATTGCGGTTGGAGGTCGAAATCTTGGCGCCGGCCCATTTTTCGGCTTAGTCACCGGGGATCCCGAGTGTCGAACTTGAAGACTCGCGAGAGAAAGTGCTTGGAGGAGGATTGAAGCATTGCACCGCTCACAATGGCCCTCCTCGCCCGCACAATACGCCGCTCCCTTCTCGAATCGCGAAACACACTGCCTCCAACGTTCCTCCTCCCCTTCCGCGCCCATATAACCACCGTATCGCACAACCTCGAACCTGGCAACGTACCCGACGCAGTCCTTCAATCCGGGCAGCACATATCCAAAGACCTCAAAGCGAAGGTTCATTCGCCTCCGAGCCCCTCAAAAGCCGCGTCAAAGCCAGATTCTCCAGCGCCAAAACCGTCCGCAAACGCGCGCGAAGATGTCGTCTCTCAAGCTATCACCCCTTCAATACGGCAGATGCTTCCCCTCCTGCACTCCCAACCCCCACACTACCTAACCGTCCACATCCACGGGCGTCCGTACCTCCTCACAGCCGGCGACACGCTGCGTCTCCCGTTCCTCATGCCGCACGTAAAACCAGGCGACGTCCTCCGGCTCAACCGCGCAACGCACATCGGCTCGCGAGACTACACGCTCAAGGCACCCGAACCCGTCAAGGGGACCAGAGATCACGGAAAGAAAGTGTATTACCTGGATGAGAGTTTGTTTGTGTGTCGGGCACGGGTAGTGGGGATAGAGAGCGAGCCGATGCGCGTGATGGAGAAGACGAAGAGGAGGCAGAGGCATGTGAAGCATGTGAGGAGTAAGATGAAGTATACGGTGTTGAAAGTTAGTGAGGTGGAGGTTAAGAGTTTGGAGGAATATGAGACGTTGCTGAAGGTGGGTTGAGGGGGGAAGTGGTCGGCGGAATGCAAATATGGCAAGAGACGAACTGGGCTGAGAAACTAGCGAAGCTCCTTTGTAGGAATAACCTGATTGTATCATATTGTAAAGGCAGGGTCATGTGGGAGCATAGCGCTTGTACAATTGATAAGGAACATCTTCATCACTTCTAGTTTCAAGCAACGAGTATGTGGAATTAGTTCATTCCGACCATATAGACTGCGTCGCTTTGACTCATGCGTCATCGGACGAGATGAATCCTATCGTCTTCAAGAGACCAAGAGGTCTCTGCGTCGGATACGCCATCGGGCAAGGTCCCTTATTGGTACCTGTGTCGCTAGTGGCCCTGCCTTCATCTAGGCATTCCTCCATATACGGATAACAGGGTCAGGAAGCCTTTTATACCATGGTCACAAGGTGTGTGGCGGCTTGCGCTCAATGCACCATCTGAGAAGCATAGAAGTCCTATTGAGGTTAGCATACGTCTGGAGCATGAAGTGAGAATAGACTTACCGGATGCTGGTTCTGGATCATCGTTGTCACCTTCTCCACCTCCTCAGCCAGACCCTGAACATTAGCGTCCCATTTACGGAGCTCCCTGCCAACGATGCGCTCCGCATGTCCTGTCTTCCGCTCACCACTGCCCTCACCCTCGAAGAAGATCAACCGGTCGATCTGATCAATGTACCCTGACAGACGACCTTGCTCCAACATCTTTGCGGCATAGTCCTCCGCCTTTTCCGCATCGATACCAAGAAGCTCACCTAGCTGGTCGAAACCAATGTTATTATACAGCTTGGATGCACCGACGAGATTGTGTTGTAGAACGGCTTGGTCAAGGACAGTTGATCCATCTGCGGTCTTCGCGAGATGGTGTGGTTGTAGCTTCTCGGCAAAGGTTTTGATCTCCGCTGGTGAGAGAAGGCGGTCGAAAAACATCTTCTCTAGGATAGGGAAGTCGTCAACCTGGTTCGCGCGATCGTCCTTGTACAACTTCGCCAGCATCTTCGAGCGCTGCGGCCCTGCCGGCGCTAGCACAGCACAGACAATAGCCGCTGAAAGAGCCTGCAGTCGCTCGCCCTCATCTACCATCGGTTCCAAGCTCATCGTGTAGTATGCTTGTGCGGCATCCAGGAAGTTTCGCTGGGAATCGTGGATGCGCGCTTGACTGAGCTGGAACATTAACCGCGTCTGCTTGTCCTGCACACTGTAGATGACATTCTTGACCTTGTTGAGATGCGTGAAGGCGCTTGTAGGGTCATCCTCTTCCAGATAACACCGCACTATTCGAATCCAGACCTTGGCCTTATCGTCGTTTGACAGTGACTTCTGCGTAGACTCTAGGTTGATTGTTCCTAGTATCTGCGCTGACTTTCGGTAGTCCTCGTTCTCTTCGCATGCATCTGCGAGTATCTCCTTGATCTGTGTGTCCTGCTCTTCATACTGGCCCACGCCTTTCGACTGCAGGAGCTCGATGACCTTCTCGCCCACGTCGATCTTGACATCTGGATCCGTGATCTTTCGGAATTGGTCGACGAAGTTGGCGAGAAGCGGACGTAAGACGACCACACCCAGGGAGTCATCCAGCAGAGTCCGAGCGTAGGCATTGAGGTCGGCGGCGGGATTCTTAGATGAAGTGGTGATTTGCTGGAGAAGGGAGGCGTAGCGGGAGGGTTTGTCGGTAACAGAAGTTCCTTCGATAGCTTGCAGAGCTGAAGTAACTTCTGGAGAAGCCATTGTGAGCGGTTTCGGCGTTGGAGGAGCTGTGGTGTGGGTTTGGTGTTTTGAAAGCGAAGCCGAGGTGGGGGAGCTCAAGGCAGCAAGCTGTGGAAGGACTGGGGTAGCGCCAAGATCGGATTGTGAAGCGGCGTATTCTGGAGCCTTTTATGGCTCTCTTCAAAAGGAGAGAGAACCAACAACCAGAAGCAGCTTCGCCTTGGCCCTGTTGGCGATCTCACCGTCGTGGTCCACGTTTGAAGTCGCTATCGATAAGGTGCCGGCTGTGCTTGCCCTCCGCGAAATGTGAATTTTGTGGAGGGTCTTGGCGCGCTAATGCAATAAGGCGATTCCGATGCGGCTCTTCTTTCATCACCGCAACCTCCCACCCTCACTTTCTCCCCACCCAGCTTTATCCACCCTAACGCACTCTCTTGCAACTCACAATCTACGGCGGCGTCCTAGTACTATCTACGGTCACATAGACTTAGACACATACGCTCCTTGCATCGCCGTCACCATGAACGGCATCAAACCAGACCCCGACGTCAAGATGGACCTCGACGCGCACACGCCCGCAGGCAGCGGCTACATGGATGATGACTTCTACGAGGACACGGGCGAGCTGCAACTACCGCCCCGGGGCATGGGGAAGGATACCTGGCTGACACGGATACCCGACTGGATTTACGAGAAGGTGTCGAAATGGGATGATCTGGCTGAAGGCAACGACGACGAGCAGATCGTAATCGGCGAGGTGATAGCTTTCCCAGACGAAATGGGAAAGGGTGGCATTAGCAGGACAAAGCCTATGCGCATCTTCTTCGACGACCGGTGGCGGCAGAAGGAGCAACTCCCGACTGCATTCGAGCTCGTGCCGGACTCCGTGAGGGACGAAGTGCTTAGAAACACGTATGTCTTCGCCGAGAAAGACCTCCCAGGCTATAGACCCAACGGATTCGGCCAAGGCAAGCACGGCGCATCCAGCAGCTTCGGCGGCGTTCAGGACCACAAATCGCGTATCCAAAAGCGCAGCAGGTACAAGAAAGCGATTCCCAAGCAAACAGCCCTCATCGGTCACGCAACCCGGCAGTATCGCGCCCAAACCCTCCCAACGAAAGAAGCGGTCGCTCATGAGGCCGCTCGCAATAAGAAAGCGATTCAGGGTTCCAACACGCGCACCAACATCGTCGACAACTTCAACGAGCAGAACGAGTTCGACAAGGTCACGAACAAGTTCAGCGGCTTTGTTAGGCCCGCCGTCGCCCGCAAGTCGCAGATCAACAAGGCGGCTCGTATCCCGAAGAACGAGCTCATCGATCTACTGCACCAATTGTTCGACGAGTACATGTACTGGCCCATGAAGACACTCAAGCAGCGCACCCGACAGCCCGAAGCCTATCTCAAGGAAGTTCTCGGCGACATTGCGCAGCTGGTCAAGAGCGGTCCATTCGCGAGCTGCTGGCAGCGCTTGCAGATGTACAATAGGGAATCTGCCAACATGAAGCAAGAGAAGCCGCCGGATGCTGATGTCGGAGACTCGGGCGACGACGAGGAGGAGATGGAAGACGTGGTTTGAAGCGTCTGTTCAGCCCATTTTTCGCTTCTTCCTGCTAATTCCCCAGTTTCCGCTCGCAAAGCCGTCCTGCTAGATCGCCCGCGGCTATTTTCGCGACAACGAGGCGGACAGATTATGAGGGTCGTCTTATTCCGCTCCCGTTGACCTTTAGATCTCTTCCTTTGGCTGACATTGGTCATTCCTCTCCAGACATCGGCTCCTATTACGGGGTCTATTTAGCATCACTTTAATGGGAGGACTCGCGCGGACCAAGACGCGTATACTCGGCGGAATATCCGGATCGCGAGAGCTACAGAGGGCTGTGACCCGCCAGCAAATAATCCTCTCTTCAGAATACCATGGCCGTACCGTCAGGGCGTCGGGACGATAATCTTGAACTAGGGAAGGGTTTCAATTACATCATGGCAGTCATCAATTTAGGTTGAACGTGCCACATTTTCTGCGGATTGCATTGCGGTCTTTGTTCATGAAATTTCATTAATTTGGGTGACGCTCTATATCTCATCTAGCTGAAGAAACAACAGCACTGAAAGTGTGATGAGCATTGATAATATGCGACCCGTCCCATACGCCTATCTGTTCCTACTACGTTCCAACGCCATAACAGAACCGCCCCATCCATATAATACATATTAATCCTCGATATCGTCATCGCTAAGCACAAGATTCCCACCAGCCTTATCAGCACCACCCGGGATGGCAGACTCCATCTCTTCTGCTTTATGTTCTATTCGCACTCTCTTTTTCTTCTTCGGCGTCTCAGCGCCGGGTTTATCAGTGGCCCATTGTTCCTGTTCGCCTGATTCCCTTTCGTCGTCTTGATCGTCGTCTTCTGCGGAGCCGGAGATGCCTGATCCGGTGAAGGAAGTGATTTTCTGTATCCCACGGATTGTGGAAGCAGTGGTCAGAGAGGGCATCGATGATTTGCGTAGGATAGTTGGAAGGTACGGAAGGCGCTCGAGGAGCATTTCGTAGCGGGCTGAGCCGCCGCTGCCGAGGAGGACAGGTGGTGGCGGTTCTTCTTCGAGGTTTGAACCCACTTGGGTTGCAGTAGGTTTCGCAGCTTGTGAGAAGGGCGTTGTCTTCCTCCATGTGTCCACGCCGCTAACGACTGCTGCGGCGGGTTTCGATGTGCCGGGCCCGGAACTCAGAAGCTCGCCCCGCTGTGCACGAGAAATCCACATTTCCAACAGCCCTCCTATTTCTTCCTGTTGTCGCCATATTCGTAGGGATGCGGGGTAGTACATGACGTATGCGTTTCCTTTTGATGCTCCCGCTACTGTTCCTGCGCCTTTTGCTTTCATGCCCATGACGCCAGGTGGAGGCGGTATTCGCTTGACGGGATGTGGTAGGCTGAACAACAAGCCCCGTACACTGGTCTGGAAGCACATCTCGTCTTGGCGAAGATTGTCGGCGCTCGTTCCTGAGAAGTTCCGTCTGCCGAATCCAGACGTGCCAAATCGGTCAGGTGAAAGAAGGTCTGCGTCTGATAGCGCGTCGATGCAACCATTCATACAGTCCATCGTCTCCTCGCTATCGCCAGCGTCGCAAGACAGCGCGTAGTTCTCGTGTAGAGCTGCAATGAACGTCTGCGTATCCGTCCCGAGCTCATCAATGAGCGCATCGACATTAACTTCCGAAGCCTTCGGCCTTCTTCGATCGGGAAGCCAGTTTGGCGGTTGCGGAACGGGATCATTTGCATCTTCAGGCAGACGCTTGTTGTATACAACACGACCCACGGCGTGGAAGATGCCGAGCGTGCTCTCTCGCTGGGTCACCATTTCCAACGACTCTTGCTCCATCTTTGTAAGGGGAACATCTTTCGGCCCTTTCTTCTTCGTGAAGTTGACCTTGGATCCCCATCCCTCATTATCATCTCCCCTGAGGCATAGAAATTCCAGGGAGGATACGGCACTGCGAATATCTCCAAGCTCCGACAGTCGGTGGATGACCTGGGGGCCGACGGTCTTTCTTCGACCAGATTTGCGTGCTTCTTTCAGCACGATGAGGTCCAGCGCTTTGGTCATGAAAGTCGGTGCGATCGGGTTGAACTCGATAACAGTGACACCAGGATGCGTGAGAATCTCTGGACCGAGCAGACGATGAGCAGTGAAGCTATCAGCCGCGGCAGTATTGGTCGAAAGCAGCGTCTCCGAAACAATCATGACGATGGGCGTTATGGATAGCTCTGGTTCTGGTTTGCTGGAGTAAAAGCTCGTAGCCGACGGTGTGTTGGCAGTAAGATAGTTGAGAATGGAAGAGCGGAACGATTGGACACTTGACGAAGTACGCGTGAATGTATTTGGGAATTCTTCTACAAGAATCAGTTGCTTTTCTCTATCGCTGGGTGCGCTGGGCGGCAGTTGTTGGCGAGCCTGGGCTGGTTCATCGAACGAAAGGCTGCCGAACGCGCCGGTTCTTCCAACGAAATCGTCGAACTGCGCGGTAGCAGATAGTAGGCCCTCAGAAGAAGGCATAGAGCCTATAGGATTCTTCCATTCATTCATGTGGAATCCCAGCTCCTTCGAAAGGAGCGACATAGTGGCAGTCTTGCCGCTTCCAGCAGGCCCCTTGAGGAGCAGCAGTCTCTTGCGCTGCTTGCCTGCAAAGACATCCGACAGCCACGTCCGCACGTCCGCAACCTTCTTCTTGTGCACTGCCAGCTCGTCCAAGGAGGTCGGGCCATACTTCTCGTTCCATGGCCGTCTGTCTACGCTGTCCACGGTTGTAGTCTGTGATGGCGGAGGGGTATTACGCGCGCCATTGGCGGCCCGAAGGAATCTCTGACTGCCTTTAGGGAGGTTGTCATTCTCGGCCGCTAGCCCGGCCTTCCCCTTCCGCACGAGCAGCGCAGCTGGTCGCTTTGCTGATTGATCATCGTCCGAAGAATCACAGATGTCGTCGATGTGCTCGAGCGGTGTACTGGCGACAGACTTCTCGGGACTCGGTGTAGGCTGGGCTATCTGAGGGCGAGGAGCAACGCCAAAAAAGGACGTAATGGACTTGTAGACGGGCTTCGGCTTCCCCGGGGATTTAGCTGGGGACTTCTTCGCAGACGGTGATGACGGCTTCGGGGATGATGCGCGTCGCGTCTGCGCTTTCGCGACCTTCGCGTCTCCACGCGCCCTGTTTGAGATGCTCAGCAGCGTGCCCCTCTTGGGACGCTTGGGAGGCGGTGAGCGTTGTCCGTCTTCATCGGTGTCGGAGGAGAGCACGATGGGCTTCTTTCGCGCTGCCCGCGGCTTGACCATGCCGCCTCGACTTTGACAGTACTCCGGAGCAAAGGGTCATCCTCAATTCCTTCCAGCCAGTCGTGGTCGCGAGCGTGGGCGTGGGCTGTTGGCTCGCCGGTATCGAGGGAGGTGCATCGTCGGATCGGTGGAAGGTACGTCCGCCTTGGCGCGGCAGCGAAGTTGGACGCGCTCACGTGATGATGGCTTTTTCTGACTCGCCGGGACGGGCCGTGCGTCTGTGTTGCCAACTCATCAGTCGGGCCCCTGCACCACCACTCCTCACCGCATTCCCGCCTCTGACGGGACGCACTTTATGGCCCCTCCGCTCATCTCGGCTCATTGTTCGAGTGTCGCATGCTCTAACGTGCGCGGCGGCCGGGGAGGCTCCTTGTTGGCGAACCGAACGACTCCACGCATGCACACCAAGTGCCACATGCAGCGGCGCCTGATATCGACTGTTAGCACGGCCAGTCCTGCGCCCAACGGTTTGCTATCTTCGTCCTCAGTTCAGTCATAGCGACGCGTCCATCACGTCTCTGGCCTCTTCATTTAGTCACATTGTCTCGCGCTCCATTGCCATGCAGAGTCGTGGCTCGACATGTGGAGAATGAAGCGAATTTTGCTACTCGGTAGATTCCACGTGCGCGCCAGCCTGCATTTGGCGGCCGAAGGCGTTTCAACCGGGGCGCATAGATTAGTCTGCTAATTCTGATATGCGCCAGCTCACTTCCTGGCATTCTCCTATTGGATGAACTGTCGTTTCCAGTTCGTGTCGTTCCCATGCATGCCTCCAAATCCTTTCGCGCCGCAAGCTGTATATAGCCCCGACTACGCCGTTTGTGGGCCTTTTGCATGTTTTCCCATCAGCGCGCCACGCAAGCATACCCTTTGCCTCACCTTTGCACTTAGTCCGAATCTTCGTGCGAGGCAAACAATTTAAGACAGCAATCCCTCGGTGTCACTCACCGCTATAAACAGGGACTACCGCCGTCTCCACCATGGCGAAGAAGAACAAGAAGAAGCAGAAGCAGGTGGACTGGTCGTCTCCACCGCCCAGCCCAAAGACAGTGCCCGAAGAGCCTGTCCCTGCACTACCTGGATCATTACCTTTGTCTCCAGAAACAGCGGCGACCGAATCGACACAGGGCGATCCTGCCCAGCCACTGGCCTCGCCAATCGAGGCGAAGATCGACGACAAGGCGGTAGAAGAATTCATAGCCGACCTAGCCACGAACGAGGCTACTACCGTTGAAGAGCTTCCTACTGCTGAGCAAAAACAGGAAGAAACGACCCCACTTAAAGAGGAGGAAAAGACCGAAGCTGCACCCGAGGCTACGCTAAGCTCTTCGACGGAGGCGGAATCATCGAAAGAGTTGGAACAAGCAAACGCTGAAGACCCTATATTGGATCCAGCGGCGGCTTTGCAGAAGGCCAAGGAAGACGCGCCAGAACAAGAGACTCCCGTGCCACTTGAACCCGTATCAGCCGAGCTAGAGCAGCCGGAGAAGAAAGAGGAAGCCCCAGCTCCTGAACTACAGTCCACAGAATCTGTGGAAAAGGGAACTCAGCCAGAACCCCAAGAACCGACACAAGAAGTTGTTGAAGCAACTCCAGCACCCGAGGCAGAGGCTCCTCCAACTGTCGCTGAACCTGCCCCGGAGCCTGAAGTCGACTCTAAGGTCGAGCTTACACCCGAGCCGGAAGCTACAAAACAGCCAGAAGAAGTGTTGGAGAAGTCACCAGAACCGAAGCCCGAGCCGATTGAAGCGAAAAGCCCACCGCTTCCAAAGGCCGTCTCGCCTCTGCCAGCGGCAGTTGCACTTGAAGCGGCACCCAGCTCGCCGCGGTCTGTAGTAACAGAGAGGCCGCCAGCGACCTCAACCCAGCCAAAGTCGCCACCCAAGCCGGAAGCGGTCAGTCAAGCCGCTGAAGACAGCAGACCACCAGCCCCAACGCCTCCAGTGACCCGAGCTCGACCACGGCACTCTTCCGCCTTTGATGACGACGATGAAGACGACTCCGCACTAATCCAACCAAGATTAAGAAGCGAAGCATTGTCGCGTGATTCCTCAAGAGGCTCAACTTATCCACCTCCGACACACTCTCGCTCGTTGTTCGCATCGCGAGTACCAGCGGAGCATTACCCAAATCCTCAGCCACCACATCCACCACCAGGATACCACCATCCCAGGTACTATCCACCGGCAGCTCCCCCATACTACCACAATCACACGCACAGCATGAGCCAATCGGGCGGCTATCCGAACCATTCCCCTTACGGGCCCCCGTCACACGCTTCCTCCCCATATCAGGAAACGTGGGGACCGACCTATGGACCCTATGGCAGCCACAGCCCACCTCAACGCCATGATTCAATGGGGTCAAGGGACTTCCCACCAATGGGTCCTCCTCCCATCGAGAATGGCTCTGCAATTGAGGATGACTCTGGCGACATCTTCTCTCGTATAGCGCAGGCTATTCCTGATCTGCACGTCCTCCTCGCCCGGTACAAAGAGACGCACGGTCAGCTTGGTGTACGAGAGGAACTGCTTCGCCGAGCAGGAATCGAGCAGCAAGAGAAGTTGCGCGTCAAGGATGAGGAGATCAACAGCCTCAGGGAAAGGTTAGCCAACATGGAACACAAGCATTCGACAGAAGCTGGTAGACTAAGGCTCGAGATTGGCAATATGGAGGAGCAGGTGAAGGAGCTGAAAGAGCAGAGCGCCGAGACCGACAAGTACAAGCGAGAGGCAGAAGAGGCAAGACTGGCATTGGACGCCGCCATGAAGTCATGGGAGACAAAGTACAAAGAGCTAGACGAGGCTCATGCCGCTTTGGAGAAGACATCGGCAGAAGAAATTGCCAAGGCTCAAAAGGAGTTCGAGGATTGGAAGTCCACCGCGAACACGAAACATGATGCCGAGAAGATCGCTCTCGCTATTCAATTCGACAAGAAGCTCAAGGAAGCCGACGTTATGGCGGAGAACCAAAGGCAGGAGGCAGCAGCGGCTTTTGTCAAAGAGAAAGACGAGCTCCGTTCCGAGCATCAGAGACAACAGCGCGAACGGGAAGCCAGCTTTGAGGCCGTCCGCAAGGAGCTCGAGATCAAGCTCGGCGCTGCTCAGCTGGACCGCGAGGAAGCACACAAGCGCGAGCGAGAAGGCATGGAAGTATGGACCAAGGAGAGAGGAACGCTCGTCCAGGCCCACCGAGAAGATATCGAGAGTCTTCGGAAGAGCTGGGATGAGCAGCGCGCTCTCTTGGAGGCGCAGCACAAGAAGATTAAGGATGAGTCTGATAAGGCCTGGATTGAGCTTCATGCCGAGGCGAACCGGAAAGCGGAGGAGGAGAAGGCCAGGGCTGATCAACTGGCGAAAGACAAGGACGAACTGCAGAAGCAGTACAACGAGCTGAAGGCGGATAATGAGAAGGAGAAGGAAGTTATCAAGAGCGTTGCGAGCAATCTTGAATCGGAAAAGTCTCGATTGGAGAAGTTGATGGAGTGCTACGGCGACATTGCGGAGATCAAAAGCAAGGGTGACACCTATTAGTAAGTTCACCCACAGTACTTAATATTACTGTTTTCGGAGGTTCTATGTTCCTGTCGTCGGCACAGATTGGTATTTGATGGGTTGAAGAGCTTGGTCAGAATCGTTAGCATCCATTCGCCCCTTAATGCAATTGTTTTCATTGTTTTCGATCTCGCGTCCCGCCCTTTTGGACCTATGCTGACTGCTATGCCTAGTTTGGTCTCTTTCACCCAGCTACAGAAGCAGATCTTGGATCTCGCCACCACACACTTCGTCCATCTCCCGGTCGCTCCGCCTCCTGAAGACCTTGCATTGATCCCGACTACTTTGCCTTCTTTCCTCGGGGACACTACAGCTTCAAGGTATGTTTCTCTTCGTCCATGGAGAATGATGTCTGACTGCTGGTAACCGCCAGGCAACTTCGCTCGGCATATGTGGCGCACACAGTATCAAAGCTAGTCACATACCGGGTCTTCGGACCATTCCTGTTCAGCCTGGGTCGGCGCTATGACAAGGCGGATTCGTTGTTCTCTTCCATGAGCAACCACATCCGCGACAAGAGCTCGCGTAAAGAGGCCATTTGGCGCCAGCAGACACTCTTAGCTGCTTTTACCAGCAGTGGTGCCAAGCAGCGCATCAACACAGCTGCCGGAACTGTCGTGGAGGAGATCGTTAATGCTATCAAGCATTTTGCTGACCCACGGGAGGAGGAAGGCATCAAGATCGCAGTGAAGCGCATCATAAAGCTCGCTGCTGAGACGTGGCGCTTTGCCCGCCTCGAGCGGGAAATGATCACAGCAACAATGCCCGCTTTGCAAGACGAGGAGCATCAGTTCACCGGCCCTGAATACTGGCCTGCCTACCGGCCAGAGGGCACGCCGATCGCATCGCTCGCTGGCACCGCGCCACCATCCGACGATGCACCCAAGCTATTGCTGCGACTCTTCCCAGTCATCTACCGCGAACCTAAGCACGAGCACTTACGTTCTTCGGACGAAGAAAAGCCTGATGAGGGGTGTGTATATCATCACGGGCTGGCTCTGTACGACGACGCAGAGCCGGTGGCGCAGAGGGCGGAGGAACTTAAAGCAGCCGGTTTGCCCCCAGCAACCACCGTATCTCCGACTGTTGCTGACTTCCCGCCGCCCCTGGTGCCCGCGCCTAGAAACCCGCCGCCGCCGCCACCGACTGATGTTGAGAAGGCATCCGTTCGATCCAAGTCGCCTCCACCGGAAGCAGTTGAGAGCGCCTCAGTCCGATCGAAGTCTCCGCCACCCGAGCCATCGGAGAAGGCATCCGTTCGATCAAAGTCCCCGCCACCTGAGGAAGCTGAGGAGGCATCCATTAGGTCGAAGACTCCTCCGCCAGAAGTAGCTGAGAAGGCATCCGTGCGATCTCAGTCTCCTCCTCCTGAAGCAGTAGAGAGTGCCTCAGTCCGATCCAAGTCACCTCCACCTGAGACGGCTGACAAGATATCCATTCGATCACCAACTCCACCGCCACCGCCTCTACCAGCGCCGTCCGATCCTCCATCGTCCCCAAAACCACCCCCATCGCTATACTCGCAGCCTCCCTATACACGCCCTCCCCCGGGCCCAATCGACTTTAACACTCCTAGAGACATTCCTGCTGCCCCACTAAGCGAAAGTGCTGAACCTCCACCGTTGGGAGTCGAACGAGAACCATCTATCGCTTCAGAAGCTCCTCCTCCACCTTCTGAACATGCTTCATCCAACGCTTCAGAAGTTCCTCCTCCGCCTTCCGAACATACCCCATCCAACGCTTCACAAGCCCCTCCCCTCCCAGAACCCACGGAAAGCATCGCCACCGCCGCCCCTGCTCCTCCTCCTCCTCCGCCTCCACCTCCACCTCCACCACCAGTCGAAACTGTAGACGCTCCTCCTCCTCCACCACAAGCCGAAACTGTAGACGCTCCTCCATTGCCTCCTCCAGAATCCACCCAAGCTGCACCAGCAGCTTCCACAGAGGTTCCCCCCCTCCCCGCCCCCACCGAAAGCGCCATCATCCCGCCTTTCCTCCCACCCTCACCTTCCGTCAAAAGCACCTCAACCCGCGACCTCCCCACACCCCCACGTTCCCGCGCCCCCACCCCAACAGCATCAGCACCACCACGTCCTATCTCCCCGCTCTTCGCGGCTCTCGACGAAATCGACGCCCTGACTTCGCACCGAAGTCGCAATCCTTCCATCTCCTCCACGCGTCGATCCGCCCGCTCACGGACCTCAGATGAGGAGCTCCGCAACAACACCACCAAAGATCGACCAGACACTACGCGTCGAACTAGTGGGTACTCACTCAGCAGCACAAGATCGACTGACCAGGCGAGTCAGCGTACGGACAGGTCCGCGAGTCGGTATATGTGCGAGAGTCGGAGCGCTGCGATCAAGGGGCTCTATCCCAACAGTCCGCTTGCGGGGCAGAGTCCGAACCTTTCGCGGTCGAACTCGCTGAGGAGTCAGAGGAGGAGGACGGTCGATGGGGAGACTATGGTCATCCCGGGGACGTGGGATACGAATTCACAGTCGGCGACGAGCGGTGAGGTGAACAAGGACGCCTGAAGCCCTACCTACTAATCTGTTTCCACTCTGGCCACAATATGTTATCACCACTGCTATTTCTTCTTTTCTTGTTTTGTCTACCCGTATACATACATGTCTTAGTCTCCTTTAGCGTCTTGCTGTCTTCGCTCTCTTTTGTCAATTCCCTTTCCCTCTCAGCATGATCGTTCAGGCATTGCGCGGCGCTGCATTGACGGAAATTGGAGCATGTAACGACGGCATATGGCGGCGTTGAGCAAAGTGCTGTACTTCCTCAACGACCTGTAATTTCTTTCTCTATGTATATCGATGGGTATTGGTGTCCCAGGCTACAGATGGGACGTAATGGTATTGTAAAGTAGGCATATACATGCACGGTGTACTTCTCAACTCAATCTTCCTGCCTTCGTGATGCCGACATCTGTCACTAACTATTGATCTATCTTTTTCCTATTTTCCCTCTGCTCTTAAACACCACGCAAGCACTCGCCCACCGAGGCCCACTTTCCTCCCCTCAATATAATATACCCAGCGACAGGGATACCCCACCCTGGATATTACCCCAGATTCTCCAACCCCCGCTACAGGCTGTAACAATCCCGGTACTCACTATGGAACACTCAATTCGTGTTCCGAAAAAAAGTCTGCTTCCGACCAATGCGAGCCTGCGTTCCGAGTAAGGTGTTCTGAAGGCGAGAGCAAGTTGATCGCTAGGTGATGCGATGGCTGCCGGAAGGAATCGTTGCTCACGCCACACGCGGAGGGGAGTAGATATTATCAGTTAGCTGCTGCTGCCCTGAGGAATGTTTCCTCTGTCGTGCACGCTTTTTCTTTATACTTCATACTTTGCGTGTAAAGGTGTACGATTCAAGATGGCGAGGCCAACCGAACCGCAAAGCCAGAGCAAACCCGCACAACCACGCAACGAGCCTCAAAAGGCAGCAAAAGGAGGAATTTCTCTCCTCGAGGTCATCGGTCTCGCTGCATTCGCCATCCTCCCGCTCCTGATACCAGCGCTCCGCTCCGGCACGGTGCAGCAGTGGCTCCCACTGTCGCTCCAAAGTTACCTCGCTCATCCAGCGCCGAACGCGACGCAAGCAGCGGAAGAAAATGCAGCACAGCCCTCACTGCTCGAGGCATGTGCGTCGCACACGTACACCACGGAGATCGTGTCTTTAGACCCCTTGGTGGTTTACATCAATAATTTCACCTCGCACGCCGAGGCCGAGGCGCTGATACAACTCGGGTACACACATACATAGTTTCTCTCCATGAAAGGCCAATACTAACCCATCGCAAAAGCTCCGCAGACTTCCAAGACTCTTTCATCTCGCGCTCGCGCGGCGGCACGCAGAAAGACCCGGGCCGCACCTCGCAGTCCGCACCGCTCCCACTCGAACACCCCCTTGTATCCTGCATCCTGGCCCGCGCCCGCACCTTCATGGGCGCCATGCTGCAGCCCGACGAGCCCTTCTCCATCCCGCAGCTCGTGCGCTACTACGACTCGCAGCGCTACGACCTGCACACGGACTTCTGGCCGCAGCACCAGATCATGAACGACGGCTCGGGCCGGCTGTTCAACCGGCCCGCCTCCTTCTTCGTCTTCATGCGCGATAATTGTACCGCGGGGGAGACGTACTTCCCGGCTGTGGACGTGCTGGATCGGGATGCGGCAAGAGGTGGGAATTTGGAGGCAAGTTTTAAGGGGAAGGTTATGAGGGGGGAGAGGGAGGGGAAGAAGAGGGGGGTTAAGTTTAGGCCGATTACGGGGAATGCGGTGTTTTGGGTTAATATTGGGGAGGATGGGAGGGGGGATCGTAGGTTGGTGCATGCGGGCTTGCCCGTGGGGGAAGGGGAGAAGATTGGTTTGAATATTTGGCCGAGGAAGTTCTATTTGGATGATATATAGCGGAAGGTCAAGGAGAGAAGTAGTAGAAGTGTTGTTGATGAGTGAGAAGGATAAGCGTACAATTACCGTTCGATTCTAGGTGTTGAAATGCCATCGTGGATGCGTATCACCGAGCTTGAGGTCCTCCTCGCTGTCATGAAAGTCGCCCGTCTCAGGGTACGCAACGAGATGCTCTTGCTTCCTCTTGTTCTCCTTTGACAGAACCCACCATAGCGCGCTAACAACGATAAGATTTCCTACAAGGTAACCTAAAGCAACAGAGTGCCCGAGTACGTATCTAGGCGCTGTCTTAGGTCGATAGAGCTGCGTCCCAATCACAGCGCCACAATTGCCGATGGAAATCTGCATTGCGTTGGCAGTCGCACGTTTCGTTTGGCCTGAAACGTTCACAGCAGGCCAGGAGAGGACGAGAGCGACAGAGGGGTAGATGCCCATGGCGGCAAAGAAGGTGCCCAGGTAAGAGACGCCTGGCTTCTTAGTCGGGTTTTCGTTCGTCAGGAGGATTATGTATCCGATTATGGCGAGCGACGAAGTTATGAGAGTGAAGAGAGCTCGGCGTTTGTACTTCTCGGCGAGAACGGCCCAGGCCACTGTGAAGATGGTGGCTGCAGCATAGGGCGGAATGGTGAGGAGCTGAGACTGGGCGGAGGTGTAGCCCATGTCTTTGATGATGGTAGGCTAAGTATCCATGTTAGCAAGGCTCAAAAAGAGTGAGTAGTTGTACGTACCAGGAATAGCGAGAGCGTGTACAAGGGCAAGCTCATTGTGTGGAAGCAAAATCCGTACAGCCAGATCTTGACGTCTTTACACGCATTCCATACGCCAGCCCAGGTGAACTTCTCGTCATTCGTGGCATCGCTATCGGCCTTCAAGCGGGCCTGGATGAACGAACGCTCACCTTTTGATAGCCAGCTGACACTCTCCGGATAGTTCGATATGAACCAATAGGCGACGATGGAAATCACGATAGTGAGGAGACCTTCCTGCAATACGGTAAGCCAGACGATCCCAAGCAATACAACGTTGACTTACCAAAATGAATATCCATCGCCAACCCGCATATCCACCAACGTTCCGCATGTGCGCAATACCCCAAGCAAGAATGCCACCAAAAGCTCCGGCCAGGGAAGCACAGCTGAAGAAGAGCGAAATGCGGTACTGGCGTTCATCGCGCTTGTACCACATCGATAAGTAATATACGACACCGGGAAAGAGTCCAGACTCCGCAACACCTAGGCTGGAGTGCGTGAGTGGAAGACCGCAAGACACTGTGAGGGGACCTTACAAGAAGCGCACTACAAAGAAGCCAGTAAGATTTTGAGTGACTCCCATCAACGTGGCAACGATTCCCCATGCAAGAGTCAATGTGGGGAGCCAGAACTTAGGCGTAGTCCGCTTGAGAATGATATTGCAAGGTACTTCGAACAGCACATATCCGATGAAGTAGAGTGTCAGGCCAGTGAGGTACTGATTGCCCGTCATGTTGAGGTCTGTGGTGAGACCCTCAATCCTCGCGTTGGCGACTACTGTCTTTTAGCTGCGCGTACAGATGTGAAGGAGTCCAGGGAGAGCTTACCATTGCTGCGATCCAAGAACGAGAGCAGGTAAAGGATAGAAACTGCAGGCAGCAATCTCAAGTCGAGCTTTCTCAGCAGCTTCCTCTCATTGATAGCGCCCTCTGCAAGGATCTCAAGATCAGAGTCTGAAGCGGTCGAAGCACCAGGTCTCTCAAGCCCAACGTCTTTCTTTTCCGAAGCCATGGTCCCGGGAGCTGCAGTTACAGACAATCTACGCGTGATACATCATGCCGCCCTCAGCAGGACCCAGCCAGCGCCTTTAAAGGGTTATCTTGCAATTCTCTGCCGACGTCCAGAATGATGCCATTTTGTGGATTCCCCACCAAACTGGGGTTGAAAGGCGCTACGAGCCATACTGGCAAGCTTCATGCTGCTGCGCTAGCTTGCTATTGGGCAAGAACCAGCAATCCCGTCATGGCGAGCTTATCGGCCCTCTTGGATCAATGCAATGAGGGTACATGGCCGATGACATTGTCGCGTAGCGATGGGGTACGAAATCCAAGGGTGCAATGTCGTGATTTCGGATCTGCATTCGCGGGGTGCTAAGCCGGATCGAGAACGAAGCGTAAGACATGAGGACAATAAATGTCTGGCTAGGGCTCCGCGGATTATAGGATTAACGAGTGCAAACGCAAAGAGGCTGGTTCTAGATGGTTGAGAGATGGAGAAAGGAAGGGAGGTTGATGGGAGTTGGATCGACGTGGGCACGGGCCACTTCCCTACATGGGATTCGACCGAAGGCGCTCCTCCTCTCTTCTTGCAGCCACCATCTATATCTCGGAGATTTCGAGGCTTCCCACAATCTGCCTGTGATGGGCTCTTCTGTACGTGTCTGCTGTCGGCATGCACAGTTCGTTTAGGCGTTCACGAAACGGCTTGAAAGCCCTCATGATGGTCGATGCGCAAGCCTGTATTTGCGTTCCACGTTTAGGGTTGCTGTATAATGTAGGACGTAGAAGATATAAATTGTGGCATAGAGGAGATGCCGAAGAGATGTTAAAGAGATTGAATTTTTTCATCGAAGACCGTTGATAGCGACCACAGACAACGATAGCTGCTGCAGTCATGTCCAACCGTCCAATCGAGATACGCATTATCTATTACCTGGGGACCCATTGAATCACCGGGAAATTCCGTTACGCCTCTAGAGAAGAGACCTGAGTTCCATAGAAATGCGCCAATACCATGCGCTTCGAGCCCCAGATCCCCGGTCAACGCAGTCCGTCAAAAGTCAAGAGATGACTACTAAGTTGGTGAGAAGATGAGTCTAAACGACTTCTGTTGTAAGAAAGTTGCAGCAAGTGAAGGGTGAGGGCAGCACAACCTCGGTCTGCTCATGAAGAGCGCATCTACACCTCCTCCTCATCCGCAGCTCCAGCGGCAGCATCGGCCTTGCTCTCGCCGTTGGGCTGAAGATCGGAGTCATCTGGGCCTTCAGCCTTGGCTTCGACATTGACGTCGGCTGCGGTGCGTTAGCATAATTTGGATCGAAGGTGAAGGCAGAGGCATCGCTTACTCATCTCATCGTCGGAACCCTTCTTAGCCTTGGCAGTGCGACCCTTCTTCTTGGGGGAGGTCTCGCCGTCGACCTCCTGTTTCTTCGTGGTGCGCTTGCGAGGAGTCTTCTTGGGAGTCTCAGCGACGGCGCCGGTGGCATCACCACCCTTCTCCTCCTTGGCCGCACCCTTCTTCTTGGCACCGCCCTTCTTGGGAGTCACAGCGGGTGCTGAGCCGTCCGTGGGAGCGGCAGCGTTCAGCTTCGTGCGGATCTTGGCCCAAGCATTGGAAGCAGAGCGGGGGTTCGACATGCCGGCGAACCCAGCAAGCTTCTCGTAGTCAATCTGCGCTGGTTAGAAGTGCTCAAGAGGCGGGTGTGGGGATGACGTACGTCAGGGGGACCGGACTTAAGAGACTGCATAGCCCATGCAAGCATCTGCATCTCGCGTTCGGTGAACTGGGGAGCAGAGCCTGCGGCCTGACCAGCGTTGTCTCCGGTGTCAGACATTATGGAGTTGTGGTAGGGTGATGGGGGTATGAAAGAGGTGTAAAGTTGGAAGCTTGGGCGAAGCTGGTGTGGTTCGAGGATGGTTGGAAGTGTTGGTCGAGAGCGGTGGTAGGAAGAAGAAGAAAGGTCTCAGGACGCGGGCGGCAGCAGGTCTATATACCCGTATGGTGCCACGCTAGCGGAGAGGGAGTGCAGGTGAAGGTGAGTGTGAGGAAATGCCACATGATGGTGGCGGATGTGGGAACAATACAGCTTCACCTTAATCTATGCTTCTACGGTGAGCTGGAATTCGCAGTCCAGACGTCATATCTTATCAGGCGGTGTAAGGCCGGTAGCGTCGAGGTTGGAGGAAGTGAAACGGAGGTGACGGACATTTGCCCGCTGACGGTCCTCTTGAGTAGTTTCCCATAACCGTACAGACGAGGGCCAAAGCGATGCTAGCTTTCTGAGATGTTCCACTACAGAGCATTATTATGATCCCCCTGAAAGTACGGGCGAGATATCGATGGCTGCAAATGACCCATCACTGCAATACATGGCCTAACGTTTCATGCCGCCGGAAATGTGAGCAATCGCGCCTTCGAAATGAAGCTCGCAGCAGGCCCAGTAATTCCGTTCCCGCGCTCCCGCTCCCGCTCCCGCCCCCGCGGTGAGTCAGAGTTCCAAAGGCGTCCGCATGGATGCGTTAAAGCTTGATGCCGAAAAGCTAGGCGACGATGAAGGTGAATGAGGACGGCTCCCAGGAAGTGAATGCTCGAGAATGGAAGGCGCGGCTGCGCGAACATGGTGAATGAGGGAAGAGCCCAAGACTGCGCATTGCGAGGATATCCGTCCCTCTCTATTGCTCTACCTCTTGCATGTGCGAAAGCTCCGCTGCTGTTGCGTAGAGTTTACATGAGGTCGGGCACAGCGCCTGCGCCATACCGAAATGGGCGGAGCGGAACCTGACTCGTGCGCCGACACAGCGTGGGAGGGGCACGGCCGAGCTGTTTCGCCAGCCCTCCGCATCTCTGACCAGTTCATACCCCAGCACGAAATTGGCACCATGGCAGATCCCATAGACAGCGCTCTGTAAGCTCTTTTCCTCCTTCTTCAGCTCCTGCCTGCTAATTTCGTCTAGCGACCTGCTCCGGCGGCTCAACCCCAAGGACGTCAAGCGGAACGTCGACCACATCATCGAATTAAACCCCTCACTCGAAGAAGACCTCCTCGAATCCGTTGATATCCCGCTTACCGTGAAGAAATGCTCCAAAACGAAGCGCGACTTCTTGTGCTGCGACTACAACCGCGACGGCGATAGCTGGCGGAGTCCTTGGAGCAATGAGTTTGAGCCGCCCATTGAGGAGGGCGTGACGCCGAGCGATCGGATTAGGAAAATGGAGATCAAGGCCAACGAGGCGTTTGACGTATACAGGGAGCTGTGAGTTGCATTTTGACTTGGACGGAAGCTTTCTAGAGGCACACGCGGGTCAGCGCGTCTGAAACGTGGGCTGACGAGCGCAGATACTTTGAGGGCGGTATATCGAGCGTTTACCTCTGGGATATGGACGATGGATTCGCTGGCTGTGTGCTACTCAAGAAATGTATGTCTCCCTGGAATGACCCCTCACATGTGGTTATGCTGACCAGGACAGCCGTATCCCCCACACCGAAGAGCTCCGGCAGCTGGGACAGCATTCACGTTTTCGACGCCCAAGACCGCGCCCGCACTGCCCACTACAAACTCACCTCTACCGTCATCCTCTCACTCGGCACCGACTCCGAAGCGCTCGGCGGGCTCGACCTCTCCGGCAACATGGTACGCCAAGTGGAGCAGGACATGGCCGTCGAAGACGACACGTCCCACGTCGCCAACATCGGCAAAATGGTTGAGGATATGGAGCTCAAGATGCGGAATCTGCTTCAGGAGGTGTACTTTGGCAAGGCGAAAGACGTCGTAGGCGACCTGCGAAGTATGGAAATACGGAAACGCCGTGGAAGAAGATTCTCGCTGACGGACTTCTTAGGTATCCCGCCGCTCAGTCAGACGAATAGGGACAGGGCGACGCAGAAGGAGATGATCAGCAGCATGGGAAGGTGAGAGGCGACAACCTACCCAGGCGGCACGATGTAGACCCAAACACGAATCAAACAACTTTCGGCATCGACGGCATGCTCGAGACTTCAACCTGCTCGTTTGTGTGCCCTTCGCATGGCATACTTTGTGACTTGCCACTGCATCTGCCTTTTCTATTCCCGTTTCAATTGTATACCGGAACTCCAATAGCTGGCTGGCATGCAGCACTGGAATGAATATCTTGCGGCAGGCAAAGAAAGAATTGCGGCTTTAGGTATGTACAAGTCGGCTTGCTGCCAGTCGAGCGGGGCAGAACTTTGCTACGAACAGCACTGAAGATGTTCACGAGGAAAAGCTAGGGGAATTAGGAAGAGTACTACGGCCACACTACACTTTCACTGCTTTCCTAGTAACTGCGTGTCCAATGCCCTCCACTAGCCTGCGTCTGCACATCTGCGGGAAGCTATGGGTACCTTCGGCCCGCTGGAGTGTATGAACCCAAAATCGAGGCCGTTTTTGGTTACCAAGGGGCTGCGGAGGTGTTTAACAATATCAGCGTTCAATGTCCGGCTCAATAGCGACTACACCCACCCCAATTAACAATAAATAGCTAGTAGAAGGTCACAACCACCGGCCAAGCGTGCTACAACAGACTGCCCCAATGAGTCTTCGGAGATTCCAAGGGCTTCCTCGCTTCGAATGTACAATGGCCAGTCGGTGAGGAAGAGTGGGCCTGGGTACTCTTGCCTGGACGCAGCAGCAGCAGCAGCATCGAATGGCCGCTTCCTTCAAGTCGCCTCTCCCGGCCCGGACCATCGACCTGTGGCTGTGGGATGAAGCCGGAGATGGACTCGAGACAGACTTGCGATCCGTTGTGCCTTGCTGGTGATCTCTCAAGGTGCTGAAGTGCCCTAGAAACCGCAATAGAGGAGCTGGAGAAGCAGCAGCTTTCCTTCACCAGGAATGGTGATGTGAATCCTTCATTGACTACATTGTGATCGTGCTAGGTACGGTCGATGCTTGGGTAGACATTTAGGTCCTACATTGGGATACTTATCGGGCCATCGATGTTCTGTCATGGTCTCGCGCTTTCGTTATATAGAATGGACATCTCAGCTTAGTTAATTTTGGGAATTATGTTGATGTTATGATATCTGCCGTGAGTGATGTTGCGGGTGCCCAAGTGGACTAGACTCAAACAGGAAAAGCGCATTACGTCTCTTGCCAAATGTCAGCTACCCAGTCTCGCTCTTGCTTCCACCTTACACTACTTCCATTCTACATTCCAACACTCCACCCTTCCGAACGGCCTTGCACTGTCGTGCATAGTCTTAGAGATGACTTGCCATGGCTTAGCAACACCCGCGATGGGACGCACGGCCGATACAGCCTAGATGATGCGCTATTCCTTCGCTCACCTCCAAATGGCCATCACGTAGCACTCCGACCGTCTCATTACGAAATCCGGCCCTTCCGCTAAGGCCGAGAATGTCCTTGCAATCTCTCGTATAGTGTCAGATACGAAGATCTGCTGGCAAAGTTCAGCGATTCTAGCTCAACCCTCTTAAACGCCGCCTGAGGGTTTGCAACATCTGTTTGCGTCCGAAAGCAGCGACTCTGACATCGCAACTGCAGCGTGGCGAGTATTCCGGACATCGTTGAGTATCTTTGTTGTCTTCTTCGCCCAAGGTATCCTCACCGGCAATACTCGTATGGAGTCTCGGCAACGTTACAATTCTCCGGGAGTTTCAAATATAACGTGGTCCAATCTCTGCAATTCTTACCCCACCAGAGCTGCACAATCTACCAGATCTTGCGGATGCTGGCGAAGATCATCTGCTCAGCGTATATAGTACAGCCGCTAAATTAAGGTAACCTCACATTGCCAATGCTCAGGATTCACGCATGGGTTAGGTCCTCGGAGCCAGTGGCAACGACTTTGGGATCTTACTCAAAGTACCTCAATATTCCAAAATGATCGACCGGATACTTGCAATACGAGCCAGCCAGACCTGAGCGAGATCGGTACCGAGAAATACTCCCCATACACCGAATACGAGCGACACCATCTTTTACTGTTTCTGGTCGAATGCGACTTGGTATATTAACTCGTCTGATATTATCGTATACTGCAAAATCCGCATATAACGCCTACCACCGCCCTAACACGGATGATATGCATCCGCCTTACGGGTAGGAGTGTTTCGCGCCATTTTCCACCCGCCTGGATATAAGGCCATCGCATTCCCATCCCTGGATCCATCTGCCCTTCGAGTTATCTGATCAACACAATCTCCGCCATTAAAAAGGGATCGACAGGACTGTGGGCCCCGGATGGTGAATGAACACCGTTTACCACTGCTCCGGAAGCCTCCGAACGCACCGCAAAGATGAGAGCTTTTGGTGCTACTTTCCTGCTCGGAGTCACCTCGTGCTGTTTGGCCGGGCCTGTCAAAGATGGCACTGCAGCCAAGACCTCTCTCATTCCAAGCGCCTCGCCGTCACCTACTCCGAAACCGTCTGCTTCATGGCCGGGTGACCGAAAGAAACAATCGAAAAATGTCCACGATTTCTTCAAGCTTTACGGCTGGCTGAAGCACGGCGAGACCATCCCCGATGCGAAGTTCGCGTCTGCTATACGGAAGATTCAGAAGGTTCTGCGACAGCCAGAGACAGGTGTATACGACCAAAATATGGATGTTATACTTAGCCAGCCGCGATGTGGGACAGAGCAGCCGTACAACGAGACCGATGCAAAGCAAGATGGGGATATGCACAGGCGATTTGTTCTCTGGGGTCCAAAGTGGGACCATACGCCCATCACCTACCGCTTCATCAACTATACTGCCGACCTTCCTGCTGAGCTTCAGCGGTCCATTGTCAGGTTAGTAGATCTTGTGTATTTCAATTCCACATCACCCACAAATTCCGGTCTAGTCATAGCTACTCTGTATTCCAATTTCGCTTCCCAGTCTCGTCTCTCTGTCAATGCACACTAACAGATTGAAGCGCCGCCTTCGCGCAGTGGAGTCAATATGTACCTGTCTCAATTTCGCAGGCCCCTCCAAGCGCACCGCGGGCGGACATCCACATAAAATTCAGGTCGATGGGCCCCAGCGAGAACGCCTATGCTTTCACCAATATGATCGCAGATGGTCTTTCGCTCTCCTCTGGCCTTATCAACATCACCTTTAATGACGACTACAACTGGAGTGATGACAGACTATTCAATTTCACCGCCACCCATGAAATCGGGCACTCGCTAGGGCTGAGCCACAGCAAAGTGGAGGAAGCAATCATGTTCGCTGTTTACTTGGGTATGATTCGCCAGCCGCATCCCGACGACCAGGCTGCGATCCACGGCGTCTACGGGTGGAAGAATCCGCGCTGGAATAGGATAGACGTGAGCGCCGCTACCAAGAAAAACATTATACAGGTCTCGTCTACTTCAAGTCCGGGTATCATCGATGGGCTTTACCAACTTCGATCTACCGGCCAGGTGCTGTGGTATAGCCCGAGCGGCACTTGGACGAGCGTAGACAACAACAAAGATACTGTGCAAATCGCAGGCTCGGGTGGTAACCTGTATCAGCGCCACACCGATGGAAGCACATACAAATATACCGGAACGGGTCAGAATTGGCAGTACATAGGCGCACCATCCTCTAACGTCCTCGAAGTCATCGCTGCTGCCGACCAAGTATACGTACGACGGAAAGATGGTTGGATAGCCCGGTGGTCGGGCTCAGGTACATCATGGACCACCGTTGCCCAACCCTCCGCCCAGCTCTCCCAACAAATCGCCGTTACCGACTCCAAAACCCTCTGGAGTCTTCTCACCAACGGCGATCTCGTGCGCTCATTATGGCCTTACACAAGCGACGGTTGGCAAGTCGTTGACCAGAATGCGGCGAACAAGCAAATCGCCGTCGGAGGCGAGGAGTTCTACAAGCTGCAGAGCGACGGGACAGTCGTCTGGCTGAACATGGACGAGTATTTCTGGAACATTATCGAGGATGCGGGCAGTGTGGGTATCTACGCGAATGGTTTGTATCTGTACAGTCGGCATGGAGACGGGAGCATTTGGCGGTATACGGGAACTCCGAATGTGTGGGAGCAGTTGGATAGCAGGGCGGATTCATTGTATGTGGTTGGGGACCGAATTGGGAACGTGTACGAGATGTTGACGAGCGGGGATATTTATAAGTTAGTCTCATGATTTCTACTCCCAGCAGAAACCAGACAGACCTTTTGAGAGCACTGAGTGTCTCGAGATCATGGACGAACCGTGTGCAGCATGTGTGACCAACCAGAAGGCGTAGATTAACTCCGAGCTAACTCCGTGCATCCTCACTTCACATCGGCTGCTGACGCATCCATCGGACTTCAGACTCCAACACCAAGCCGGCAGGCAGGCACAGCTCCTCTCTAGGAAGAAACCCCGACACGGAATAGTTGCCGACAAATGCCTTGAGCTGCCTCTGCCTCTTCCTGATCCCAGCTCTTACCCTGTCCATTACTTCGTGCACGCAGTCACGTTATCACCAGGGTTCAACATGCAGCCTCTGACGGGGCCCACATCTGTATCGAAAAGGAAACAGGCATGCAAGAGCTGCCGGCAGCGAAAGAAGCGGTGCGATGTATGATAGAGAAATGCGTGCATGGACTTCCGCTGACTCTTATAGGGAGAACGACCTACATGTGCTTTGTGCAAGAAATGGGGCTTGAGATGCGAGTATACGATACCTGCATCGAACAGGGTTGAGGATTATGCACCGCCCACTCAGTATGCTGGGACGCTGTTCGGGGGCCAGCCTATTATTCCTCCCGGTTTTGGACAGGAAGGAGCCATGGGCTTCATGCAGTTCCCTGGCATGAATTTCGATTTACCAGCGCCTGGACTGCAAGACAATACCTCCTTACAGGCGGGTTATCCGACGCCGAGAACAGGGCAGGAAAGCGTGGAGACTTCGAATGGAATCGACCTTGAGCAAGACATCTTCGCCAACGCTGGGCTTCCGTCCGATGACGTCCTGATTGAGTTGGTCGATATCTTTTTCGAACGGCTCTACTATATGTTCCCTTGCTTCCACAAGGCCACGTTCATGACACAGCTACGGAACCACGAGATCCAGACCCACGCGCCATTGTTGCTCTATGCAATCTGCTGTCTGGCATCGACATACCATCCTGATCCAAGCATCAAGAATCGCCAGAATGACTGGTACGAACAGGCCAAGTTCACATACGAGCTGACCAACCGCCGACCGCACCCGGCGCTGCGCACCATTCAGGCAGTGCTTTGCTTGGTCGTTCATGCCTTTACCATCGGCGACTTCTCGGCGAGCTGGTTGTTTCTTGGAAAGGCATGGAGGCAAGCTGTGGCGCATAGTATGCATCGGATGGACTCTTACCCGGCGATGATGATGGGCATCCATGTCGACCATGAGAAATTTTACGACCTGGAGAGAGAAGGGGGCAAAACGGCTGTTGAGAAAGAAGAATACAGACGCACGCTTTGGCTGCTCTTCATGTGGGATCGGAATTCCTCGTGGCCCACAGCGTGGCCGTTCGCGATCGATGAACGTCAATTCAAGGTAGACATCCCGGTTGCGAATTCCATCTTCCAGGACATGACTTCCGAGACTGAAATAGGCGCGGTCAAGAACACGGCTTTCACGACGAACTTAAAAAGCTTGAATGCCTCATCTTCATCTGCAAAGGAACCCCTCAACCTATTCCACTACATCGCTATAGCCCACGTCTTACTCGGCCGGGTCGCCGAACTAATACATTCCCTCCACCTCACACCAAATAGCCCCGAGTACGCCGAGCAGAACGATGAGCTGGATGTTTGCATCGTTAAATTCCGTCTCAGTCTCCCACGCACTGCTACCTCCGTTCTAGATGCAGCAGCAGAGGATAGAGGCCACGTCATCTGGCTGAACCTGACGCTGAACACAATGACGATACTACTACATTACCGCTGCGCTTCGTTCGTGGACCGCCCCACCGCAAACGAGTGTTTCACGCGCGCCATAATAGCCGCGAGGAACACGGTGCAGATAATTAAAGACGCCGCCCAAACATCCATCGATCTGCTCCTTAACGCACACATCGGCTCCTCTCTGTACGTCGCCGCTTGTGTTCTGGTGATCCAGTGGCGCATCACTGGCGACGAAAGCTTCGAATCAGATATTGAGCTGTTCACCCTCCTCTTTGAAAGAATGACTGATATGTATAAGTTCCTTGGAATGAAGTTCAAGTTGGGGCTTGAGCATGATGTGAAGAGGAGTAAGGAGAGCGTGGTGGATTTGAAGGATAGGGGATTCAGAGGACTGATGGCTGACTGCTCCAAGTGGCGACATGTTCAAGAAGAGGTTGCCAAGATAGGGCTAACGGTCACATAAAAATGCGTAAGGATCTCCAGGCTCTTGTATGCGTAGTAGTGCTATGCTAAAACCCAAAGAGCAGCGAAATTCGACTCCGAAACGATTGACCAGCCTTCGTCGAATCCCAGGATCTCTCCCTCTCAGACCACCAAAACCTTCGGCACCGCCAACAACCCGAATTCTACGCCAGGCCGCCGGAGCCATCAAACAAGCAACCTCCCGCCATCTGTGTTAACCCTCTCCCCAGTAATGAACCGATCCTTCATGATATACCCGTACGCCTCCGCCGTATCCTCGGGCTGCCCAATACCATCCAGCAAACTCGCCTTCTTCCACTGCTCCGTCAACGTCGGCCCCATCTTATCAATAAACCCTTGCAACATCTCCGTCTGGATCGCCCCGGGACTCACAACATTGACGCGAATCGGCTTCATATCAACGGCCAACCCGCGGCTCAGTCCCTCCATGGCAGACCCAACCGTCGTCCCGAACGTAAACCCTGGAGACGGCTTCGCGCAGTTGGTCCCCGAGGTCAGCGTGAAGCTGGACGACGCGGCCCGCGGCATGTATTGCGGGTTGTTGGTGAGGACTTTGGCGATTAGCGAGGCCCCAAGATAGCGCACTTTGAACGCATGCAATGCCGTTTCGGGCGTGACGTTGCTTATTGTGGGGATGTTCAAGGCATCGCCTGATGTGAAGGCTATGTGGTCGACCGGCTGCGCGCCGTTCTGGGTCGCTTTGTCGAAGAAGGTTGTCAAGTTTCCCTCGAGGTTTTCGGTGTCAGCGAGGTCGACGGCGTGGCCAGACACTTTTTGTGGAGGGGCGGAAGGGTACAGGGAGCAGAGGGCCTGAACCTTGGTGTCTACCTTGGGTTGGGTGGAGCCGGAGATGGTGACGTGGGCGCCGTTGGAGAGGGCCATGCTGGCGACGGCGTAGCCGATGCCGGAGGTGCCACCAAAGACCACCACGTGGGCGTTTTCAAGGCGGTTTGGGTGTTGTGCCATTTGGGCTGGATTCTGTGTAATGCTGTCGTTGGGCGTGAAGGGCTGGAATTGTAGGAAGCTAGGCTTTTCTGTGTACTACTCGAGTGGATTGAATCAATCAATGAACTTGAACTGCTTGGGTACTCCCACAGACTACACCATCGCTTTTATACTCCCCCCGCAGTCTATCTATGTGCAAATCCCGAACCGTGCACGGCACCACCGGACGAGAACAGTCTCCGCCAATGTCCCCCGTGCCCAGTTAGCGGGGTTAGCCTGCGCGCGCCGTCCGAGCCCTCTCGTCCCCGCCAGCCATTCCGCTAGACGCTGACAATTCGCCATCGTGACACCACATGGGCATCGATGACGGGTGGAGTGGAGTGGCCGGGGAGTGGAGAGCGGGCTCGCTTATGCACGAGCGGGGTGGCTGGCGGCACGGCGGGGTGTTTGGACCAGGTGCGCAGAAGCTGTGGCCGACTGGTCGCGCTGTGTAGTGTCGGGAAGCAAAGTATGATTGACGGAAAGGAATAGGTGCATGCTATGGCTTTGATATGGTAGTTCGCGTTAGAGGGGCTGCGAGAACGGAATTTGGCTTTGCTGACAGGTTTCAGAGTCGTACTCGCTGTCGGGGTACATTGTGGATTATTAGGCACTGCAGGACTTCCTTCACGTACGACGAGCAAAGTGACAGCCTGCGAGCCTGCTAGAGCCGACATGTAGAGTGACTTGGAGAGCTGGAAGCCGATCTGTCGCTAGTGCTAGAAGGACGAATGATACAAGGTATGGTCTAGAGCGGAAGGCCCTCACCATTCTGCGGCTTTCATATTGATACAAGTATACTACAACGAAGTCCAGCCTCGCTACTATCAAGCGCAACGCTTATGATGGCTCCCAAAGCCGCAAGAAAAAAAAATTGATAATCAGAGAACAAAAGCCAAAGGCCTTAGACCGTGTTGGATCAAGAACTCGAACTTAGCAACCCATACAGCATTCTTACAACCACATTCCACCGAGTCTAGATCCTCTTCGCCCTACTCTCCGCCGCCCTCGGTATGCAGAGGTGGCTCACACGCTCGACAGAGTTCACACCCTCTGTTCCAGCACACAACGCAAAGTCTGTCCGGCCCACGCCCCGGCATCGGCCGGTCAAGAATCTGTGTATCAACCTCTGGATCAGGAGGGGCATTCGGATGGCTCTCAATCCCAGTACCACCGGCTTTAATACATAGTACACAAGGCGGTACGCCAAGAAAACGCAAGTGCGGGAACTCGATCAGAAGAGTGGCCGGCAACGACGGTGCTGTTGTCCAGAGTCTGTGGCGTGGAGACACGGGCGGAACAGAGAGTGCGGGGGGTGGTAGAGCGAGGAATGGGGCTACCGGTGGCTCTTTCCGTCGCTTTGGTGGTGACGAGGGATCTAGTGGAGAAAGCGCCAACGGTGGAGGCGACCACAAGGGCCACTCTGGGAGTGGCAGCTCTGAGCTTTCCAAGGGTGACGGTGGGGTGCTGGGCATTGATGACCATCCAGAATCTGGATAGTCGGCTTGCGTCGGTGTCGTGGCCGGAGGAGTTGGAGGCAATAGTCCTCTGGGTCGCGAGGGAGGCAGCTCTGGTTGTGTTGTTCGCGATAGCGAGTGAGTGGGCAGCGTTGAGCATAGCTCCCTCTGTATACTGAGCAAAGTGGCATTACGCCGCTGGGATAGCCCCTTTCGTAACACCCGGGAGGCTACCGATGGTTGGCTCTGGGTTTGAGTCCGCTGGCGAAGATAACGCAGACGAGACGGGGCTGTCATGAGCGGGAACAGCGCGCGGGAATATTCACGAATTGGGGGACAGTTGGGGTATATCGTCAGCGGACGGAACTGCGGTTTTCGCCGGCCCATGTTGATAAAAAGTATATCTCGTCGCCGCTCAATGAAATCGATAAAGGCAACCTGGTGTGTTGAAGCGGAGAGCGACTCGGAGGGCGGTAGCGATAGTGATAGCGATGGGATGGAGTATAGTTGATGCTCCAAGAGTCGAGTACATTAAGCTGTGGCAGCTTGTCTGTGGAGTGGTCGTGGTTGGTTCGCGCTTTCTCCATGCTGAGAGACGGTCGGTCTTAGTTTCTCTAGGACCCGGGCAGCGACTGCTATGGCATCTTCAGGAAGGCCTACAGTAAACCATTAGTGTGGGTAATTGCTAGTGGCGCATCCAGCAGCCTGAGCACTGCAACGTAGCATCCTTGAACCAGTGGGGATCTGCTTAAGCTGCTGTCGTTCCAATTTGATCAATGCCACACTGAAATTGCCATAGCAGCAGTTTGGTGTTAGGGTTGACTTCTTGTGCTAAAGCAAGAAGAAAAGGAAAAAATTGGCGTACCTGCAACTCTAGCAACCTTCAATGCATGGCTCTGCCGATTCACACCCTTCCGCAGCCGATGCACATAAGAGAACGTGCCATCTGCCTCTTCAGAAACGTCATTGCAATAGCAACCGAGCTTCTCAAAGTCCCTCGTCATATCTGCTAAAGCGTGAAAGTGAGTCGCAAATAGCGTACGACATTGGTTGACGTGGTAGAGATGGTGCAGGCAAGCATAGCCCACTGCAATACCATCTTCAGGCGTCGTCCCTCTACCTACCTCGTCCATGATGACGAAAGACCGGGGCGTTGCTTCTTTGAGAATTTGCGCGGTTTCGAGCATCTCAACCATAAACGTAGATTGGTCCTGGTACAGGTTGTCTGCTGAGCCCACGCGACTGAAGACCTTATCGACCAAGCCAATCTCTGCGTATTCGGCTGGCACAAAGGAGCCGGTCTGGGCTAGAATGGATATGAGGGCATTTTGGCGAAGGTAGGTACTCTTCCCTGCCATGTTCGGTCCTGTGATCAACCAAATGCGTTCTTTGTCCCCAAGTAAGCAGTCATTGGGAGCAAACTTCCGGCCTTGCCCGCTGAGTCCGGTCTCTACAACGGGATGTCGGCCGCCGACGATATTGTGCGAAGTGCTGGAGTTTAACATAGGCCTCACGAAACCCTTTTCTACCGCCAGGCCGGCGAAGGCACAGGCTACGTCAAGCTCATCCAGAACGGCTGCATTGCGTCGCAGCTTTACCAAATTACGAACGACATCTTCGCGAAGCGCACCGAGGACTCGCTGTTCTTCGTTGCGAATATGGAATCGTGTCTTGTCAAGCTGTGCGCCCAGCTGCGTCCATTCCGGCACCTGGAAAGATCGTGTAGACTTGCTGCTACTCAAACTTTTGGGATATTGAGCAGTAACCCGAGAGACGTCTTTGCCCTTGACGTGTGCGATGTGCGCTAGATTTGGAGTCCATTTCAACGTTAGGCTATCTGCGCCCAGCTTCTGGCGCAGCTCATTCTCGAGTCGCGTCTTGCTTTCGGCCATAGAATCTAGTGTTTCATGTAGTCGCTGTAGTGTCTTACTTGCGTTTCGCTTCATTATCCAGACATCATCGCGGCCATCCGTAGCACTCTTGAAGCTAGGCGCTATCATGTGAGGTTTTGGTTGGATCCGCTTTGGCATCTGCTTTAGGTCGTCTTCGCCGCCCTCTCGCCCTAATACGTCTTGAGCAAATTCTTCCATCTCGGCGGCTTCGTTGTCCTCGAGACGGTGGTATTCGGATAAGCCTTCTTCATCTATGGCATCCTGAATGTGTTTTGCCAGCTCTAGAGGCATTCCTAGCTCGAATCGCTTCTGCAATGCTGGAAGACACTGCCGTCGTCTACTTTCTGTCGCATGCTTTGCTGGATCTATCGGGACAGCGTTCCTTGAGATAGAGTGATCTTTCAGGATATGAAGAATTTCCGCCGTCGTCAGGATTGTTTTCGAAAGCTCCATTAGGTCGTCTGCGTCTCCACGGCCGACCGTGAACTTCGTTACCAGGCGAAGCGAGTCGAACGTGTGCCCAAGCAGGGCCACTACGTCCTGTCGAAGTTGCGGATACTCGATCATCTCCTCCACCAAGTCCAGTCTGTCGTTGATAGTAGGTAAGGACATGGACGGTGCAGCTGTCCTACGTCAGTAGTCTATAGCAAGCCAAGCGGTGCGCACTCACAGAGCCTTTGGGTCAAGAGCCTAGTGCCGCTCTTTGTGACAGTTTTCTTTAGAGAGTGCAGCAAGCTTCCCTCATACGTTCCATCGCGTATGGTACTCCTAATCTCAAGCGCTCGCAGGCTGTTCTTATCGATGCTCATGTGCTCCCCGGCTTGATGTCGTACGGGAGTCTGGAGACGCGTCCTTGAACCAAGAAGCTGATGTTTGACGTAGTGTAGCAGTGACCCTCCGGCAGCCACCTCGCTAGGGTTGAAATTGGCCGTATCAAAGTCATCAACAACGTCTTCTAGCATTGGAATCCAATCCTTTACCATTAAAGGCTGCTTGGAAGGCTCTTGAAATGTAATGATGTGTCCGTCCTCTTGCAAGATAGATACGATCCGCGAATGCTCTTCCTGCTCGAAGATGCTGTCCAATACGATTTCTCGCGGCTTGATCCGAGCTACTGCTGTCGGTAGAGACGCAATGTCCGTACTTTGAGTCATGAAGTCTCCGCTGGAAAGGTCGATCCAAGCGAGTCCGACTTCGGTTCGTGGGAGATTAAGGACCGAGGAGACATCGGAGCTACCCGGACTGACTTTGACTGCCTTCTCCTTTTGGAGGGCTTTGGGGTCAACGTGGATGCTGAGGAGATAGTTGTTCTCCCATGGATCCATGAAGTGCTCATCGATGAGCGTTCCTGGGGTGACGATGCGCGATACTCTCCGAGTGTAGGCGGGTTCACCCTTTGCCTTCTTCGGCACATCGTTAAGAAATTCGTCGCTGATGGCGACGTGCTTGTTCAGGTCCTGTACTAGAATCTTGAGGTAGCGATCTAGTTGGTATGCAGGGAAACCAGCCTCTACGAGTCAGACCAACCTCGACGCAGCATAGTATGTGCACACTCACCATAGGAACTGCCGGCTTCTTGCTGCCTTTCATAAGCCTCTTCTTCGACCTCTTCAGATTCAGGAGGGGTGCGAATTCGTCGGCGTGTTCAAAGTACAGCTGACGAGATTAGCAAAGCGTCACTTAGAAACCAGCATCCGTACCTCGTAGAACCCGCCAACTCTCGTCAGCAGCACACAATGGCCGAACTTGAGCATGTTGTTGCGCACTTGCTGCAATAACGGCGGGTACTCTGGCTCGCCATCGTCTTCGGGAGGAAGCGAATCAACCTCGATCGTGCCTTGAGGAATGTCGTTGAGGCTCAATGTGGACTTTGTCTTTACGCTGCGGACTTGTGTGACTTGATGCCATCTCCGCTGTGCGAGATGATTTGCACGTGAGTCGTTCCTCGACCGTGTCAAGCTAACGAGCGAGGCAGATGAAGAGGTAAGATAGGTCCGATGCACGAGCTTTGAGTATCTCAGTGGCGTTCCAGTGGAAAGCTTAGCCAGGCATCGAGTACGCCTCGAAAGCATGATACTTGATGAAGAAACCGGGTGAGTTGAAGGAGGCCGCGATGGACCTTCGGTGTCGCGTCTGCCCCCTGTGAAGTACCCGACCCGATACGGCTAGCGCAAATGCGGGGCAGCTTTCGGGTGCACGCCACAACGCCGAACAACTGTCGCGAAGTCTCAGACGCATTACTCTACCACAAAAATGGCACCCCAATTCGAGCCTCTGAAAAACGATTTGCTTCTCCGGACGGCAAGAGGTACAGGAAGCCTCTCTCACAGTGTTCAATGACACGTTTAATCAATTGAGTAGGAGAAAAGGTGGAACGCCCGCCCATTTGGGTGATGCGTCAAGGTCAGTACCATGCTGTCCTACGAAGTATATACGTCTAACGATAGTGAAGCCGGACGATATCTCCCGGAATACCACGAAGCCAAAGGAAGCCATGATTTCTTCGAATGCTGTCGCTCGCCCGAAATCGCCTCCACCCTAACACTCCAACCGATCGAACGATTTGAGGGGCTCATCGATGCCGCCATAATATTCTCCGACATTCTGGTGATACCGCAGGCGATGGGTATGGAAGTCATAATGGTGGATAAGAAGGGACCGCACTTTCCGGACCCGCTACAGACACCAGAGGACAAGCAATACCAGGAAATAATGGAGCGCAAGGTGGACGTCAAGGAATCACTGGATTATGTCTATAATGCCATAACACTCACGAGGCAGAAACTGGCAGGGCGGGTACCTCTATTGGGCTTCTGCGGAGCTCCATGGACGCTATTGAGCTATATGGTGGAAGGCGGAGGAAGCAAGATGTTCATACAGGCAAAGACTTGGATCTTCAAGTACCCAGAAGAAAGCAAGGCCCTGCTTCAGAAGATTGCAGAACTTTGTGTGGAGTATCTAGCTTTGCAGGTGCAAGCTGGAGCACAGGCAAGCACACACCTTCCTAGAGATGCTGGCCTCGATGCTAATCGGAATAGATGATCCAAGTCTTCGACTCGTGGGCCGGCGAGCTCTCTCCTTCCTCCTTCAAGACTTTCGCGCTCCCATATCTGAAACACATCGCCGACAACTTACCAAACCGGCTACAAGAGCTCGGACTTGAGCGGGTACCGATGACCGTGTTTGCCAAGGGGGCGTGGTACGCACTGGGGGATTTGTGCGAGTCCAACTACGACGTTGTCGGCTTGGACTGGCTCCACGATCCCGCTGAGGCGTACAAGATCGCGCGCTCTAAGGGGAAGACGGTCCAAGGTAACGCGGATCCTGGTGTGTTGTACGGCGACAAGGAAGCCATCACGGCTGTTGTCAAGGAGATGGTCGCTGGCTTCGGCGGAGGCAAACAGGGGTGGATTGCTAATCTCGGTCATGGTATGCATTCTTTTTATATGCTTCCTTGCCATGCTGACCGCGTCCAGGCATAACACCATTTGCAAAGCCCGACGATCTAAAATTCTTCTTCGAAGAGATCCACAAATATACAACATAGTGTACAATACTAATTCGGACATTGCATGCTACCGATTCCCTCGGATCACTTGCCTTCTTCGCCGATATCCTCATTCCTGGCAAGCAGTCAGTATCAGGGCACTCTAACGGCAATACAGGTATGACCGACCAGTCTCCAGGCTTCTCCTGAATGAAATTCTTCATCAGCTCTTGGCAGTCTTTATTCTGCAGCACTACAACCTCGATGCCTTTCTGCTTCAGATAATCCTCGCCTCCAACAAAGGTTTTATTCTCGCCTAACATCATCAACACGGCAACAAAGAGAAGGCTGGGAGGATCATACCAATCACCACTCGCTTGATCTTGTACATGATACAAGCGCCCGTGCACATGTCACATGGTGAGAGAGTTGTATACATTGTAGCGCCGCGGTACGAAGCAGCCGACAGCCGTCCGGCATTTTCCAGAGCGGAAATTTCAGCCTGGGAACCAAATACGGTCAGGAAGGCACGCAATGCGGTCGCAGCTAGGCAGCCAGCCTCTTTGATTACCGACATACATACATGAAGTGTGGCACTGCTCTTCTGGATGCGCATATTGTGGCCACGCCCCAGCACCTTGCCATCCGCAGCCACCAGCGCAGCGCCGATGGGCACGCCGCCCTCATCGCTGCCTTTTTGCGCTTCTTCCAAAGCAGCCTTGAAGCCGGTGTCTGTTTCCATGGCGAAGGGCGTAGAAGATTCCAGGTAGTGGGACTAATGGAGTGACTGTGGGCAGCGAGCAAACACGGGTCTCGAGATCATCATCGTGGATGCAGACCTCGCCAGGGTGTTGTGGAGCGTCTCCAGACGCACTCTGATTGGCGGAGGAGCCGATGCTAGTGCGGCTCGATGGCTCTTTCCTGGGACTGCGGAGAGCGAACGCGCCAGGCTTCTGAACTCCCTTTTGCCGCTGCCCGCATCACTGGAATCGAAGTATTTGCCTTTCACGCGCTTCCCCGAGCGTGTAGATAGTTTGCGCAGGCGTTGGGCGCTTTCACGGCGCGCAAGGCGGCAGGATTGGGTGTGGAACTGCGTAGAACCGCACCGAATCTTGGCGCAGTCGGCGCATTTGCAACATCCCGGTTGACTACTTAAAATCCCAAAGCTTTCTCGCCCGCGACCTCTAATACTTCCTGTCCCTTGCTTGCGCACATCTTCCCCGAGAAAAGCTTCTTTGAAAGAGTTTCGGAGCCTCGAAAAACGCATCGGCTACTCTTGGTAAGTGCCTCCGGGCGTCAGCCTGCTCCTTCCACGGCACGGTCGCCTCAACAGAAGGGGTTGGTGAACGCAAACACTGTCAGCTGGAGCCTCTCACTGACAATCCCCCAGCGCCTCAAAAGGTATTTCAAGACCGCGCCTCCAACGACCAGAGCTATATACCCCGACTCGATTTTCCGCAACCCCGCTAGCCCCTCCTCCCAACCGACTCCTTCGCCGTCGCAAACATGGTCAAAGACACAAAGTTTTACGACATCCTGGGGGTATGTACAGTCGCATCGGGCAGATTAGCAAGGCCTCACACTGACCGCACTAGGTGCCGCCTGACGCATCCGACTCGCAGCTGAAGTCGGCCTACAAGAAGGGCGCCCTCAAATACCACCCAGGTACGCTTCAGCCTCGCACATCAGACAATGAGCCCCCAATTCTGACTCCCGACAGACAAGAACGCGCACAACCCAGAAGCTGCAGACAAGTTCAAAGAGCTCTCCCACGCATACGAAGTTCTCTCGGACCGCGATAAGCGAACAATATACGACCAGTATGGCGAGGAAGGCCTTGAACAAGGCGGAATGGGCGGCGGCGGCATGGCTGCCGAGGACCTATTCGCACAATTCTTCGGAGGCGGCGGCGGTCCGTTCGGCGGCATGTTCGGGGGCGGTGGTATGAGGGACACTGGCCCAAAGAAGGCCCGCACAATCTCCCACGTCCACAAGGTCTCCCTCGAGGACATCTACCGCGGCAAGGTCTCGAAGCTGGCTCTGCAGAAGTCAGTCATCTGCCCGAAGTGCGATGGCCGCGGTGGCAAAGAGGGCGCAGTCAAGAAGTGCGCTGGCTGCGACGGCCGTGGTATGAAGCATATGATGAGGCAGATGGGCCCCATGATCCAGCGCTTTCAGACTGTCTGCCCCGACTGCCAGGGTGAGGGCGAGATCATTCGCGACCGTGACCGATGCAAGCAGTGCAATGGCAAGAAGACCATCATCGAGCGGAAGGTCCTCCATGTGCACGTCGATCGCGGTGTCAGGTCCGGCCACAGGATCGAGTTCCGCGGCGAGGGCGACCAGCTCCCTGGTGTCGAGCCCGGAGACGTCGTCTTCGAGATCGAACAGAAGCCGCATCCACGTTTCCAGCGGAAAGACGACGACCTGTTCTACCATGCCGAAATCGACCTCCTCACTGCTCTTGCGGGCGGCCAGATTCACATTGAGCATCTTGACGACAGGTGGTTAACTGTCGATGTCATCCCCGGGGAGTGCATCAGTCCAGGTACGTATCTGTATACTTCTCCGCGAAAATTGTCCGCTAATAAAACCAGGTGAGGTCAAGGTAATCCGCGGACAGGGTATGCCTTCGTACCGACACCACGACTTCGGCAACCTCTACATCCAATTCGATGTCAAGTTCCCCGACCAACTCAACGGACCGGACGGCGGCCCAATGACCCCCGAGCAAATCAAAGCTCTCGAATCTGTTCTGCCTCCACGAGCCATTCCAGCGGCCATGCCTCCGCCAGACGCCATGGTGGAAGACTTCACCCTCGATAGCGTCGACCCGACTCGGGAGCATGCTCGCGCGCGTGGCATGGCAAACATGGAGGATGAGGATGATGAGATGCACCCAGGTGCTGAGCGTGTGCAGTGCGCATCTCAGTAAATGGGTAGCTTATCCATAGGGTAGACGAAATGACGGAACGACACGACCTGGGATGGATGAGGACACGAGGAATGGTAGAGCATAAAGGGAAGCGGGGCATCGCCGCGCCGAGTAAAGGTGGGCATCTTGCATTGAAGGTGTTCAGGCAGTCGGCAACTACCCTTGCAGACGTGTCTGGGGAATGAGTTTTCTTGCATGGTTTCATTTCTCTCGGGTCTTCCTTTCCGAGTTCATAGACTGGTGGGATGGTGGGCATGCACATCTTTTCCACCTTTTCTCTTTCCCTTTCATCGCGCTCCGGGCTTCGAGCATTATTATCCTCTCGGGATTCTTTCGACTGCTCAAGAGGCGTTTCGAGGTGGATTTTAGCATGCGATGCTCATCGGTGATGGGTCGGGCGGGTAGAAGCAAAATGGAGTCGGTAATTCCAAGTTCCCGTTCCTGCTTGGTGCTGAGTTACTTGACACGTGATGCAGGGTTCTGGACGTCTATATAATGCCACCTTTTCCTCGTCTGCTCTTGGACTCCACACACTTCTTGGATCTCTACTAAAGACGCAACAATTGGCAATTCATGGCTCTAAAAATTTCCTGCAAGGAAATAATGCGCGGCGGGGACGAGGACTCTAAAATACATGCACCCTCTCGAAGAATGGTCCGCTGGGGAAACCTGCCTCAGCGCCGAATGTGTGCGACTTTGTATTACGGGGCTTCCGCACATAATTCTTTCTCTATTCGCATTGTGCTCGCGCTTGCTTGACGCCCCTTCCATGCATGGAGTCTGATTTTTGGGGCTTTCTGATTCCTGCGGATGCGCATCGTCATCACCGACCAGCTTAAGGTGCAGTGACGCGTTTTGGGAGAGAAGGGAGGCGGTTATTCACATGTGCTTGTATGTGTCTTTTGCGTGCTCGGCTAGTGTGAGTGTGGGATGGGATGGGTGGGTGAGGGTGTAAAAATCTCCCTCTGCTTCTTTCGCGTTTCTCGTTCTTTCTTCTCTTCACGCACATCTCTTAAATATGCCGAGGTGGTTTGGATGGTTGTAAAAGGTACGACCAGTACAGCGATGGAGTGGGGGGAGAGGGAGGGGGACTAAAAATAGACGATCTCAAAGCTATGGGGTGGAGAGGACTTGGACCCGTGGGGTGGGATGCATATGGAACTGGCGTTCTGCGGATATAGTACGGGTATGGTGTGCCGAGCTATGAGGCTGGTATGCATCACCAACGCTAGATGGATGTGATGGATTCCACTGTGGACGCGAACTTCCTTCATTTCGTCTTCGGAATCACACCCTGAAGGTCTGTCTCCAGGTTGCTTTTTCAGTACACCGCACACGCATGTAGGCTTCGTTATTCATCATCGCATCGTATCGTATCGAGCAGCTAAAGAGTTCGGATGACGAGTGCAGATATAAACCCCGCTCTTCTCCCTCAATGCTTCGTCCTCTTCACAGCACCCCACTCCGAGTCTTTTTCAGTCTAAAAAATTGGAAGAGGTGGATAAATGAAGACCAAAACCCAGATGATGGATTTCAATGTGGGCGCGTGGACTGGGGACTAGAACGTCGATCAGTACTGCGCTATGGTGTGCCTGCCTGGTTGGGAGTATGTGCGAGGGATTGATGTGATGGAGTGGGAGCGTGGCGGACCGGGTGGGTGGGACGGGAGCGAGAAATAGGTGAAAGGTGGGTGAGAGCGAGAGTGGAAGGGGATGGTGGTAAGCACCATCGGATTCCGAACATGGCCAGAATTAAGGGGGTGAAGGAGGGACTGGCACTGCAATCCCCCCTCCGTTGGACTACTCTCCCTTAGGCATGGGTAATTAAATCCGGTTCTTCCTCTCCTTTTCCTGACCTCCACACCTCGCCCGTCGCAGTACTAAAAATAACACGCCAAAAGTTTCATGTGGACTAAAGAATGCAATGGCACCATGTAGCCCTGGTGCTTGTCCAAATGCCAAACAAACCAGTCTCATGTGGTGGGAGGAGATTGGTGATGAGATTTAGAAGGGAGCAGTGAGTTGCGTCAGGTTCAGCGGGGAGTAGGAATTGTTCATGGTGGATATCATCACTGCCTTGCTTCATTCTAGAAAGTATAGAAATCGTGGAGTGGTCTTTCACGACGAGCTCTCGTGCGGTTGTGTTTCTCTAGCGTCTATATCAACCTCTTCTCTTAGATGCTTGGTTCTTCACACTGCGCTCTTGGCGGTACTAAAAAGCTAAGGCAAGCGGCTGCATGTGGACTAAAACTTGGAGCATTGCCTCGCTATGTGGCGGGTGTGTGTGTAGAAATAAAATGAGCAAGCTTGGTCGTTCATGAGTGGAGAACGTGCTTTGGCAAGGATGTAGTTCAAGCGCAAGCGCCGAAGGAAGAGATGGGAGGTGTTCAATGCCACGGATGAAGGACGGCTGAGGGATGATAGCGAGCACTACCCCTTTTCTGCCACTATTTGGCCACAAAGGCGGACTCTGATACTCTAGCCTGAAGTGCTTTAGCTCACTTTGCGTATATAAACTCCTCCCCGGTCCCCTCTCCTTCTTCTTCACGCTGCAGCACTCGCTTCTTACTAAAAGTGCAAGCTCGGCCGACCCATGGGGACTAAAAACACCATACGTATATCCCCATGTTCTGGGCTTGTGCTGGGAACCCCACTCCGAGAGAGATACCTAAAGTGGGCGGGGAGGATCGCTGAAAATTTTTAGCAGGCATGGTGTTGGCCAGTCTGTAGGAGAGAAGTACAAAGAGGAATATTCCGCAGCATGAAGGTGAGGTGCAAGTTCATGATAGTGCAGCGCATCATCGCGCGACCACTGGGTAGTTAGGGTGTTCAGCCGACGAAATTACATGCCCGAAGCAAGTCAGCTTATTCTACGTGATGCACAGGTATATAAATTCCTCTCGTCGTCTCTTCGATTCTTGTTCTTCACACTGCGGCATTTGATTGTCTCTAAAACCGCTATACAATACGGGGCATGTGGCCTAAACCTTGATGACATTTTCCCTATGGGTGTGGTTTGCTGGGGACTAAAAAACGGGTGAACAGCAAAAGTATGCTTGTGCATGTGCTTGTTGGCTGCTCCGAGGGGTCAGAATCACGAAAGCACCGGACGGGTCAGTGATAGGAAGAAGGGGGAAAGGACGCAATTATAGCACACCGTGCTGGATGGAGATCGAATGGCTATGACGAGTGACAGTATAGTCATTACCTTTAATACGCTCTCGACATTTCCTACTTTGAAAAAGGCTCGGCTCCGTTCCAAAGCCATATAAATGCCTCAACACCTGCTTCGTCTACGTTCTCCATACTCTGGTCTGGGGCACTAAAACACTAGAAATAAAGAAAAAATGGGAATCAAAAGCATGATCTGCAATGATTCATGTGCAGAAGCCCGTTCTGGGGATTAAAGCAGCTCTTCACCCCACCATATGTGCTTCCTGTGCCGCTGTGTGTCAGGACTTCAAATGGCGATGAATATAACAAGGGGGCAGATTCATAGAAATAATCGGTAGACCGCGGGCATGGAATGGAGTTATGATGATGAGCTGTACCGCATTGCAGCCGCGGTGGTTTAGAGATGGGACGGTTGAAAGAGCACTGGGCCCTCGAGAGTATAAGTACGCTCTTCTCCCGTCGCTTCCTTCTTCTTTACACTGTGCGGAGTGGCCTTCTGTAAAACAAGAGAAGCCACATGGACATGAGCTGGGTCGTCCACCAATAACTCCAATGAGAGCCTCGCACTGGGGTGGATCAAAATATACCGATCAACCACGTCATGGAAAACCCGTTCGTCTGTGCTGTTTAAAATGTTGAGAACACGAGGGAAGCAAGAATGAAAACCAGTCGCGATGCGCTCTACCACTCCCTCGATGTCAGTATTGGTCATGATTTGCGGCACTGGAGAACCCGCGGTATGCTAAGTTAGCCTAGTGCAGTGTTGTATCCACCTTTGGAGTTTGCCTTGCCCCAATCATCTACTGCGCGTAAAATACCGCCATACAATGTCACAGGCGCAGAGGCTCTCCGATTAGGGTCGTGCTGCCGGATAGGACTTTCCGTCTTGGGAGGGATAGCGCCACTTGCACGTCGTACACGAGCGACCGTGTACCGCGAGGGTGGCGGACGCCGGTCCTGGTGCGTCGTTGGGTATTGGGGTGCTGCAGGTTAGATCAGATGCCTCGTTTGAGCGAGTTTCTTACTGGTGATTTTCGAGATATGCTGGGCGAACAAAATACGGCTACGGTGAAGAAGAAGCGGAATGTTTTTGAGAAGGAATGCAGGACGGAAAAGCCGAGGGTAGCGGTAAGGAATGGAAAGTTGGTAGCGGTGTACGACCGATTGGCCCCGTTGTCATCCGACACATCGTATGATGGCGCTGTTGCAGGTGTCCTGGTACCACATAGGACGGAATGCATGGCTTCAGATGAGTGTGGTGCAAATGAGGACAGCAGCTTTACTTGGGGCTAGGGTCGCTGGGCGTCATCAGAGGCAGGCGCATTTAAGAAGGTCTTCGCCCTGAATCCAGCTCTAAAACCCTTCTCAAATCCAATATGGTATCCGCTAAATCCCTCGGGTTTATGGATCTGGTCAAAGAATGGATGCACACATGCGGCAAGCTCCACAGCGACACGTGCGTACCGACGCCAATTCCTATGCGGCCGCCGAACGAAGTGCCGACATGGGTCATCGACACTGAACAACATTGTATTGTTCCGGGAACGTCAGCGGATCGCTATCTTGCACTCAGCTATGTGTGGCCGGAAAACCAGAGTCCTTCAAGCGCTTCCCGTCAGGTTCTGCATCTGGATGAGGAGCGTTTGACCAGTTTTCAGAAGCCAGGGTTTCTGGAGAGCGAGGAAACACTTCCGGGGATACCAGACGTCATCAAATACGCCATGAAACTCACCCTTCGTATGGGTGAGAGATTCCTATGGGTCGATCGACTTTGTGTTGCACAGAACGACGGAAGCACTCGAGACGAGGTCATGCGCATGGATAAGATATATGCCGGAGCATACCTCACGCTTATCGCAGCGGCACCGGAGTGCATGTACTCCGAGTATCTGGAGTCCGGGTGGCCGCACGTCAACTTCTCCCAATTGGGGAATGTGTTTTCCTCATTTCCATTTCTGCCTCGCTGGTCTCCGGAAGACGATTCCGTGAATCGGTATTATCTTTCTCCCTCCAAGCTGCGCTTAGAGATGGCCCGAGATGTCTATGGAGCGCTTGCGGACTCTAAATGGGCTACAAGAGGATGGACTTATCAAGAGCAGATCCTATGCCGAAGGGCAGTCATTCTCATGCAAAAGGGATTCTTCTGGGATTGCCAATGCAGCCTGTGGCATGACATCCCCGGTCAAGAGAACATAATTTCCCCACCAAGAGAATTTTCCAGACCATTTGACACTAGATGGTGGCCGGACTTTGGGTTCTACATCGATCTTGTGTGCTCTTTCAACGGGAGAGAGTTCACATACCCCCAGGATGCACTTGCAGGATTTTCTGGGATTCTCCACGCACTAGCCCCGGTTTTCCCAGGAGGCTTCGTATCTGGTCTACCACGGCTGTTTCTTGACCATGCCCTCTTGTGGCAGCCTTTCGGTAAAGCAAGCCGAAGGTTTAATCGACTCAAACACGAAGAGCCCGAATACCAGATGACCTCAAGCCTTCCATCCTGGTCATGGTGCGGATGGCAGTGTTTCGTGGACCCGTGGAGTTTGCTATCTGGCCTGGCGTACATTGACAACGAAGAGTCAAATCTGCGATCGGGTAGCTGGCGTACACGAAGCCTCGTAGAATGGCGAATCCTGAACTCGGAACCTGAGAAGCAGGAAGGGGAGCAGAAGGTGTGTGTTATTGACAAATTCGCCACGTTAATTCACACCTCGGATGATCAAAAAACTTCTGGTTGGAGGCGTCACGGTTCCAATGCGCAATCACCGTCAGATAAAGCGGTATACTACACCCACGAGAAAGACGAAAGTGCTCGCTTCAGAAACCCCTTCCCTCTCAGCCCAGTTACCACTGGATTGAACCCTATTGCGGCTTCGTCGTATTTGTCATGCTCAACGTCTACAGCTACATTTCTCTCTGCAACTGTTCTAGAAGCAACTGGAAAAGATCGCCTGTTGGCTGCAAGCAAAATATCTGCCTTTCAGCACCCGATCTTCGAAGAAGGACCCGACTTAGAGGACTCCTGCCCTGTCCTCGCCCTACAACAATCGGACGGCACTTTCGCAGGCTTGATGCGGCTAATGGACGGTGCTGAGATTGTACAAGCGGCTCCTATTCAGCTGTGTGCAATCTCTATGGGAAGTGCAAACAGAAACGACATGGTCGAGTCATTCGAATGGAAGATATTCGAGCGAAGATATGTGAAGTACCGCCGTGATCTAGACACAATACTTTACGAGCCGAAAAGAAAGAGTCCGAACGGGAACATAGCTTTGGCGTTTGATATCGCAATGGCTTTCAGCAGCACAGTAGCGACCGATGTAATGGCCTTGGGAGATTGTTCAAAAGAAGACAAGGTGCAATGTACTTGCGAGGAGACGTATGAAGCAAGAAAAGCGGAAGGAGGCGATAATCAGGTTTCCAGAGACGAGTGTTCAATTTGCTCACGTTGGGCGCACTTTTTTCCTTTGGGAGATCATGGTAGGCTGCTGAAAGAACGTTGCGAGCGAAGATATGGTTCTTCTGGTGCACCTGACACGGGAATCTGCGATTTCTACAACGTGCTTTGGATTGAGTACCAGAATGGCATCGCGTACAGACGCGCATGTGGGTGGGTTCCGAAGCATATATGGGAAGCCAATGCCTCCGGGCCAGTGGAGATCAAGCTGGGCTGAGATAGCGGCTCAGGCAAACGACTAGCTCCACATCCATTCTCCTTCATTTTTGATGACACATATCGTGCGTAAGACCGTTTCAAAGAGGGTATAACTGCAAGCTGCTCGCAGGATCAATTTCTATCAATAAAGATGTATGAATGGACTTGATAAAGCACCATATGCTATGACAAAGAAGGGCAGTTACAAAGTAAAGACAACTGAAAGTACAAAACGCCAACAATTAAAACAATGCCCTAGCAACGTTCTTGAATTATAAGCTTAAGTCGTGGCATTACTGTAATAACAAGTTTCTCGAGGCTCTTTAAGGAGGAATATTCGAGTGAGCCGCAGATGAAGATAGGGCGTTTGGGATAACACCTTCCCGAGGATACCCTACTTGTCCCAGCAGACGACACATTTCCGGACATTTCCGGCGGAGAGTGCTTCAGCTACCCCTACTCCGACTTCACACTTCAACAATACTTTATTGGTATCCTTCAGAACCGCCTAAATACGAGCTAGTACGTCCATCGAGTTAATGGAGTGCTATTCTGTCTAATGCTGTCTCCGCTTCGCGACGTAGGATGTACTGTGATGACGACCACCACACCGTTAACCGTGCATTTTTGCGTTCACGCACTGCGATGGAACAATAAAGATCGGTATCCATATGTCACGTCGACTCCATGGCGCATTCATCTTAGAAAGCGCGTCATCTTGTTCCAGACACCGATCTTTGTTTTGAGGCCTAACTTCATGTCCACGCGCTGCTTCCCAAACCATAGCCCGAATCCCTTCACTCTTCCATTGTGGCTTCCACCCATTGGGCTAAGTCACTTCACGAGTAGGACTACCCTTCTCCCCAACAGTCCATTTCATGTCACATCCCCACTCCTTTTCCCTTTCTCCGCATATGTGCGTTTCTTTCCGTCTTTTAGTTCCGCCATGATTCCGACGACTCTCCTTCTCTTGAACTCTCAACGGGGGGTATTTACTCCATTTATATCTTCCCGTTTCGCGTCGCATCGTGGAACTAAGACTTTTCACGGGTATCTAGCCAAAATCCGCTTCCAACTCCACGCCACATGGCGAGCGAAGCGCCGGCTTTAAGTTCCAGGCATCGCTCTTTTCTTCCTCCATTTTAGACACGTTTTCCGAGCGATGTGGAGTGAAGAGTGCTCTACGGCTCGTTGGGGGACATGGACCGCAGTTCTGAGCATTCAAACTCGCGCGTTCCGCACCGCACCTTCCTTCCTCCATCGGAGCGAAAAGATGCCAATTTAATTCCAAGCGACGAGAAACGTTCATGATTTGTTTCCAACCGGGCAAGCAGCCCGGGCCAGCGCATACGGCCTACTGACTTGAGATTTCGATCCGCGTAGCAAGCCTGCTGGGTGGTTTTGGAAGAAGAAAATTGCCTCTCGGAGACACCATTGGTGGCGTTCTTGGTAAGTTTTAGACCTTTAAAACCTGACATGCGAAGCAAGGAAAAGGAGAAGTCTGAAGTTAAGCGTAGGACGGAGTTCACATTTAAATATTCTTCCCTCGCACGGCTTTGTTCTCGTTCATAAGGTGGCGGCCGTGCTCTTTTTCGAAGCCGTGTGGTCCGCTTGGTCTCCGACATAGCGGCTCCGTGCTCAGGATTTTCGTCCACGATCTCCGGCGGAGGACACATCAACGAGAAGGCTTGGAGATTTAGACGACATACCACGACGGCATAATGCATTTTAGTCGGGCTGAGGATCCGAGTGTGAAGAAGAGAAGACGGAGTTGAAGTAAAAGCGTGTATTATATACCCTTCTTTCCGCTTCTCGCCGCCCCGTGAGGAGGAGCTTCGGGTTCTTTGAGCGGGAGACTTTTCCATGATATAACCTGCATCATGGTCCTTTCTCACCATACGCTGCTCTTTGTGCCATTTCTCACCACAAACACCGATAATCCACCCATTTTCTTTTCTCCCCCATACTACCCTCGACTTTCCTTTTCCACGCCTCCTCTCCTAACAGGAACTGGGGCCGCACATCCCCTAATCGAGCCCGAACCCCATCCCAGCCTCTCTCTCCCCCCCCAGCCATTCGAGTCTCTGACACACACTTTCGCTTCTCTCCTCTCTTCCCACGTCATGCCATTTTGTCGAACATACTATAGTAACAACCCGTCTTTTAAACGCCTAGGCGAGCAATAGCAAGAGTCGAGTTGAGCCGGGCAAAAGAGAGCCAGGAGTGCTCCAGCGCATTTTTGCAAACTCGTTTCTCCCTTCACTCAAGGGGCTGAAGACCTCCACGGACACTATTGTAAACACACGAGCTCGTGCTAGGGAAAAGGCAGCCCGAAGACCTTCAGCACATAATCCGTCCTCCATTGCACTTTAGTCGGTAGAGGTTCAAAGGCCTCCAGACCCCATAATACCCCATATTGTCCTTTTTCAACCACGGCCGGCCGGAGACCCAGACATGAAAGGTCCGCCCTGGTATTTTAGAAGCCAGGCCATGTCAACCAAGGCACGCGATTTTAGTCCACCCTCGCGAGTCGCAGTGTGAAGAAAAGGGAAAAGCCTCCCGCGGTCGCAACACTCAGATATATACTTCGCCACCACTGCCATCCCAACACATCATTCAGACGAGACCAAAACCAAAAGTCTATTCCCAAAAATCTCAAGTCTAAGATATCGTCCCTAACAATACGCACATGAACACCATGACTATCATCATTTCCCCCGGAGATGTCACTGATATGCGCCATAAGGTGCGCACTTGACATCATGCGCGCTAGACCCAAAACCGTAGGCACGCGTGATGCGTCCACCAAGGTACACCCCTTCGCGGAGCCCAAAAAAGCAAAAAAGTCCCCGGGTACAAATAACGTAAAATCTCCCACCCAACATTCTATCCCGACGCTCTCTTTTTGCTGCTTCAGAATCTCGCAACTGTTGCCTCCCTTTCGCTAAAGATATATACACACAGCCGCCTCTTCCATCTCCATCTCTACTCATTCATCACCTTTATACCCGTCCTTTCCGGACAAGCGATCCAGGCTCGATCGAATCGTATCCCTAGCTCTACGCGTCGTCCGCTAGACTACCTTCCGCCGTCTGCGAGCCGCTTCCTGGTCGACTGGTGAATGGCTCGCTTCCGAACCCCTCGAAGCTCTGGCCAGATGGACTGCGCTTAAGTTCGTCGCCCTCCTGCATCTGGACGTCCTGGTTCTGGTTGTAGATTGGTGGCGGTCCCATCGTTGACCGTGGCGCAGCTGGAGGAACACCGGCATTGCTGACCTGCTGTGCGAGACTCGGCTTTTCGGCGAGGTTGTTCAGCATCGCTCGGCTGGCGTCAAGCATCGAGACTGCGTAGTCGAGGAACTCGGCGCGCTTGCTGGAGACGGAGAGAGTCCATCGGTACTCCCGTAATCGCGTCTTGTAGAAGTCGGCCTCTTCTTGCGCGGGAGCCGTAGCCCATAATAGGGAGCCGAAGGTACCAATTAAGGTGAAGTTGATCTTGGAAGCGAAGTACCAGAAAGCCTGAAGGTGCTCGGGCTTTAGCCGATTCACAAAGTCCATGGCAGAGATGAGCCGCGTCTTCGCAGCGTTGCGGCACATAAAGAAGCCATAGGGATCATGGCTTGAAGCGTCAAGAGACTGGACAATCCGGCGATGAAGCGTGATTTCGGTCGCAAAGTATGCGAGGTGCAAGTACCCTGTATCCTGTGAGTTGAGTTCAATCCCCGAGTATTGCTGACGTACCTAGTGAGGAGAGCTTGCCCTTGGTATGCGCATTCATCTTGACCATCGGAGGCAGCTTCTCGTGCCAATGCCGCAGCTTGATCTGTACCGGCTTTGCGCGAGCTAGAATCAACTCGGTCGACTTCTTCCCCGCGTTCGCGAAATCCTGGATCGCAACCTGCGTATAAAACGTGTCCATCACCTCCGCCATGATCTGCGTCAGCCCAATCATCTGCGCGAACAGAATCTGGCCGCGCTCGTTCTCCTCTTTCTCTTCCTCGGCCTCATCCGGTCGCGTGTCGTAGCCATCGCCCTCTTCCTTGAAATCTTCGTCGTTGATGGGTTGTACCGCCCAGTTGGCGCTGAAGATGTGCGACGGCCGGCCGTGGATCAATGAACTCCACTTATCCTGCATGTACAAGGCCCACGCAATGCGCTTCCTTAAACCACGTTCCCACAGAGGGATCGACCACCCCGAGCAGTCGAGATGCAGACCGAGCTCTTGACCGATCGCTACCAACTGTGTCGTCAAACTCCAAGAGTCCGCTTCGGGCCGCTGTAGCAGAAGCAATCCTGCTTGTACTGTCGACAGCTTGGGCCTTTCCATTGCCCTGGACAGCGAGCTCATTGCAATCGCCTCTAGCCGAGCTGCATCGGGCTTGTGATGGGGAGCCAAGCGCGGGTCAAATGACCACCAGTTCAAGGCAAGAATATACATACCGGCCATGAGGGACGGCGAGAAGGTGCGGTCGCCATTCCGATATCGTTCAACGAAGAGGTGCTTCTGGATAATGGGGAAGCTTGGGTGCACTACACGGAAGTAGAGGTCAAGCAGGGCAGGACCATGCGGGTGGACGAGCTGCTCGACATGGTTGAGAGTGTCGGCCTCGTCGGCATAGTCTTGGGTGTTCTCATCAGGCAGCATGATGAAACATTCATGATCATTAACTCGTCGAAGGGTGCCAAGGTCGAAGGTAGATTCGTTGCGGGTATCAAAGTGGGACAAGCCAATGAGCAAAGAGTCAAATGGAGAACTTAGACCAATATATCTGCTATGCTGACGTCGTTGGAGGCCCAGGGTCTCGCCTAGATGAGGAATGTGGACGCCGGCCAATGGGAGCTGGGCAGGAGGTGGGCTTGGCGCGGTGGCAGTTATCGTGGGCGTCGGCAGCGCTAGTGGAGGCGGCTCTGCGTCAACCGATCTGCTAGCTTGGGTTAGCCGTGGTCTTGTGGCTGATAAGGACATGCGACAGAAGATATAATTGATAATTCGGCCTATTGCCGGATATGGAGCTCCGCAAGGTGACCCGGCGATGGGGTACCCTTCGGATAGGTGCTCGCACATGGCAGGAGCACCAAAGAGGAATAGCGGACGGGAGTACGAGAGCCCTACGGGAGGGTGTGACGTAGGCGAGAGTAGTTTAAACGTACCTCTTCTTCTGGTTGTTGGGCGAGTCCTTCTTCCCGTCGTCGACAACCTTCCTCTTCCGTGGCAGCGGGCTCTGCACAAAGGTGCACTCCTGCTTATGGAACTCGCAGAGCACGCAGAGGACGGCGCCCTCGTGGATTACGCAGCGGCTCTTTCTCCTCCGGCAGGCATCACAGGGCCTCTCCCTCCGTGTGCGGATGTTAGCGACTGGGCCGAGACTGGACGACACCGGCTTGCCAGAGACTACGTTCTCTTTCCCGGGCGAGGGCTTCTGCTGCTTCTTGGGACGGGCGGCGGCGATGGGGACGGGAGTCGGGCGTGGCATGGCAGGCTGTATAGCCACGGCGGTCGTCATATCGATATCGGTCGGGCTCGAACGAGCGGTCGCGATAAGGGTGCGTCACAGGCTCTGGGGTAGCATGCGCCGGTAAGCCGGGTCTGCGCTGCCTTGATAGTCCGCGGATAGGCCGCTCCTAGCTCCCGGACGACTGCTGGGGGTCGGCTTGGGTCGGTGTAGGCTGCGCTGCACCAGTCACACGACGCCGCTGTAGGGGAGGCTCCAGATTAGGATATGGGCCGGGCTTATCGCGTGGGTGATGCGTATATGGCCCACAGCACACAGATTGGAGCGCTGTAAAAGCAAAGAGGGCTTGGGTAGGTCCGTGGAGCGGTGTCGACGTGGACGCGTTATTAAGGGCCTAGATTGCCCGTTATGGCAGCGAGGAGAATGAGGTGGTGGATGCTGCGTGCCGTCATTGAAGGTTCGCGGACTCGGGGGTGGGCGGGCGCGGCGGCGGGGGAGGAGCGCTGGCCTGGACGGAAGCGGGCGGGGAGTCTACGGCGGTGTGCGGGGAGGGTTGAAGCGCATAGTCGGGTGGGAGAGCGGACGTCTGGCAGTGTGAATTGACGCTGAGATGTGAGCGAAGCGGGAGTCTTTTTGAGGGTTCACGCTCCAGCGCGGTTGAGGAACATGTGCCTGGGGCCCGTGCTCCCAAACCGTTTGTCATGAAATGGTCCCCAGAGGGGTTAGCGCCATGTACAAAATTCCCGAACCCATTTCCAGGGCGCTCATCCGGAGTACATGGCGATAAGCAGGCGCAGCGCCCAATGGCCGCCCGCCAAACCCCCACTAGCTGGTGGGTGCGCGTAAAAGTATTAGGGCATCTGGGCTGGGCGAGATAACGGTGAGTTGATCGCTATCGTTCTTGCATCGGCGTTAGGGCAATCCAGCCAAGCAGTGAGTTGCTGTTAGGTACGAAATTGCTTTCCGACATGGGACATGCACGTCACCAGCGCGGAGGCTCCCCGGCTATCAAGCCGTCAGTCGGTGTCGGGGCGTCTGCCCAGCTGCGCTCAGCGGCAGACGCAGCAGACGAGCAAGCAGAGTCGAACGATGCGACTAGCAGCCTCTTATCGCCAGCATCATCGCGTGTCAGGCCATTACTGCAGAATGCAGTACAGTCCACAGTCCTGTACAGCACCCAGACATGCGACATGCGACATGCGACGCCACGCCCATCTCGCCCATCTCATCTCATCTCACTCCACACGTGTCCCTCCAAGTCTCCACAGATCCACTCCGCTCCGCCCTGTCGTCTCACCGCCCGCCTCCGAACACCGGCACTGCAGTAGCACTGACATAATCCGCTTCTCGCCGACCGGGATTGGCGGAGATACTCGGGTGGATCTGATCTCGGTAGGCTTGCACGCCAGCCTAGCCCCGCGCCAGAATTAGAGTAGAGCGCCTACGTAACGCAACGCTCTAGCGTACTGTGTAACACTTAGTACATAACCCAGTTTTGAGGAGTGCGATAACGCGCCGAGTATCCCTCCGAGTCCATGCCGGGAAAGCTCAGCCTGGAGGCCTTCAGCGCGCGAAACCACGCACGAACGAGAAAGCTGTTGCCCTCAAACAACTCCTGCATTTTGCTAAGGTTGGTTGATTATTGCTGCGCGTGCGCACTCAAGGTGCGACACTGGCCCAGGTGTTGACGATCGGCATGTGCAAACCGCCCTCCTGGACCCTGAAATTCGGGCCGATCTTCCCTAGGACTGTCTGGGGAATAGGATATCACGTGCAGCATATATTTCCACCTACCAACTCAATAGCGCAAAATAGTACATCAATTCCTTCGATAGGGATACTAATGGAGCGAATACACATCCACCGAATTCGTCATCCGCGCCGGCACCGCCCCAACTAGACTACTGTGCAAAACCAACGCCCCAAACGCACTGCCTGGCACCCTCCTAAACAGCCTCTGCGAGTTCTTGGACAGAGGGCCCTCTTCGTCGCACCGTATATACAGCCTGTTCCGCGTTGACGCGTCAAGTCTTCTCCGATAGAACTTTGGGCTCGAAGCTACCGCATCGACTGGATGCGACGCCACGGGGAAACCAGCCTTATGCTGAGGCGGGAGCTGCTTCGGTGAGAGGAGCCCCTGGGGGCCGAAGCGTGGAGATGGGGAAGCCGAGTTCCCGTATGCGAGGTCTATCGTAGCAGCGCGCGTGAAGAAAGTGGTCGAGTCGCGGATTTCGCGGACGGCCTTGTCGGGCATCGTCTGCGTGGAGGCTTTGCGACGCAACTTTTTCTTTGGATGAGAAGCTGTCTGAGGCGTCTCCGAGAAATCCATAAAGTTCATCTTGGGAATGGACATTGGAGGTACGTCCTTGTCCTTCTTTTTGCCCTGCTTAGCAGCTGCAGCTCCTGGATCCGTATAAGCGCGGCGGACGGCTGCGGATGCTTCCAATGGCTCGAAGATAGCAGCTTTCTCCATCTTGCTCGACTTCAGCAGCAACGTCCAGCCGGCGAAGAGAGTTCCATCAAAGTTGGTCTTGTGGCTGTCTTGGAGGTGCTGCCGGAAGCGTTGGCCGGAGAAATACAGCCGCTGATTGCAGTTCCGGAAATTGTGCTGGGTGATGTGATCTTTTAGGACAGCGCCCTTCACCTTGCCATTGCCCCTTACGAGCGTTTCATTGCAGTAGCAGCAGACCGCTTCCAAATGTGCGCGCGAGCCTGCCGGGTAGATGGTATATTGCATGCCCGGGAGGAAACTGCAAGAGTACATCGTGCAGATTGGATGTAGCTTCTGCGCAACGGCGAGATTCTCGTAAGTGCGCTCGCAGTAGGCACACTTGTGAGGTAAATCACTGGGGTGGATTAGCAGGAATGTGTGCAATATTTGGCTACGTGACTTACGGGTGTTGATTAGCCTTTGAGGCTTGAGCAACTTCATGGCTTACTCTAGCGTTCCACCAGGACATCATGTCTAGACCCTCCATAAAATGTGCTGCGACATGCTCCGTACGCTCCTTGTACGTGGCAAAGGTGAGACCGCAAAAGCCACAGTGAAGCCCCTGGTGGCCTTGCTTCAGGGGCAATGGATGTCTCCATGCGTCTAGGAGCTCGGTCAAACGAAGGGGCTTTTGGCCAGGGCTGACTTTGTGCTCTGCGGATATGTGCTGTAAGAAGTGGTCTTGTCTGCTGAAGGTCCGCTCGGAAAGAGGCTTCGCTTGGCAAGATAGATAGTTGTGATCGGCGAGGTGCGAGGGGCTGGGGTTGCTTTTGGCGCAGAATGGACATCGATCGGGGAACTCTCCTGTACGTGGGCAGCACACCCACAGTTCCTCAGGCATGTGAATTGTCTGTTCGTGCCTCATCCACTCCAGACGGCTGTGGAATCGCTTTTGGCAGAAGGTGCAATAGAATCGCGCACGCCTGCTCGGCTTTCGGTCGACGCCCGCGGATTTCCTCTCCAACGCAGCTTGACGTGCCCTTTCATCCAGCGCCCCACTTGACCTGGTTCTCCTCGGGTTCCTGTTCTGCCCGCCTTCAACCAGGGTACCACTAGTGCTTGGGCGATCAGGTAGATCGTCTGTTGTGCTCGGTGCCATGCTCCCGCTGGACTTCGGCCTTACAATGCTCCTCGCATCGGCATTGTCGGTTCCAAGAATCCAAGCCAACTTTGGCTGCGCCACCATTCGTTCGTAGGCCATCTCGTCGGTGATCCTCGGCACTAGTAATTCCGCGTTCTCTCTTTCCTTTTCGTACAGGCGAATCCTTTCCTCCAGCAGCTTCGCCTTCTCTTGAATTCTCGCAATCTCCTCTTCTGCCTTGGCTTTATAGTTGAGCTTCTTGTCTGGGGAATATCCAGGCATAAGCTTTTCCATCTGCTCCGCCCAGGTCTTCTCCATGTCAACTGTCCCGCTTGTCGTGGGCCGCTCTGGCGACTGAGCTTTGTCGTTCTCAAACTCTAACCTCTCCGGCCGAGGCAATTCTGGCATTTCGGGCACCTCTGGGGGTATTTTGCTCCTTGGGAGGTGGTTGGTCTTAGAGACCGCACTATAAGATGTGCCCGTCGAGTCGGGAGCGCTTCCAGAGGTATAGAAAGTGCGTCGACCATCGGAATTTGCATCGTAGGAGCTCTCGCGAGAGTGTCGTCCGCTTGGTGCGGCAGTTATTCTGGGAATTCGACTTTGGGATGTTTGTCTCTTGATTGCCGCTTCAATTGCTGGAACTGAAGCCGCCTCTTCCTCCAATGGCGCACTCAGGTACCGCTCAATGGACATCCTGCTCGACGTGTGAGAGGCTGCAATCCGGGTGGCGCTGTCCACTCGGGTTGGGATAGCTGGCAATGGGCGAGTGGGTGCGCCTTGCTCGATGTCCGAAGAGTCATGTTTCTGGATGGGCAACGCCGTCACTGCTGACTTGGTTAGATTGCTCATGAGCTCTGTATGCAATGTTGTATACCTGAGCGTTGCTTCCGAAGACGGTGCGTATGAAACCAAGTCTTCATTTTTGGCGAGTTTCCGAGGGTAGTAAATGAATAGATGGCTGGGAGGACTACTTTGAGGGAATCAATCCAACTCTTATCATCTACTTCTGCCATGTTGGATTCGACCAGTATTTACATCCTGCTCTAGACCTGGTACCTTCAACAACTGCTGAGACAGATTTAGCCTGCTGCGGAAGAGTGTCAATATTCTGGTACCGAGCCAGTCTCCCCCATTCAGATGGGAGATACTATCCAGTCAGCGAAAAGGGAAGGACTGAATATCGATCATATTGATGCGCACGGATCGAAGTGTGTCTGAAACTCGTCATGCCTGGTTTGCGGTCAGTCTGGGGGAGTGCATGCAGGGGTAGATGCCAAGTCGCCGAGTGTCCGAAAGTAACAGCCGGGAGGGTATGAGCATCAAGGGTGTGGTAATCCGTCGATAGCATCGCAGATAGTCAGCGTGGTGATGCCATTGTGGAGCACCGTCTAGGTTCCCCCACTTAAACCAGGCTTTACCTTCAATGCGTCAGATAGAGCGTGTGGCGTTGACATCTCGAAAGACGGTCGTTTTGAGTAACAGTAAGCAGAAACAATGATCGCGCAATATGCCATGTGGTCACTATACTTGACAAGCGACGGCTCGCATCGAGGTTTCGCTTGAGGGGCAACCGATAGGAAAGCTAGGTGGAAGGAGCTCCCTTCCTCCGAGTTGGTACACCAGACAGCTGCCTGAGAGCCCAAAGAGTACCCGGGACCGTTGGGTGTCTCGAACTGGTGCACTGTTGATAGCGGGCGGAGTGTGGCCTCCGTTTAGGCCCTCGAGGGCTGTCTCGACGGCCGTTGAAGTGGCCAGGACAGGGGCGGGTGGCAACGTCTCCGGACCGTTGAGTCCGGGGTGTAGACGATGGAAGGGCTCAAGAAAACATCCAGAGTTTGGTAGATCAATTTATCCAGATGATGCCTTAAAGATATGTGATGCGGAAAAGAGCGAACCACAGAAGGAAGTAGATTTTGCGGGGAAGCGCTAAGCCCAATTTGGATGGACCGTGCTTCAGGTCGCCCTCCCGATTTCATGCGGCCCGGTCTTCTAGAAACCGACTTTGTTCCGTCGCCGAGACAGGCTACAAGAGAGCATGAATGTGGCCTTCGAGAAAACTGCAATCAGGGCTAAATCGTTGCTTTATGGGGAGATGGACGTGCGATCATGCTGTGGCTACGGCAGACGGCAGCTACCGAAGAGAATCCCGAAGTGGCGCCAGGCATGATTGATTTCGAAGCATGAGGATCAGCTTCAGCTGGGGCGTCTGGGTGGGCTGTCGTCATACGTGCTCCGAAGGGAAAGGTGAGAAGTGGGGTGAATCATCCAGATACTGTAACCTAAAAGCTCCTGACAGCGGACGGGAGGCGACAAAGTGACTGACTTTGCGTAGGTCACGATGAACACAACCTTGGAACACTGCGTGGCTAATGAAGGAAGGGTTAAGGACGGCGCTGAAGAAGGATCGCACGACCAGGTGTTCTATGCTTATTACTTCTGGTTGTGCAAACATCGCTGACAGAAGGAGAGTAGAGGAGACTTGTACACGACTAGACGCCATTCAATGCCTAGTTATTCCTCGCAGCTCTCTGGTCTGCGCATATTTACACAAAGTTGGCCAATCGTCGTCTGTCCAAGACAAATCCATTGCAAGCCCCAGATTGCGTCGTGTAGTCCGATCCCATATCGTTCATTCCGCCATGATCATGCCGTCGTTACAAAGTCGAACCTTGTTCGCTCAAAATAAACAAGAAAGGCGGAAGAATCGCCGCAAAGCCGACTTCGTGATCGCTGTGCCGTGGCACGCGGGACCGCACTCGATACGACTTGGAGGTGGGAAACCCTAAGGGGCAGGAGGAGATGGAGCTGCTTCAATGCATTGGTGGCTGGTAGTTGATCGGTCGCCTGTGCTCGCGTTAGATGGCTACCTGGCACGCAGTTTCCCACCTACTTGAACAGAAGGATATGAGGCTCCGGCTCGTGGACCTCGTAGTGTTCCCATCCCAGACTCTGTATACCCATCAGTATTCGGGCATGCCTTATTCCAGGGTGGCTGCCGTACCTGTGTAATGCCGAGCGCCCTCCACTCCTCCTCCCACAGCAACTTCAACGTTCCCCTAGATCCGTCGAAGTATTCTTTGGGTATCATCTTGAGCATCTGCTTGGGAAGCTGGACGTGGCGGTATTCGTATTGCTCGTCCGAGTATCTACAAGATGATCAGCATTGACGCGGCGAGGACCCTGAAAGTAAACAACGCACCTAGCCGAGTAGTGGATGGCGTCAACAAATTCGTCCAGCTTGTCTTTCTCGCCTTCCGTCAACGGGCGCGGCTTCTTGTTGCGGCGTGTGAAATCAATGTCCATGTCGGCAGCCATGGCGATCCTTGTGCACGTTGAGACAGCGGAGCTCGTGTGCTCGTACAGCGGGGTTCCGCGCGAAGTTGATAGTGGGGCAATCAAGTGGCAGGCAGCAGTTGTCGGTTAGCGACGCGTGCAGGTGTAGCCGACGAGAATGCAGCGGTCTAAGTATGCTCAAGCAGGGCCTTGCAAGGGTGCAGGCTGGCGAAACGAAGGGAGAGATAGTTTGTTGGTGTTCGAAAACAGGTACTGTTTACAGCGGTGAAAACGGGCAAGCTCGTGGCGCGATTGGCCCCGAGCTCGCGGCGCGCCGAGTAATTCCGGCGCTGACTAACCCGGTGCCGGACCGCTCCTTCCACGTCTCCATCGCCGGTCACCTTTCCAACGGATTGCCTCTGGGGTTGCCAAGAAGGTTGGAGCTACTGTGCCAGGCAGCAATACATGGAGGGGCGTAAGTAGCGGGGTCGACTGGTGAAAGCCGCAGTGAGATGAAGCGCATTTCACTTAGAGTGGGATACCAGGCCAAGGAGGAAGTCGCAACCTGGCTCAGCCAATCGATGACGTGGTTGGCCCAACCTCAACACCAGCACCAACCCTACTGGCAGACTCTCTAACCCCCAGCCTGAAGCCTTCAACTCCCTCAACCAAGTTTATTCGCGAACGCAAACCCACCTGAAGGAACCCAAGCCAATGGGTGAATGCGCCGACGGTCGCACCGGGCTCATCTATTTAACGCACATTCTGAACGTTAGGCCATCACCTTCTCCGCCTTATTACATATTCTGCTGCTTTGCCCACGATGCTGAAATTCGAGCCATTGATTCCTCCGAGCCATCGAGAGCGAGCGATAACGCTATCTCGCGATACGTATGAATCTTGCAGCTTACTCTCATTCCTATGGAAGAATGCATGCGGTCAATCCTTCCTGAAAGGGCCGCATAGCTAATGGGGCAAACCAAGTTCTCGAGAGCAAGGAATCGGACTGCGCTGTGGAAGGAGCGTGTACTTGAGAAGACTTGTATTAATTGAAGCAGCTAGGTAGCTATATGACCCTGCATTTCCATCAACGTCACCCGACTTGATCATATCCCAGAAGAATCGACATTGACTTTCAGACAGTGTACCACCTTTACATCACCTTAACTCGCACCCAGCCAGCCTTCAGCATTAAATATATCTGCAGGCCGCCCGCCGTTAAACAACTACCCGAATAGGCAGAACAGAGCGCTAACCCCGATCATCAGCACCGTGGAGAAGAAGTTGACGCTGATATCCCGGATGCCGGTACCAGTATGGGATCCAGTATGAGATGGGCTTTCGGTTGGGTGGGGGTTTGTCGGGGCCAACACCGTTCCATTCGTCATTGTCCCGTTCGTAATCGTCGCCGTCACCGTCGCGGTGGATGTGGACGTCATCGTCGTCGTCGCAGTGGCCGTCTCAATAGGATCCACGCTCGTAGAAGTCGCTGAACTCGCGGTCGAGGTGATGGTATCCGCCAGCCCATCGCCAGAGGCCGCATTCGTCGTTACTTCCTCCTTCGCCTTCACCTGTGGATACAGCTCAGGTAGCAGACTCTTGACATCATTGGGGAGTTGCTTGTACCAGTCTGGAGCGTTGGCGTCTGTGTAGGCCATCGGAACGGCAGTGATAAGGGGACGAGCGTCCGGAGGAACGGCGGTCGCGAGGACCGAGAGCACGGAGTATCGCGTTGGGTCGGAGGCAGCGTCCACTTTTCGCTTGAGCATTTCAGCCTCCCGATTGAGTTCCTCGAGGGCCTGGACTATGTTTGAACCCACGGCGCCGACAGCGAGGGCAGACGTGGCGAGGAGAGGGAGAAGCTTCATGTCGGGGAGTTGTTTGCTTGTCTCCTGTTCAGAGTCCAAGTAGTTGCGAGTGTGCGGCCGATCGCAGTCAGGGTCGCATATGGCTTTTAAAAGTGGCTGTCAGACGGGAGCGTGACAAGAAGAGGAGGATGAGTAGGCTGCGCGGGGCGAGGGTGAGGTTGAAGCCCAAGAGTCGAGGTAAAGGTGAGCGGTTATCAAGGGTCTAATTTCCCTTCCCGTGCTCGAGCGGTGAAACCACGCACAGTGTCCGCGTTGGCCCTGCAACAAAATGTTTGCCTCCCAGTGCGACATTGCAACTTCACGGGAGCGTTGCCATAGGCTACCCGTCTCAAAGCAATTAAACGGCCGCCCAACAGTCGCCGCCTAACTTTCACGTTGGCGGACGAGCTACAATGGTGCAACGCCAACGACGATTCACCAGCGACCGAAGAAAAAGACCCTCCACATCACCAAGACCGTATGTTACCCAAACCGGAAAGATAAGAAGGAAGAAGGAACAGCTTCACAGGCCAGAGTTCATCCCACGTTTTTATACGCACTCCCCTGCATCTCCGGCACGTTCGCAGTCGTGCTCATTTCCGCATATTCCGGCCCATAGCCTTGCTGGTACATTCCCTGAGCTGGCCAGCTCTGAAAGTTGGACGGCGGCGGGGGATTCTTCCTGACATACTCATCGTAGACAGCATTCGGTGCGGTCTGAGTATTTCGTTTTCCCCTCCGCATCCCGATAATGAACGCTCCAATCCCGGCGGCGGCAATCAAGGCGACGGACGGTATGCCAACGCCGATTCCGACTTTAGCTCCCGTCGACAGAGCGCCGTTGGATCCAGCGGTAGCCGGTGACTGACTGGATGAGGCGGTGGGCTGTACTGTAGCGGTCGAGAGCGTGGTGCTGGTGCTGTCGTAGCCAACGCCAACTGAGACCCATGTAGGTGAATTAGTCGCGGTGACTTGGGATGTCGACGGCATTGTCGAACTTGAAGTGATTGGAGCGCTCGTACGTGCGGGTGATGAGTTTGGATCGTCGGAAGCAGTCATCTCCGCTGTCATCGTAGCCGGATACAATTGGGGTAGAAGCGTCTTGACATCCGAAGGTAGATCCTGATACCACTGCGGCGTGTTTCCTGCAGAGAGCAACGAAGCGAGCTCTGCAGAAAAGGAGGCTGAGTTCGTCAGAGCCAGTTGGAGTGACTCCGGAGGAATGGCTGTCATTAGCACTGATGCCACTGACGCCTGGACATCGCTATTAAGCTGTGCCGATGCAGCCGCCGTGCATGCAAGTATAATCGCTTGCAACAAGCTCTTCATGATTGATGAAAGGGTGTATAGGGAATTGAAGCAGAAAGGAGAACTGAGAAGAAAGTAAGGGCATGTATGGGCTTTAATTTCAAGGCAAGAACTTGAAGGATCGTGTGATGTGTCCGCTCACTTGTGTACTTTTCCTTCAGCCTTGCGCTTCACGGGAACCTCGCAGAGGGCCAGAACAAGAGTGGCTTACTGAAAAGCCAATACGATGAGATTCTCAAGAAAACGCACGCTCGGGTGATAAAAAAAATTACGGTACTCGTCTTCTCAGCATATTCATCCTCCATCAAGCTCTCGCAAGCTCATCCTCGATCGATCGACCAGGCGCCCGGCTGTATAACCTACGCATCCAACTCCCCCACCCACTCATACACCAACCTTGCATGCACAACCTCATCCCTATCCTTCCTACGCACCGCAAACCGCCTCGTCAACCACCTCTCGCCCTTCACATCGCTAAACCCCCAAAGCTGCAACCCCGTCCACTGCTTCCCATCATTATCCACAAAGCTCTCGACGACCTCGCCATCCAGCGTCTCCGGCAGCCACCCATCACACAAAAACTTCGCGTCCGTCTCTTCGACCCCCTTGCCCTCCTTTTCCTTGAGGATGGCCGCGATGCTGTTGTACCGCGAGCGGCCCTGCAGGTCGCCGAACAGCCAGTCCGAGTGCGGCCGGAACGTCCAGTCCAGGGCGCGCTTTTCCGTCGTGCCTTTTACACCGCCTGTGGCGGACTGCTGGATTACAATGTGCGTGATGGGCGCGCCGGCGGGGTCTTCTTCGGGGGGCCCCGTGGTGGTGGAGAGGTGCTGCGTTATGGTGGCGAGATTGATGGCTTTGCGGGTGAGCCAGCCGACGCCTTGGAGGGCGAGGATCGGGTCGGTGGAGTCGGAGATGGACTTATTCTGCGCTGTGGTCAGATTCATCTGGGATATGTGCTGACGATACATGGGTTAGGATGGGAACTTACGATAAGCCATTTGCCGTCGAGATCCTTGATCGTTTTGTGCGCAGGGGCAGCCATGATTGCTCTCCCTTTCTTGCTTCCGCTTATCTCTTCGGAATAGCGCCGTTTGGAGGATCAAGAGTTTGTGAACGCTGGCGGGGAAGGACAGGTCGACGCGTAAAGTCTGAGGTCGAAGCAATGGATAGCGGGGTAGCTTTTCCTCTTCTTGCACTGTATGGAATCCTTCAAAACCAGAGAGGGGAGGAGCAGGCAGCTTTAAATAGCCAGACCCGTAGCACCTACCAGGGCCAGAAACGTGGAAGCTAATGCAGCACCAAGGTTGAGCTTCACATGGCGACTCCGCGTACCTGACAGTCGTGCCTAGGTACATCCCTTTTGGGATAGCTCTGTGACGCATGCCGCGGGGAATCCCTGTCCCGTTGAGGATCGGCTCGCATTACACGACCATCAACTTTCGGGACGCGAGGATTAGCATGTATAAAGTAGATGAGCCGAGGGATTGCATGTGCTTTCTAGGCGTCGATTGGGCGTTTGAAAGTCGGTTTTGCTCTTACCAGATGCTAGATTCGGTCAAGCGGGCGAACGGGTTCCCAGTCTCCTCTCGGTTCGGTCTCGTGTAGTTATCTAGTAGGAAGATGGAAGGTGGATAGTGCTGCCTCGCCATGTGAAATGCTCCGAAAGCAATGCCTGGCCAATCCGACTGGGATCATGTTTTGCAGAATGCCGCGTGTAGAGCCTTCGTGCCTAAGCTCCGCCACGCAGGTAAATCCGCGACTATTTCGTCCCGAAATCCGAACATATAGGATAAAGGCTAAGCTGCCCCAGACCATTTGCTTAGTGGTATCTTCTGCCTGCCTGCTTGACGTGAGCAGAGCTGCGAGCGATGATGCGGAATTGGCTCCTAGCCAATCAGATCAGGACTCGCTGACGTAACAGACCTCCTCACTGAGAGATAGCTCTTGAACATGACAAGGACGCCCTCCCATTCTGATTTGATTCCCAGTTGATATCTCGCGTCTCTTCGGACCGCCTTGTTTCGTCGAGGGCCGTTCGCATTCGAAGCTGGATACTGCCGCAGCCTTGGAGGGCAGCCACGGGCTGTGTTGAGCAAGGCTGACACAGCATAGCCTCACATCATGACATCTTCCTCGTTAGCTTTCTCATGCGCTCTCCTCCCGATGCCGCTTTGAATCGGACAGTCTGCTTTTCGCACTCCAAATAGGTATCTTGATTCCCCCTGAGGCTTGGGCACGGTGACAATGGCCGGGTGAGTTCATCACAAGTCCCTCATTGAGAACTTTCTTCTTACAACGACTAGCCCGAACGGCCACCCATCTGGTGGCATAGGAGAGTCTGTATTCGTCAAAGCACGGGACCAGTTCTTGACTTCCCTACTGCCAAACGAGAAGGCTCTGTTCGCCACCTGTGACTCGGCTGAGCAATTGATCAAAGACATACAATCTCTTCCGTCTGTCACGAAGAATTCCGCTCTCCGAAGGAGCGTCCGAAATCTTGATAGTTTTGGCAAGAACCTTTCACCATATTTTGATGCCATAGGTTGGATTGTGCAATCTCATCCCGAGTTTGCGGCCGTCGGATGGGGCGCTTTCAAACTTGTGTTGCAGGTAAGTATGCCTTGCTGGAGCTGATACATCTATCTCATCCTTTCTAGATTGCTAGCAATTACACCTCATTCTTTGAGAAGCTACTTCGAACCCTAAACCGGCTGGCCGCCGCATTCCCGCCGTATACGCGCCTCGCGAAATATCACCACGACGAGGCTCCCGCGGAACACATGTCCGCCGGAATTTACCACGGCATTTCGCATCTTTACGATGCCCTATTCCGTTTCCTGCATCAAGTTCTGCGTGTCTTCCGAAGAAAGGATGGCAGTATGTGTCCGGTTAGTTATCCACTTTGTGCTCGCTAACTTTGGGTTAAGCGCCGAAGGGAGCACTAAGCGTTGCCATGAGCATCGCCTGGAAGCCGTTCAGTCTATGGTTTAGCGACTTACTTGAAGATATCGATCTGCATCGAAAGGTGGTCAATGCCCAGATAGACATATTTATCTGCGTCGAATTGCAAACAATAGCAACGAAGCTGGAAAACAATCAAACGATCCTTGAAGAGAGTCAAACAATCGCTGAAAAGAATCAATCGATCCTCCGACAGACCTTGGAGCAAATGATGAAGAAGCAGGAGCGAAATGCCCAGGAGGCCCCTACTGAAAGCAGAGGTTCGCACAAGTGGCTTTGATTCTACTGTCCATTTGTCGCTCGCTAACAACGACCAGCGAACATCATATCCCGGCTGCGACAATGGATACATGCACCCGAGTTTGCGCTAGAATTTGAGAATGCTTTGGCAACCCGCGAGGAAGGGACTGCAGAGTGGCTTTTCACTGATCGCGCATTTGCCTCATGGAGGAGCCGAAATGCGGCAGGGGGCACATTCTGGGTGAAAGACATGGTGCTGTGGGTCCATGGTAGAGTTGGCCTTTCTACTCATTTGCAGGCACCGTGGCTGAATCCCTTGACAGGTAACCCTGGCAGCGGAAAAACCGTTCTTGCTGCGTCGACATTGGAGGAGCTTCGAAGTGATCCTGACGCGAATGTTTGCTATTTTTTCTTCCGTGCGAATGACACCGACTACGAGAGGCCCGAACACGCCTATCGGTCCATTTTGGCACAAACATTGCAATTCCATCGTCACGACCCGCGCATCCTCGATAAATTCACCTTCGTGCTTGAAGAGCAATCGTCCGGGCAGTCCGAGGTCTCTGCGCGGGAGGCCCTGGATCTGATCAAGCTTTGTGCCGCCGATGGGTTCATCCAATACATACTTTTGGATGGGTTGGACGAGTGTGTCGACTGCCTCAAGTTAGCGCGTCTTTCCTCTGGCTTACCCGCGGCTCTTTGCGAAAGCCCAACAAAGTTGATTCTTTTCGGCAGGCCTCATCTCGAATTCCAGCCGCTTTTATCGCAGTGTACCGCTGTTGGGGTCCACAATGCAAACTCAGGAGATATCGAGATCCTGATACACAGACGCTTAGAATGCTTTCTCGACGACGGCCTACTACCTACGGATGCAGATGTTGCCGATCTCTGCCGGATACTACATACGGGCGCTGATTCCATGATCCTGTGGGCTCACCTCATGCTAGAATTCCTAGTATCGCATGCTCTGACTGCCTCCAAGCGCATGGATATCATCAGGAGCGTTGCGATGCCGGAAGGCTTAGACAAAATGTACGACAGAATCATCGAACATCTTATGGATAAAGCTTCAGTCGAGCGGCAACTATCGGTCTGGCTTCTTATGTGGCTGTCCTTCTCTGGGCGACCCCTTTCCGCTACTGAGTTACCAATCACGACCATGCTGATGGACCCTGAAAAGTCAGTGATGGCGGTTGACTTCACCAATTTCGAGCGCACCGTCATCTCTACGTGCTCTTCCCTAGTTGAGGGATCCCAAATGCTGGATCCAGTCCACCAGAAGATCGTTCCCTGTTACCGGCTCGTTCACCTGTCCTTGGCCGAGTATTTCCAGACCAGGGGCACAAAGGCAATACAGCAATTCATGGTTTCTCCTTTAGATGCGCATCGCACGTTGGCGAGATGTTGCCTTCAGTACCTTTGCCACCTTGGACCCGTGCGATGTTACGAAGGTACTAATGGCCAATCTCTCGAGTCTACCCTTTTCGACGAGCAATTTCCACTCTGCTCTTATGCTTCGCTATACTGGATCTACCATCTCCGTGAAGTTGAGGCAATGATGGAGAAAGAGCAGAAGATCTCTGTCCAGACTGCCTTCACTCACGTCAGCATACCGCAGAACGACCCTCTGCGATATCTCGGAGAGCTTTTTGGACGCAGTGAAAATTTGCTGGGTTACATTCAGGCCAAATACACGTTCAGGCCTACAAGCGGTGAGCAGCACCTTATGAAGGAATGGGCCGAGCGTGCTTTGCTACGTTACATCAAGAGCGGCCAATGCGCTGAAGTTACACGGATCCTTCAGGACCTCTGCGAATTCGTGGCCTACCTTGACCTGCTTGATTGCGAGTGGGGATCAAAACTCACTCTGAGCCCTAGCCTGATATGGCACGAGGTTACTGGGCTCACGCCTTGTCGTCTCATTGCACACGTTACAACTAAACTATATCCCGTCGCTGCGTCAAATGAGCGGCAACCGGATCTGAGCACCGAACCGCTCTCTCAAATTTCGGAAGTCAATAAAGAACAAACCCGTCTTTCCATTCTGACAATCTGGCCTTCACGGTATGCCTACATCCCTCTAGTACTCCCAACAATCTAAGGAGGCTATTACTGACTGTGGCGCAGCGCATACGAAGAGCAGATTGCTACAACTCATGGTTCTCCAGCGGTGGTCAGCCAGTTATGCTCTGGCTGGATGGCTCATTACGAACTCTGGCGAATTGAAGAGCGCCCTGAACGCATCGCCTGTATCGATGTGCCTCTAGACGAAGAAGACATCTGGCGGCAGTGTTGTCACAGCCTCTCCTACGTGGTGACTGAGAAAGGAACTCAGGAATGGAGGCTTCAATTTCCAGTCGCGATCAGTCCATGCCTCCACAAATTCGCCATACTACGCACCATTTTCGCAGTCGAGGCCACCGAGGCGAAAACTGGTGTTATATTACGACGTGGAAAATTACCCCTTGAGTTGTATAAAATGGTCCGAAGCGCCTGGCCCCCCGATAATCCAAGGCCAACGGATCTCAATCCTGGCTTTGAGCGGCCTTCGTACGGGATGGATACCTACATGTACTGGTTGGCTTTCGACCCATCCGGAGACTTACTATTCTTCATCGATCGAATCCCGCGGCACGTCGTCAACATTGGGTGCTTCCACATTTCAGCGCTTTCCCACACCATCGATTTTTGTCCAACAGCCCCAATGTCTGCATTTAGCGACAATCTCTACCAGCAATCCTCGCTGGAAATCAACATCACAAGACCTGCATTCCATCCTAATCATTGCCTCATCGCATTTTACTGGGGTTCTACCGCTTACTTATGGTCATACAAAGATGAATCTTGCGACTTTCCCAGAGGATTGCTCGCAGTATCAGAACTGTCCAACGAGGATAAGAACCAGAAGCTATGGAAAGCCTACGAGGGAACAGGTGGCGCAGAATCTATATGCTTCTCGGGGGACGGGAACTACCTTGTCTTGCAGGTACCCTTTACTGTGGATCCGGTGGTCATCCCTATTCCCGACCGTGTTCTTTCCAACAGCGAACCATTACCCCAATTCCTAGAGGGTAAGATCGGAAACCAGTCAGATTCTACATCTAATCGCCACATGCCATCAGAGGAGAGCCGGATGGATATTGCGATCAGGAGCAAAAGCCCCACGACCATCGGAGGAGACGTGAACATAGGCGCGCTCACCGGAGGGAAGAACAGCACTATCAGATCCACCACCTCCACCGCAAACATCAACGTCGAGCTGCAGCTATCCCACAAAGACGTCCACACAGGCGCAAGCCGCCAAGCCAGCATCCAGCTCCTCCAGCTCCCAACCTCCTGGGCCGCTCTCAGCGCACTCAAAGCCTCCGTCCGCATGCACCCGACGAAACAGGATCTCATCCGCATTATTCTGCGGCAGGCACAACGGCCCTGGTACTCTTTGAGCGAGGCGCAAAAGCGCAAGGCCCCGGCCGTCGTGGATCGGCAGCTTTCCGATGTGAAGCGCCAAGCTTTTACCATTGTGAGCCAGGTTGAGCCTAGGTCGCTGCGCTTTGAAGCTTCTGGGAGGACGGATGCCGATGTGGATGAGAAGGTGCAGACCGAGGAGTGATGATGATCACCGGTTCGGGCGACTTGGGTGGTCAAGGCATCCCTCACGATGTGGATCTGTGGCGGAAAAGACGCGGGATAGAGGCTGTGGGCGAGTTCGCGAGCGGGCTAAGGCGCAAGATGTGGCAAGGCTGATCGAGAAATCATCTACAGTTCTGCGAGAGGCTCCACTTTGAAGCGTTCGGGCGTGTTGAGATATTCGTGTGATGGGGATTAGAAGGCGCAATGAGGAGCAATGTCGATGGACGAAGTATTTGTGATGAGGAAAGGGACAGAGCCCCAGTTAGAACGATGTGATTGGTATTCGACGACCAGACATCGTGCCTGGTTCGTTACAGCGTGCTTGGGAATTCGTAACTACATTGCTGTAATCCCAGCATGCTCCAGCCCTATAGCAATCTCTCATTCCCAGCGCCATAGACGCCCGCAGTGCCATCGTATATCCCGTGCCCTTCGTAAACAAACACCCGTCTTATCACCCCTGACACAGCACCCCGCTTATCCTCAAACCCAAATCCAGCACGGCTAAGTGTTCATCCCCGCCATCAACGAGCCTCTTATCCGTCTCGCTGAACACGTCCGCAATCCTCATCTTCTGCACATCGCCCACGCGCTCATCGTACATGACCATCTCATACAGCTGGCCCACCGTCTGCGCAGCGCTCCACCCCTCTGCTATCATGTCCTCGACCACTTTAGCGATCTTGGCGTATTGGATGGAGGACCCGGAGGAAGGATAGATAGCGCCGGTGAGCTTTTCGAGGGTAGGTTCCGGGATGACGCCCGCGATTTCGGCAATGGCCTGGAGGGAGACAGCGTTCGAGGCCGCGGTGGAAGGGGTGTCGATATCCATCATCTCATCATCCTCATCCTCAACCACCAGTCCCTTCTTCCTACTCCCTGCCGCACCGTTCTTCCTCTCCTCCGCCCCCACCAGCCTCGCCGCACTCTGCAAAAACGTAATGGCCTTCCTCAAATCGCCCTCCGCCACCCTCACCAGCTCCTCGGCAACGCCCTCGCCCAACATTACCCCCTCCAACCTGGCAATATCCCGCACCCTTGCCACCGCATTCCCCTGATCCAAGCTCTTGAACCGAAACTTCGAGCACCGCGACGCCAGCGGATCAATAATGCGCGTCACGTAATTGCACACGAGGCAGAAGCGCGTCATGCGGCTGTACGTCTCCATAGTGCGCCGCAGCGCGCTCTGCGCATCCTGCGTCATGCTGTCCGCCTCGTCCAGCACGACGATCTTGAACGGCGGACAGGGGTATTTATCTCTGTAGCGCACCATCTTGGCCTCGCCCGCGTCGCCGCCGTCCTTGTCCTCCATCATGACGCTGTAGGCCGGGGCGGTGGAGAGCTGCTGGCGCGCGAAGTCTTTGACTTTCTGCCGCACGATGGAGATGCCGCGCTCGTCGGAGGCGTTGAGCTCGAGGACGCGCGATTTCATGAGCTCGGGCCCGTAGAGCTGCTTTGCGAGCGCGAGGATGGTGGACGTCTTGCCCGTGCCGGGGGGGCCGTAGAAGAGCATGTGCGGGAGGTTGGCGGATTGGAGGGTGCGGGAGAGGACGTTGATGGTGTTGTCTTGCGCTGTGACTTCGGAGAGGGTTTTTGGCCGGCTGTAGTTAAGATTAATACTCAAGTCTTTGTGGGGAGTCTGCCCCATACATCCTCCGAGGCGGGGAAGGGATTGGACGCACTATTTCTCGACCCATGGCTGCAGTCGACTCGATTCTTGTTTCGTTGTTGGAGCTTTGGAGGAGCTGGCTTGCGCCGCAGCAGCTTGCCGCGCTTTGATGTTGAAGAAATCCATGTGGTGCAATGCAATACGCGAGGTCGAAAGGCTGAAGTAGAGAGCTAAAGTGGTTCGCGTCGCGTCCTGAAAACCGCAGGCGCGCATTCACGTTCCAGCGCACGGTCCTTCATAATTCGCCAATCACGTCGTCACAGGATGGATCGCACGCTTGGGCATACATGGCTGAATGCTGTTCATTCCGCTAACTCTATCTCCAGTCTGCGAAGAGCCTTTACATCCCAAAGGCATTTGCACCGGAGTTTGATTCCCTACGCCAACTCATGTCCCCAAATCTATGCCATTCCCGCCAAAGCGCTCAAGTTCAGCGGAGGACTTCTAAAGTCAAGAGCGGCTAAAAGACATGCTTTTCGGGGCTTCGGTCGAAGTCGAACCTAAAGAGGCGAGCTACTCTGAGGAAAATGCTACTTTCCTTTCAAGCTAACCCCCTTCACCCTCTTAGCCAACTGTACTGAATCGGAGTTGTCGGAGCCGAAGGAGGGCTGCCGGCGCAGGTGATGCTCTTGGTGAGCAACCCCCCTGGCTGAGCTTGGAGTAGAAGAGTTGTAAGAACGTTTTGGGGGGCGCTCACCAGATTCTTTCAGGATCGTCAACAGCGTTGCCCAGCCGCCTGTGTGTTGCAACTGCATGCCGTCCGAGAGGTCGTGGTCGGTTGCGACTTTGCAGAGGAGGATCTCTTCGTCCTAACAATATTGTCAGTGTTGCGATCCTGCATGTGAGAATGAACACGTACCTTTGCCAGGATCCCCAAGCTGTGGATGAAGCATAGGAGATGGAAGTTCGAAACGGCATTGAGCCCGCTTGTGGTGTTGAGAGCCACCCCGTTCGCGCGTGCATTGAGCGCTTTCGATAGCGCCGATATTTCTTGCACCTCTCCCATAGCTTCTCGGTTCTCGATCGGGAACTTCGGGCCTGTGAATAGAGGATTTGGCTGGTTCGGGAAACCGTGCGTCAGAGTGACCAAGAGGTAGTCGACTGGAAAAGCGGGTTTCGCATTCTCCTGCACATTGGCCCCATACTCGTTGATATGCCGATAGAAGACTTCTGGAATGTATCTGGCTCGGTTGAGGGCCTCGTTGTCGTCCTCTGTCTGTACAAGCATGACCGAGGGTTCTGCTGATGGCTCAATAATGTCGGCTTTGACCATCTCGACAGCAGCATTTGACGCTTGGTACGAAGAGATTCCGATCTGACCCTTCTCGTCGCCACTGACCACGCAGGTGACGAAGTTCGATCCGAACTTGCCGGTCTCGCTCCATTTTGTCGGCCGAGGATACTTCGCCTGGTATCTCGCGGCGAAGACAATCTCTAGCGAGGATAGGAAGTAGGAGTCGACGTGTCGTTTGCAGATGACGGACCCGTCTCCTACCCCAGAATCGACAAGATCTGTGAAGATGACGCCGACCCTCTGAAGACCGCATTGACGGGCAAGCTCCTCGATTTCCTTCTCGTTCTCCCAATCTCCTAATGATATCCCATCCATCTCGTTGACTTGTGGCGGCTCATAAACGGCCTCTACGACAGCTTTCGTTCCCAGTGGCACCTCGGTATACTCGTCGTATCTGCCGTATAAGAAGGCTAGCCGCTGACAGCCCGTTATCCTCCAGAAGTTGATGAGGTCATCAACGACGCCTGTTGAAGCAAACTCGACGTGGTCAACCATGCGGAAATCTTGCTGCTGAAGTGAGATCGCGCTAGGCTGGCACTTCGTGCAGATACCCTCCGGAAACGGCTTGTGGCCTGAGGGGCAATCCGGCCGCACCCGGAAATACGGCTCGCTCAACGGCGGCATGTACGAGCTCCCACTCTCCGGCTTGTTCTTTCCCTGGTTGATCTTCCTCAGATACGAATGGAACGATAGATGTTTGATCTTTTTGTCGGCCAGGTACCCTGAATCGTATGGCTCCAGCGGCATGCAGTAGTCGCACATGCCCTTGGGTCCATGCCTGCACATCTTCTGGTCCAGCTTCCGCGGGATCTTGCCATCGAGCTTGTCTAATCTGTCATCGAGCGGCGACTGCTTGACCACCTCCCAAGGGTTCTTTATCAGCTGGGTGGGCGAGCCGATGGGGACGGACGGAGCTTCTGAGGGGTCGACCGGTTTACCATTAAGGCGGACGGCGTTCGTTGGAGCTGCAGAGTGGCCATTCGATATCGTGGACTGCTCTTGGAAGTCGAGGAACAGCTCTGCGCCGTGTCTGTATGCTGTTAGCTCGGAAGAGAAGACGGGGCGCGCTACTCACGTCAAACCGACTTGCTTGAACGTCACCCCGCGGAGGGAGCTCAGTTTCCGTGCATCTCCCCCATGCGGCTTATTGCTGACGGTGAGGCTCGAAATATCGATGTGTGAAGGCAGCTTCTCCGCGACCTGGGGGATAATGTCGGGAAATGGCGTGGTGGGCTCGACGTTGAGCCGGAACCGGCCCTCTCTACTGACAAACCGGAGTATCATGGCGAGGTTGGCTGCATGCGCGTGTCAGTTGAGATAGCAGAGGTAGAGGCAAGCAATAAGGAGGAGGGGAGTTGCGGGTGCGGGAGGAAGTAGAAGCGTAGGGTGGCAGGCAGTCGTGACAGGCAGGCGTCGTGGTGAATAGGTAGTCGCGGCTACCAGTGGTAAGGCGTGGAAGGCGCCCGAATGATGACGCGAGGGCACGAGCCAACGGAGCCAGAGCAGCTGCAGGCATGTTCGGCGGATAGTTTTAGCGGGGCCCGTAAGAGAGGACAGATATTTGGCAACGACAAAGGCCATTCAGCGCGTCTGCGACTGTACATTTGGCTTTCACCTCACGCCTTTAATTTTCCTTTCCCTTGTCCTCGCCCATGACACCGCCGCTCATTTGATCCTTCACTCCTCCCGCCAATAATCTCCACCGACCCTTTTCAAAATACCCCCGAATCAGACAAAGACCAGCAGCTCCGAGCAACCGTCCTCGCGATGTGGCCTCTCGACGCAGTCGACTGGGTGATGCTCTCGATACCCGTCGCATATCTCTTCATCCTCGTGGGCTCCCTCTACGTCTTCAGCTCGCTGTACCGCAAACGACAAGTCGCAAAGGCCGCATCGCTCGAGCCATGGTTTCCACCACATATGCAGCGCAACATCTACCTCTCGCTACTGCACATGGAGTCGCCGAAATGCCCGGATAGTATTCTAAAAGCTGCACTGTTGCGCCGCGCGACTGAGGACATCAATCGAATTGTGCAGATACGGAGCGCAAAGCAGGCGCTGCAGGCGCTGCTGCAGAGGGGCAGTGTGGGAGATGATTTGTGGCAGCGGTTTCAGCGCGCGGAGAGGGAGATTGAGGAAGAGTTGCGAGATGTTGTGAACGAGGTCAGTTCCTAGCTGCCCCGTGGAACGCTCGAATCAATGTAATAACAATCTGTAGGCCAACGCATTCGCACCCGGCTGGGGCCAGACCATCTTCCAGTCCGCCTCCGAAATGTCACAAAACACCCACATCCGCGAACGTCTCTCGGAGATTCTGGCCACAACCAAATCAGAGCGGGAATGGTGGGACAAGCGCAAGGCCGGTATTCAGTCTGACTTCATGAAAGAGTTGGACGAGGAGAAGGCAAAGAGCCCGGCGGAGGGCAGCATGGCGGGGAGTGTCAGGGGCGGCAAGATAGGAAGCGATGACGACGCAGTAATCGTAGAAAGCGGCGGCCCTGCGGAGAAGGCTTCCGGCAAGGGTAAGAAGAAGAAGGGAAAGCATTGAGGGGTGGTTGATCGAGCTCCGGACGTCTCCAGGGCACATAGAGCAGGGAACACACATTGCGAGCTTCCATTCCATCCCGAACAGAACGGGAACATAGGATAGAAAGGGCTCCACCCATTGCATTGCCGGCGTTGTGGTGTTGAGGGCACCAGGATACGGTGGGACTCAGTCAGTCGGCGCTTGAGATACTCAGCTTTGTACGAATGTTTGATTCGAAACAAATGGAGCCACCTTTGCATTCTTCCAAATAATTCAATTGCAATGCTATTTGACGCCAGTGACCCATATAGACCCAGCCACAGCCAATGTGGTAATACACGCTTCCGCGCTGTAACAGGCAAGGAAATCGTCTCATACACCAGATATACAAGTTTCCATAGTGATTTCATGGTAGCTCTTCCCATCCTTCAACCACTTACTTCCTCGTCGGACCACTGACACCGGCGCCAATCACACTCGGGAGCTCCTCGTTACCCATGGAATACAACATGCCAATACCACCGCTGATCAAGAAAGCAAGCATAACACCGCTTCCGACGAACAACCAGAAGGGCACTGAAATATCTTTCTTCTGGCAGGCAGGCCCACCCCAGTACGTAGTCTTCTTCTTAGTCTCCATGCCGTGGTCCTGTCCCACATGAACAACGGTAGGCGTACAAGCACAGCCATAGCAGTCCTGTACCACTGAGTCACTCCCCTTCTGGCCCTTGTGCAGCAGCTTGCATTCGCCGTGGCTGCTGCAGTTGTGGGTCTGCTTCTGGCAGCCGGCGAGGCTGGAGAAGCAGCCTGGGAGTATGCCAAGAACAGGAGCGGAATCGTTGGCCTGTGCCTGGGTGATGACTGGGAAGTCCTCAAGATCGGCAGGGAGATTCGGTGATGTGGATGGCTTGGAGGATGCGAGCGAGAGCGGGGCCTCGGCGACCTCGCGGCGGGCTTCGATCTTGGATGGGAGATCGTAGGTTCCATAGGGCTGTGCTGCCCGTTTAGCATGAGACGAGGAGGGCGGCATGCAGACAACAGTCATTGAGAATCCTTGCTCCTTAAGACTGGCGGTCTTCATCAATAAGCGTGAGATCCCGGTCGAGAGCTCCGTAAGGCTAAGATTGTCGGTCTTGTCCGCTCGGAAGATGACCAGGTAATCGTTATACACGTTGGTTTCCGTGAGCTTCGACAGGGTAGCTTCGGCATCGATTACATTGCCGTACGTGTACCCTTTGGGATCCGCATATCTCGGAAGCGCTTCTGCCTGGAGGATCATGTCCTGAATCAAGCGGTCGTTATCGGACGCCGGAGGGGGGTTTGATATTGTGAAGCTAGACAACCCCAATGTATTAGGGATGATTTCTAGAATCATTTATTAGCATTGGTTCCTTCGCCGGTATATTCGCGTGCTAACCTGACGGATCCTCGACGTCTTCCAGCCATATCAGCACATGCGCTTTCGTCTTCGCCGGATCCTCGACGCCGAAGAGCTTCTGCTGCCTCCCTCCATATGAATTGATCTGTTGGACCACTTCTTCGCTAGGATGCCTTATCGCATGGAATCGCGATAGGCCGAGACGCTGTGCGAGTATCAAGCGGGTTGTTTCTGGATCTACGGTCGATGTAGCGGCCTCAGACGAAGCTCCGAAGACCGGGTCGTGGAGATATACATGGCCGACCTTTGTTGCGGAGGTCGCACAATACAGCGAGGAGAGGATGAAGCTCCAGGACAGCTTCATGGTGGCTAGCGAGATGGAAGACGGGTGATGGAGCTGCGGCGGTGATAGCAGACATCAGTCAAAGGGCAGGTGCGACCCTGGCACGCGGAATTTGCCGGAGTTTCCCCGGCCGCAGATCGAGACCCAGATGAACAAACTGACAAACTGGAGCTAAACTTTCAGTCTTTGGCTGTCATTCACTATTATTCTTCCGGCTCGCCCCTGATCTTTAGTTCCTCGCTTTTCCAGCGCGACTCCATGTCTGCTCATCGCCTAATCCTTTCCGACCCACGGTAGCCTCAACTTCATCCCCGCGGTTACAGCCTCAGATGTTTAAGGCACAGGTGGCAGCGCGGAGGAGCTTCTCTCTCTTTAGGAGGGTTCCCACGTCAACTATTATACGATCAGCTGCCCGCGATGGACACGAGACGATTCACATCCAAAGAGTGCGCTTCAAGAAGCCTTTCTTCACCAAATCGTGAGTTTGCGCCACCTCTTGCAGTGAGTGAGCTAACGAGCGTACTGTAGACGGCTATTGAACACCGCGATCACAACAGCATGTGCGTACGGCTTCCTACAATGGCTCGACGAAGAGATCGAGGATGAAGACGCTCAGCAAGACGTGCAAAAGCGACGATTGCATGTGCGGCGGCCGAAGCCGGAGGAGGAGGGTGCTGGTAGCGAGGACGACGAGGTAGATGAAGAGGTGGGCGAAGAGGTGGAAGATGAAGACGATGAAGACGAACCAGAGGGCTTAATATTCTTTCCAACGGGCTTCTCGCGACCGAAACCGAGGACGTTCTACAAGGGGTCAGATCCAGAGTGGCAGGAGTTCGTCCGGTTAGCGCCAGACCGACAGCGCATGGATCGGATACGAGGTAGGACAGCCACTTGAATTTGCAGCCACCGTTACTGACCATTGAGTAGGAGAGCTTGTCGCTCTGATCCGCGATCTTGTTGCCAAGAACCCACAATACAGGCTCCGACTCGGCAAGATCAACCCCAACACAGGCAGTATCTGGATCGAAGTAAAGTTCCCTGATGGCCCACCGATAGAGTACGAGCGGCCCGGATTCGAGCTGACGGAGGACCTCACATTTCGTCGGACTACGCGACCAGTCCATGAGCTGCATCATCAGCGCTTGAGCCACCTTCTCGTGCCGACAGCAGCTGCCAATTCCGTCTATCTCGATTCCAAGAGGAGAGTCGAGAAATCTTGGCAAGGTTTCAAGGCGTACATGGGCTGGGAAGGCAAGAACAAGCCACCTCAGGCTCAGAGGCTGCTCACGCAGTTCCCGGCGCCTCCACCTTCCCCTCCGAAATCGCCAGCCCCTACGACAGCCGCTACATCTACTTCCACTCCACCTCCCGCACCATCAACAGCTAGTGATGCCCAGCAACAGGCCCCACCTTCGAGTACGCCGCCGCTAGGTAATCCAGCATACGAACGCTTCGGCATCTCCCTACCAGATCCTTCGAAGGCCCCGACCATAGATGTCTCGTATTTGCGGATGCACCTCCGCAAACAGCACAAGCACTTCCATATCCAACCGCCGCGCGGAACCTTCATCGTATCGGGTTTGATCGAAGTTGTGGGCAACCGAGGCAAGATGACGCTGGATGTAGCTGCGGCGTATGACCCGAAAATCGGGCGGTACGTCATGCTCACAGCGAACTTGAGAAGCCTAACAGAGTTCAAGCAAAGGCCGAAGGGTGGTCCTTGAATGAGGAGGAGAAGAGAGCTTCGCGCGAGGCTCTTGCGGGAGAAAAATTAGTTGACTGACTGCATACGCGGCGTTAAGGCATGCCACCCCCTTTCGGTTCTGTGCGGCGTTGGGGCGATTTCTTTCGGAGCTCGGGGCGACCTATACAGTCTTGCGGGCAACCAGCAGTCTTTCCTTGGTTGGAATACGGAGTAATAACGGATCAATGAACAGAGATACCACACTGTACGAAGGAACTTTAGCTTTCTGGGAAAGAGAGTATAGCGTACGATATATCAGATGAGTATGCAAAGGCCTTGCTTTTGATTCAATCGTGTGCGTGTGCCTCGTCGTGTGTGAGACCTGAAAACTAAGGTCGAGCTGCGCACACCGGAATGCTTTCGTCCGGTCTACCTACGCATGGAAGCCGTACCTGTATCCAGGCGATTACATCCACGCTGCGTTGGCCACCAGGAAGTTCCACTACCCACGCAATGGCATCCGAGCTATTGTCCATGCAGGCGAGGCGTCGCGCAAGGCCTTTGTCGAAATGAAGCAGACCCCGTTCGACACGGTTGGCAATCGAGAAGGCAGTCTTCGGGGCGATCCATCCAGCGGTGGTCGCGCCATAGTAGCTGCAAGAGACATGATCGTGAGACGCCTAGGCGGAGGCAAGAACGAGGAGTTGCGGCATGACGGTTTGTAGCCGAATCTAATGGTAGGCAAAAAAGACTGACAATCCACGGCCAAGGTCTCGAATCGTATATGACGTGTGAGAACAATATCTAACAGCGTGAAGTGCTTCAGTGTATGAAACCGCTTCACCTTAGTCCCCGCATCGCCATCCTCAAGCCTCTACCTAGTCCAACCACCAGCTTCTTTCGAAGCAAAATCACGCTGCAAGTCATACCTAGGTATACTCTCATCACCATCCTCCACATCCCCTCCCTACGCCCCCAACCCCTCATAAACCCTTCCCTCCACGCCCGCCACAAAATCCACCCACTCGCCCTCATTCCACGGAAAATAATTCCCCTCGCACAACACCACCAGCCCCCTCTCGCCATCCACCCAAAACTCCGTATTCGCAGCCCCATACCAGTAAAAGCTGCCCTTGCTCCTGCCCTTCTTGCCTGACTTCAGCACACGCTCGGCGCCCTGCACACCGCAGCCCAGACCAAAACTCCCCTCGGGGTCCACGTGCGCGGCCTCCAGGTCCGCGGGATAGAATGCTGAGGGCACGGCGCTGGGGACGTTGCGGCAGGCGTTGCGCAGGGGGCCAGGCAGCTGGGGGGACGTGATTTCGCGGACGGAGGAGGGGGCGAGGATGCGTGTGCCGGAGACGGGATCTACGCCTGCATTTTGCGGGAGCAGGATGCTGAAGATGCGGACGAGGTCTTCGGCGGTGGACACGAGGCCTGTGCCGAGGGGGAAGACGTGGTACTCGCCGTTGGGGTACCGCGTGGGCCATTCCTTCTGCTGCAGCACCTCTGGATCGATGGGCACGAAGCCCCCTTCTTCCGTCTTCATACTGCGTGGCCAGAAGCGGCCCTTGTGTTCGGGCTTGCTGATCATGGCGACGCCGTACTGGTCTTCGAAGCCGGTGCTTGTCAGGCCCAGCGGGGCGAAGAGATTTTCTTGCAGGACGTCGGGGAGAGCGCGCTTCGTGAGGCGCTCGATGAGCACGGCGAGCCAGTCGAAGCCCTGGCCGTAGTTTGTGTGCGTGCCGGGCTGCCAGAGGAGGGGCGAGTCGAGGAGCGTTTTCCACTTGTCGTTTGCTTCGTTGCGGGTCTCCCAGCCGTCTTTGAGATACTCGTGTAGCAGGGGGTTGAAGTAACTGTGGCCGCCGCCGTACGTGTGGCTCATCAGCATGCGAGGTGTGATGTCTCCTGTCCTGTCTTCGAAGATCCACTCTTTCTCGCTATTGGCGCCCTCTTTATATCCAGTGAGGATTTTCTTGGCCGCTAGTTCGGGGAGCAGTTTCTCGATGACAGTGGCATCATCTAGGGACACGAGGTTCTTTTCTACGAGCTGGAGGAAGATGACTGCGCCGATGATTTTGGTGAGCGAGTGCGTTGTGAAGAGCGTTTGGGGGGAGAGCGGAATCGACCCGCCTGAGGCGTGCGAGAAGACAGTATTGTTTTTACTATCAACGATATGAATAATGGCTCCTGGGAAGGATTGCTTGTCGCCAGAGGTCTTGCTGTCAATGTAGGTTCGCAGTGAGGCGGCGGCTTCAGGGGCGAATGAAGGTGCCATCGTGATTCGTATGTTGATATTGAAGTCGACACGAAGAGATGTGGTTTGGAGAACCCAGGGACTGGATGGAACGCTTAAGAGGTGATGTGTGGGTTTAAAAGGAGAACGGTAGGCTGTTTGTGGAAAGGCTTCAAGCTCTAAGCTTAACTTCAACCGCGGACTTCAGAGAACCCGCTGCACTGTGCCCCAACTCGTTGTTTAACAATGGATAGCCGATATTAGAAGGAGATGCGAGACGATGCGTAAAAGGATAGGATCCCGTGCGAGAAGGGAAGAAGTAGACTTGCCATTCCCACTACTGTTCAGCTCCATTGCCAGTACCATAGACGAACAATTCCTAGATTCAGGTTTGTGCATATAAAACTCGCGGTTAATAATCAATAGTAGGTGAGCTAGCAAGGAGGAAGCATCAGCATAGAGCATCAGCACTCCCAAATCGGGCAAAACCTCCTCGCCATACCCTTGCAAACATTTTTGCGAAGTGTAGAGACTTCCATTGTGCAAAGAATCAAGGAGATGGCGGATGCGGAGTGCAGAAGTTCTTAAAAAGGTAGCCGAAATGTGCGAATAAATTACTCTTCTGGTCCTCATTCGAGGAAGCGTTGAGGCTGCGATTGAGTAGATCAGCAACTCGCTTGCTCTCACCGCTGTCACTTAGAAATAACTCTATTCGGCATGCGCCGTTCTATGCAGCTTACCTCTGGCGCAACGTTTGTGAGGAGCTGATTGGGCGTCCGATGATGGTTGTCTTCGCCGCTTACCAGCGACCTAGGCTCGAATATGATGTTGTTGAAGTCGAACATCGTCTACCACCTCATTTCGTCCACGGCAGTCCCAGCTTCTTCATCTCAACGGCTAGTTGCAGGATGTAATCAATGCTCTCGCACTGTGTCTTCGCCTTATGCACGTTGTCGCCCCAAACATAGCTACATTTGTCAGCATCGACCAAGATAGAATCTGATATCGTGAGAATACTCACATGCCATGCCGTCGCACTAATACCGCATACGTATCCGGATATTTCTCCATTGCCTCCTCAAGGCTTGATGTCAGATCTTCCTCACTGCGAAATGTTAGCACTGCCCCCAGAACCACATACGCTTTTCCTCGTTGATTCCATTTCTTCATAGCGCTCCCCATCCAGGAAAGAATAGACATACTGCGCCGTATTCTCAATAATTGGTATCCTCAGCCTCTCGAAATACCCAAGATTTCCTTGCTTCCCCCTGCCCTTCGGTATCCCCTTAATCTGCTCAATCTCTTCAATCTCAAAGCACGCATCCTTTCCGAAGTCGCGTTCGACGAGGAGGGTGACGAGGACGGCCCATTGGGAGTGTGTGTGGATACAGCAGCCAGCGCCACGGTGGAAGGCTGCGAGGAAGAGGGGTGTGCAAGCCGAGGGTTTGTGGACCTGTTGTGTCGCTGTTAGATGGGCTATACGGATAGAAGTAGCGTATTCGAGGAGTCGTACTTGCGGCCGCCGTATATACTCCTTAGTATGAAAGTCCATGATGAACATATCCGTAGGCTTCATAAGCTCTTTCTGCACCCCGCTGGGCGCAATGTATATCTTGTCTTCATGGCGAATGCTAGTGCCGCCGCCGGTGCCTGTTACCTGGTCAAATATCCTCGTTAGCCCAGATCAAAATCCCATATCCCCGCGGTGGGCACGCGTGGAGAGATGAAGCGATGGATGTACCCAGCCAAGCGTATAGAAATTTGCGCACAAGATGCAGATGTGGTTTGCAGGGTGTTGTGGATCGTCTGAGATGATGAGCGCGTCGATATCTTCCGCGTTGATACCCATTGTGAGCGCGATTCCTGGATTCCCGTGAATAGTGAAAAAGTTCAAGTACCTAGCAGTGCCTAGGTCGACTAGATTTTTCACAAGCAAAAATGACGCGAGGGTCCCACGTTGTTGCGCACAGGCCATGTGATTGCCCCTCCCCCGCTATGCGCTGCTCTGCGCAGCATTCACGACACATGATCAGACCACCAGCAATCAGATATTTCTCGAATCCTTCGATGGAGATTCTAGTAGTAAGGAAAGGAAATAAGGCAGTGCCCCGAAGAGGCCATCAGCCTAGAGGTATCATCCCCATTAAAAACCATCCCGTCTACATCGTATGCGCCAATCCCCATACCATTACAAGTCATTCACGCAGGGTATCTCGAGTAGTGTTGGATCGCACTTAGTCCTTGCTCTCCCCCTGAGCAAGAGGAGAAGGCTCCTGCTTCTTGTCCTTGTCTAGGTGAAGCGCGTGCTTGATCTTGTCCATGGGACCCTTCCGGTCTGGAGAATGGCTGTGGCCGCCGTACTTCTCCTTGTGAACGTTGCCCCCACCGCCGCGCTGTATTCCGTGTCAGCATCACGCCTCTATTGCTCATGCCGGACTGTACTCACGCCTGTGTGGAAGTTCTCCTGGGGCTGGCGGAGCGCCGTCTCGGGGATGAAGTCTTGCGAGCGACGCGGCTCGTCTTGCGGTCCTAGGTGCGGAGACTTGGCGATGTTGCCTGCGCCGCCGCGCTGGAAGCGTGTTAGAGACAATGGCCGTAGAGTGGTAACAGACAGGGAGTACGTACGCCAGTGGAGAACTCGCCCTCGCCTTCGCCTTGGATGCCCTCGCGGACGATGCCCGCATCGCTGTAGCTGTCCAGGGGTCAGTATGTGACATCATTGTCTCCTTGCAAGAATGGACGTTCGGAGAGTTGGTGGAGGGAAACCGTACACGTTCGGATCAGGGCCAATGTTGCCGGCACCTATCCCTTGTCAGCTCCGTCTTCTGTGTGCGCTCAGCGCGGGCTGGAACTTACCACCGCGACCGGTGGAGTGGATCGGAGTCTCAGACATTCTGTCGGGATGTTTGCCGAGTCGGTCTCGTAGCGCTTAGAGGAAAAGTAAAGCTAGGGAATATGGTGGAGGGGTGATGTCAAGGGTGCAGGGAGTGAGGGGAGGAAGGTAGCCTGCAGCAAGTTCTTATATTCGTTCTTTCACACTGCTGGCAGCAGAAGCACTGGAAATGACGCAACCCCATCACTGGCCATTGGCGCGGGATGCGCCTGCGCCTGGCACCGCAAAGGTTCCGGAGCGCGCAGCGGGCAATCAAAGGCACCCTCTAGTCGCCGTATTCTTGCGGAACGGATAGGTTCATCTGGCAGATGGCTGCTTGCGCCAAGCCTTTCCGCTCATACATCATATGGAGCTGGGTGTGACGCAGGCTCCTGTCATTGTTCCGTGGGGATCGTTAGTGTTGAGGTGAGGTGATGCTTTTGGCAGTCTGATAAGGTCGCGGAGCTTGATTCGCCGAGACGGGTTAGTCAGCGCAAGAAATGGCGCTAGGGCGCAAACGGGATCCCACTGTTTGACAGGTCGAAAGTACGTGATGCGCGCCACAGAGGCATTTCGTGTGGTTCCGAAGGCACCTGGGCAGGCCTAGGCGAGCCACGAGGGAAGTTGGAAAATCGGGGCGCGCACCTGTCACTGCAGGGAAGATCTCGAGCTAAATCTTCAACTATGCAGGTGATGTCAGGAAACAGTAAACTAGGTTTGTGTATCCGCGTGCTACAGAAGACAAAAGCCAAGCTTCAAACGACTGATCTACAAGTAGGGATCGTGATCATAGCTCCTAGGGCACGTCTAGAATACAGAAGCAGCATGCCCGACGCCAAGCATCAAATACACGCCATTATGGCGCGAGACTCGTTCATGCTGTCTAGCCTCGAGGGAAGCCGCCTCCCTACGCCTTCTGCTCCGCTGGCGGCGGCGCACCGCCGGTCGTCGGCAGCCCCATGAAAATCTTGAAGTAGTCATAGATCATCCACTGAAGACCAGTCAGGGTGCCAATCATCACAATTCGCACTGGGAGTCCGTTCCAAAGACCCGCGAATCCAATGTCCTTGTAGATGCGGCCCGTCGCGGCCCCGAAGGCCTCCCCGGGTTGGCGGTTGGCATTGAGTTTCGAGACCATCACGTCGGCTGGATGACTGACGATGGCACAGAGGATACCGGCGATATAACCAGCCGTAAAGGAAACCGCCGTTTGGGCGCCCTTGCCGTATTCGGACTTCTGTCCGGGGAGGTAATTATAGATCATTTCGACAACAGTTTCAAACGAAGCAAACTGTCAAACGTTAACTAGACGAAAGAAGCAGTTCTCCAAGGAGACCCCACCTTCATCATGGTGTACGGAATCTGGCGACCCCAGAGTGGATACAGACCCTTGTACAGTCTGAGGGAGTTAGCTCGAAACGCTGTTCAAACAAGCTGTGCGAAGCTCTGTCAAGCTTACCCGCCGAACCCCTCTTTGCCAGTAACAGTACTGATTCCGCCTAGAGTCGTCTTTGCGAATGGAGGAATGGTGGTCTGCATTCGCACCTTTACTGCCTCAAACGGGCAGAGACCGAGATCAGCAATGAACTCGGCCGAGGCGCTTCCAGCTAGGTAGATCAGTGTCTTGTATTTGTGGAAGTTCTCTTCTCCAGCGAGGTCTCCGTAGAACTTCTTGAAGAACTCATAGCCTCCATACTTCAGACCGCCCTGCACAGAGTATCCCCAGAAAGTGGGGCCCCAGCCTGTAAAGACTCCGCGAAAGCCTTCAGCTCGACCAATCTTGCCCCACGCCTCAAAATTACCCTTATACATCTTCGAGTCCACCTGACGACGGCATTTGACCAGGTCGAGCGGCGTCACCGCAGTATGGGTAAGCCCGCAGGCCATGATACCTCCGAACGTGCAAGCAGCATAGTATTTCGGCGAGTACAGTTCGATCTTGCCGGCTTTGGCTTGCGCCTTAGAACTGGCTTTCTCGAATTCGGCGACGGCAGCGTCGCTCAGCTGATTAGCTTTGTTCTTCGCATCGTCGGTAGCGCTCCACACTGGATAGAGCTCATGCCGGGCGGACCACTTGGATAAGCGTGTCGACTGGGGTTCGGAAGCGCGTTGTGCGAAAGGTGAGCAGCCCGCGAAAGCCTGGCTCAGAGTAGCCGGTGTGGGTAATACGTTCAGCATGGCGAGTACGGATGGTGCTACTGTTATCTGTCAGATCGGCGTCTCGTCTCGGCGTCATTGTTCGAAACCGTACCTTCTACACCGCAAGGTCAAACAGAACAATTCAATGCTCCGGCAACACCGTCTCCTCTGCGAGCCGGCGTGATATGAGGATGCCCGTGAAGGATGGGTGGGGGTGAGGTTGCACCGAGATGAGCTCTGAGGAGCGGATCCTGGCCCTGGAGCTCGGACGGGCGCTCCTGCCCGCTCCGGATGCAACGACGTCATTGGCTGCTTGGCAAGGCTGGGGACATTCACAGTTCCGACTCCGACGCCACTACTGCCGCAAATCAAACTAGTTTCAACGACATCTCAAGGCGCTCACGCCAGAAATCGCGAACGAGTACGTACGATCGCACAATGTCAAACAATATGGATCCTTAATTGTGAAAGGTTGAATCAGTATCCCTCTCCCAGAAGTGATCCAAACACTATCCTCGGAGACCCTGTTCATCGCTCGGCCGTGATCTCCCCTCCTCTGCCGACGAGGCCTGGATTTTGCTCTGATCCGCGTGCTTTGCTGGGTCGAACACATAGATGGGAAACTCCAAGAAAATCGTCCTCTTCAGAAAGACCGGCATCTTCTCGTACAGCTGCGGAGGAAACGGGACCAGAATACTGGTCCGATGCAGATATCTCTCGTACTCCGCCCACTTATTGCCCTTCTCGTAGCGTTTTTTAGCACCTGGTCTCTCTTGCAGCGGCAATCCGGATAGGAACATTAGAAGCACCGTCAGGAAGAAAGGGCCCAGTATCGATGCATACAGCGCCGAGTACGCCCCACCAGAAAGGTACCCGTAGGCTGCGGGCGAGACAGCGATCATGAAGATAGCTATTCACGTCAGCTTAGGGCCCCTGAAGCACTTCGGGGGAGCACTCACAGAATTGGATAATTATCTCTCCGAAGTAGTTGGGGTGCCTTGACAAGGCGAAGAAGCCCACATCGCACACCGCACCATCACTGCCGTGTGCGCTCCGGAAGCGATACTTCTGGACGTCGGATGCGCTCTCCATGATCAGGCCAATGGAGTACAGGACTACGCCTGCAATGTCATGTCCGGTTCCAAACCCAGGCTGGTTGAACTGAGTGACCTTTGGCGAGTTCAGGATGGTGACCGGAAGGGAAACTGTCCAGACCCAGAACATTTGGCTGAACTCGATAAGCATAGACTCATTTTACTTCGTGTTTTTGCTTACAAGACCCAGAAGCCAAGGAAGGACCAGAACTTATCTCGCTTGTCGTCAAAGCGATCATCTTTACCCGTCTTCAGGATTCTGAAGAGGAGAAACCCCGATAGTCGCGCCGCCCATAGCATAAGGAAGACCGAGGCCACGATATTGCGCGCATTGCTCCGGTTTTCACTGAATGCAAGCGTGAGTATTGCGAGGAGGACGAAATTCGTGCCACCGGCGAAGTCCGTGAGCTTGTCGAATTTGAATGTGAAGGCGAAGGAAAAGAAGAATAACTGGTAAGCGACAGTGATGAGAAACGTTATCGCCAGATAGTAGTCGTCCAGCACATGAACTGCTGCCATTTTGCTCTTTCAACAGCGAGTGCTAAAGTGCGCGATCACTCCTAATGGAGGGCCTGTCACTATATAGATGGTCTTCTTCGCATTCGCTACCGCTGCATGTGGGCCCCGAAGCCTCCGTGACTTGGAATTCGTCCGAACCCGTATGGCTCATATGGCTCAGCCACGCATCTAGGGAGGAAGGGCTGAAGAACTGTGGTTGAAAGCCGGATGATGACGCACAATATCGTGGGCGCCAAGCGATCGGTGGTGTAGAGATTCCAGCCGGCGATCTCCACCCTCTCCAAACAATCACAACCGTGGAACGGCATTGCGCCGCCGTCATCACATAAGCAGTTCGTCGCAATGGCATCGCTCGCCAGCACTTTACCCCTCGGAGGTTCGAAGGGCTCAATGCCCGTGCCAGCGTCGCGGAGCGAATCTCTTGTCTGGCTGCCGTGAAACGCAGCCGGTATGAGGCGTTCGCTTCAACGCACCTCGCGTCTCAGACCTCACCAACCCAGCGGCTGGCCAGACCTTCATGACACTTCTCCTACGCCAAATTGTCCTTCGCAGTCGCCCACAGGCCTGTCGATCATGAATCGCACCCTGGGTCCCTGCAGCAGACGCTCTTGGCCACGTAGCCCGACAATGCCCTTCAGTCCTTTCTCATACCAGCCGGGACCCGGACCTTGAGACAGTAGTCACGTAGCCGCGTGGAAACTCCATCGCGCACTTGCAGAAACAGATTGCGCGGGTCCCTTTTCTGGGGTGCGACTCCGTTAAGTGCCTGAGGAACCCACTGGCTTTCGAGTGGTTTGGGTCCTCGTTCGGCTTCTCTCGCTCCCTTTTGCTTCCGAACCTGTCTGTCCTTGACGCTTCCCCACGCACTCTCTTCCTCCTCACTCCTCTTCGACGGTCTGCTGTGCAGTTCTTGAACGAGTCTGCATGTCTGTGACATACCGCTCTTTTAATAATTACCAGCTGGACTGTTGACCTACTAATACTTCCTCCTTCCCGCATCTCGTTTCGTTCTAGCTTGTACTACTGGGAAGACATGAGGAGGATAAAATCATCCTGGGGCTTCGCCCTACTGCTCACCACAACAGTGCGCGACCTCGCTGCCGCTCATTGCGCTCCTGCTGACGTGGAATAGGTCATCGCCGACCCTGGAATAAACCTGAATGAAAACAACATTGGCCCCGGCGTGCAAGGAAGGAAGGTTGAGAACCTAGAATATGGTGTTCTCGACGCTGTCGGCAAAGCTCAACGCCAGAAAAGAGGAGGCCTATCAGGGGACCTGGGTAACATCGGCGACCTCTCCGCGAAAGCTGGACAAGGCCAAGGACTCGACGCGAACGCATTGCTCAATGGCGCTGGTCAAGGCCAAGGACAAGGCGCAGCTGGTCTTGATGTGGGATCGTTGATCAGTGGTCAAGCCGCCGGACAAGGCATCGATGCCGGCTCAATTATCAACGGCCTGGGCAATGGTCAGCAAGGAGGAGGCAACGCCAACTCTTTGGCAGGGTCAGGTCAAGGTGTAGGAGACGTCGGTGCCGAACTTGCGAACCAGCTCCAGGGCGACCAGAACAGCGACATCAACCAGATTCTCGGCGGCCTGGGCGGGAACGGTAATGGGCACGGGCAGGGCCAGGGCAACAACGGCGTAAATATCATCGAGGTCAAGGAGACCATCGTCCAGCAGATCAACGGCGCGGGAGCTATCAAAGAAACAATCGTGCAAGGAGAAATGACAACGACTGCTCAGAACGAGGCGCAAAAGACGACTGAGGCTGCAATGACCACGGCTCCTCCAGCTGCCGAGGGCATGAATGCTACGGTATGTCTCTTACTATTAATATCTCCTACCCAAAACTAACACCGGAATAGTCTATTGCCGCGGAATCATCATCCGTGTCCTTTGTACTCGCCGGCGAAACATCAGCCGCAGCAGCTGCGAATGGTAGCGCTAGCGCTGTGACCGTCATTGCGGGCGGAGAGGCATCGATGGGCCAAGAAGCAGCCGCATCGTCGAGCTCTTCCTCTGTCACGATCAACTCCGCGACTTTGACTCCGGACGGCCTTGTAGCTGGAACCACCACGAGCGCTGCGGGAAGCGGCGTCACTGTGATTGCGGGAAGCGGAGGAAATGCGACTGCAGCTGCTGAGGGTTCATCTGGATCATCAACAGCATCCGTCAATTCCGCTACCCTCACGGCAGATGCTCTTGTTGGAGGAACCACGACCACAATGGCAGGGGGCCAGGTCACCGTCATCGCAGGGGAAGGGAGTGGTAATAGCGCAGCCGCAGCCGCAGAATCCACAGGCTCGTCCGCCGCGTCTATCAATTCGGCGACCCTTAGCGCAGACGGACTCGTTGCAGGAAGTACGACCACGGCCGTCACAGAGCAAGTGACTGTGATTGCCGGGGGAGGAAGCAACAATACCGCTGCAGCAGCCGCCGCATCTACGAGCTCTTCTATGGCATCGATCAACTCGGCCACTCTCACCGCGGACGCGCTCGTCGGAGGGACCACAACCTCAGCCGCTGGGGCCCAAGTAACCGTCATCGCGGGCAGCGGAAGCTCAAACGGCACGTCGGGAGGCGAAGCCGCGGCGGCGGCTGCCGAAGCAAACGGGGGTTGTAACTGTGCATGCTCGTGTCCCGCTGGCTCGTTCCCTATGCAGCCCCCGGCAGCTCAGCCCTTCCAACTCCAGACCGGTCCAATGGAGGGTATGTCCTCCGCGCAGACGACGATGCAGACGCAGGCTTCCGCGGCGGGTTCTCAGGTTACGGTAATTGCTGGCGGAAGCGCTGCAGCGCCTCCCCCTGAGGCAGCAGCTACGTCGTCCACGGCTCCCTCTATCGATTCCGCGACGCTCACGACGGCTGGGCTCGTTGGCGCCTCGACAACCTCTGCCGCTGGAGGCGGCGTTACGGTTGTTGCGAGCTCGACGTCTGGTGCCAGCTCTGCGCCCGGCTTTGCGCTCAGCTCTGAGGCTAGCTCTGAGGCCAGCTCTGCGGACAGCTCTGCGGCAGATGCGCAGTCCCAGGTTGCTTCTCCTACGCCCATTGAGTCAGCCGCAACCACTTCGTCGGCGACACTGCAGAACAACAGGCTGCCCTTTGACATCTCGACCGTTTCGCTGCAGAGCAAGGTCACGGTCAACCTTGGGCGAAGAATGGCAAGGCCGACGGAAAGAAGGCGGTGGTGGTGAAGGATTCCTTTTCAGAATGATGTTGTCTTCCATAGATGAGTTATCTAGTTCACCACTAATACCCCTATTTCTTACCTTCGCTTCCTTTTTATCAAACCGCCGATGTTACGGCATGTTCTGGACCTGTAGGTTAGTAACGCATTGTACCTAGGTAGGAATGTACGGTACTCAAAAGCATCACTCAGTATGGAAGAGAATATGTAAGCTGTTGACGTAGTTATTCTGGGTATCACGAACTTCCTCGACCGTCTTTTTGCGCTATCAACCCGATGATTGCCTGCGCTCTACTGTTCTGCCCCTGTCTTCGCCTTCTTGTTCCGCTTCATCTGCCGCTTGGAGATGGGCTTTTCTTCACCAGACTGGCTGACCGGCGTGCCCTCCATGCTCTCTCGCGCTTTGCGTTTCTGATCCTTCAGTGGGTTCGTCTGGTCTTTTGGCGTCTGTTTCTCCTTCTCTACTTCTGGCGCTGGAGGTTTCTCTCCCCCATAGACGACATCCACAATTCCCTTGAAGCTCTGCCGCTTCAGCCTCGCGAATTCGACTACGCTACGAGGTTCCTTCGTGAGACCATCTTTCCCCCTTTCCGCACCGAGCCCCCATACAGACGCAAGGTTAATGACGTCGCTCGGTGCTCTCACGCCGAGCACGCTTTTCGCTTCCGAACTGAACATCAGTCCGCGTCCTCGCGTGACGCGAATGAGCTGCACGGCATTGCTGATCAGATTCCGCTTGGCGGTGGGATCGCTGGACAGAATGGCCTGGCTGTAGCAGAGTTCGATCTTAATGCCGCGCGACACGGCGGTGCCGAGCATGGGGTACTTGAAGTGCTTCTCGAACTTCTGCGTCAGGTCCAGGGAGATGATGTCGACGTCCAGACTCTGGCATGCTTGCTGCAGGGTGCGCTCGTCCGTTGGGCGCGCGGCAATCAGGTCGTAGTGCTGCTGCAGCTGCGGGATGCGGAAGTTGGAGGCGGAGTCGGTGAGGAAGATGTTGCAGCGCCGTAGCAGGCGGAGGCGCGATGGCGTGGGAAAGGGGAGGGGGTGCGGGACGGGAGAGGCCTGGCGTGGGATTAGCAAACCAGTGGCGATGCTCTGGGGCGCCCACGTGACGGCGGATGGCGTCGCTTTGTCCAAGGTTCGAATACGATGCCGGAGATCTAGAAACGGGAGAGAGAAATGGGGGAAGTTGGGGCTTTTTTCGGGCTATAAGCTGGCTTACTAGATCGGCGGGCAGGCGTCCTGCCGGGTATGTGTAGGTGAGGGCCACCACGTCGTATCCTACTGCGCTGTGTCAACCGCAGCTCCCTCGGGGATCAGCAGCAAGCAAGGGCGCGCACAGGAGCTTACATTCGTCGAGAAATGCGACGGTGCGCTGCAGCTCCTTTGTGTCCTTCGTCCACGGCACGTTCAGATCGTGGAAGCCTGCCATGGTCGCGACGACAATGAGCGCAGCGACCGAAGTGCGCACCGGCGAGCTACGGAGGAGAGAGACTGCAGGTGAGTGGACTTCTGGCAGGCCCCGGTCAAAGCTTGTGCGCGGTCACGTGCGGCGCCGATCTATGGCTCACAACCCAAGCCACCAGCAGCAGAGACGTGCACAACCACGGACGGCAGCCAGACAATCCCAGCGACTCGGCCCCTCCGACCTCGACTCCGTCCGCGCCGCCGCACACCACAGCGCATCCTCGCCGCGAGCGCGACAGCGACAGCGACAGCGACAGCTCGTTTGGCCGCTTCCGCCGGCACAGGGCCAAGGCAGCCGCGCTCGGCGTCCTTGCAGGCCTTGCGTTCTTGTTATTCCTTGCCGCCAGCCTCCGCTCCACCCCGCCATCACCGCTGTCCGCGCCCTCCCACTCCCACCACTCCCCCATTGCGAACGAGACCGCGGCCGACTCCTCGCCCGCGCTCGACGAGACGCTCGCTCCTCCATCCACCGCCGAAATGGCGCTCAACAGCAGCGCCGGCGCGACGTCGGTCGCCCGCGTCTACGCCGACGTCAACGCCAACATGCCCCGCGCATACTGGGACTACGACAGCGTCAACATCTCGTGGGGCGTGCTCGAGAACTACGAGGTCGTGCGCAAGATCGGCCGCGGCAAGTACAGCGAGGTGTTCGAGGGCATCAATGTGGTCAACTACCAGAAATGCGTCATCAAGGTGCTGAAGCCGGTCAAGAAGAAGAAGATCAAGCGCGAGATCAAGATCCTGCAGAATCTGAGCGGCGGCCCCAACATTGTCAGCCTGCTGGACGTGGTGAGAGATAACCAGGTTAGTGATGGCTCCGATTGGGTTGGCGACTGGGTACTTGCTCCCTCTTGCCCGGTCCCGCCATGCCTTTACGATGCTGACTAGAGGGGTGACAGAGTAAAACCCCGTCCTTGATCTTCGAATATGTCAACAACACCGACTTCCGCAGCCTGTACCCCAAGTTCCAGGACTACGATGTGCGGTACTACATCTACGAGCTGCTTAAGGCGCTGGACTTCTGCCATAGCAAGGGCATCATGCACCGCGACGTCAAGCCTCATAACGTTATGATCGATCATGAGAAGCGAAAGTTGCGGCTGATCGACTGGGGCCTTGCGGAGTTTTACCACGCCGGCACCGAGTATAACGTTCGCGTTGCTTCGCGTTACTTCAAGGGTCCGGAGCTCCTAGTCGACTTCCAGGAGTACGACTACTCGCTCGACATGTGGTCGCTCGGCGCCATGTTCGCGTCCATGATTTTCCGTCGAGAACCCTTTTTCCACGGCAACAGCAACTCGGACCAGCTCGTGAAGATTGCGAAGGTTCTGGGAACAGAGGACCTGTTCGACTACCTCGACAAGTATGACATTGAGCTCGACGCACAGTACGACGACATTCTGTCGCGCTACCCGAAGAAACCCTGGCACTCGTTTATCAACGCAGACAACCAGCGCTTCGTTAGCAACGATGCCATCGACTTCCTCGACAAGCTGCTGCGATACGACCATCAGGTAAGCCCTCCGGTGTGGAGCTGAAGGATCCAAATGCTGACGATAGCTAGGAACGACTCACAGCTAAAGAAGCGATGAACCACCCCTACTTCGCTCCCGTCCGCCAAGCTGCCGCACAGAACCACAACGCGGGCACGTCTCATTCTTGAATGATACCCTTTTCTCAGTAGACCTTATCTAATGCAAGAGATATGCAGGTGACGGAGCCGGAAACGCGAACAATATCAACCGGGTGCCGCCGACGCTACCTTCTATTCGAGAAGCCCTTAGGAGTGGCCACTAGCCGGCAGGCTGATGTCACAACTGAGCATGGACCTATCGGCGGGAGGACGATCGAGGCGCGGGAACTATCTTCAGTAGAACACGATTACATGTCGGCACAGTATACTTCTGTCAGGCTTCGGCGAGCACCACACTCTTCCTTTGCATTTATGTTTCACCGCTCGGAGCTCTTTTTGGCAAGCGGTTGCGTGCGCTGGGAAGGAATACGCTACATTGCATTTCCAGGGCGTTTAGTATTCTAGTAGAGATCCAATTGAAACAAACAGACCGATCCATTCAATCTGGAATGACTGTGATGTAAGACCCGGGTCCGGCCGTGATAGCTGATCGTCATAGAATTGTTTTTGGTGTTGCGGGGTCAGCGTCAGCTTGAGTCAAACGCGCCAAGCCTTTGTGCTGCACGTCGACTCACAAGCTGCAGCTCCGATATTTCTACCTCCCATGCCCCGCCGAGCGCCCACATTGCGCGCTGACTCCTACACATACCTTGTGAGAGGCAAATTTTCGCGCCTCTACACGACATCGTCCGCCTCTCGACTCCGATACCTCCAATCGCACCGATTCGTCACTTTCTCACGACCCTCCAAACCACTGCCTGCTCACCAGCAGCGCAGCTTCTCTGCCACCACCATGGCGCTCAACCCGAGCTCGCACAATGTCACGGGCGACCCCACGGGCCCGAACAGTGCCCCTCCGCCGCCTCTCGCCGAGGACAGCAAGAAGGACATCCTAGACAACTCGAACACAGAAGGCACGGGGCAGTCCGCTCCGGGACGGGATGGCGGAGAAAAGGACGTCGAGAAGAAAGTAAAGAGCGCGAAGGAGCTGGAGAAGGAGCGCAAGAAGGCGGAGAAGGACGCGAAGTTTCGGGCGAAGAAGGCGGCGCAGGCCTCGAAAGATGGTGCGACGACTAAGAAGAAGGAGAAGAAGGAGAAGGATGTGCTGCCCGAGTATGTGGAGGAGACGCCGAAGGGGGAGAAGAAGATTCTGAAGAGTCTGGATACAGAGTTTACGAAGGCGTATGTTCCGAAGGTTGTGGAGAGTGCCTGGTATGATTGGTGGCAGAAAGAGGGGTTTTTTACGCCCGAGTATGGGACGCCGCAGATTAAGGACGGGAAGGTGAACGAGAAGGGGTCGTTTGTGATACCGATTCCTCCGCCGAACGTCACGGGCAAGCTGCACTGCGGACACGCGCTTGCAACCGCTCTCCAGGATGTGTTGATTCGCTGGCATCGTATGAGAGGGTATACGACACTCTATTTGCCGGGCTGCGACCATGCCGGTATCTCTACCCAGAGCGTTGTCGAGAATATGCTGTGGAGGCGAGAAAAGAAGACGCGATATGACCTGGGTCGCCCGGCGTTTCTCGAGAGGACAATGCAGTGGAAGAACGAATACCACGACAGCATCAATATGGTCCTCAAGCGCATGGGAGGCTCGTTCGATTGGACACGCGAGGCATTCACAATGGATGCTAACCTCTCAAAAGCTGTAACCGAGACTTTTGTTAGGTTACATGAAGACGGACTCATCTACCGCTCCAATCGACTCGTAAACTGGTGTACACGGCTCAATACAGCACTGTCCAATCTCGAAGTGGACAACAAGGAGCTCAGCGGCAGGACACTTCTAGATGTCCCCGGCTACGAGCGCAAGGTCGAGTTTGGCGTGCTCACCCACTTCAAGTATCCCATAGAAGTGGACGGCAAGCAGGAGTTAATCGAAGTTGCCACCACCCGTCCGGAGACCATGCTGGGTGATACAGCCATCGCTGTTCACCCGAATGATGAGAGATATAAACATCTCCTGGGAAAGAAAGCAAAGCATCCCTTCGTTGATCGCGAGCTTCCAATCGTAGCGGACGATTACGTCGACCCAGAGTTCGGTACCGGTGCCGTCAAGATCACTCCCGCGCACGACCCGAACGATTTTGCCATCGGGCAGCGGCACAACCTCGACTTCGTCAACATCCTCACTGACGATGGCCTGATGAATAAGAATGCGGGCCCGCAGTTCGAGGGCCAGAAGCGGTTTGACGTTCGTTACAGCGTCGTCGAAGCATTGACCGAGAAGGGCCTATTCGTCAAGAAGGAGGACAATGCTATGAAAGTCCCGGTCTGCCAGAAATCGAAAGACATCATCGAACCTCTCATGAAGCCACAGTGGTGGATGAAGATGGAGTCACTCGCCAAGCGTGCTGTTGAGGTTGTGGAGAAGGGCGAGATCAAGATCCGACCGGAGACTTCGGAAAAGATCTAGTATGTTCTTCACTCAGTACCATTATTCGTCTACTAATCATTTTTGCAGCAAACACTGGCTAAACAATATCAATGACTGGTGTCTATCTCGGTATGTACAACATGCGCCAGGACGGCGAAACTTGTGCCTGTTAAACGCCTTTTCTCCGAGGCACTGGCTAACTTTAATGCGAATGTAGGCAGCTATGGTGGGGACATCAGATACCGGTAAGTCAAGCCCTTGGCGCGAGCACTGACTGATCGCTAATTGTTCCACCACCTTAGGCCTACTTCGTCCAAATTGAGGGCTTGGAGGGAGAGAGTACTGACAACGAGCTCTGGGTTACCGGCCGGACAGAAGAGGAAGCACAACAGAAAGCAGAAGCCAAATGGCCTGGCAAGAAGTTCACACTCCGTCGTGATGAGGATGTGCTAGGTGAGTTTGGATACGGTCGACTACGTGAATGCCGACTAACCATTGCAGATACCTGGTTCAGCTCAGGATTGTGGCCTTTCTCTACCTTAGGGTGGCCATCCGATACTTTGGATATGCGGACGCTCTTCCCTACGAGCGTGCTCGAGACCGGATGGGATATTCTCTTCTTCTGGGTTGCGCGCATGATCATGCTGTCGCTGCATCTAACAGGAAAGGTCCCATTCCGAGAGGTCTACTGCCACTCCCTTATCCGCGACTCCGAGGGTCGTAAAATGAGTAAGCTAACTTCGTGGTACGAATACCAAATTGAGACATACTAATCGTACTACCACCTTAGGCAAATCATTGGGTAACGTCATCGATCCAGTCGATATCATGGATGGTATAAGCTTGGTCTCATTGAACGACAAGCTCAAGCAAGGCAACCTCGATCCCCGCGAGCTCAAGACGGCGGAGAAGTACCAACGCACCTCGTTTCCTCAAGGAATTCCGGAATGCGGAGCAGATGCGCTACGGATGGCTCTCGTTGGCTATACGACAGGAGGCGGTAAGCTACCTACTAGTGCGAATAAAGCCGAAAGACATGCTAATCGCACCTCCATCTTGCAGGTGACATCAACTTCGCTATCGATACCATTTATGGCTACCGTCGCTTCTGCAATAAGATCTACCAAGGTATGACAAAGTTTGGATTAACATCTCAATCTATATTAATATTCGGTCAGCCACAAAATATGTGCTCTCTCGCCTAGGCGAGTTCACGCCCCGTCCTACCGTCACTAAATCTGGATCCGAATCTCTGGCTGAACGATGGATTCTGTCGAAGCAGTCCAAGACCGCACAGCGACTCAATCGCCATCTCGAGAAGAGGGAGTTCTCCCTGTCAACGCAGGTGGCATACAAATACTTCCTTCAATTTCTCTGCGACACATACATCGAGAATTCGAAAGCCATTTTCGACTCGGGAAGCGAGGAGGAGAAGGAGAACGCCCGGCAGACCCTATACACCGCACTTGAAGGAGGATTGCTGATGATCCATCCTTTTATGCCCTACCTCACGGAGGAGCTGTGGCAGCGACTACCGCGCCGACCAGGCGACAAGACACCCTCCATCACCGTTGCCACATACCCAGAATACATCCCGGACTTTGTTGACGAAGCGGCTGAAACGGAATGTAAGTCACGCCGCCTTGTTTCGCAATCAGCAAAACACTAATAGTCTTTAGACGAACTCCTCGTGGACTGCTCTAAAGGTCTCCGCTCCCTTACCGCTGAATACGGGATCAAGGAGGCCGGCACAACATTCATTCAACCTCTGGACGAGCCCACCCAAGCCGCCCTCTCCATCCCAACTTCTCTGCCTTCGATTCGTTCGCTCACCGGCAAAGTCGTCTCTTCTGTCGAGATTCTTTCGCCATCAGATCCTCCGCCTACCGGATGCGCCGTGTACACTGTCGGCGCGTCAGCCACCGTCTTCCTCGACGTCAAGGGCCGCATCGATATCGACAAAGAAATCGAGAAGATGAAAGACCGGCTCAAGGAATCGAACAAGGCTGTCGAGAAGCAGAGGAAGATTATGGACGATGAGTGGGCACAAAAGGTCAGCGAGGCGGTCAAGGAGCAGGAAACGGAGAGGCTGAAGGCGGCGGAGATAGAGGGCCGGAATTGGCAGAGGTCTCTTGAGCAGTTTGAGAGGCTGAAGATCGAGTAGTCTGGGCCCGATCCTTGTGCGGGATGGATTGTTTCCTACGAGGATTACATATAGGCCTGCTTAGGTGCATAGACGGGTTTCCCTTCGTGCGTTGCATGTATTAGATTTCAAAAGTAGAACTCTCCGTCTCCACACAGCCCCTATCGGTCAGATCTTATGGAAGGCGTTGATGGCCACCATCATCAAGCCCTCCTTCCGCTCACTAATTCTTCCCAGACCCTCCGGCCACATAAGGGCGTTTTGACCGTCGATTTAAAGTGATCTGATCTGGCTCCTAGCCCCCGCGAGTCCAATATCGTGCTCCTGTAGACCTGTTTCTTAGAGTATGGAGTTGGCCTTTTGCGCAAGTGAAGGAGGGGAAAAGACGACATGTCGGAAACCAGAAAGCGATTTTGTACTGCACGGCACGTCGCGCCTGGAACTTGGTGCATCGGATGCAACTTTAACCCTTTTTTCTTCTCCCCTCGTTTCCGTGGCGTTGTTGGTATCGGCGTTTTAGAGACGTGGATGGGCGCACGGAGGAAGACGACACGCCATAATGTAGAGCTGTGCCTTGTTTCTGAGGTCGCGCGCGCATGGGAGACTGCTCGGCGTGGCGATGTTGTCGTGCGGCTTTTGGTTTTCTGTGCGTGGAGTGTGGAGAGACGCGACTCCATGAGTGGGTTGGGTTGCTGTTTTTGGTAGCGTGCGTGATGGGTGTGAGGGACGGCGGACGGGGAGGAAGGAGAGCAGGAGCTGTAACGCAGCATTTAGGTTATTTTTGGTGACATGCATGTCGTTGGCGGTTTAGCTTTGAAGTCGGAGATTATAAAGGTGGAACGGCAGAGCATTGTTAGTGCGTTTCGCCCGTTTTGGCACCATACATCAACGCGTGCATACTGGCTTTGGGCTCATGGAGCATCGGCATAGGATTGCCTGGGCGCCAGAGGAGGGACGGGCATACAATATGGTACACGAGGTTTCCGGGCCTTGAAGAAGACGTTAGGAGCTCCCTGTTACGCGTTGGACGCAGAGGAAGGACATGACAGCGCAGTTACGCCGCTTCAGAAGGAAACTGAGAACTAGACTCGAGGATGCACTTAACACCGCCGGCCAGGGTTTCCATGCAATACGAGAGGAAGAGCTTTAGATCCTTCCATAGAATCTTAGGATTTCTGTTTTTTTGATGCCGATGAGAGGAGGGATATTGAAAGGGTGAGTTGGGTGTTTCGGGTACCGGGAAGAGCGGCCGGTCATGTGGTTGTGGGGGACGTGATTTTGAGATCCGGAACGGCATGCGCGGGGTGCTGTTCTGTTTTACTTTGCATGGAGGGAAAACCAGGTGGGAGTAGTATTAGAGCTTCTGGGATGAGATAGGGAAGTATGCTAATGCAAGTTATCATGCATTCATGGAGGAGTATCTAGAAGACTTGGTGTATGTACCTCCGAACGGATGGCGTCCCGTCCGGCGCAGTGGCATCGAGAGCCTGTGTCGGCGCTTTTGGAAATTTCTGTGTTGCGCATACAATATATCTGAGCGTGATATTCAGTTCGCCAAAGCAGACGTCCAGCATGCGCGAGAAAGGTCAGCTCTTTTAGGACGTCCCGGATGCGCGTAGGACGTCATACTCATCTCTGACCGTCGCTTTAATGCTGCAAGACGAAAGGTGATATAATTTTATTTCAGAGTCAGAGGTGAGAGGCATAACGACGTCGCGTGTTCCTTCTGGACGCTCCGACGGCAATCATGGGCCTCATCCATCCTTTTGGGTCCTTAGAGACATAAGAAGAGGAGTGCTTAATTTTGAAGAGGGGGGAGACGCGTACTCGTCTTTTAGGAATCTTTGCGAACACACGACAGAGGAGAACATGCTTCGTTTGTTTAGTGGTTTCGAGTGGCAGGACATTTCCTCGCCGCCTACACATTTCAGATACGCTGCCGACGGCTCTCTAGGGTAGTACGATACAGTTTAAAACCGGTTGGACTCCGACATTGGGACAATATTGTTCGATTTTGAAGGGTGGGAGGAGGAAGACGTTCCACTCCAGATTCGTCTCTTCTGTGCCGTGAATTCTGTGGTGCTTCCAAGTCATTGGTGCCTAAGTCGACACTCTGTGTTTCGGTATAACAATGGAGACAACAAACTTCGGTGATGGCCCACGGGGCGAAGGTGGCATGTGCCGCACTTCCAGCAGTTTTGATGTCGCGCATCACGTCGATGTCATAAGGTGTTTTGCGGTCCATAGAGCTCGCGGTTCCAGCATGCAAAGAATACCTGAAAGGCGCAAAACATCATGTCGTGGACCATCCTTTTTGGTGCTTCGTAAGCATCTTCCTCGGTGTTGTAGGCTATGAAGCTATGTCAAGGCCATGGCGCTCTGATCCGAGAGATTTGCAGATGCTCAGAAAAATACAGGAGAAAAGAAAGGCATCGCGGGCTCTGTATTCCATTCTTGAGGCCAGAACCGGAAGCCATGTTGCTTTGCTGGGTTGAATTTAGTAACGGCATCGATGATCTGAAGCTCGTGCAGTTTGTGGCGGTAAAGCTGCAAGCAAAGACGTAGACTTGTAGTACGCCGCCTTGGGGCCTGCGAGACTGAGCAGGGAGGGGCTAACTACCTGATTCGGAGTGCCAGGCGGCTGTGTAACCTTTATGAGATCTTGGACACTGGAAAGAGATTGTTCTTCCGAGACTTCCGAGACTTTGAAACAAAATGCAGCCATGAAATCCACTCTTCTTATCTACGAGTCATTCAAGGATACGGCGTGCTTTTCAGAAGACACAGAAAACGCATCGTTGATCATGATTGGAGGCTCCGGCTCCGCATAGGGACTGGTCATGTTGGTTTGGTATTCATTTCTTAAAAAGCCGATGGACATTTGGAAGAGATTATTCTTGTTTTGTGGCCAGCAGCCCTATTGGGCTTTGGAAAGGCCTGAGCAAGAAGGGTATGGACCTCAACAGCAAGGGGGAGAGACATGCAACGATGGAGAAAGTGTTTTGCGATCCAACATCTCAACTCTTGATAACTGTTCTCAAACTGCCGAGCCCGCTGGAGAAAGACATCTGCCCCACGTAAACGCCGTTAAGAAGAACAGTACGAGTCATGCGTAGAGCCTTCAGTCTTTCCCGGTCTCCCGGGAGAGAAGCAAGCATGCGGTATTGAACTATCCTTTGAGGAAAGTTATGACATGTGGGAAGTGTCATTTTGGAAAGACAGGACGAGATATGAAAGCATCAAAACGTGCATTCCTGTCTCAGTCTCAGATTTGCTGATGCTGTTGGAGTTGTCGGAATTCTGGAGACATCCGCAGCCATATGTTGACGGTGTGATCTTTCTGGTCGCCGTGGCAGATATTCGGTGGGGTAAGGAATCGAGCTGGAGTAATGCGTGTTATATTAGCGTTGCGAATTCCGTTCTGAAGCATGCCTTGCGTTCATCCTTTAGGTGGAAGGTTTGGAGAGTCCGCTACGCGTTCCAGTGTAGCGCCATGGTGCGTCCCAATGGCATTTTAGACCTCCGATAGAGATAAAGGATCGGTACGGAGAAGAATATGGAACTGCCTTACGACACGGTGGCGGTCGTGTTGGATCGTGTTGGATTACTCGAGTAAGGCTGACTCTCAGGGACAGTTCCTGGGGTTGATATTCCTCGAACAGTCAAGATTGTGTCGGGGTTCTAGAGCATACCGACCGCTTTCGGCGTTTTCGGCCAGCTGCCATGGTTCGAGCAGGAGGCGACTTCCAATGCTGGGCATTATGGTGGCTGGGTCGTACTTTTAGACTTGCTCGAGCCATTAGATGATAGCTCAGGCTAGGTTGTTTTAGAGGTGGAAGACACTGTGGTCTGGTTAAACCGCGGAGTGCCAGAGAGTCCAGCCGAGAGAGATCATCGACGGGCTTGGATTATACTTTAGAGGGTGCTCTCAGATCTGTCCCCGGCATGTATAGCCGCGATTGCTTTTTTATAAGCCAAAATTTTTTGGGGGTTGATTTTTTTTTTACGACCCATGTAGACCATGCTGGCGCCAGCATGTCGGTTTAGTAGTTGTGAGGAGGATGCGGATGCAAGAAGCAAAGATTTCTCAGACGGGAAAGAACCTGCAAAGGTTCATACCCCAGCGAATCATCCGAAACTCTTCGAACGTGCTCCGAACAAACTGCGCCTCCATTTCGTACGTTCCGTCACTCTCCTTCCGCAAATAATCTCCCCCGTCTTCAGTACCGAATTCCACCACAAGATCATCCGGTAACGCAAGAACCAATTTCTTCAGCGTCTTCCGGAAGCTCGCAATCTTGCGCTTACTGCGCTTGAAATCGTCAATGAAGCGATCATCGACGACCCGCAGCGCATCCCCATCCCAGTGGGGGTCATAGCCCGTGATCGTGAGTCGGAGTCGCTTTAAGCTGCGCATTCTAGCTATCCCCGAGAAGTCGAATCGCTCGCAGATTTGGTGGATGCACCAATCCCGCCCCATGTCGATGAGGAGGAGAAAGGGGGTGATGCGGGAGGTGTTCTAGCCGAAGGGGATAGCGGACTTGGAGTTGAAGTTTGTCTTTGACTGTCGGACTTCAAGGAAAGGTGAGTCGACATCTACCGCGATGCGAAACTTTATTTCATGATATATAGTGTCAGTGGCCTCCCCAAAGAGCTGTCGGCTGACTAGTAGGATTGCGGTCGACTAAATCTGACGAGGACTCTCTGGGGATTGAAGTTCGTAGCAGGCCTGCGGCTTCACGGAATCGTATATGTCCCTTGGGAAGTCGGCATTCTTTCCTACGATATAGCTGTATATCTTGTCCCTGAGCTCGCGCGGAAGCGCTAGGAAATTGAACGTGTCGCCTCTTGGTGCGGTATGAGGACTGTGCAGCGCTTTAGCGGGGAATAGCTGAGCTGGGATTCGGGAATGATGAAAGCATACTATACGGGTTTTGTGGCTGCATGCCCCTGAGGGCTTGTCGCTCAAAGGCAATCCTAGCTAGCGACGAGTACCAGGCGTTTGGTCGACTACGTCTGGCCGCCCTAGGCACTTGCCTTCTGGGCGGCAACGCCCCTGACATCGTCTCTGAGTTCAAACACTGGCGTATTAGATGATTGTGGTTGAGGTGCTGCCTGATGAGGCGGGGGAGGTGAGGGTGGAGGGCACTGCATTTCTGGTCGTACCAGCTGTGCGTTGGCGATGAGTCAGCGACGCGCACGGACGCAATGAAATTAACGCTAGTGTCCGAATCGGGTTAATTCTTTACATCCAGGGCTCAACACGGCTGGGCAACTGATAAGATACGCTGATTAAGAACTATCTCGAGCCATGACCTCAACCATTATAACTCTTCCCATCAACCGGCTTAATCGTCAGCGCCTTCAAATCCACCCCCTCAAAAGTCCTGACGTTCACCGCCATATAATCGGGGTAGTAATTCGGATCCAAGCTCTTCGAAAAGCCGCTGGTCCCGCAGGTAGGGCAGAAGTAATGCGCGAACTTGTGTCTTGGTGGGAAGGTGTACTTCTATACATCGCCAATCAGCATCGCCATAAAACCGGGCAGAGGAAAGCGGGGGAAGGTTGGTTTGAGGTCGAGGAGGAGGATGAGAGCGTACCGTGAGCTCATCGACCGAGCCTTTCTCCCAGGTAATGTTTTTGTCTGGGACGTAGAGGAAGAGGTACCCGTTGCGCGAGCAGATGCTGCAGTTGCAGTCGATGACTTCGCAGCTGGGGTCCGTGAGGGGAGGAGACTGCGTGACGCTGTACTTGAACCGGCCGCAGTGGCAGGAGCCGGAGTAGGTGGTGCTGGGCGCAGCCGGGGAGGCGGCTGCGGAGTCGCTGGAAGACATGACAACGGCGGGGCTGTTCGATTTTGATGGGAAGAAGCTGCGGATGGATGAGATGCCGGACAAAGACAGTGAGCAGCTGGGTTTAAATGCCCTGAGCCCTCAGGCCAAAAGCCGCCAACCTCGCGTTATGCTTCACGAGTGCTGCGGAGTCATACTTCCCCGCACTTTATCGCTAGATAAAGCGAGCTGAGACGCGTCTCCGCGAATCAGATCGTGATAGCGCGACACAAGCAACGCGCAGTCATGTGAGTGGCGCTCTCGGCGCACTCGATCGCCGATGTATGTCTGAGGGCACGATGAGCAACACTTAGACCCTGTGGTTGGCCGAGGGTTCGTTGAGGGCAAAACGTGGAGAAGAACTTGTCGGTGGTCGGAGGAGACATCGGTGCGAAACTCGGCCGGTAATGCGAACCCGACATACGGAGGTCCCAAGAAGTGCCACCAGGTTCATCCTTGCGCCATGCATGTACGACCCAATGTCGCATGTAGCACTAAGCAGACAGGCAGCGCAACACAGAAATACGAGGACGGCAGGATGGCGAATATAGATAAAATTTTATGCAATTTGATCTATGTACAAGTAGAGAAAGAGCTTTAGATGTATGTATAGCAGAAAGGACCTCCCATGGTGCTCATGGCGTCTTCGACGGTGATGGTACCCGGATAGGCGTATCCCAGGTTCATGGAATCCGTTAACTTGGTCGCGGGCGCGGTCGGGTCCGCAATCACGATGGTGCCGTAGAGTGCCTTAGTGCGGTCTTTGGGTTGGAGATTTTGCCATGTCCACCAGGCGCGGTCGATTTGAGCGTGGTGGAAGTAGAACCTTTGATCGGTCAGTATTTGAATTATTGCAAAGTGTTCGAAACGACTTACCATGGGTCACCGGGAGAAGTAAAGAAATCGGATCCAGGGTCGCCGCCGACAGTGAAGTGACCCGCAGTGTGCACGCCCATGAAGTTGTTCGCGAAAGCCGGGTTACCACCTTGCATATCGTACCAGAAAGTCTTGATGTCCGGGCTATTGAGCAGCTTAGTGACCATGGCATCGTTGGTCCACTGGCTAGACGTCCAAGCCGAAATGTCGCGCTTGAGGCAGCGAGGATTGTGTCCAAGGCCGAGGAGGCCAGCCTGGGCAGGATCCGAGAAGTTGCTGTACGGGTTCGGCGGCGTGCAAAGCGAGTCGGTGAAGACGGGCCCAAGGTTGACGGGCCAGTCCTTGAATGGGCCGGACTTCACGCATCCTCCACCGGAGCCGTGAGGAATCTGTATCTGAGGGTCCATGTTCGTGGGGATGCCATAGTATGACTGGTTGGTGCAGCCCTTCTCGCCGTTTCCGCCCATAGACGTGTCAGAGCCGTCGAGGGAGGGCGAGGCCATGGGGTTGTACGCCCATCGTGCCCAGTTGTGGTAGGGCTGGTAGCCTTTGTAGCCACACTCATTGCGAAGTGTCTGCTCGTAGGCCCAAGTGAACCAGCGATGCCAGGCGAGGAAGTTGCCCGTGTTGTGGATCTAGAGTCATGAGCGACGATTAAGATGTTGGATGGAGAATCAAGGACTTACAGCGAAGGTCTGGTTGATGTGTGTACCAAGGAAGTCATCGAAGCGGTTCTTGCACCCTGGGCACTTCGCCTTTGGAGTTTTCGGAGGCAGCTTCGACATGCATTTAACCGCCTGAATGTAGTTCTTCTTCTCAGTCTTAGAGAAAGCAGACCTATGCTTCGTCAGCCACGAAGTACTGCAAATAACCGGATAAGGCGTACCATTCCCGACGAACAACAATGTTCATAGGATTACACTTCTTCCATTGCGAGCCTGCAGAAGTCGCCTGGTAGATCTGCTGGTTGATAGCAGCAATACCAGCCAGTACATCTGATTGTAAGATACCCGTGAAAGAAGCAGCCTCCCTCTTGTCAAAGGGCGTCGTCGAAGGGTCGTCCCTCGCGTCGATGACCGCCCCCTGCGCGCACAAAGCCACCGCGAGAAAAACTGCAACAGCACGCATGGCGCTTGCTGGCGGTGTGAAAAGGAAGGTGTCGAAGCAGAAAGCTGAAAGCCCGCCTAAACGCGAAAAAGAATTAGGAAATTAGGATTAGCAAAGTTTGCAGTAACGAGCGAGGAGTATGTGCGTGAGCGCGCGGTTAAACGTTCTCCATGGATCACAACACGAGGCCCCAAGGGTTAGGAAATTGATATTATAGGTAGATGAAGAAGCTGAGGAGGTGAAGAAAGCGTGGAATAAATTGAAGTGCATGCGTCGTCCTTCAAATACCGAAGGATTGGTATTCCAATAGTGTGTTAGTTCTTTGGTTGTGAGTCGAAATGCTCCAGCTCGCATGATATGCCATCCCGATTGAGGGACTGGGAGTTCGGCAGTGAAATTGGTGCGTTGAATGGAGTTTAGCGACTGAAGGAAGAAGATCTGAGCATTTCGCGAACTCGTGGCGAACGGGTCTGGCACAAGGGAACGTCGGAGAATCAAGGTCTTTTTGGAAGGGTCTTCATGCAAAGAGGCGGCACCGTGAGCTTCGCGATGGTGCCTGGAAGCCTGGATCTCTGGCGTACTCCGATGTGATTGGGTTCCGTTGGGACGGTAGGTTCCCTTGTACGAGATGTCGGTTCGCGCTTGCGGTTGCCGGTCCGTGAGATTGAGATCACGCCGCCATCGTTCTGACCGCTCACACACGGCGCCGATATCTGTCTGCGTATCTTATCATTCCGAGATCAGTCGAGAACTGGGGAGCAAAGCGAGGGTACGCTGACCGTGCCTTATCATCCACTGTACATACACGGTACGTCCCTCGTAACCCCTCGTCGTTCCTGCATTGGCGTGTAAAATTCTGAGCTACCCCGGGCAGGAGGCTTTGCGGGATTCGAGAACGCCTCCGGTCTTTCCGATTCATTTTGTGTTATTGCGGCACGGGAACACGAAGGAGCTTGTGTTGATTGGGAAGTTGGAGGATTTTGCCACGAGCACTAGTGACGGTTAAAATAGCCGCCGTTCCCCGTGTTCGCTCGGGCCGTGACAAGAACTCCACACGCTCGTGATGAACTCTACAGCACAGATGAAGATGCTTGTGCCAATAGAATCACTGCCCAGGCGCGAAAGAATCGAACGATCGAAGCCACATCCTGTGATACTCGCCACCTGTTTTCCTTTTGCATCATCTGTGGTTGGTAAAAAATTCCTTCATATCGAACGTGCATCAGGCTAGAAAGTCGGCCTTGCGACCAACCCCTACCGTCCAGTCCATACCCATGCCAGGGGACTGGTCCCTTCATCTATCGCAACCGTTACACAATCTCGCAGCGCCGTGTAACGTTCCTCCAGGATCGCCCTGCGACCACTCAGAATCCGACCCACAGCCCCAACACCAAACTACCTCCATCCAGGTTTGGCTAGACGCACAATTAACAAGCTACACGCTGCTAGACTCGGTTATGACTGCCCCCAGCGATTCTGTAGAAAGCTTCTTATCGACAATTGCTGTTTACGTAGGTCCTCTGCACTGGCTAATTAGCAAAGTTGGGGAAGTGCCTGCAAGGCCCGTCACTTTAAACTTTGACACTGGACGTTTACAACACCGAGGAGCTGGAGCCGCGACCTGATGGCGTATGCACAAGCGGGAGACACTTCGTACTCTACCGTAGCCGACCTGTTTCCCTCGCCAGCCATCATGAGAAGAAGCCACTGAAAGAGAGCGAACACCCGTTCTATCCGCTGATCTTTATTTTAAGGGGACAAGTACCCATCGCTTTCATCTCCCCGGACTTTGCGAGTCATCGTTGCGAATCGTTATCACGATGGGAGCCATGGGACTTGTATCGAGGCAGACTCCCATGGGCCCGCCGCCTTCCCCTGAGTACATGGCGGAGAACTATGGACCGAAGCTGCTGGCCATCGACCTGACGTTGTTCGGAGTGGCGATGATCACGGTGGTGATGAGGTTCTATGTGCGAATCTTCACGCTGAAGACGTTTGGTTGGGACGGTATGTACTCCCTTATCCCGCGGACTTCACAATTCTGACTGGGGCCCATGGCAGATGCGATGATGCTGATCTCAGCGGTAAGAATTGCGACACCGAACGCGCAATCGATCGGCATGCTAATCTATCGTCGATAGGCATTGAGCATAACATGCGTGGGACTGTTCGTCAAGGCCGTTACCCTAGGCATGGGAAGGCACGCCGAAGCCCTGGAGCCTACAAAGATCGCGCCTCTTTTCAAGTATCTTTATTTCTACGCCATCTTCATTGTCTTCGCCTACAGCTTCATCAAGCTCTCCATCGGCTTTTTCCTGCTGCGACTCGCCGATCGCACACGATGGCGAAGATTCCTCCAAGGCACTTTGGGTAAGTTGACGAAGGCTGCGCGGGAGGCGTCAGAAATCTGATCGTAGTAGTCTTCCTTGTCATTTTCATGCTCGGATCCACGCTTGCGATCATCTTCCAATGCATCCCAGTGCGCGCAGGCTGGGACATCGCCATGCGACCACCGACCGGAACCGCGAAATGCTACCCGTCTGACGTCTTCAAGAACGTCGGAGTCTTCAATTCTTGTAGGCCATCGCTCGTCTCGGAATCTGAGGGCATAAACTGACGCTGTCGCAGCGATCAACATCGCGACCGACCTCCTCTTTGCGCTCATCCCGATTCCCATTGTATGGAAGCTCCAAATCAACTTGAGAACAAAGATAGGTCTCGGATTCATTCTCGGGTTAGGTCTCTTGTACGTCTTCAGGCTCCCCTGCCGTTCCCTTTGGCACTGACGAATGCACAGTGCCTCTGCGACGGCCATCTACAAGACACCTATGCAATACAACTTCTTCAAGGAGCCCGATTGGTCCGGCAAAGGATCATGGTACTACATCTGGCAGCAGTGCGTCCTAGTCCCTTCCAAGTCCCTATCATCTCCCCACTAACAAGCGTCAACAGGGTCGAAATGAACGTCGGAATCATAGCCGCTTGTCTCCCAACCCTCAAACCCCTCTTCGCCAACTTCTTCGGCCAAATCCGCGCTCTGACGAGTGGCAGCGTCGGACGCAGCGCCGGCCTCAGCGGCCCCTTCAAGTCGAGCGGCTACCTCAAGCAAAACGACCGAAGCGATGGTGGATCTTACGCAATGAATAACTTCTCGGTCGATGCGTCGATGAGCAAGGAAGGTGCTGTGATATATGGGGGCCCGAATAACCGAGATCGGAGGTGGAGCAAAGCGGCAGAGAGCGATGAGAGTATTCTACCTCATCAAGGAGCCGCGCCGAAGGGCAAAGTGATCGTGAGGACAACAGAAGTCAATGTATCGTCGCCCTCGGGCTCTTTCTAAGCGCCGACCAGGGAAGGAAGGATAGTTCGAGGTTACTGAGACTTGACCTCCTATGCCTCGCCGCACTGGAAATTCAACATGTAATGGCACGAAGTCCACGAAGAGGTCAATACAAAGAGTGGACCGAAAATGTAAATAGCAACTAGGAAACTTACAGCCGATACTTCTTTTGTCATGCAAACGTGAGAGAGCCAACGCAATATTCTTCGATCTTGACGGCTTCATGCAGCGTCAAAGAACCCAAAGAAGAGGAGTTGCGCGTCCGCGCCCAGTTCTCCACACGCCCCTACTCTGCGTGACCGTTTTCGGCGGATATCGCTAACCTTCCGAGACGCAAAGGAACATCGGTACCTCTCAAACCGGCAAGGACAGTTGCATTGAGGAAACAAGTACGGATACTGGTGACCTGATCTTGCAAGCAATTGCCGCGGCGATCCTGCCTAGAAAGGGCGATGGTCCCGTAGTGAAAGGCTAGTCGGTGGAGACCTCGTATGTGAACGTGTCGAGGAGACTTGCATTGTCGATGTTGAATACGACGACGGCTACTTGCCAAAGAGGTAGCAACCTCGGTCCCCAGGCGTACTGAGCAAGCAGGAGGATCCCAGCTGTTTTCCGGCAGGAGGAACCAGGTAAAGCAAACCCAGGAAGAAGGTCCCAAGCGAGTTAGGCCAAACGCTTTCCGAAGCAAGCGATCTCCACTTTTGCGACAGGCCATTTTTAGATTCTTGACTTCATGAAGCATGAGTCAAGTATGATCCTCCTCTTCTCGACCAGTGCCGGCGAGGAAGTATAACGGCTAATGTCCAACACCTCCTCGCGACTTCGCCATTTTAGCTCTCCTGTTAGCGAGGCTTCGCGCACGTCCTTGAGGAGTTCGCAGGTTTCGCCCGAAGTAGTGGGTTCGTCGTCGTAGCTGACATCTCTGCGTGGAAGGAGAGTCTTCCATGAACACGATAGGGTACTGAAAGCAATTGTCCTCCACCTTACGACGAAAATACATATGCCATGTAGAGAAATGGGCCCGTTGGATTTTGTGGCTAGGCTTCGAACCGCAACCTGATGCACTGTCCTGCTTGCTTATCGAGGGGCTGAGCTGTGCTAGTCTGTATCTGCCGAAGGGCATCCTTGACCTGCGCGTCGTCAGCATGCCGTTGCCATTCCAATACCCTCGCGTACGAAGACATACCTCGGCATTCTGCATCGCAGCGCCTATGCTCGAGACTCGGAGGTCATGATTGACCCCTTTTTCCGGTGGAAGCAGTATACGCCGAGGCAGACGAAGAGCGCATTGAAGAGGATAATAAGGCCATACGGGATGTTTAGGTTCCTTGCATGACAGTCGAAGACGGTGAAATAGCTTGTTGATGTGACTTCTACTGGGACGTAGGCGCTATTGATACGCAGGTCGGTAAGTATTGCGAGGAGAGTGATGCCATGTACCTATTAGAGAAACGTATCATTAAGGATGCTCAGCGAAACTTCTGTTTATGCTATGCTCCCCGGCAGAGAATCCGATACCGTCCGGATTGGTTGACGATCTCTATCCTCCCAACACCATTCATTGCAGTGACTGTGAGAGGACCAGATACGTTCCAGAGCCAGCACGATATAAATTGGGTATCAGACGTAAATTCTGGATCAGCTGGTCGTCGCTGTATCGCGATAGCGAGCTCATCGCTGTACAAGTTGGCCGCGCTCGCGGTCAGGTTTCCCCCAATCCCGCCGATGTCGTAATTCCGAAGGACTCCAAGGTAGCTAATTTCTCCGTGGCTAGGCTTCCGTGGAAGCTGCGGATTATACTCCCACTTCATACTTCCTTGGCTCATATTGACTGAGTTTGCTATCCTGGTGGAGATTGTTGTGCCGCACAGGGCGGCACAGCATTGATTGGGGGCACAGCATTGTCAGCTAGAGGAGATTCTCTGCTGTTCACTTTCGCTTGGGTTATTGATGGGAGCTTCTCGAGTTACGCACAGTACTCGGGTGTGGAGGAAAATCCCTAGCAACTTGATGCTGACAAGCCGTTAGGCCTACCTCCCGCTCATGACCAGTGTGAGGAGAGCGTGCCGTTGAAGTTGATCCTGCCAGTGTGACTATTGCGTTTGTATCGTATCCAAGAGACCACAATTCTCCGTCGCCGCCTCCCGAACTGAGGGGTGGAAGCTACAAAGAATCATTTCTCTGAGCGTTTGCATCAAGGTGTATGGTGGTATCCGCCTTCGCCGTCAGCGCTGCCGCCAAATCAAAAGTGCAATCCGGCTTCATCTGCTTCTCCTAGTCGATTAGGGTAGGAAGAGTCGGATGATTTTACTCACCACCAATATCCATATCGAACAGTTCTATTCCCGCAGTGGCTGACACGGCTCCAATATCAGCCTTCTAAGCGCCCATACTAGAGCCTCTATAAGTGAGTCTTTGCAGCTGTAGTTATCACCTAGAACCCATAGCACGAGCTTACAGTTGCGAATGGTAATGACCCTCGTAACGACGAATTCTAGACCATGTTTTAAACTCCAAAGACAGTTTCGTGGTAATTAGGATCCAGTTTCCACAATTCCCGCTCCGAACGAGGATCTCTGTTCCGGCGGTCAGGGTAACTTCAGCGACCAGAATACCAGCAGCGAAGAAAACTGAGAGGTCCCTAAGCGCTGTAAGGGTGTGATCTCCAGAATGGCCGCCTGGAAAGCTCCCGCCAATGAGGAATAAGCCAGAAAATCTGTCAGGAAGCAACTCTAGATGTCGCCGCATTGCCGAAGGATGGCCCGCTGCTGATAATGTAACCCATCGCGAGGGCTTTTGATAACGCGCCGCTAGTGCGTGAGGAAAGCGAAAATCCTCCATGAAGAGCCAGCGCGACTGAGACGAAGATGGTGAGGAACGCAACGAGGACGCCCGCGCTGCGCGGTGAGAGCGTGATTGCAGAGCCATCAGCTTTCCTACGACTCCAGTTGGTCCACACGCCGTAGTACGCAAGATCGGACATATTGTTGAAGTCCCGGAAGACGAGGAAAGATGACGGGAAGCTCGCTGTCAGGGTTCAAAATTAGGTTGGGTAGCTGGGTTCGTCTTTCCGATAGCGACATGTCATAGAAGATATGTTATTATCCACTGCATCGCACTGCATGACGCCCCCCTTGCGCGACTCCAGACGATAAGAAAGTCTACCTTGCGAGCCAGTGAAGGTCCCAGGAGTTGAGCGGTCGCATCTCGCCGCCCCCTTCTCAATTGACGGATATATCAAGGAGCGGACAGTCTTCAACCGTTTCCCGCTGCGGGAGCTGCTTGCTGGGGTTCGGGGTATTTCAGCATGCATACTGCCAATCTCTGAGGGGTCGCTTGGGGATACGGGATAGACAAGCTGAAGACGAAATTGTGCAGAATTCGATGGGAGTGGTGTTGTACGGTGGTGTTGTGGATCCATCAACTCAGGAACCGATCGGATGACGTCACGCATGATTGGCAGGGACGATCAATGGCAGGACTGCTACGCTGCTTAAGGGGACCCTAGACCTCAAAATGCAATCTCCGTCACTAAGCAATAACTCTATTCGGAGGACGATTCGCTCCAAACTATATGTATGAGGCGGGGAAAACTCAGGCTTGGAGGCCTTCAGGTGGTGAAACGGAGGACAAATAGAGTATGCTGTCGTACCTGAAGTCCGGCTCGATAATGCATACTAATATTGGAACATTGGCTGGCCGCAGATGACGGACGGGTAAGGTAGCCATACACTTCCCGTCTTTCTGTCTACTTTGTGGGTTATGCCGACTCATAATAAGGCCAAAATATGTCCTTTCGGCCCGGAAATGACTTACTAGACATCTTTGGCCATCTACCTTTCGATTCCTCGTCTTTCTCACTAGTAGAGGAGATTTGAGGACTAAGTATACTTCATATCTTGATTGTACCGGTATCTATTTGATCTATACTACTCCAATACTGAAAAATGAAATATATGCATAAACGCACCGTGGACCGAAAGTTCAGTATCTCGAGCTAGATGTAAGAAGCGCAGCCAACCTACAAATATCCAAAAGTGTTCCCCATCTACGCCTTTGGAGGCGCCTCCGTCCTCTTTCCCATTCCCAAACGATGAATCTGATCCACGTAATACAACGTATCGACACCTAGATTGATCATCTTCACCCCCAACATCCTCACGAACCAATTTCCCCGGACCATGTTCAGCTCGCACTTCGCTTCCTCATCCTTCAACTCCGCATTAAGCAACACCTCCTTCGGCAGCTTCGGCCACACGGCTGCAGGTCTCCCCAGGCCAATAAGGTCACAGGCGTTGGTCTCAAGAGCGGAGAGCATACCCTTACGCGTCCGGAAGCCACCGGTTACCATGAGGAGTGTAGATGGATACCGGGCCCGCACAGCGCGCGAGTAGTCGAGGAAGAAGGCTTCGCGAGCGGCGGTGCGAGCGGCTCTGGGATCCGGGTTGTCGCCAACGGCCATACGCAGCTTCTCATATGACCCTCCACTGATCTCTATGAAGTCGATCTCTTCCCTGACAATGAGCCCGATCTGCTCGAGATTGTCTTCGAGTGACTCCGAGCCGCCAACGTCTGCGGAATTCAGCTTAATGCCAACGCAGAAGGATGACGGGACGACGGCGCGCACTGCGCGAATGACTTCGGTGACGATGCGTGCGCGCTTGGCCGGTGTGCCGCCGTACGCGTCCGTCCGGACATTGGATTTCGGGGAGAGGAATTGCGATAGCAGGTAGCCGTGTGCGCCGTGGATTTGGATACCCGCAAAGCCAGATTCGTATGCCAGCTTAGCTGCATCCGCGAACTGTTGGATGACCTCTTGAATCTCTTGGAGCGTCATTTCTCTCGGGCTGCCGAATAGTAGATGTCGGAGTAGGCGCTCCAGTAGCCCGTTTCCGATGTTTAGAGCGATAGGCGAAGGAGCGATCGTTTTCTCAGTGAACTTGCGTGACCCGCCTCCCACCATACTCTGGCGTCCCGGATGCACGAGCTGGACGAGCGTGGGCGTGCCGTTCTGCTGCGCCGCCAACGCCCAGCGTTTCCACGCGTCTCGGGTTTCCTGGGATATGGAGGGCTTGACGACGATGTTCTTGGGGCTACCCATGTGGACGGTGGAGACGTCGACGTTGCCTAGGATATATTAGAGGCTGCCTTTAGAGATGATTGGGACTCGTGTGTACCGGTTAGGAGACCGCCCCATCCTCCGGAGCCCCAGCTGTCGTAGGCGGCTATGTGTTTGTCGCCGGGATTATTCGAGTCGTCCGCCATGCCTTCCGCCATTGCGGCCTGTTGGGATTAGTGATGGTCTCTCGGCTTGACTGAGTGCTGAGCGTACCTTGATGAGGCGATTGGGAAAGACGACACCGCTTGGGGTCTTGATGGGGGAGTCCAGTCGTGCAGACATGACGAGGGAGAGTAATTTGCTTTATTTACGGGTATCTCGATGAAATGAAGTGAGCTTGATGAAGAGAAATGTTGTGGTGTTGGAGAGAGCAACGTCGTACCACCGATATAAATATCACCCTACATCACGTTTCGGTCCAGGGCTTGTCCGGCACGCGCTCAAGCACCGCCCTTTTCACGCGTGGTCATGCCTTTTCGTGTCCGCTCCATTTCCTATCTGGGCCGCTGCTTACATATTCCATCCTGCAAGGCTTGCCAGAACATTGACTTGCCTAACGAGTTCCGTGGGGTCTGGTCCGCCCGTCTGTTGGCTGAGTCGGCTGGCCATAGAGGTGCTGTGCCGCGGTGGTCGTGCGTTGATTGTCTGCGGAACTCCACCATCACGTAAGCCACGTCGACGAAGGCCTTCCTAGACAGGTAACCAGCCCCTACATTTGCGCCCTTGTCGCTATCTCTTGCGGAGTGCGGAATACAAATGAGTCAAAATTAGGAGACCGGCAATCTCTGAAAGTTTGACGACGCAAGCATGTCGGACGAAAAGCGGCTGTTGGAGGATTCCTCGGCACATCTCCTGATGTAGGCTAATTGCCACACTAGCACCAGCATAGCCTAGCGCAATCTACACGGCTTTCCCTACCTAGGTAATCGTATCAGACTTTCGAGACCAGATGAGTCCTCCCAGCAGATGTATCTCGTGGAGACGAGTAATAGGGTCGGATTGCCTCGGCTCATAAACGGCGGCGAGACCCCAGGTGCCTGACGGCTCTGCTGAATCATCCACAACACGACCGGAAGGATTTCCTCAACCCCTGAAAAGGCTCCGAGTCTCTTCAGGATTGTTGAACCCCATACAAATGTAAGTATCACGGACATACGTATTGAGAAGCCTTTGAATTCCCTCAGGATCATTACTCCTCGTGGCGGCTGAGCGCTCAACGGGTCAGGTCTTCCAAAAGTCGCAGGTTCCGTGGCTCCTGGGTTATCGCACTTCTAATGTGGTAGTGCTGGGCCTGTTTGGACGCTGACTGAGGACTGGGGTTTGCGTGGTTGTTCGTGTCGCGTTCTGCCGCCGATGGGTTTTGCGCGAAGGCCCTCCTGGCGGCGTAATAGCTAGAGGCACGAAGAATGTTGACACCCCGCAAGTCCCTGTTCGCATTGAAGATTATGGAAAGAACGGTGCAACCAAATCTGTAAAATAATGACCGGCAGTGGGTAGCTGGCCTGGGGTTGCGGTGGGACTAAATTTGGTGGCTCCCTATTATGGTTGAATAATGTGTGATCAGGCTTGGGGTAGATCGCTAAGTAGCGCTGGTACGAGGCCCGAGGGGTAAAGAGGGTTCAAGTAGCAGGAAGCGGCTCAAGACGTCCAACGGATATGCAAGGGAGGATGATGTGGTCCAGGAATGAGGCGAGGAATTGCGTGGCTTCGTCTCCAGCCACACTTCGCGTTGTGCCGAAGCAGGGACCACGCCTTGCAGGGGTCCCTTGTCCAGCCCCACCACAACGCTATCCGTCAAAACGGTCCCCGCGCCCGCCGCACGCTTCCAGTGCATGTCGAAGTCACTCACATGTCGCGCACCGAAGCAGATGAGCCACAGGACGCTGCCGCCAACCGTCACGATGGACCGAAGCAGGCCGCCGAGGACGCTGCGCTCGACGACACAGAGCAGGCGCAAGCAGCCCAGCTCATCCAGCGGAATTACCGCGGATATAGAGAACGGCGGAAGCTGAAGGGCCTGGGCTTGGATGCGGACTCGCGCTGGTCAGAGGTACGTGTATATTGGAGTGTTCCTTCCCCTTCCCTTTCTCTCTGTCTGGCCCTGATGATCGCTGACATGCGTGCTGTGTAGGCTATCAAAGAGGGTTAGCTCGCCCATCATACCTGCCTTAGGTACATCTACCGCGATCTGATGCTAAAACTCGAAAGCAAAATGGCAGAATGCAACTCGACCCATGTCACGTTCCCAACGATCTCCGATAGAAAGGGAGCTTTCCACCCCCGAAGAACGCTCTCGAGCGGCATCCGATGCGGCCCGCCAGAACTGGAAGCGCATTGGCGAGATAGCGCGACGAGCCGGCGGCGATGATCCGGACAACAGCTCACAAGATGAGGATGAGATGAGCCCAGAAGAGCGGAGGGAACACCGGCAGAAGAAAATGCAACAGAAGTCGGAGCGGGAGAAGACTGCCAAGATGATGGATTTGCAATACTTCTTAGAGATGGTTGACCAGAAACATCGCTATGGAAGTAATCTCAGGGCATACCATGAGCAGTGGAAGAAGTCGGACACGAACGAGAATTTCTTCTACTGGCTAGACTATGGGCAGGGAAAGAACTTCGTACATCCTACCGTCTCGCGAGAACGCTTGGATTCCGAGCGGGTCCGCTACCTCTCGCGAGAGGAACGAATGAATTACCTGGTCAAGATAGACGAGGAAGGGCGATTATGCTGGGCGAGAAACGGGCAGCGTATCAGCACCACACCAGAATACAAAGATAGTGTGGACGGTATCGTGCGCAAGGACGATGCATCCCTGGCGTACTCCCATTCTGGTAAGCTAGACGGCAGCGCAAGTCGGCGGAGTTCGACTTCCTCCTCCAGTTCGAGCTCGGCAGGCGTGCCGGAGCATAGCGACGTTGAGGGGGAGCACTACATCAACCACGATCTGCAGCAAGCCAAAGGGATATCCAGGATCAAGTATGTCTCCGCGGCGACCATTCTCAACCACCTACTCAGACGCTCTGTCAAACCGAACTCGTGGATATTCGTAAGTTGAACAAGCGAAATTTCGAGGCACTATTGACCAGGAATCAGGTGGCTGATACGTCGTTTCGGCTCTATGTCGGTATCAAACAATCGGGTGCTTTTCAGCACAGCTCCTTTCTTCACGGCGCCCGCATCTCGGCTGCGGGCCTCATCAAGATCAAAGATGGGCAGCTCCGTCGTCTCTCTCCGCTCTCGGGCCACTACCGACCTCCAACGAAGAATTTCCGCGCCTTCGTGCACTCTCTGCAAGACAATGGCGTCGACATGTCGCGCGTCTCTATATCGCGATCCTACGCTGTGCTCGTAGGCCTCGAAGCCTACGTCAAGACCCGGAAGAAGTTCAAGCATGGGGTTCAGCACGCCTCAAATGCCGAAACGAAAGTCATGCATCCGGAGGAATACAAGAGGAAAATGGAGGAGCAAAAGGACAAGAGCAAGAGTGCAGAGAAGGAGCGTCGACTGTTAGCTGCTAAATCGGAGGAACAAGAAGCGGAGCATAAGGAGAGAAGCTGGAAACGGAGGATTTGGAGCAAGATACGGTCCGGACCTGTAGCTTCCAAGGACGCAGCCAAGGAGAAGAGGCGCAGGAAGCATCTAAGCAAGTCGGGCCAGGATGTAGAAAGCGGCATCCCGCCGGAAGGGAAGCGCGAGAAGGTCAGCCCAGGGTGAGCTGGTTTGATGCCATTGGATTAGGCGTTTGGTGGCATGCATTACTAGTCTTCTTGGTTGATGATATCCCGCAGTCGCGCTAAGCGGCTGTCCTCCGCTGCCATAATAATGATTCTTGTACTGTACCCCTGGAGATCACGTCGGATCAGTTTGCCGTCAATGCTACCGGCCGCGAATCACGAGCAGTTGTGACAGCAGATGCGACCGACCAGAAAGTTGGACAGCGGGTGGTGGTTCCCACGGGCCGATGATGTCAGAGGGAACTTCGGAAGGTTTAGACGGGACAGCGCCATCGCTAACCATGGTTCACATCGCTGCACCTGGGCAGTCACGGCCGTCAAAGTACCTCTGTCACAGTGTCACATCATAATCTTTGCTTTTCTCCGTCTCCCATGCCACTTGAGCTCACAGTGACAGGGTGACAGAACCATAATGTCATCAATATCCGCGGTGGCTCAGGAACAGGATTTATGGTGAAACGACCTGCCGTGCCGCCTCTCCATGCGCGCACCAGCGTCTCTCCGAGAGGCAGCCCGCCAAGTGGGCCAGTTAATTGAGACCATAACGCAGGGTCCGTGATTGACTTCCCATGCCGTGTGCTGATGCGCGAAACGCAATTGACGATGTTCGGACGAGACGGCCGAACGATTGAGGGTCTGATGTGACCCCTGGAGTGATCGGCAGCGCTTGGGCCGCCTCGTGAAGCGAGCATGCAGGGCTCATCCCTGCTATAGGGCGCCGCTCGACGTCATCTCGTCTCAACCTCCATTCCGCATCCTGCTTTCTGCCTGGAGGCGGCACGAAGCACCGCGATCGCACGTTATGGGAGACGCGTTGATAGGGTGGAAGTGGACGCCGCTTCCGGCTGCGTTCTTTCGATGAGCAGCGCCCGTGGGGAACAGCCACAGCGCCGTCGATCGGGCCTAGATTTCGGTCAGCACCTTGGAGGTGCTTCACGATGGAGACGCTGCGACGCGCAGATACGGAGAAGAGGCTGCGTGGGAAGGCCATAGAGGTATGTATCGTGGGTGTGGGTTTGACTTGGAGAGATGCTTAAGTACACCGTAGAGCTAATCCACACCGTAGACCGCAGCTTCACACGCGTCCCAGCAGCATATAATCCGCCACCGCGAACTTGAACGGTTAAACTTGGCATCGTCCACGGCCATCGTCGATTTGTCCCGCCCTAGCCCAGCCACAGCTCGAGAGAGGCAGCTATCCGCTCGCGCCACGCCAAATGGCCCAGCATCTCCCACGGCCCCGCCAGAGGCTGGTGCTGTGACGCAACCCACTCTTTGTTGGTTGCAGCTTCGTCGCACACAGCGGCTCCACCCAAGCCGCAAAACAGGTTATGCTGCCCTATCGAGCGCCGTTGCGGCGCGAGCTACCCCTGCACGCATACCTCAGGAGCTTGAAGACTCTACGTCATGCTGGCAAAATTGCCCATCGCTGCCCTCATCCCCCATAAAGCTCTAGCTCCCCATGCCCTCCCTTTTCTGGCTCTAAAAGACGACCTGCTCGTCAATTGATACATGACCGAGAACTCATCCAGTTCCTACACATACTATTCATTTCCCCCGACTCCCAATAGAAACTCGCCCCGCTCAACTCGCTCACGATCCTTTTCGAGCACTGCATCTGCTACTTCGCAACGCACTCTTAGGACTACCCGCGAGCCACTAGAAGAAGAAGACGACAGCATGCCTTCCCCAGCAGCAGGAAAGGGTGACACCCCCCGCACCCCAACTAAGCTCGGACGGAAGCCCCAGCAGTCTGCTCCCAAGCTAGGCAAGAAGACACCACAGGCCGAGAAGCCGGAGAAAGAAGCTCCCAGTCTGCCCGAGCGCCCATCGGACGAGACGCTGCGTGAGAAGGCGGCTGACGCACCAGAGAACGTGGAAGACACCAAGGGCCAGGCGGAAGAGGCCGCAGAAGACACCACAGAAGACACTACCGAAGACACACAAGGCAAGGTTTCGCAAGCCGGCGATGAGCTGGAGCAGGCGGAGCCCAAGCCAATCGATGAGTCGGAAGACACCGCCAAGGATGTCAAGGACACCGCGGACGACGCGGAAGAGGAGGCAGAGGAGACCGGCGATGATGCGACACAGAAAGCCGGAGAAGAGGGCGACACGAATGAGAACACCGAGGACGACGCCACCGACACCGCTGGCGAGGCCGCTGAGAACGGCCAACAGCAGGGCGAAGGCGCACTAAGCGGCGCACGCGGACTTGCAGGCCGAGCATCGAATTTGGTTGGCAAGGGCACTCAGGACCCGGCCGGTGCCGCAAAAGACGCTGGAGAGGAAGCCCAGGACGCCGCTGGAGATGCTGCCGAAGGTGCAAAGGATACGGCGGACGGAGTCAAAGACACCGTCGAAGACACCACCGGTCAAGACCTTCCGGACACCCCCGATCTGTCGATCCTCAAAGGCCTCGAAGTCGACGAAGAGGGCATGATCAACGACAAAGACGGCAATCCAATCGGACGTCTCGTGGAAGGTGATGCTGAAGACCTCGCCGGATACGAGATCGGCGATAATGGCGAGATTCTCGATGACGATGGCGACCTCGTCGGCCGCTGCGAGGTCCTCCCAGAGGCTGCCCGCAAGCAGACGCAGCAAGCCCAGGACGCCGCTGGCGGCCCTAAGATGCCCAATATCAGCATTTTGAAGGGTCTCAAGGCGGACCGATCTGGCCAGATCCTGAACGAGGATGGCGATTTCGTCGGCCATCTAGTTGAGGGTGACCCGGCCCAGATTGAGGGCATGGAGTTTGATGAGAACGGTGAGATTCGTGACGAGGACGGCAACCTGCTTGCCAAGGCGGAGCTCCACCCCGATGCCGCCAACCTCGTTGACCAAGAGGAGGAGGGTGAGGAAGGAGAGGAGGGCGAAGGCGAGGGTGGCCTTGTTGAGGGCGCCGCGGGCCAAGCCCAAGAAACGGCGGAGGGCGCCGCTGAGGGTGCGGAGGAGGCGGCTGGAGACATCGAGCCCGAGCTCCCAGGCGTTGAGGCCTTAGAGGGCATGGAAGTCAATACCGAGGGCGACGTTCTCAACGATGAGGGCGAGGTTGTTGGCCACCTTGCGGAAGGCGACATCGGCGACGCCAAGGGCCTCACTGTCAACGAGAACGGAGAGGTCGTCGATGCTGACGGCAATGTGCTCGGCAAGGTCGAACTTGCCGAGGGTGCTGCTGACAAGCTCAAGGAGGCCGCTGAGGGCGCGCTCGATATCCGCATCTTGGAAGGCCTTAAAGTCAACAAGAAGGGCAAGGTTCTCGATGCGGAAGGCGAGGAGATTGGCGAGTTGAAAGAGGGTGAGGCCAAGGACTGTGCTGGCAAGACCATAAACGACAAGGGCGAGGTTCTCGACAAGGACGGAAACGTCCTCGGCAAGGTTGGCGTCGTCTCTGGCGAGGCTGCCTTCGAAGCCATGAAGGCGCTCAAGGAGCGTATTGGTGACGCTGAGCCTGAGATCAAGGAAGTCGAGGTTACCCCCGATCTTGACATCCTTGACGGACTGAAGGTCAACAAGAAGGGCCAGGTCTTGAATGAGGATGGTGATCCTATCGGAGAGCTCGTTGAGGGTGACATCAAGGACTGTGCCGGCAAAAGGATCAATGAGAAGGGCGAGGTACTCGACAAGGACGGAAATGTCATTGGCAAAGTCAAAACCCTTCCCCAGATGGTCGAGCAGAAGGTTGGTGAGGCTGAGGAAGCCGCCGACGAAGCTGGTGAAGCTGCGGAAGAAGCCGAAGAGGCTGCTGAAGATGCAGAGGAGGGCGCTGAATCTAACCTCCCGCCGCTCTCCATCCTGGAAGGCCTGTCCGTCAACAAGTCCGGTAAGCTCATCGATTCCAATGGTACCATTGTTGGCGAGCTCGTTGAGGGCGATGCCAAGAAGCTCTCCAAGTCTGGCCTCGTCTGCGATGCTGAAGGACAGTTCTGGGACAACAAAGGCCATGTCATTGGTCGTGCGCAGACCGTGCCCCTGGAGGAGGGAGAGGAGGAAGCTCCATTCGCCGGCCTCGAAGGCCTCATTGTTGTCAAGGGAGGGTTTGTTGAAGATGAGAACGGCAACCGCGTCGGGCAGGTTGTTGAGGGTGATCCCAAGAAGCTCGTCGGCCGCGCTGTTGATGAGGATGGAGATATCCTAGACAAGAAGGGCTCAGTTGTTGGACATGCTGAGCGTTACGACGAGCCAGAGGAAGAACCCGAGCCAGAGGAGGAGCCTGTCGACCTTTCCTTCCTCCAGGGCAAGACTGTCAACAAGCAGGGCAACGTCATCGGGGACGAGGGCGTCCCCGTTGCTCGTCTCGTCGAGGGCAACCCTAAGGAGCTCGCCGGCAAGAAACTGGACGACCAAGGCCAGATCTGGAACGACTCTGGCAAGGTTATTGGACGTGTCGAGCTCATTCCCGAGGAGGAGCGCGAAGCCAAGCCTGAAGGTCCTTTCGCCGGTCTTCAAGGTCTCCGCGTCATCCCTGATGGTAAGGTTGCTGATGAGGACGACAACGTTGTTGGTGTTATTATTGAGGGAAACCCCAAGCGTCTTGTTGGCATGGCTGTTGATGAGGATGGGGACATTCTCGACAAGTATGGCAATGTCAAGGGCCATGCTGAGCCGCTCGAGGAAGAGGAGGAAGTTCCCGAGGACCTCTCCATCCTTGATGGTCTCACACTCAACAAGCAGGGTAACCTCGTCGACCACAGCGGTGTGCCGGTTGGCCGCCTTGTCGAGGGCAACCTTGACGACCTTGTCGGTCGGAAGTCTGATGGCGAGGGCATAATCCACAATGACACTGGCAAGCCTGTCGGTCGCTGCGAGCTCATTCCTGAGAACGAGCGTGTCACTCGTAAGGAAGGTCCTTTCGCAGGCCTGGAAGGTTTACGCGTGGTCAAGGACGGATTCGTCGAAGATGGCGATGGCAATCGTGTTGGTCAGATCGTTGAAGGCGACCCTAAGCGCCTGATCGGTAACACTGTTGACGAAGACGGCGACATTATCGACAAATACGGCAATGTCAAGGGTCACGCCGAGCCTTACGAGGAGCCAGAAGAGGAAGAAGTCGACCTTAGCGCGCTGGCCGGCTGCACCGTCAACAAGGCTGGCAACGTCGTTGACTCTTCTGGGACAATCCTTGGACGTGTTGCTGAGGGTGACCCATCCACCATGATCGGCAAGAAGGTCGACGGCAAGGGCCAGATCTGGGACAACGAAGGCAATGTCATCGGTCGCGCCGAGCTGGTCAAGGGCGTCGCATCTGGCCCTGAAGGACCTTTCGCCGGCTTCGACAACAACATCGTTGCCAAGGACGGAACCGTTCAGACTGCTGATGGCGAGATCATCGGTCGTGTCATCGAGGGCGATATCAAGAAGTTGCAAGGCCACCATGTCGATGAGGACGGTGACATCAACGACAAGAACGGAAACGTCATCGGCAAGGCTGAACGCTGGGAGCCCGAGGAGAAGGAGCGTCGCATCAACCCCATGTCGGGCATGCGCGTCAATAAGGACGGCGAGGTACGTGACGAGAACGGCGACCTCATTGGTCGACTCACCGCTGGTGATCTTGGACACTGCGCGGGACTTGAGATCGACGACAACGGCTATGTTGTCGACAACGACGGCAACAAGGTCGGCGAGGTCACGCTCTTGGAAAATATCCAGGAAGAGGAGCCCGAGGATGAGACTGAGGAGGAGAAGAAGAGGCGCGAGGACGCTGAGCTCGCTGACAAGATGGCCAACATCTGCCAGCAGACGCTCGAGCGCATCCAGCCCGTCTGCAAGCAGATCACCGAGGTATGTTGCACACCCTTCCTCTCTCATATCTGTATATTAACACCCCACAGTACATCGAGCAAGCAGACCGCACACCGCGCGACGAGCTCGACGAAGAAGAGCTCGTCAACAACGTCAAGCCCCTCATTGAAGAAGGCGGCCGCATCCTGCAAGAGTGTAACGGCTCACTGCGCGGCCTCGACCCTGATGGCCGCATTGCCGCGCAGGCCAAGGGCCGCAGCCAGACGCGCGACGCCACGCCCGAGGAATACCGGCTCGCGGACCTGCTCAAGGAGATCACCACTTCGGTCGTCACCACCATCGACAACGCAAAGAAGAAGATCAGCGACATGCCGCATGCGAAGAAGAAGCTGAACCCGCTGTGGGCGCTGCTTACGGAGCCGCTCTTCCAGATCATCGCTGCCGTGGGGCTGTTGCTCACCGGTGTGCTGAACTTGGTCGGACGACTACTCAACGGCCTGGGCCTTGGTGGTCTCGTCAACGGACTGCTGGGCGGCCTTGGTATCGACAAGCTGCTTGGCGGTCTCGGTTTGGGTAGCTTGACGGAGATGCTGGGTGGTGGGAAGAAGGAGAAGAAGAAGGGTGGCGGAGGTGGTCTGCCGCTCGTGGGCGGTCTGATGGGTGGAAAGTAAAGCTTTCATCCCATCCCATCCCATCGCAGTGCATATTTTCTCTATTGGTCCAGATTGTGGAGGATTGATACCACGTCGAAGCCACCGCGCTCTTAGACATGAACCTAAGGATCGGGGGGTCTGAGGGCGAGTGTTTTGAGGGTGTGGTGGCCCTGAGGCACGGATGATGTTGGCAAAAAGCTTTTATGACCTTGATGGCTCGTCAGCTATGATGGAATTTTCCTTTGGTTACATACCGGATGGGTTTTGGCTTTAGCTAAGGCGTTTATTTGGATGGGAAAGGGTATGTGGATGGTTGGACGGTTATTGTTTAGTGCTGTTGTATGATTAGTTCGGGTAATGAGAGTTTTTTACTTCATGATGGTTCCTCTTCCGAATTACTTGCTGTGCTCTCTCTCCTTTGATATTCGTAGCCGTGAGTGCTGGTGGTTTTCCACTTGGACTCGCAGTTGTGTCGGACCCCCACAACATCGTGCGTTCACGAACCGTGGTTCCTTACTTCCACGGCAGTTGGTAGCGATCACCACTCCGAATTTTCACGAAACCTTTCCTCCTGGGGTATAAGTTCTTTCTCTTTTTCACTTCACAACTCCTTCCCACTACCACAACCATCCCTTTCCCGAATCGGATCGTCAAGATGTCTCCTCTCCTCCTCCACGTCCTCGCCACCCTTTTCATCGTCCTCCTCCTAACACTTACATCTGCCGGGCTCGCATACGCTCTGGGTCTGTTCGATGTTCTGCATCGCGGGCCTGCGAAAAGGCGTGTCTTGTCGCCGTCGACGACGACGGGGTCGATAGAGCTGAAGTCGGAGTTGAAGCAGAAAGCAAGGTCAAGAAGGAGGGGTGAATATGAGCTAAGGAGGGATATAGATGAGGTCAGGAAGAGCAGTGGGTTTTATAGAGAGCTGGGGGAGAGGTATGAGGAGATGGGGCAGGAGATCGTGGGGGGTATTCGGAGGGCGTAGGGATTAGTGGAGGATGGGAGGGAAAGGCTGTTGGGTCTTGATATCGGCATAATATATGGGATGAAGAATGTCAGTAAAAGATGCCGTTAGGGATTTTGGGCAGCTCGCGTTGCAGCGTGCGTGCCGCTCTTTCCTTCCTCCTTTATGACGCCGCTCCCGATTTCTTAATAGGAGATTTACGCTTTTCATGCTCAACTCCCTTTTCGATTCAGCTGTATCACTGCGTTCACGCCTCCGCGCGCTTTGACCGGCGCCCGCGGATGACACAAGAAGTGAAGGCTGCGGCGAAAAGCTCATCTCGGCGAGAATTATCGCTCTCAAACTCCTCTTCATGGATCCATTTATTCTGTTGGTGCTGCGGTGTGAATGGAAGAATAAGGAGAGGGGATGCCACTTGTAGAGCTTGGGGGGAGTCGTGGTTGCAAGGGTGGACGGGCCTGAGGATGTTTAAGGCCAAAGTACGTCAAGGCTGCCCGTTGGTCCCATTTCCGGCTGCATTGGAAACATCTTTGTGTTAAAGCTGAATATGGATACACCACATGGCGGCCTCGGATACAAGCAGGCAGGCGGTGCCATGACGGCCTTGAGTCGTGATCCTGCGGCGAATCAGACTTCTGAGTTAGCGAACTCCGGCCTTGTGTGGCTTCAGCCACCTGCGGTTGGCAAGCGGCCACGCCACGCTCCCGTCCTGCAATAACTTCAGCCTGTAGGCAGCAGCTCGAATACATGATCGATATTTTCTCCGGGGCACGATATATCGCGAATCGTTTCCATTCATGAAAGGGATGGACTCCTCCGCTTCGATTTTCGTTTACGAGCCTCTGCGCGGCGATGAGATCCGGCTTGTTAGAATACACTGGGACGAGCAACGCAACGCACCCATCGCATGTACCCTCGAGCATGTGTCACTCTCAACGAAGCCTACGTTTGCTGCGCTCTCCTACGTCTGGGGCGACGCTTCCATCACGCGACCCATACAGCTCAACGGCTGCGCCTTCCACATTACCACCAATCTCTACGACGGGCTAGTGGAGATTCGTGGCAAATACGCCCAAAATGAAGACTTTTGGATCTGGATAGATGCCTTGTGCATCAACCAGAGCGACATGGACGAGAGATCCGAGCAGGTGCCAAGGATGACGCAGATCTACTCCTCCGCATACAGTGTAATAGCATGGCTCGGGCCATTGGATCCTAGCGAGCGTGACTGTACGCTTCTCTTATTCCAGCTGTGCGAAGGTGCCTGTATGAGACTCGCCGAGGGGCAGATTTCATTGGAGCCGAATCTTTTGGATCCACCCTCAATGGCGAAGGCCTTCTACGATGTCTTGGAAGAGAGAAACATTAGCATGACGCAATTCCAATTTGCTGCTTTAGAATTTGCAGCAAGGAAATGGTTCAGAAGAATCTGGGTCGTGCAGGAGGTTGTCCTTGCGCGAACTTCGCCTGAGGTCATTATTGGAGACCTGACTATCGAATTGGAGAGACTGTTGCCGTCTGTGGTCTTCCTCCTCGAATCCCACCGGGACGTGGCACTTTATTACATTCTGGAAGCGCCACGTTCTCTGATACTTTACCGAAGTTCTTCGTCGATGAGAATTAGAAGGAAACCCACTCAGATGTCATCCACGCCGAAAGAGATTGCGAAGAGACTCCTGGAAGCACTACAACAGACTAGGAACTGCGGAAGCATTGATGCACGGGACAGAATCTATGGCGTCCTTGGGCTGGTCGGTTGCGAAGGCATGCCGAAAAACCTAAAGCCAAACTACAAGACCAGATACGAGGATGTCTTCCACGCTTACGCTGCGTTCATCTTTCAGTATACGGGTGACCCGTCCTTGATTGGTGGCTGGGGCCACAAACTAGAGGGTGTTCCAACCTGGGTCCCGGATTTCGAACGCCTCGTCAAGTATGAGAACTGGCCTTGTACGCCATCTTCTACGCAATTCGATTTCTCCGCGGACCGGAAAAATATGTCTGTGGAAGGTATTGTGACAGACAGGATTATGGAGGTCTTCCCAAGACGAATTGCCGCTACTTTGGACGACCTTGGCCGGGCTCTCTTGGGACTAAAGCTTCCCATCTTAGCCGAAGGCGCTCTTCGCAGAGTCTCAGGAGACGACATGATCTCGGAATGGCTCGCTCTGGATCTTCACGACATGCAGGATATTGGGCTCAGGCGCATTTATTACCAACTCTGTGTGGATACATTCCTAAAGCGTTGTCTACCAGGTCAAGACTCTGCGTTTACCGACATCGAGAAGGCCGATCTGAAATTCTGGTTCACCCTTCGAGTGTCTTCATGCTCGTTCATTACACGACGTGGATACCTAGGAATGGCTTGGAATGCTAAGAAAGGAGACGTCATATCCGCTTTGAAGGGTGCAGAGAACTTCGTCGTTCTTCGAGCTTCTGGACCAAACTTTAAGGTCGTCGGTGCTACTAAAATGTCCGGGAAATTTTGGAAGGAGCACTACAAGCCGCTTTTTTCAACAACGCCTTATGGGACCCTCACCTTGGTGTAGTCGAAGCAGTTTTAGTCGAGGAAGGGGCAAAGATCCATGGACATTTCGACAGTGCTAAGACAAAAGGGCGGGAATGGGAGCGATGATCAGCTCCCTTGAAGATTGGTCTAGTGCTCCCCAACCGATAATTCCACCGGCTTCGAGGTCATACCGATGTGGGAACATCTGACCCAAAACATATACTACTCCAAATACCCCGCGTCTAGTATACGCCTACATGCCCGATGTCCAAAACTAGCGCGCAACGCCATCCAATTACTTTTGACACTTGCCTAGCTGGTTCAAGTCGCCAATACCCGCCGGAGGTATCCGTGCTATTCCGATATTCTAGCTCTGCGACTACATGCACTGTGAACCATGGGCGGCCTCCAACCCTTACGGGAATGGAGGGTTGCCTATCAGTTTCCAGTAAGGCATAAAAGCGTCACTTTGGCCTCCGTCCACGTTCGTGTGAGCAGACCTCGAAAAGCTTTCGACCCTACACGATACGTTCCATCATGTTGCCCGGAGACGCCTACTTCATCCTCAGCAACCAGCAAGGCCCACCATCTCCGGCGATGGAGCGAGGCGGCGGATTCTGGGAGCGAGTCCGACGGTATTCGTTCGGGTCCAGGAACACCGAGGCCATGATGTCCGCCACGAACAGGTAATGTCCATAGTCATCTATGCGTCCTCAGGAGCTGACGAGACGCAGACGTGGCTCTATCTCCAGCCCAGAAGGCCCCCGCGAGGACAGACGTCCGGGCACAGTCGGCAAAGAGTGACCTGTCTCGCAAACATTCTTTCGATCAGTGAGGAAGTGCGGATCCGTTGTCTTGGGGTAGCAGGAATGTAGCATGTGAAAAGACATCCAAGGTCTATCCATGTACCCCGCATTTTAGCGTGGGTGAATGTACTTTGCCTATTATGGTTAGCTATCACATGATCTCGCGGAAATGTGAATTTTGGAACGCTAGCGCGAACCGTCCACTTCTCTTACCCCGCTGCGCCGTCGTTCTTTTGAAACACCATCCACCACGACCCGAACACTTCCGATGCAGCTGCATGCATTGTCTCACCGCCCTTTTATGGCCCGCGCCTTCTTCTAGTCTGTATCTGGTCTTATCTCTTCAACGACGTCCTGATACGGAATAGCGTGCATTGCCGCGATGCAGGTGCCTAACGCACGCGCTCCGGCCGCACGTGTTGGCTTGGATTGAAAGAGCGTCTCAGTCGGTGAAGGGAGGGGCCGCCTTGGCGTTCCGCGGAAGAGAGATCCCTTAAAAGGGACACGGACCCTCTTTCCTTCTCAAATATAAGCGCCCTTCAGCGTCTGTTCCTACTTTGCATCCACTCAATACCGCTCGACCGTTTTCTCAAGTTGATTATAACGCCCATCAACCCAGCATGACGAAAGGATCCTCCTCCTCTTCTGGCGCTGGCTCCAGCTCGGGAAGCTCTGGCGGCGGCTATACGACCACCAGTTCGGGTACCAACGATCAAGTAATCTATCTAGTACCTTGTGTTTCGGGTCATACACTCACAGCTTGAACCAGGGCAACCACTACTGCCACCGTGACTACGGCTCCGGTGCTTCGAACTCCAATTCGTACCATTACTCCAACCAGAATGGCTCGTACTACTACAGCAATCCAAATGCAAGTCATGCGCGCAGGCTCTGAAGAGGTGCTAACATGATGAGCAGGGATCGACATACTACAATGATGGAAACGGCAATTCGACGTATACGTCCGGTAAATAGGCTCAGCGTCCGGCCAGGCCCGGGTCTGTCCACTGAGTGCTCTGGGCGATCCTGCTGCACGAAGGCTGGCATCCGGGCACACCAGAAAACCTTGTGTCGTAGTGCCAAAACGGGGTAATATTAACGGGGGTGATTGCAAGTCATGTCAAAGTCATACAGAAATGTCAACCAAAAGTCGCCCATACAGAAGCATCCTTATCGCCCTCGTCTCTTTCTTCTTCCACCCTGAATCCAACCCGGGTATCCTGTCCAATCTCAACTCCTGAATTACCACTCCATCTTAGTGCTCCTCAGCACTCCCCTTCAAATCCTTCACCACCTCATCCGCCCACGCATCAACCTTTTCCCACTCCCTCAAATCGCCATACGTCAGTCCACCAAGCATCCCACAGCAGCACCTCATGAGCCACGGCTCATCCTTCTTCTCCACCTTCCCATTGAAAAGCGCATGCAATTTCACTTTCTTATCCAGCGCCTTCTGCACATCGTGGGCCATCTTCTTCTCTTCCGACTTCATCGATTGAGCGCGAACGAACTTCGGCATCGAACCAGCTGCTCCGACCGAGAAGGCAAATAGTGGCTTGGAGATCAAGGCATTTTTGTTGGCGGTGAGGAAGGCTTTCGCTTCGGGAAGCCAATGCATGTTGTGGATGCAGGAGCCGAGGACGATGGCCGTGTAGTCGTCAAGACGCGAGGCATCGAAGTCGTGGATATTGTGGACCTCGGTCGGTGGGAGTTGCTCCGCGATACGGGAGGAGATACGATTGGCGATCTCGCCAGTGCTGCCCTTCTCTGAGGAGTAGAGAATTAAGATCGGCATGGTGATGGAATTGTCACGTGGGTGGTATTAGAACTTCGAATTTATGCAGGGAGTTCTGACTGATTTGTAAATGAGTTTTACTGCGGAAAGAAGCAAGAGTTCTGAGGGCGCTCATTTGTGATATATGTGTGGACATATCTCATGTTTTCCGTGGCCTGATGTGGAGTGTGCGGTTGGGGAACAATGAAAGGCCAACCCTTTCCTGATTTGGCACGCCCGGAGTTCCCCACCTCATCACATTCCAACCCTCGCGAACACCAGTAGCAGTATTTCCTTACGTCTTGGTCTTCTGATCTCTGCTTCTCGACCTTTTCGTTCTCCGCACCAAAAACCCGTATCACCTCGTCGACCGCGTTCAGCCACAATTCACCGGTGTTGCTCGGGTAGCCTAACGGGAGTCCACCTGATCTCATACTGCCGCGCACGCATCATGATCCCCCCTCAAGAATTTCCCGAGCCTGATGGCTCGTATGCGCGTGGACGCAGCCTGGCATGGCTCGCTTCGCCCTGAACTGCTGTATCATGCCACATCTGATGACTCGCAAGGAGCCGCCCGATATCTTCCCCATGCCAGGCTAGCGTTCAACCTCTCGGTCGGTCCCACTCTTCGATATGCAAACCGCCGTTCACGTCCGTCCGTCGCGCTAATCTGGATCCCTGGTATCATGGAAGCGCCAGAGACCGTAGAGGTGTCGAGGCCGCGTATTATCGATCTGCCCGAAGTGATCGAACCCCTTCGTGGAGTTTACACGAGTCTCAACATCACCGATCCCTCTATTTTGGTCGAGCGGACGCATCATGTCTATCGTATCGTGGCGAGTTTCAATCTCGAGGCCAACATCATAGACTTCAACAGAGAGTAAGTCCTGTCTTGGAATATTACGACTGCTCGTTAGATGTTGATATCTTACCATTCCGTAGTTCCCAGAAACACAATAAATTCTTCGATTCTGTATCTCTCCGCTACCTTTTCCAGTCAGGCGAAGCGCACAAGTTCCGGCCTCTCAGAAACAAGCGGGCGCAAGCGAACGTCACCCACGAGAGCGGCAAAGAGACTGGAGTGACGGGTGGCGCATCAGGAGGCCTTCCTGCCGTAAGCCCGAATATAGAATTTCACCTTCAGAGCCATAGAACGGTGACGGCCGAACGTACAATGAAATCCTGGAGGCGCGGCGTCACAATCGAGCACTGTGAGTTGCACACTCTTCGCGAACCCAAACTAGGGGATATTATGCCTGTGACTGTACTCGCATGCTAATATACAATTATTAGACCCGGCCTTCAAGGATGACTCTACCCGATCCTTCAGCGCGGTGATGACCCATGCGCTCGCACCGCCACCCCCCAAAAGACGAGATCATTTCGTTGTCTGCCCCGCGAAGGACGACCGCGAACACGAAGTTTCCGAGGAATGCCGCTTCTGGAAGCATGGCGACCAAGGTTATAACTGCGCCTTGCACTGGTTCTGGCAAATCGAATCCGACCCGCGCATGTGGGCTCCCGAAGTCTACGAAAGCGTCTCCTGGCCCGTTTCCATCGTGCGCATAGTCCGCTGTAAAGAGTTCAGGAGTCTCAAGGAATACGGGAAACGCCGTTCCGTCTATCCCACTGCGGAACAGCTCGCGTACCTGCACTTTGACTTCAAGGTGGAGGTTCGGATCCGAAGCCTGGGGTATTTCACTAACCGCCTCCGACGTGCGGCTAAACCACCAGAAATGCGGGCGAAGAGCGACCCTGGCGAACCACTTGGGTCGGATCTTTGGGCGTTCTGCTTGTATATCACGTTCTCTGATTTCCCAAAAGGCGCGCGTTGGCCGACGGAGCCTACCGCCGTGTGGGGCGACGCACTCAGAGCATACGTCGCCCAGGTAAGCATCTCCAAGCTCCTTCCCAAAGATATGGGGAGCACCCTAACACTCCGAGAAGGAAATCAATGCTGGTAGACCACTCCCAGAGAACCTACCTTCCTGGAATGTGGTAGCGCGAGCCCTGTACGCGGATGAGCTTCGCAGGTTCAAGGAAACGCTAGAAGCCTTCGGGATGTCGCCAGGCAAAGATATTGAAACGCCAAGCAAGGACTCGAATGTCAAGCCGACCGAGACTAGACCTGCCGACGGCAAAGAGGACGTAGAGAAGAGAGCTTCGAGAGGAGAGGAGGGACTCGCGAGTTCAGAAGACGAACACTACGCCAAGGACTGGCACCGGTTGATCCACATGAAGAGAAAAGAAAGAAGGCAAAGAAAAGAAGAGGAGGTACACAAGGAGCGACCACAACAGCAGAGGATGGAACGGATGGAGCAAGAAAAGCAAGGAGGGCGAAAACAGCGCCACCACCAACATGAGGCAGAGTACCAAAGCCTCGAGGAATATATCAGAGCGCTCGAAGAGCGCCATGCTAGGGAGGGAACGCGCCCAACCCAAGACGAACTCGATCTTCAAGACTCGCTATGTACCGCCGAACACCGCCGCTGGCGGGTTGAATCCGAACTAGGGGAGCGTCTGGACGCTCTGGAATCTCGACTGTGCAGGGCGGAAGAAGAGCGCTTGGAGGCGGAGAAGACGTACACAGAGAAAATGAAGAGGAGGCAGCAAGAGGAAGAACAAACACGGGGCCGGACAGGCGGGATTCCTTGCTTGAAGCCACCGCGTCTGAGAGTCGTTTCTGAATCGCCTACGTCCGAATCACCTTCTGATGAGTCAGAGGAGGATGACGTTGACGAGGATAGCAGGAGAGAAGAGCGTGGGCGATCCCATAGACGGTATTCAAGTCGGCCAGAGGAAAGAGGACGCGCGAGAGGTAGCAGGATCCCCGGCCAGACGCCGCCACGACTGAGGGTGGTGTCCCAATCTCCCCCATCACGATCTCCGTCTCCATCTCCTCCTCGTTCCCACAGTGCCCATTCCGTACACGACACGCTGCGACCAGAGCCTCGCCGAAGCACGCATGTCCACCATCCCCCTCTTCCGCGCGAAAAAATCATTCTCGTGCAGCCATCCGCTAGCCCCTCTCGCCACCCAGACGCACGCCGACCGCGTACTCCCCCTCGATCACTCTCGCCACGCCGCCCGCGTCCTCGTCTACGCTCAATCTCCCCACGCCGATATCAATCGCGTAGCTCTACGCTCATAGAATCCCCTCCACGACGCCGCTGCAGCGCCACTCCTCATCGTCCTCCGCCTCCCTCGCGAAGCGCAACATACGTAAACGTGCATGAAAGGAGACGTCGAAGCACGACACCTCCTCGGCGGCGGAGATCCGAGCCCGGTCGTTCCTCGCACATCTATCTAGTTCGACACCACCGCGATCCACGCCGTCCGACGATATGGGTTCGTGATTCTTCGAGGTAGTTGCTGGTGTATGAGAATTATAGGTTCATGGTGCGCGCGGTGCGCACTGGCGTAGGGAAACCATGCGAGAAAGCAATGGAGACTAGGAAATATCTCCAGATGGGATGATTTAGATAGTGTGAGCTTAGTAATCGCTGATGAATCCATTTACCAAAGTGAATTCCCCCTGACATGCATCTCTCTTCTACCCACTATTCTCAATCCGCTTGGAGCCATTCATCTTCTCACCTCCTTTTATTTCTTGCTGCTCCTTTAGTTCACCAGGTGGCTGATGATTCGCGTTGTACTGTGTACTGTGAAGAGTGTCGCGAATGCCGTTGGAAATCTAATTGCACGATACTATACCCAATTTGGCCTAGTTCGAGACTTACAGGCAGTGCAAATGCGAACCGTATCTAGGAATGGGCACAAGAGTCTGGTATGCCTACCATCCCCAAGGGATACCGAGTTTCAGCATAGCCGACGTACTTGAGAATTTGCGGTTTGCACAATTGGGCTTCCAACGACGCAAGGAGAACTTTCCACAGCCAACAACCAAAGACCATATGAATTCTAGCTACACTGCTTTATTCAATAAGTCGCATGGTTCAAATTATAATGCCGGGACGAATTGTACGCCTCTCTTGTCAGTAGATGCCACTCTAAACTAGCAGCGAGAATCCTACGACAGAAGTGCTTCAGCATCATCGCTGAATTGAGAGCAAGAAGCCAGTGTAGGCCAAGCAAGTGTAGAAGCAGCGCGGGTAGAAAGAATAAGCGTTAAATTTCGGCTGATTCTATGTCCATCAAGGAATAAGCCTGAGCTTGGAATCCTCCGTTGACAGCTGCCAAAGATCTCTCGGCGATGGCACTCTACGTCGGCACCCTCTATCTAAGCAGACCCGATGCAAACCCGCACGCCAGTGTTTGATTCCCTCTTAGGAAGGTAGTGATCGCCTGCACATATCAGTGAGCCTAGATCCGCACGAAGACTAACAGCGCTCAATACTTACGCGCAAGCGTCACCTCGCTTTTACTCGTATCTACCAGCCGCATTCTTCTTCCGAACCTTCTGAATAGCGTCGCTATGAACAGGTGCATTTCTGCATAGGCTAGGCTAAAGGTTCGTAGGGCTTCAGTAGGGGTCACATCGGGAGGCTAAGTGGAGTCAAGACAGGGGAGAAGTTGCACGCACTTGATCCCGATGCATTGTCTGCTTCCCTTGGAGAAGCTCAGGAGCTGCGCATCGAGTTCCCTCTTTCTTTTCCCGTTCTCTTCCAGCCAGCGTTCTGGGATGAACGAGTATGAACCTGGGAAGATGTCTGCGGAGGTGGCGGTAGAGTTAGCAGATGTCTTAGATTAAGGAAGCGAGGACGGAAGTTAACACTTTAGTTTGTCTTTGTATTTACCCGCTAAGGGCCTTTAAGAAGAGTCTTTAGGAGGTAAAAGCTAAGAGAAGCTGGAGTGTGTAGCGGAACTTACGTACCTTCGTTATGATGATGAACACCATTTGACATGCCAATAATAGTACCGGCCGGGATAACTAGGTCGACGTGTTTATCCTTGAACATACAGTGGTACGCCAATGGCTCATGCGGGACACGTTCCAACCTTGTCACAATCCCGTAGCTCAATCGCAAGCTCTCCTGGATGACAGCGCCAAGGTACGGCAGCTGCTCCAGTGTGACCCAGTCCGGGATGGAATCTGGATCCGGAATATTGTGCTCCAGTTCAAGGAGCAATTTATCCAGTATCCCAGGCTGTGTGAGTAGGTAGTAGGAACCGATAGACGCGGCAGTCGAGACGGTCTCCGTGCCGGCACCGATTAGCGCGAAGGCTTCGTCGTTGAAGCGTTGCTTGGTCTTTTCGGACTCGGGGAGGTCGCTTTGGAGCATTTCGGTGAAGATTGTGGCACCCATGCGGGACTTCTTCGCAGCATTGAGCGAGGCCTCATCGCGCACTGTGTCGACGCTGTGTTCGAGCTTTGTCTTGTACTCAAGCATCGCTTTCAGGTCGGGACTTATCTTCAAGATGATGCGCTGTGGTATCATGTTGAGCAGCTTCAGGACCCAGGGAAAGAACGCGGCGAGGTGGTTGAGCGAGGAGGAGCCATCGATGGCAGAGTTGATGTTAGGCAAGAAGCTCGGGCTGTCACTGTAATTATAGCTGAAGCCAAAGACAAATTCGGATACAACGTCGATGGCCACGCAGGACAACGCATCGGAGAGATTAGCAGCGTTCCCCTCTCGCGAGTAGTAATTATCCAAATGATAGCAAACCTTCTGCAGGCGCTCCTTAATGAAAGGCTCGATATTCCGGATAGACGCCGCAGAGAAGTATTTGTTCAAAACGGCGCGGCGTTGGCGATGGAGATCGTGCGGAATAGTGCAGAGTCCAGCCTATTGATGCTGAGTCAAAGATCTAAATATTGTGCCACATTTTCACTATACCGTAGTCACGCTGTCGACTCGTTAATTACCTAGGTCCACTCTACGTCGGAAGTCATACATACCCAATTGCGTTGGAAAATCGAACTGTTTTGTCTCTCTTCTTCCCGCTCCCACTGCCCGCGTAAATCTGGTCAATGAACATAGGATCATTGCAGTGGACTTCATTAGGCCCAATCCGCAGAATTGGCCCTGTCGCCATGGAATCGGAGTGAGCACGATACACTCGCAGAAGGATAAGACAGAGTGCAAAACGTACCGTATACGCCGTGCCACTCTTTAATCTTAGCAATATATTGTCCGTCCCTCAGGACATCGTAGTAGAATTCAACGAGATGTGAAGTAGCAGCGGGCCACGGACCTGGTACCTTCGCCAATGGATGTAGAAAGATGCGATAGAAGGAAACAGAGGCGCAATAAACGACCGAGACCACCAGTACGGTCGGGACGTATGAAGCTAGCCTTTCGTAGAGGTCCATTACTCTCGCTGTTCTCCAACTGGGCCAGGAAGACGATGGATGGATGTGCAGTCGGTCCTCAGCAAGAGGATGATATCATTTCCTCAACTGGAGATTGCTGATATGCGGTACGCCCCGTGCGGGGCACAAGGGACGAGGGGATATCATAGGCGAGACGATGCCCTGGCGGCTATCCCGCCCGGACAGCCTGCCGACGGGCCAACCCGCATCTTATTGCGCGTGCACCACCCACGTGTTCGGCGTTTCCCGAAGCCGCCATTAGTCAGCGGGATAGGCAACAAGCTGAAGATAGGGAGGTCTCCTGAAGGGTGAGGTTGGGGGCGCAGAACCCCCAAGCAGCCACCAACGGCTCTCGGTGTGAGGTCGTGGCTCTCGATCTTAAATTAAGGATGTAGCACTGTGAGCAGGTTCTCTGGGGCAGTATTTCGATCCTAGGAATTGAAAGAAGGAAACGCGCCATGATGGAAGAGTTCGTTCTGCCCAGCCCACCGCTGTTCGTTCTTTTGGTGTGCGATGTTGTTCTAAAAAGCCGCCGTTCTCTGCTTCGCGGGGGACAGCCTCGCCCGAACACTGCCGGAAAAGTTCAACGCTCGTCAGGACCCTTCGCCAACTGCCACGCTCCCGAAGCACAGTCGATCACATGCGGTGACATCGTTGACGTCGTCAATGATCCTGAAAGTACGCGATGAGAGGAGAGTGGTGTCGACGAGCGTTGGTGGTCGGGAGCGCTAGCCGCGATTACACATCACCACTTAGGAGGGCGGCGGCTATGATTATGCATTGTTTAGGTACTGGACGATCCCGTAAAAGCCTTCGCTATCTTCTTAAACCTATAGACTATATCAAATGCTTCATGCCTTGTACTTCAAAGTACTAGTAGAACGAACCTTAATGACCCAGATTGGGACTAGCGTTGCAGATCCTCGTGACCACGCGTTCGCGCAGGCGGCAGTCGCGCACCTAGGCGTCATCATCGAAGGGTCATCCTAACTCAACAGCAATGGCACTCAACCTTCGCAGCCCCTCACAACACAATCAAATGCTCACTCGCTTCATCAAACATCCTAAGTCTACCAATTTCGACGGCGAAAAGGAACGGCCCGCAAAACGGCCGAAGATCGATCGATCACCCTCGAAACGAAACACCGCGTCCCCTGCGAAGAAGCACGCGAACCGCGAGATACCAGATTCAGACGACGAAGAAGAGATTGGAGATGTAGAGAAGGAAGAAGGGACCCATAAGACGGATCTAGAGAGCGCTCTGCCGCCTGTAAAGACGGATGCCGAGGCTATCGAAGAATACGAGGCGTTCAAGGCGTCGCAGACGGAGGACACAGAAGGCACAGAAAAGCTGCTAAATGACCGAAAATGGGTCAGGGGGAAGAGCTCCATATATGTGGATGCCTTCAATCTAGCATTGGATACGGTGTTGGATGAAGAGAGTCATTTGTTTGACGAGGCCGAAATGGAAGTATTTAGACTATGGAGGGAATTGAGCTACGAAGCTCAGTATCTGTATGTTTTCTGGACAATGTCGCAATATGGTCGCGTGCACTAATGGTTTGTCAATCGCAGATACGTACGCCTCTTCCTTCGCAAGACGTCTGCGTGGCATCGCATCAAGAACATCGGCTACCACAGCGATATATCGGATCTAAACGCGGCTATTGAGACATTACAACGCACTTATGATCTCCCAACATCCTCCGCCGAGGTAGAATCACATCCGGGCGAGCTAGAACCACCGCCCGGGACAACACTTGAGTCGTTCTTCACGTTCGCGGATCGATCAGAGGATGAGATAACAACGCTTGAGGAAGCGTCATCGCTGTTGAAGCTGGATGAGCTGAAAGCTCTCGCAAAGGATGCCAAGGTGCAAGGGAAGAACAAGAAGGAGCTATTGAAGGCTTTACACCGGACAAGTCAGAAACAGGTCGGTCTGGGCTTCGTGGGCTTGAAAAGGTCGGATACAGAGAGCTCAAGACGCTCATCCGCCTCGGGCCTGGACTCAGAGACTCCAGATCCCGAGCCAGCGGGAGACACTGCGTCGGATGCCAACCGCGACGCACACTTCACCCGCAAGATCATGAACGAAACCGGACCCTGCATCCGCCTCTCCCTCGCACCACTAAAACTCTTCGAGCGTGTTCATCTCGTCTTCTACCGCTCGACCGAATGGACTGAAAAGTCCCTTACGACGATCATCCTCGCTAAGATCGCGCGCCGTAACTTTCCAGAATATATCGTGTCCCGTTCCGCAAACATCTTCGCATCCCGCGCCTTGCTACTCGAATTCGAAGCATCAATAAGAACACAGTTCCGCGTGGACAACATTCTCGAGTTCAATGGCAAGCCCACCGACCAGGGTTACCAAGAGATCATTGATATCTTTGAGGAAGTATATCCGCGGTGGAGAGTTTTACTTCGCGAAGAACAGGAGAAGGAGGACAGTATATACCATAGTGGAAAAGGATCATACCTTCGTCGCCTCTCTCCGGCGTGGGTCTACACGCGCATCATCCACAAAGCCACCAGCATTCTGGCGCGGCGGAAAGAGCACAAACGTGAGCACGAGCTAATCACCGAGCTTCTGCAACAACGCCTATTCCACCATTCTCGGAGGGGAGCTTGGTATCAGCGAAAGGCCCTACTGGAAGAGCACTATATGGCCACTCTCACAGACGCAGATGGACTGAGTGAAGAACTACAGAAGAAAAATTGGAGGCGGATAGCCCTCCAAACCTGCGAGGACGGGCTCCAAGACAATCTTGTACACATAATCTACCACTATGACCTCCAAAAGCGCATCACCAAGCTCGAGAAGTCTCTCAAGATCGCAAAGCGAGCACAACACGACTTCACTCACGTACGTCTCACAAAGCCGGTAGAAGTCACTTTCGAAGGCACCCGCATCGAACGTGAGGCGTCACTCACTCGGCGGAATATTTCACCTCATCCCTCATCAGGCAAGCGCGGAATGAAGACCATCTGGATTGATCCCCGTGAAGATGGCGAATGCGGTGTTGAAGAGATGTGTCTCTCACATTACCGTCATCAAGGCTGGAAAGGCTACCACAGCGAAGGCGGCATTGTGCGCACACTCTTCGCTTATCTCTTCTTCGACATCCTGTTCACCTACATTCCCAACGTTTTCCAAACACCGTATCAGACCTGTCCGTTAGACCTGCACACCGACGCTTTCTACCCATCCCGCATCAGCGAGATCAACGCCCGCCTAAACGAGATCTCAAATGGCGACGCACCCTCCATCATCCGACGCATATACGACGAACACCACGAGCGCCGAACATGCGTGGTAGGCCTTGATTGGACATTCGACATCAACGACCTCATAGAAATCGCGGAATGCTTCGATGGCGAGGCACTAGCTACAGTGTGTAAGGTTATGGCCCAAGAGTACGGGCAAAGGGGTGGAGGCGTGCCCGATCTTTTCCTCTGGAAGGTGGCAGAAGGTGAAGAAGGAAAGGACGGAAAGAAAGGTGAGATCAAGTTTGCCGAGGTGAAAAGCGAGAATGATCGCTTGAGCGATACGCAGAGGCTTTGGATACATGTGCTGAGCGGGGCTGGGGTGAGGGTCGAGCTTTGCGCAGCTGTGGCTAAAGAGGTGAGGGTTGTTCCGTGATAGCTGAGATTATGAAGCTTGACCAGCTACCATAATTCCTTCCTCTTTCACAGCTGGTGCTAATATATTATGACGTTTGCACCTTCCCAACCCGCCGTTGACTAGCGCGAGGCGGGGCTTCTCCAGGTCTTCTTCTTCCTTCTTTCTCCCTTGCTCTCTACTTTCTTCCTCCACCACACTACTACATAGGGTGCTAGACTCAACATGGCGCCCCATAAATCGACCACACGCTCTTCGGCAGCGAATGTACCGGAAAAGACTCTGAGTGATGGCGTGAAGAAACCAAAGCGCGGGTACAAGAAATTTCGAAATGGCCAGCTTAATGTGACGCCGAAGGGGAAGTACATCGATATGTGAGTGCGGTTGGACGTTTACCATATTACAAGTACTGATTATCCGCAGGGCCAAGAAGAACGCCGAGCAGTCGCCACTTTTACTATTGCCTCCAGAGCTCAGGAACGAGATATGGCAATATGTCTTCAGGGGTGACACCATTAGGCCTGATCTCACCGGTCGGGACGGTACACCAAATCGCTTCAGTCTGTTGCGCGTCTGCCGACAGATCTACAACGAAACCGCGGCACTGCCGTACAAGCTCAATACCATCTGGTTCGGGCAGATGGCGGTGAACGCCAAAGCATCTATGGACCGTCTGCCAGCTGCGCAGCGGCGGGCAGTAACGTCGATTCGGTTCAAGTTGGAGACTTATAGGGACGATTGCGGTGGTTTGAGACACGGAACTGCGCCCTTCCCAGCCTCGAAGTTTCCTGCACTTCGTCAGATTGAAGTGCTCGTTCCCGACGAATCCATACTGGAAACGTTCGGTCGAGGTTACGACGATTCGGAGATGGAGAAGCTAAAGAACCGGATCCACGTGGGAAACCCAAACGTGGAAGTAACCTTCCTAAAATGTCCGGAAATCGTTTTCTTGCCCGATCTCTATAACAAAGGCGAGTAACGAGGAGATCCCATCAACTGGCATGAACATCGCTGATAGTAGACAGACCTCTCGGTTTTTGCGGCTTTCTCGCCACGGACCTGATTTCTTCGGAACTGTCTATGATCGTTGTTCCCTCCCCTTTGGGGCACTCGACAGCACCATCTCGATTATTCGCATCCCCATTAACTTCAGCAGCGACCATATGAAATGGGGACCACTTAGACATATTAGTAGATTTCACATCTCTAGCAGGGAGCACTCTACTGAGTAGCTTTAATGAGCAGACAAGCTTACACTAGCATCCCAAGGCCATCTTGGACAAAACCTATGGAAACTTTTCGACCCCTCCCTAGGTTTCCTCCTTATCGACACCACATGTGTCTCTGCTAAATAGTAGTCTGTTGAGCTCTGGTGCCGCGGGAATCTCAAGCCGTAAAGCTGAAAGGGTGGAAATCTTCAACTCGAAACAGACTAGGGTCGATCTTCCATTTTTGATCATCGCGAACCTCATCATCTAGTTCCTATATATACCCGCTATCTATTATTTGAGACAGCGGAAGCCTTACCGCAACCGCCCTACTCTGTATTCTTCCTTTCTCTTTTCCAATAACCCCGAGTAACGGGGGACAACCGCTGGCCCGCCGCTCTTTTCCGTATACCTCACTCGCGCCTTCATCTCGAGTTATCGGCAATTACTGCAGTGAGAGAGAGTCTTCGATCTACCTTCACCTAGGAACCTTGGGATCCTACAACCCTATATAGTCGCCCCTACCTTCCGACTTCCCACCTCAACTCTCACCAATACTCCGCCACGAGCGCCCACCATGTCACCCCGCAAACCGGTCACCAAATCGCCAGTAGCCGAGGCCAAGGTATCTCGCGATGGAGTCGAGAAGCCGAGGCCGAAACGAAAGTACGGAAAGGTTCGACGGCTTGAGAATGGTCTTCTGGACGTCGAGAGGAAGGGTGGCAGGTATCCGAAGCTGTAAGTAATACTGAAGGTCGGCGACGTGTAAGAGCGAACCTTATTGACATAACACAGAATCCTGGAAAACGTAAAATCACCGCTCTTGCGCTTGCCTGGTAAGATAAGGAATGCCATCTGGGAGTATGTGGTCGGCGGAACGACATTCGACATGCACGTCAAGTACCGCTACAAGGGCAGGTACGCGTGGCGCATACCAGATGCAAAGGCTGCCAACACAACGAAGAATCAACTGAGCCTCCTCCGCGTCTGTCGCCAAATCTACGCGGAAACCGCAATTCTTCCCTTCAAGGTGAACGTCTTCAAGTTCGAGCACGAAGATGCTCTGGCATGGTTGTGGAAGCTGTTGTCTGTTAAGCGTGAGGTCATTACCCAACTTCAGCTTGTCACTAGGGGGGCTTTCAGAATGCTGCATTGCGATAAAAATTACAATGGGGACTTCTACCCCCGCGATCCGACGCCTCTGCAGTCCGCACTGCCGTTCCAGCAGCTCCCACAACTCAAACATGTTGCAGTGAGAGTTGTTCACAAGAGTAGCCTCACTAAACAGGAAGAAGCTCTCATCGAAGCCAACGAATGGAGATTGCAGGAGCATATTGGCAACGCGAAGGTCGCTTTCGAGAGAATTCTGTATCATCCGTAGGAGTGCGCTAACTCTCTTCCTCCTCGGATCAAGTAAGTTATTAGTATCCAAACAAAATAGGACTACGCTGACTTCGTATAGCGCATTCACTTCAGAGCGCAATTGGGGCAATGCAAACGGCATCCGACTTTGAGCTGCTACGGGTAGAGAAGGATTCAGGAGCGACGACACATGTCCCCTACTGAGTCGACAGGGATCCCACTTGGGCTCGTCAAACATTGCAAAAGCCTCAACCATTCCTCTTCTAGCACTGATGCTCTTCGACATTGGCTTGGTAGATCAGTCTCTTTTCTACGGCGAGGGACAAGCTCGGGACCCCGCGGCGGACGTTAGGATATGCTTGCCCCCTTTCCCCCCTTTCCTTCTTTTTCTAAAGTTTCCTTCCCTTCCTCCTTTTTCAAAAACAGGCACTCTCAGCGAGGACGTGCCTCACCTAAGGACGCATCTGGTCCTCTGAATCCCAATGCCGGAGTGCTACGTATCCACGTATCTAGAAAATTCAACAATTATGACACACGACGTCACTGATACCGCTCCTTAATGGTGAACACTAAAGTCCCGATAGTAATGCCCCGAATGCACCTGAAACGGTTAAGTCGTGAAAACCTTCTCCCACCCCCTCCAGAAAAAAATAACTCATTAGGAAGGACAGACGCTCAGTCTTCCTCAAATAGTTCTCTTCCTTGACGTCATCCTCGCGGACTCAATCAGTTCACTCAGGAAAAAAAACCCAAACGTCAGGGTCCGTGGCGGAGAAAACAAAATTTCTTCTCCCCAAACCTTGACCGTCAGCGTAGAAAAAAATAATAATGTAGATACAAACCTCAACGCTAAGCTATACATACGAGAGAAAGCTATACACAAAGCGGACACTTGAACCTCACTTTCGCACCATCCTGCTTCTTCGCTCCATCGCCATCTCCCTCTCCAGCAGCGCTCGCCTTCTCCAAACACGCCCTATGCCAAAGATGCCTACACGCAAACAGCACCAATGCCCCCGCCTGACTCCCCTCGCCCACGCCGTCATCCTCCACCCTCGCGCGCTTCCCTTTACCCTTACCCCCCGCCTCATCACTCGCAACCTCTAACCTCTTGCGCGCCCGCTCGCCCTCCGCTCGCTCCCACGCCTCCCAAATCGCGCCTCCCGCGCCCGGTCCCCAAGCCCGTCTCCGACACCCCTCGCACACCTGGCCTCTAGGCCGCCAGCCCCGCTGCCTTAGCTCGTTGATTTCTCGCACTTGCTCGAAGCCTTCTTTGTCGAGGAAGCGGTTTGCGAGACTGAGGATGGTTTCTTCGAATGTGTAGGCAGAGAAGATTTCGGAGAGGACGGCGCGCAGGTCGGAGAGAGAGGGGGAGGTGTGGGTTGCGCGGGTGAGGAAGACGCGTAGGATGCGGAGGAAGGAGGGGTTTGTTTGGAGTTGGGTGGATTTACGGGGTGTGAGAGGCGGGCGGGTGGTGGAGGAGGTTGACGTTGATGGCTGGGACGTGGTTGTTGTAGAGGTCGCCTTTGGTGGGATGGTGGTCGAGGCTAGGAGGGCGGAGAATGTTCGCTGGACTGCGGAGCGGAGGGTTGTGGTTATCTTCGCGGTATCGATGGGCTGGGCTTGATTGCTATGTGAGGACGCGAGCGTTTGCTGGAGTTCCGAAATCGCGACAGCGACGTTTTTGATAAGTCTCACGACTGTGTCGACTAGTTCGAGCCAGAGGTATTCGTCGAGCGCCAGCTCCTCTTCGCGAACTTCTCCGTATGCTGATTTCCGCCTGTCGATCAAGCTTTCGGCCGGCCGTTCCATAGAGCGTGTCTGTCCTTGACATAGCCAGATACCCACCCTGACATACTTCTGAATATCCTCGAGTAGATCCTGTACCGCCTCTTCTGTATTCGCTGGATCCGGCGTCACTGCAGCTGCGCTCACCAGGCCAGTGAGGGCGGTTTCAAGAGTACCCAGGTGCTTGACTAGCCGCTCCATTGCGTCCCTAACGAGGCCATCCCGCGCCATCAGAACGACTGCAGCGTCGATGACGCCACTCTTCTCTAGAGCGGGGAGTACGGGATCTAGCTGCAAGTCGCCAGACTTCAGGAGGCTGACGAAGTCTGCGACGTGGGTGCTGTTGTACTTGCACATGATCTGGACATAGCGTTCTGTGAAGCCGGAGGGAAGGTCTTCGCTTATGGTGTGGGGTTCCCTTTGGCCGTTCTCGTCGGGCTCGATGATAGCTTTGAGGTAGTGATACTGGGCATCCGACTCATCTTCTAGGGCATCTAGCACTGGCTTCAGAAGGTCAGGCGCGTATTGGTTTAGTGTTTGCGAGGCACGAGCAGGGTCTACAGCGACCAAATCCCTTGCTCGATTCACGAGGACCGCCTTGACTTCGTTGATCTGCTTTTTGATGAGGCCTTTACTAGGCCGTAAGCAGTCGCTGATGCAACCGAAAACTGCCTCTCTGTCCTCCGTATCGTTAAGGTAGGTGTCCACAAGCTTAGCGTACTGCTGTGAGCCGCGATATACCGCTTTGAGAACGCGATGGAATCCAGCTTTCTCAAAGAGAGGAACGAGGGCTTGGATGTTTGGCGGATGGTATATAGAGAGGAGATATTCGGCCGATAGCTGACAGTCTTCTTTGACAACGTCCGTGGGATAGTTGCAGAGTCCGACGAGGATTTGATGTAGAGACGTCCCAGGGAGGATAATGTGCTGAGGGTACTTTGGCAGATTTCGAGCGATGAACATGTAGAAGTAGATAATGTCTTCGGGGTCGAAGTTATCTGTCGTCATGATGCCTAGGAGAATGTTGATGATGTATTGTCGCGTGGGCGTAAGAGCGGAGTCGTGCTGTGTCCCGTTGACGTGGTTGCCGTTCACAGCGTCCTGCTCTCCGTTCAGAAAACTGTCCTCGAATGCCTCATGGAGCATGCTCATGAAGCTCATAGCATCGAACTCCAGGACGAGGCGCAGATAAGGGAAGGGCGGCTCAGGACCTTTGTCAGTGCGCGTCAATACGATATCACCCGAGCCTGGAGGCCATGCTAGATTCTTTCCCGAGAACAAGAATCGATACATGTCTTTCTTCGCGCTGTAGGCTTGATCGTCGTCCATTAGCGTGCCACCGGGGTAAACTCGTCCCGTAAAAGTATAAGCCAGATAAGGGAATATCTTCATCGCCGACGCCATGTAAATATTCTCTGTTTCGTCCACATCGAAATCCACGACTTTGATGAGCGAGAGGATGTGAGTTAGCGGTGTAATGAAGTCGCCGATGGCACTCGTCCAGACATATATGAGCGCGTCGTACAAATTGTATTGCTGGCAGAGGGTGGTGACTTGGTTGATATCCATGGTGTCGGTGCTCAGACGACAGATCATTTCTTCGAGGCGGGCGGCGCGACCGGAGGAGGCATTGAACGCTATCAGGTCTTTCAGCACATTCGGAGGAACAGCAGTGATCTCCTCGTCCACGATATAAGGCTCAAGCGTTTCGAAGAACACCTTCTCGGCAGAACCCTCCTCAAAGGCATCGTACACATCTTCGAACAGAAAGTCGAGCTCTTTCATACTCAGAAGACCGGTGAAGCAAACCTCGGCGAGCTCCTTGAATCGTTTCTCGTGTGCTTGACCTTCACTATCTTCGTGGGAAAAGGTGTATTTCAAGGAAGCTGAGATCATCTCGAGCAGCTTCTCCTGGACGAGAGCGTGTCGAGTTTTGTCGTCATCCGGAAGGCCTACCGTTAGCCTGTCCGCATCGCCGATATAGTAAGACGTGGCCAGGCTGATAGCGGCAATGAAATCTCCAGCCTCCATGAGCGCAACTAAACGGTCGGCCCAGTTCGATAGAGTACCTATGGAGACATCATTAAAGCCTAGCAGGAACAGCCGCCCCTTATAAGCTCGGAAGCTCATGTAAAATGCATCCGCAACAACTCCATGCATGGATGTGTCTGCTTCATCCAGCTGCTCGACGACGGGCCTCAGCTGCCGAGAAAACAGGTCTGAATGGTAGATGTGCTTGTGTAACAGGTCGAAGCTGTCAGTCACTCTCAAAGTATTGTCTTCGAGAATGAGCAGACGCTGGCTGATAGTAAGCACACCAAGAACTGATCTGCTTAGCCACTGTACTGCAACAATGGCTTCCTCGCTTCTCCATCGACTGCGTGGTCTGAATTTGAGCTCAGTCGGCTTCTCCTTTTCCGTGGGGGCAGCCACAATGCAGTCCACGTCTAACACAGTCAGAATGTTTGACCAGCAGTACACGAGTTTCGTTTTCGAGACAGCCTTATTGGGGTCTCCGGAAGGATTCTTTAGCTTCACCGCCGGGAACCACGCGAGACATCCACTCAGCGTGCTGTGTGGAGCGATCTCCTTTGGTCTAGACGCTTTGTGCTGGGTTTGCGCAATTGGCGTGGTAGAAACAATGACCAGTAAGTAAGGCGTCAGAAGAGCCGTGAGCCCCATGTCGTCTGTTGGCTGCTCTACGTTTCCGAGCGGAAGAGGAGAGAAGGCAAGAACAGAGCTCGGCTTGCGTGGTCGTTCCAAGGACGCTTCCGACAAGGGATATCTTCCCAGTATGCGCGTGATCTTGACTGTTCTTGCAATGGCTCCTAACCCCCGGGTGGCGAGGTGAGAAAAGGCCATGCCGCCGTCGTCCGCGGAGACGAGCGCCGTATGACGGGTGCCAAGGAAGCCAACATGCAGAATAGCAACCCCTGAGACATGACTATCTGACCGTCGATTGTCTATGGAACTCCGATCTATAGGCGGTATGTGAAGAAATGGCTTTGCTGGCCTGGAGAGCTCCCAGGTGAAGATGTGCCCAGTCGCATGGCCCCCGGCAACGGTTGAGTGGTCTGCAGAGAGAGCTAGAGCAGTTACAGGACCGCACTCAATGGCTGCACTTGGAGTTAGCCTAGCATAATAGAGATGACACTCTCGCTCAACCTACCTTTCGTGCCAGGACCTATGATAGACTTGAGGACCTGCTGATAGTCGAACACGAGAATGAAGCCTTTGGAGGTCCCTATGACAAGCGACGCTGTAACACTTAGACATGTCGGTCGACCGAAGTTGCGCTTTCCGACTTCCGAGAAGACCTGCCCAGTGATCTTCTTTAGCTTGGTCCACCGCACAACGTCCCATGGCGCCTGTGGTGTATCCGTTTCGTCCGGCTGCTGCTGGAAGAGCAGATTACTTGATACCGAAGATTGTCGCGAATGTGAGGAAAGAAAGGCGGGGCTAGAGACTATGCGAGGTGACGCTAGCGGCGAGGGAGAAAGTCGAGCGGAGAATCGGCGCTCGAAAGGCTGGAGCGAGGTCGGACGGTGGGGTCGCAGAGAGCTGTGTGAAGCTGGTACGCTGCTGCCGGGGGAAGAGAGTAGAGAGCCCTGGCGCAGTTAGCACAGCTCTTGCCAATGTGGGATTCTGCGACCTACCTGTATCGAGGGTGTATCATCGGGGGTGGATGTCGATTCCGGGCTCCTCGGTCTCTGCACTGGCGCTTGTATAGATGGCTCTGAAGCAGATTCCTCCTGTTGCTCTGGTTGGCTCCGCCGTCTTGCGAAGGACATGGCATTCGTGCCGCTTCCTACTGACGCAAGCTCCTCCCCGTCTTCTTGTGCGCCATGGCTGTCTTCCACAGCCCCCTCCTCTTCAGCCTGTAGCTCCGTCGGGGATTCCGGTGCTGGAGAGCCCACGTCTATCTCGTCCTCGTCCACATTGTGAGCGCTGGTAGGGCTCTCTCCCGAATCTGAGCTCATGAGGCTCGCTGTCCGCAAAGCATCGCTTCACGCGCGCATCTATGGTGGGGCTCTGGAGATATCTAGAGCACAGTAATTCCAGCTCTTTCACACCATGCCTCTATATCGCGATTCAATTGAGCGTTGACGGGGCGGTTGGCGGAGGTTTGCGATACGAGACGGGCGCCTGGAGGATTCGCGATGTTTGTCGTCTGTGGCTGCACTGTTAGAATTGTAAGTCCTTCGGCTGCTCTCTTCGGATATTAGGAACCGTGCGAAGCCGCGAATAGAAGCGCAGGAGACAAGTCGCAGGCGAGGGGCACGCGATGCTGCTGTCGGGCTTCTCGTGCAGTTCGTCCATTGCGGCGCTTGCCGAGGGGTGAAGGTCCAAGCTCCCAGACCCCAACCTCGACGTCGTGACCTCGTCCACGAAACTCTCCAAATCACGGCCAACGCAACTATGCCCATCGGACCGTCGCTACCACCGCATCTGGCGAAGCGCAGCCGCGAAGACGACAATGACCGCTCGTCCAGCCCCGAATCCGGCGAGAAGCGGCGCAGAGTTATTGGCCCGGCTCCCCCGCCGCCGAATCCCTCACCTCCGCGCGCGGTTGGGCCCTCGCTGCCGCCACAGTCACAGTCGCGAACAAGCAGCCCGGCAAGCGACGTTGGTCCAGCACCTCCGAAGCCCTCCAAGCCAGCGCGCGTGCTAGGGCCCGCTCCTCCACCAGCGCCACTTGACGAACGACCGCCAAACCCTCCCTCAGACGATTCGGACAGCAGCGACGATGACTTTGGGCCTCCCCCACCACCTACCGGCGCAGCATATGCCTCGTACGACGACGATGAGAGAACCCCCCCGGCTAAGTCAGCATTCGACACGGATCCGAAATATACCGAGGAAGCGAAGAAAGTGAAGCGGGATGACTGGATGACGATGCCACCCACGCAAGATGATCTCGCTGCACGCATGGATCCCACCAAGATGCGCGCGCGAAAATTCAACACGGGCAAGGGCGCTGGAGAAACTGGCGGCGGCGGGGGGATGGGCGTGTGGACGGAGACACCAGAGCAGAAGCTCAAGCGGCTGCAGGATGAAGCGATGGGTATCTCTGCGCCCTCTAACTCATCCACTTCCAGGAAGGAATCCCGGCGGAGAAAGGAAGAGGAAGAGAAAGCGCGCAGGATGAGGGAGAAGATTGACGCCGCGAGGGGCAAGAGTTTGGTGGAGCAGCACAAGGAGAAGGGCGAGAAGGAGAAGGAGGACGACCCGAGTGCGCGCTTTTTTGACTACGAGAAGGACATGGCCGTGGGCACCAAGATCTCGCACAAGCAGAAGCGGGAGATGCTGAGCAAGGCCAAAGGTTTCGGCGACAGGTTTTCGAGCGGTAGCTATCTTTGAGCAGGCTCTGAATATCAGACTAGTATCCTGAGCATCTGCCAGGCAGGTTCTCATGGTTTGGAGTTTGGCATCACCTGCATGCATGAACCCGTGGGTCTACTAGCTCCTACTATGCTAGGGCGGGCATCGGATTGGATTGGAGTAAAGCTCGGACTAAACTGTAGGACACTCGCTACTACTATTCCTCGCACTCTCTCTTCCACTTCCCATCCACTTTACAAGCGTATCTTCCTAGACCGTCATCATGACTTCTACAAACCTGAAGAAAATCCTGGTACTTGGCAGCGGCATGGTAGCTCCGCCTTGCATTGAGTACCTGGCCCGCAACCTAAACAACTACATTACAGTGGGTGAGTTTTACAGCATTGCCTAAGTTTTCGACGGATTCTTATCTGCAACAGCGTGCCGAACCCTGGCATCAGCCGAGAAGCTTGCCGCAGGCTTTCCTCGTACCCATCCCATCGTTCTTGATGCTAGCTCGGAAGCGGACTTAGACAAACACATCTCGGCCCATGACGTTGTCATCTCTCTCATCCCATATACGTATCACGCGGCTGTCATCAAATCTGCTCTTAAGAGTGGTACACACGTTGTCACGACGAGCTATGTCTCTGACGCCATACGAGAGCTCGACGATGCCGCCAAGAAAGCCGGGATCACTGTCCTGAACGAAGTGGGCGTGGACCCTGGCGTGGATCACCTCTACGCCATCAAGAAGATTGACGAGGTCCATGCCAAAGGCGGCAAAGTCCTCGAGTTCTACTCCTACTGCGGAGGACTTCCCGCCCCCGATTGCGCGGACAACCCCCTTGGCTTCAAGTTCTCCTGGTCGCCCCGTGGCGCTTTCCTCTCGCAGAGGAACTCTGCGCGCTATCTCAGGAACGGCTCGGTCGAAGAGATTCCGTCTGAAGAGCTCATGGCGACTGCAGCACCGTACTATGTCATGGATGGCTATGACTTCGTCGCGTATCCAAACCGCGATTCGGTACCGTTCCAGAGCTTCTATGGTATCCCAGAAGCGCACACAGTGATTCGTGGCTCGCTTCGTTACATGGGCAACCCAGCGTTCGTGCACGCACTGGAAAAGCTGGGCTGGCTCGAACCAGGCAGGAAGGAGTGGTTGAAGGATGGCATGACGTGGGCGCAGATTCAGCAGCGTGCGATTGCGGCATCAGGCTCGGACGAGAGGTAGCATAGCCCTTCCAAACTGCGCAGGAAAGATGTTTACTCTTCATTCATAGCTCCCTCATATCCCGCATCCAAGAAGTCGCCCGATTCCCGACTGAAGCGGAGAGTCAACGCATCATTGCTGGCTTGAAGTGGATGGGCATTTTCTCCTCGGAGCCGGCCACGATCGTCGGAGGAAATCTTCTCGACACGCTCTGTGCGCGACTGGAAAAGCTCATACGTTTTGCACCTGGCGAGCGGGACTTGGTTATGCTTCAGCACAAGTTCGTTGTCGAATGGGCTGGAGGGGAGAAGGTATGTTATCACGCAACAACAGTTCTTAACATCGCTAACACAAATCTTGCAGGAAACCTTCACGTCCACGCTTGAGCTGCTCGGTGATCCAGATCGCTATTCGGCGATGGCTCTGTCAGTAGGGGTGACCTGTGGTATTGCAACGCAGTTGCTGATGGATGGGCATCCTGCGCTGCACAAACCAGGTGTTCTCGCACCGTATACGCGAGACATGTGCGATCCGATCAGAGAATTGCTGGAGAAGGAAGGCGTCAAGATGGTCGAAGCTAAGGCGTAAGGAAGGACCTAACTTTCTGTGAGCGGCGAGGTTGGGAATCGTAGCCTGCGATAGCATACTAGGTCGCTTGGAATTTCGTCACGGCATGCAAGGGATTATTTATATGCTTGGTGTTGGTGATGCTGGACTCTTAAGATGGAAAGAAAAGAAGCGTAAGTCGGCAGGCTAGAAACTAAAGCGGAGTATAGAGCTTACGCGGTATATAGAAGCCTCTTCTTTGAGTCTGCGACACATTCGCACTCCCTTTTTTATGAGAGTTATCACTCTAAGGAACCGAGGCAAATAAGAGCATTCCGCTATAAGATCGTAGAATGACGAGACAGACTCGGAAAACTCTTTCCTTGCCATTTAAAAACGTCTCATCAATTCGCCGGCGCTCGCTTCCTGGAGTCGCACATTCCCAGAAGAAGCCCGCGCATAGAGATGCTGGAGAGAGAAGACAAGAGACCCAGAGTTTACGGTCTGAATGCCATCAGAGCCACTACTCGTGGTCCTCATGAAACCATGAGGAACAACCGATAAACCCCAAGCAACCCATCCAAATCCTGTTGCAATCCTGAAGGGAGCGATGCCGAAAGCCATGATGCGTTTAGCAGATGGATGATGGCAGTACATGTAGTCCTAGCTGACTGTCAGTTTGATCGAGGCCGGATCTAGAGAGGTAATGGGGGACTGACCTGGCTTCTTAGAAGCTACATATATTGGTCACCGTAATCGTCGTAGTTGTTGCCGTCGTCGCCGTCGTCGCCGTCGTCGTCTTCTGATTCTTCCTCTTCTGCTTCTGCGTCTTCCCACTCCTTTAGCTCGTCCATGTAGGCTCCCTCCCAGTCAATCTCCACTCCCTTCGGCTCCACCACAACTTGGACATCTTCCTTAGATCCCTCAATGACCTTGGCCGCCTTGGCGCAGGCATCTCGGACTCGCTCGTCCCCAGTTCCCAGCCAGGAGGACTGATGATAGAGGCGGACGTGAACGTGCTTTAGCTGAGGAAGATCTAGGCGCGAAATTGACTTCGCGATCCAGTCTACATCCTGGTCGAATATCTTGGTACCGAACAACGGATCCCAAGAACTACAGTGGGCCGTCCTAACCGAGCGAACAGCGTCTCGCTGCTTCGGTGGCATGCGCTGAGACCATTGCATAAGCGCGCTGAGGCTTTCGAAGCTGAAGGTCCCCAACTCGAAAGGGAGGGAGGCTGTCTCAGCATTGATCTGCCGGCAGACTCGGAGCAGGCTCATGCTGTTCTTCTCTCTGCTGCCCGCTGTCAACGTGTCCTTCAGCTCCCAGAGTCTGCCTCCAAGCACGTAGGAATATATCTTATTCCTTAACTCGGCAGGCAGACGCAAGAGTGGCGACTCGCGCTGATTTCTCTGAGAACTGCAATTGATTAGCACGTGTTCGCAAGTATTAAATGTCTACAGAACTCACATTCCGAGCTGCTTGTTCTCGGCGACTTCCCTAAGCATAGCTTGGCTGGTCTTCATCTGCTTCTTGGTGTTCTGTCTGCTGGGCTCGGGCGCCTGCAGCTTGCGCTTCAGCGGCTGACTCGTTGTCGAGTTCCGCGTCGCCATGGTTGAAGATGTGGTTGGGAGAGTCTCGTGCGTGGGGAAAAGGGAAGAGAAAAGTTCAGGCTGGAAAGAGAAGATGAAATACTACACTTAGAAAGGCGCTAAGGCATGGGTCACTGCGTGGCAATGACGTATCGTTGAGTTTTGCGGGGCTTCACCTTCACCACTCGGATAAGCGGTGGGAATGCGGATGCGGGGGCACGTCAAGGAGCCAGTAAAGACCGAGTCCGTCTCTTCGCAACAGAGGTATTGCTCCTAGTGTGAGTTCTGTGGTGAAGCATCGATAAACTACAACCCGTCTACGCCACCAGCAAGTCAATTTCAGTACGGACTCAAAGCTGATGCGTAGTAGGCTGCATAGTCTATACCCTCATAATGGTAAACCCAGTAGCAGGAAAATCTTGCTAAGACAGTTGAATTCCCCCTCTCCGAGTGGTTGCAAATGCAATAAGTTTTGAATCCGCCAGTGGTATGCAACATTGGTCATGCCGCTGCTACCGCATATTGCCGATCTAGAAATTATTGCCGGACGACAAGCGATAGCGAATAATTATGGATGCAGCTCGCAGGGGTGTCGCTTAACATCCAGCCAGAGAAATCTGTTGGTCGCCGTGAGCGGAATGCCGTCCATTGTGACCGCAACGCCCCTTGCCCTAAATGCTCCACACGAGGCTCCCATCCCCGTGATCGACCACGTCCATCGTCGTCTTTACCCCTACATTGCCACTCTCGACCTTCTCTTTGAAAGCTCGAACCCTTATCCTAAAAAAAAGCAGAAACATCTCATGGATATCGAAAGGTTGTTCGTGGTTGAAATAGACGAGCAACCGGACGCTCTGCACTCCAGGTAGTTGAGCAAAAGCGCCGTCCAATGGTTCACACCACCAACGTGGAACGCTACACTTGCTTTGTATGAGTAAAGGCTCCGACGTTATTTGGATAGAGGTGACCGCGGACCGTTGCTCGGGGCTCGGCCGCGATGCCGCCCATTGTTGTAGTTGGCGCGGCTCTGTGGCGTCAAACGTGATGAGCTCGTACGCAAGCCGAGTAGCCTCAACTCGAATCTGGCGGCAGCTTCGTAGTAGAGTTAAAGCATTGGTGTCGGTAGGCTTCGTCAGCTCCAATGTCTCACCGCTAAAGACAAATTCGTATATTATATTTCGGACCTCTGCAGGAACTCGAAGCAAGGGTGACTCGAGCTCATTCCTACGGGAGCTATACCCCTCAGTATCCTATTATGTGCAATCAGCTTTGCGGTACTCACATATCCAGGCGTTCGTTCTCAGAGAGGCGTGTGATAGTAGCACTTCCTATATTATCGGTCATGATTTGGGTGATATTTGGTTTCTTCGTCGATGGCAGTGATATATTGGGAGGCTGCTTGCGCTTTTTCGAAGGAGTTGTTCCCGCCATGACGAGTTCAGTTTATTGAATTGGATGTAGACAAGCTCTAGAGGGCTGTTGTAGCAGACCGCTAACTAGCGTGCGGAAGGGCCATGGTCGAGGTCGGCTGCTATCTTCACTCACGGTGGGAAAGATCGACTGTCGCTGCATGTGTTAGGAGTGAAAGTCTGAAGCCCCGAGTGCTAAATCAGGAGTGAACCTATTACTGCCATTAAAAGCATACATTCGTGCCTGTGAGCGCACGTCTATCTCAAGAAAGACAAAAACGCAAAGTGACCTCGACACTCAGAGGAACAACTCTGAGGAACGATACCGAGACTCCCCGCGATCCGTGATCCCGAATCTAAGACAGATTCATGTTCGATAGATTTGGCCAAGAAGAAGACCATGCGTAAGAATGCCATGATAAAGAAATACCGGCCGTGTTTTCGTCGAGGAGCTCGAGAGCGACCACAATGCTAGAATAGCGACGGTCGATGCCACCGTAAGCTTTCCAAGAATAGGACGAGTTCATAAAGCTTTGGTCCGCCGTTTATAACGAATCCGGGTTGCGGTCTTTACTGAATCGGGTGTCCACTAGATAACCATCTAGCACAGGAGCCCGTTCTCTCGGGAATTCGGTTGGAAGGGGCTGGACTTGTAAAAACGGAACCGCCGTTAACTCCGTGATGACCCTGCGAGTGCATGAGTGCAAGATCATACCAGCAAGGGCTACCCTCCTCACCCTAGTTCTTCCACAAGCGTATGACTTTATCTCGTTGGAGAAGTTTCATGGTGAGCACTACTCCAGCCTTCGGACACCTCATCCGCTCGAACGCTTCTGTGAACCTGTCTACAAGCTCCAAGCGCGGCCGTGGTGCTTCACGCACACATGAAGGCGCTGGAGAGCCGGAAGGATTTGGAACGGCAAGAATCCTCCTTGAAACCGCGTTGCGAGGCAAAAGAGTTTGAATGTGCGGAAAGTGTGGAAAGCTAGTCGTATCGAGGTGATAGCACCAGTAGCGTGTCCAAGGCATGCCCTGAATAGCCATGAGCTTAAGTCGTCACCGTAACGCAGCTCGACGGCAAAGGTGCTCATCCGAAAGAGTAGCAACGCGGTTTCAGCATGTACTTGACGGCAGACTCGCAGCAAGCTAAGCGCGCTTCGGTCGCTGTTCAGGATGGCGGGCTTGAATGTGCCTCTGACCGACAACGACTTTATGTCCCAGAGCTTCCCACCAAGCACTATTTCATAGACTCGGTTCTTCAGCTCACCGGGGAAGACGGAGAAATGGTGACTCGCGCTGGTTCCTCTGGGCACTAGCAACTGTCAGCCGCCTCCAGGTGAGAGCAAGCTTCCGCAACTTACATGTCTGTAACTGCTCCAGTTCTAATCTCATATGCCAGCGGCTCGGCACGATCAGTATTCGCACCCGGAGACTGCGTTTCCTCCCTGCGTTTCCTCCAAATTTATTCCTCGCTCCCACTCCATCGGCTTTTACATCTTGGATTTCTTGATTTTGGGGGAGGGTGCGGCATCCTCTGACCGCTTGTGATGATTAATAAGACCCAACGTACTCCTCTCCTAACGAAGCATCAGCCTTTATCTTCTAATCGCCACGCTTTTAACGCCGCAGAGGAGGAATGAAGATCAGGATGATCATCTCCCAAAACCCGCGTTCCTAGCTGTACGCACTCATCCATTAATGTAAGAGCCTCGGGCTGCTTTCCCATAGCTTTCCATGTATACGATAGGTTGTTCATGCTAGTCAGCGTGTCTGGATGCTCTGGGCCTAGCACCCGCTTGTGAGTCTCCATTACTTGCACCTGTAGCTCTTCCGCC